TATATATTTATTTTAAGATTATTTATTGAATAAATATTCGTATATATATTAAACCCTTTAAATTTTAATTCGAATATAATTAAATGCTTAATAATATCGCTTTATTTAAGGTTTTATTTTTATAAATAGTATAACTACGTAATATTTTTTACATTATGAATATTTATTATTCTTACAAAGTTTTTCTTGTTTATTAACTTAATATTTTTACGCGTGTTATTTGCTTTTTTTATAATTTAAAGCTTAAAAAACTCCATTTTAATCTTTTAAAAGGTAATAATAAAAGCGTTATTATTAAGCGCTTTTTTTAAACAACTAATTTATTAGCTTTTTGAACGCTTTATACTTTTTATGGAACAGGCTTGAACGATCAATCATAATACTCGAGTATTAGGTAAAGATTATAATGTTGCTGATGGTTAGATTGGGAGGCCTAGCTAGACTCGAAGGTCTGGCTAAGTGACCTCGCAATCCGGTATCTAATATCTTATTCAATCATATATATGGGTCCTAGTGTGACGGAACGCTCACCATAACCACCATGCCACGGCTGTTCCTCCCAAAAGGATGTCGAATATCAAGCGTGGCAGCTTGACATTCAATGGTGGTACATGTACTCATGTCCGGGCTCCAGGACTCACCACATGGGCTACCTGTACCAAACCATGATACCTAGTATAGATGGTTTGCAGGCTGGAATCGCATAGATCAAATAATTTTTATTTATTTTAAAAACGTAAAAAAGGAATATTTCATTAAATTTTTGGGTTTTTCAAAAAGTTTATTTATTATCCAATATATTAAAGCTTTAACCGGTAACTTTTCCGTCGTTCTAGTTTGAAAACTATCATATTTATACGTTTTTTCTTTTTTAAATGATAAGTAATAATAAATGGGTTTTAAACCCTTTTATATATTTAAAAGTAGTAATTAATTTAAATTAATTTCTTAATAATCACGTTATTAAAAGCTTCAAAAATTATATAATAAAAGTTTTTAACTTTTTACGTAATATTTACTTTGTTATAATCATATTATTAATTACTTAAAATGTAACGCATTTTATAAGCTTCATAACGGTTAAAAAAGGTTCATATTATAAATTATAATATTATTAATATAAGTATAGTTAATAATTTTAAACCTGTGAGATTCTAGAAGGGTCACAAGCCTTGGGGGTGTGAGCAGTCGCTGCAAACGTTGTTATCATTCTCAAGTATGCTTGGCAGAGCTAATCTACAGCTAAATTCTATACTGCACCATGCCAGGGTGGATCCACTGTTCCCTTGACAGCCCCCTAGTGGGTACTGCACCTAAGGGCACCATATCTGGGATCCAACATCTGACAAAACCTTATAATTTCAATTTTTACTGTGGTTTTTTAATTTTATTATTATAACAAAGCATGTTTTTAGTTATAATTTAATCTTTTATAAAAGCAGTATAAGTTTTAAGCGAGATTATTTAAGGACTTATTTTATTATTATTTATAAAACAACCAGCTGACCGGTTTTGATTTGCTTTTTTATAAGTACAAACGCTATTAATATCGAGTTAAAAATAAATACGACTAACATATTAAGATTTAAACGCTTTATACACTAATAATCTAGTTTTAATATTGTAAAGCGTAACTTACGGTTATCTTTAACGATTAATATAAAAAAGCGAAAAAGATGTACGACTCTAAAAAAGCAAGAAATTATATAGTTATAAATTTATTTAAACATAAAATAACAAGAGTAGTAAAAAAATATCGCTTGTATAAGTCAAACGTATATAGCTTGGTACAAGGTAGCTTATAAAGAGGTGGTTATAAGGCTTTAAATAATACGTATTAAAACCGGTTATATCTGTTGAATACACGGATGTTGATTGATTCTATTGATTGTTCTGCTCTGCGTGCAGAGATTGATCTCTGTCTTCTTGGTGGGTCAGATGCCCTGTGCGTCTCTGCTCTACTGGTGTGACGGCCTGCACAGACCTTCCCACATGACAAGCCGATACTTCCCAATAAAGGAAGGATCTGACCAGAGGATCCCCTTAAAGGGGCAACCTCCCGCTGTACCTATCTCTCTCTCTCTTTCTTTCCTCTTTAGTCTTGATATTCTCGTCAATAGAGTAATAGCTGCTTGCTGCAGGCCATGTCCCAGCTCCCCAGTATGCTCGCCGTGACAACTGGAGATCTTCCGGTGTCTATCTCCGGCTCTTATTCAACAATATCGATATTATTGTAATACCTTATATTATACCTTAATGTCAGATTCAAGGGATCTCTAGGGGTGTATGCCTGTGGAGTGCTGGCTAGTCAAGTGGCTAGTCAAGGAGGCTGCCATAACTAGCACCATGAATTGTACATTGACTTTGGGAAAAGGTGGGCTGGAGGATCGTCTCCGGCATTTCCGGAGCTGTACAAATAGGTGTAGATACTACCCAATTGGAATAGCTGAGAAATGATAACAACGATTGCAGCTACCGCGCAAGACCACAGGCTTGTCAACCCTTTGAAATTAGACACTTAATATATATAGTTAAACTGTATAATAAGCCGTATAACCGTGTATTAAAGGTGAATCAGCCTTCGTTTAAACGTATAACGCTTTTATCTGCCTTGTATAACTATAATTTAGCATATAAGAACTAGATGTGATGTATTTGACATCTATCATGGTGTGTACGCTCCCATCATGTGACCTGGTGGGGTGGACGCGTTGCCCCGTTGCACAGATAGATATATAATTATGGGTCGGGATTTAGGATCTATCACCCCACCAGAATTGGCTGGTGTGACAGATCCTTCTTCCCTTTCCTTACCAAAGTATTTTTGTACAATACGAGTGATTGATGGGCATCTTCGTCCTGTGCTTGTATCTGCCCCGTGACTCTAGATAGCTCCGGTCGGAAATCCATAGGTCGGTGCCAGCTCGGTGCAGTGGAAGTTGCACCCAAATACGCTGGTGCAGACCTACAAGACTCCCGCCCCGACCGCAGCCATCACAACCTAGCAGTTGACGACCTAGATGGACCAGATCGACAGAAATACCTTGGTTTGGGGGTATGTTAGGTGCGCTAGCAGGTACTACCGTCGCAAGTCACTACAAGGTCGGCAGCTAGAACACCTTAGTACTGGAATAACCCCTGTATATACCGGGAACACTAGTAACCCCGCTCCGTTATACGTATAACGGCTGATTATACCGATATTATATTGTACTATCCGTGTTATACCCAATACGTGTAATAGAAATCAGAGCCCTAGGTGGTTGATGTTAAGTGTGGGGGTTGGATCCGCTTTTTTGGCCGAAGGTTTACGTGGCTATGCTGTGGCTATCTGTCCCGTGTCTGGATGGCCTTGCCGAGACTGGGTGAATGTTGTCGACGAAAAACGACTGATGCTTATCGTAAGAAACAAAAAGGAGAGCTGCACGTGGTCGTCGCCGGGTTCTGGAGGCGGGGAATGCATGTGACCTCTACCAATGAGGAAATGAGGCAACTGTGACATGAAAGGATCGGCTGTGAGCAGAAGTTCTGCTCTCACGGTATCTTCGATACTGATGGTGCCAGTGGCACGTTACGGCGCCGACGGATGGCTCCATGTCTGTCTGCCACCAGAGCCCTCAACCCGCGAGAATGGTATCGTTATTCGGAGATTCTCTGGATGGCGAAGCCTTGACACACGAGCGGGATGCCGGCAAGCCAGTGCGTTTTCCCGAGGTGCTTAGTTCATCATGAAAGAGTGTCTAAGAGGACAGAGTACGTGTAGAGGACAGCACTTCTTACATGCACCCAAACCTTCACTCGAAGCGCATTGGCATCATTGTGCGGCCGAGACCGCCCTGCCGCCGTAGGTACTCGTGCAGGGCAGATACGGCAAGTTTGCCGCGGACCCCTGATCTACAAGAGGCTGCCCCTTTTTCTGGTGGTGGAAGATACTTCAAGTTCAACCCATCTGCCCATGTGCCCTTGCACCTTCATGCAAGGGATGTGCCATGGCCAGCAATGATCGTGGCTCTGCTGAGAGTGGGAAATGAAATCGCCACAAGGCGTACCGTGGCATGCCGTGGTGAGGTTGGATAAATACGGCTGTGCCAAATCCCAGCTCCCAGGCTCGGCAGGAACCAGGTACCAAAGGCCTGGCAGGAGGCGGGGAGGAGGGCCCGAGAGAGAGCCGTGGTTGGCTGTTCGGTGGTGTTGGAATTGGGGTTAACTTCTTATGGCTAGTGCGCTGCGGGGAAGGTGTTAAGGTTGACCGACAGCGCTGATCCTCAACGGGTGGGAAGCGGCAAGCTCCCTGGACTCCCTGCCATCATTCCCTCAATCCCCGAACTTATCGGTGACAGCGATGCCCCCCACCAAAAGCCACGGTGTAACATGGAAGCTCATCTCAGGAGCTCCAGCAATAGGTTGGGATAGCTCCCAGCTGTCTCTCCTATTGCCGAGCCAGGATATTCACCGACGATGGGACCCTTGTTAGAGCTAGGTTCTAGAGCTTGGAGTTTAAGGTACGAGGATAAGGGGAATCTACAAAGCTCACCGCCACAATTACTACTAAGTGTGCCAGGTGACTGCTTTGTCTGGCTACCATTATAAGGTATGGTTCGACGTGGCATTTGACTCCTGGGCCGGGCGTGAGACCATTTGAACTCGAAACGTGCCGACGACGGCGTGATTGTAGCACCATTGGCATTGACAGCCCCTCAGATCTGCGTCTGCATCGGCATCTGTGTCCTGCATCTCGTCAGCTCACCAGCTCACCAGCCAGCCCGCCCAGCTAGGTACCTCCCCGGACATCCGGACCTCACCTTATTATCCGTCGCCCTCCTCCCCTCCCAGCTCGAACAGACAGACCTCTTTGATTCACCTGACTACTTTATCCATTCATCCATCGATTATCGAGATACCTACCATCAGAGCATCGGTGTTGTTCTTCATCGCAGCCTTGAATCCTCCTTTCCGAACAATATAACTTCATCCTGTCCCCTATAGCACAACCCTTCAACATGTCGGGCCCCCGTCTTACAGCTCCCGCCGCGAAACTGGCTCGCTCCATCAGCACCACCACCACGCCCGCTGCCATTTCATCCTCGGCTACCCTCCTCACAAGCTCAAAGGCCGCTGCGCCCTTGTCCCGCAAGTATGCCGACCTGCTCAAGGAGCGGAATACGGACGCTGATGTAAGTGCGCTCCTTTCCATTCCTCTGCCGTGGTATTCTAGCTAGCTAGCTAGCTCTGAAGGCGTCTTGAGACTAACAACGTATGTTCTATCTCCAGCATCCCCGCCACCTCTACACCCGTTCCTCCAACCGCCCTCATCCGCAGCCCCGTAAGCTGCGTCTGATGCAGACTTTTGCCTCCAGCAGCACCCCGGTTGCCGCCGCCAGCACGATGAGCATCGACAACATGATCTTCCCGGGATCGGCCGCCCTCGAGGGCGCCGCCGTCGACCCCTTCGGCCACCTGCGCATGCCGCTGCTGCCGGACAGCTTCACAACTCAAAACAGCCGCGAGGTGGCCGACGGGCCTATCGCCGCCGGCGAGATCAGCATCGTCGCCGCGAACCCCGAGCTCGTGTCGCCCGCCGCACTGACTGAAGTCGAGGGCATGGGCGTCGACGGCGTCGAGCTCAAGTTCGTGCATGACGGCGACGCCGCCATGGCCGAGCAACAGGACCAGGGCATGTTGACCAATATGTTGAAAGGGATTGATAACATGCTCGGTGGTGGTCGGAATAAGGGCAACCTGGCGCTCTAGCGCGAGGGGGCCTTGATGATGTTTACGAATTTTATTTGTTGTGAGAGTTAGATGGATAGGGGCTGGCTCTGAGGGGCCGACCGGCTTTAAGGGTTTAGTGGGCGTGATTCGATAAGCTCTGGCGGGATGGCATCGAGCAGGCGAGAGATTCTGGAATGACTCGAACCGGTTTGCGTAGATGTTTTGCAATGCACCTTTTTCGGGATTTCTGTGCAGATACGGATGGACGTTGTTTTGGCAGGAACCCACTACGGATGGGTCTTCAGCTACGTCTGCAAATCTGAGCAATTGGGATGATATGCCCCCAATTCATTGGACTTGGTCGAGTTCCCTGATCATCTCATGCCTGTGATCGGACGTAGACTCGATCGAGACTTGACCGTGCTCCCGTTTGCCCCTTGCGATGGCTTGTCAAACTACTACACTACTGGCTGCGACGATCGGGCTATGATGCCGCATCAATCAGTCAAATACTCGATGTCTTTGACTCCCATGTCTCGAGCTTTGAGCTCATTCGACATATGCAATGAGATAGTTCAATTGAGGATGTAACAGCTCATCTTGCGCCAGTACATCGCCACTTTGAAACCAGACGGGAACACATGACCCCAACCCATCAACGTCTTTCTACACTGAAGGATGAATACACTATCAACCATGGTATTATGCCTGTTTATATGCCTTATCTCAAGCTAACGGTCTATTGGGCGGCAGACAAGTAAGCCCGCAATCTAACACGCTTTCCAACCCCTCGGTTGACTATCCAATACCGAAACAACGAAAGTCTTTTGCGACTCTTGGTCACTGGTTCGAATGACCGAAGCGCATCTGATGTGCTCAGGATATATAGAGTCATCCAGCCTTGCTATATGACAAGTGGCTAGGTACCATAGAAGAATGAAAGCGTCCCATAAGCGCCTGCCGATTAACCTAGTGCCTGAAAAGTGCACAATTCGCCATAGGCAAGAAGATTGGTGTTCCAGTCTATACTCAGTCCGACACACGCTATATCGTGGAAGGTAGTAGGTCAGTTACAGGTAACACCACTCACTGCCATGGAGAACCCACTTGCCGAGGTATCGAGCTGACCTCACTCGCCCAAGATGCTCTCCCACTACTTCAGGTCCCTGTCTCATATGGGACGCAGTCCGTAGGTACACGACTAACCAGGTAATGTTCCCTCAATTGGGAGGCTAGGTAAGCTCGACGGCGGCTACAGGTAGCGTCTCCATCCGGAGTTAACATGCATAAACACCTTGGACCTCTGTGGAACACCATTGGCTGGAGGACCAAGACGGCCTCATCCGCCTGCAGCATGGCCGTGGCGTTTGCAGGAGTTAAGAACCATCCATGATTTAGGTGTATAGTTCAGTTGTTCATCACGGTCCTAAGTCCAAGCCGCATGGAGCTCTATCCAAGCAGAAGGCTATTGCATTAATCTCGTCTGATGATGAGTTTCTCATGTGGGCAAAACGCAGTATAAGACGTGGAAGATGAACTGGGAAGAGATACAGAATAGTTTCTTCGACTGCGGCAGTCTTGTGAGCAACATCTGAGAAGTATCACCAACTGGCTTTCCCCGTTCTATACTCATATCTTACCTTCCCGACGGGCGCAACATTACCAGGCACGGATACAAAAGAGATTTAAGGACACAAGCGATCATGGCAATGGTATCGAAGATCCCGTTCCAACTTACGGGCCGTTATGCCGAACGCAACAAGTGGGAGAACCTCAACGGCCCAGGAGACTCGCGTGTAACCGGAATGAAGATCATCGAAGACAAAGGTCTTGTCGGCGCCATGAGTGACAAAGTCGTCCTAATCACGGGCGTTTCTTCAGGCATGGGGCCAGCCACTGTTCGCGCTTTAGCTTCGACCGGAGCGACCATATTCGCAACAGCGCGGAACCTCGACAAGGCCAAAGAGGCCCTGGGATCCCTCCTGGACACGGGTCGTGTACACCTACTTTTCATGGACCAGGTCAGTCGGCACTGCCACACCACCACTTCCCCTATCTTGCAGTCGCTGACGGATGTTGAGCGCGCTATAGACGGACCTATCAAGCGTCCGAGCCTGCGCCGAAGACTTCCGCCGGCGCAGCTCCAAGCTCAACATCGTGATCAACAACGCGGGCGTCATGAACACGCCCGAGCAGCGCACCAAGGACGGCTTCGAGCTGCAGCTCGCGACGAACCACCTCTCGCACTTTCTGCTCTTCCACCTGCTGCGCGACCTGCTGCTTGCCAGCACGGAGCCGGGCTTCCACTCGCGCGTCGTCAACGTCTCGTCCTCGGGCCATCGGTACGGCCCCGTGCGCTTCGACAACCTGAACTTGGACGGGATATATGATGGGTGGGCTGCCTGTAAGCTTGTTGCGGAAACAGCTCCTTCAACCCCCTCAGTCCCCTCGACCCCAAGCCGCTTTCATCTCGGCTCCACTTCGAATTGGTTTACTGACGGGTGACCGCAGACGGCCAGTCCAAGGCGGCCAACATCTACATGGCGAACCAGATCGAGCGGCTGTTCGGCGCGCGCGGCCTCCACGGCTACAGTCTGAGCCCCGGCAGCTTCTTCAGCCCGAACCTGCAGAAATACTCGCAGGAGGGTATCGAGACCGCCAAGGGCGACCAGCGCAGTGAGTACCTATAGTTCAGCGTTCAGCAATTGCGCTCCCTTCCCCCCTTTCTCCCCTTCGCCCCTTTCAATTGTTCCCCGGAAACTATTCTAGGAAGACTCCACTCGCATTTGACTGACTGACTAACTCGACGCACACCGCAGTGATGAAGTACTTTGGCAGTTTCGAGCAGGCCTGCGCGACGAGCGTGTTCGGCGCCGTGTCCGCCGAGCTGGAGGGCAAGGGGGGCCTCTATCTGGAAGGCGCTTCGGTCGCCGGGCCCGTGCCCCCCGACGGCGACGTGATCGAGTACGGGTATGGCGAGTGGGCCTTTGACCGCGAGAAGGAGGAGAAGCTGTGGGAAGTGAGTAGGCAGATGGTGGGCGTTGAGTGATATGGCTGGTTTACTTGTGGTGTGCTTGTCGCATTCAGGGGTAAAATGGAGACATGGCGATATGGAGGCATGGTGTATGTCATGGACTATGTCAAGGTCGATGCTCCAAGTGACTGCTGCTGAAATGAGAGGTATATTCTCTCATCAAGGATTTATCCAGCTGGAATCAGTCTGCATACTCGTGCCTCTTCCCTCCTTTCAAAACCCAGTCCTCATTGAACGGCTAGTAGATGCTAGGTAAAGCGTATCTATATCATCCCTTTGTTATATACTACGAACTTAGTCTCTAATGCCGGGAAAATTCCTCTGAGCTGGATAACGAATACGAGGAGCAACAAGCCACACGCACCCACAAACTGCAATAATCTGCTAACGATGTCTTCCTCTCCGCAGTATTGGACACAACCCAAGCAGCTTTCACGCCAATGACGAATTGCTCATCCGGTAATACTGTTGCATGTCAAGCAAGTGGATCAGCCGGCACCCGCAATGGCCAGTACGTATGCACGATCACTCAGGAGCTTGCCTTGGACGACCACACTCCGTAATGGCAGTGAGTCAGCACCGACTCACTGACGCAAGCTATCCGACATCACCGGCATACCCGCACTATATTCTCGAGTATTAGAGAGTGGCATTGGCTGTTCTGGCGGAGATTACATAGGCGTCCACCCGTCAAGAACAAAAGTGAAAACCAGCGAGCCAATGATAAAGTACGCCCGCGCGATCTATTGCTTATAGCCATTGACAACATATCATCGGCTTCTCGATGTCACGGTGCTGACTGAGCCCGGCCAACCAGATGACACTTCCACAGCCAAGTCGGAGGGAAACCGAGCTACCGCAGATGCAGTGCAACCTCGTGGTCATCAGTCAGTGACAGTGTCTGGTCGTGTACGATACAGCCTATGAGCCGTAGTCATGTGCACTTGGGTGACACCGTGGGAAACGCCAACGAGAAGGTTGTCGAGCCAGGTGTCTGGGAATAGCGAGTGCGCGTGGCAAAACCAAGGAGTTTAAAACGAGACGACAGAATGGAATGGTCTCAAGAACTCTCGTGAACCGATCCGCAAGTTTCCCAAGCCAACTCTTTAGCAAGAAGCTCTCAACATGGCGCCTCAACTCCAAGCCGTGCTCTCGAGCTCGTACCTAGTCCCCATGATCGGGTGCCTCTTCTTCATAACCTTCATCCTCTCCTACATCTCCTCATGGCGGCGGCTCCGGCACATCGACGGCCCGCTCCTAGCCTCGATCTCGTACCTCTGGATGTTCCGAACCTCCCTAACGGGCGAGCAAGCAGCCCGCTACGGCACCATCAGCCAGAAGTACGGTCGCCTGGCGCGCATCGGGCCCAACGACCTGCTGACATCCGACCCGGAGGTCCTGCGACGCATGAACGGTGCGCGGTCCAAGTACGGGCGGTCGAGCTGGTACCGCGCGATGCGCATGGATCCCTACGCGGACTCGCTGTTCACGCAGATGGACGCGGGGGCGCACGACCGGCTGAAGGCGCAGCTCGCGTTCGGGTACGGCGGGAGGGAGAACCCGACTATCGAGCGCGGCATCGACGAGCAGGTGGCGAACCTCGTTGCGCTCGTCCGGCGCAAGTACCTGTCGACCGGCGGCGAGGGGACCACTGGCCCGCGGCTGCGGTACGTATAGAAACATCCCATTACAAGACCCTAGGCCTTGCATTCGAGAATAACCTTTGTCGTTCCCTTGCCTTCTTCATCTAGTGATTGTCTGTACGGGTTTAAAACACGACGTTAACGCACACGCAGCCCGATGGACCTCGCGACCGTGGTCAACTACTTCACGCTCGACGCCATCACCCGGGTCGCCTACGGCAGGGCGTTCGGGTACCTCGAGACGGACTCGGACGTCTTCTCGTACATCGAGGCCTCCGAGGCCCAGGTCCCGATCATGGTGTTGCTGGCGGATGTTCCATACCTAGCCAGGATTGCCTACAGCGATACGGTGCTCAAGTTGTTCGGGCCCAAGACTACTGATAAGAAGGGGATGGGCCAGATGCTGGCGTGAGTTTGGCTGGAATTACTTTATTCTTGGACCCCGTGCCTAACGATGTATATACAGTGTCGCCCAGAAAGTCGTGGGCGAGCGCTTCGGGCCCGAGGCGAAGGACCGGCAGGACATGATGGTAAGTCAGCCCTCCTTCCCAAGTTCCTATCCCGTAGCCAAGCAAAAGCCCACAGATACCATGAGAGGTCCTGTCAGACTAAATACAGTATAGGGCTCCTTCGTCCGCCACGGCGTGCCTCGCCGCCAGTGCGAAGCCGAGGTAATATTCCAGATCATCGCCGGCTCCGACACCACGGCGACGGCGATCCGCGGCACGATGCTGCACCTGATGTCGATGCCCTCGGCCTACCTCCGGCTGCGGGAAGAGGTCGACGCAGCGGCGGCGGCGGGCCGTATCTCGAGTCCCATCCAGGTGGACGAGGCACGACAATTGGAGTACTTGCAGGTACGTTACCTCACAACCCCTTGGTAGAGCTGGCTGCCACCCGCTCTACACCCCCTTTTCTTCCTTCGTCTCGAGGGTGATGGTGGTTCCCTTCCTCGTTTGGGCCACCGCTCACCACACCCCACAGGCCGTCATCCTCGAAGGCCTGCGCATGAACCCGCCCTTCTCCGGCCTCATCATGAAAGAAGTGCCCCGCGGCGGCGACACCATCGACGGCAAGTTCGTGCCGGAGGGCACGCGCGTCGGCCAGAGCATCCTGGCCATCATGCGCTCCCCCACAATCTTCGGCCAGGACGCCGACGTCTTCCGCCCCGAGCGGTGGCTGGGGGGCATCGAGTCCGAGGATAATACGCGCCACCGCGAGATGGCGCAGGCCGTGGACCTGCTGTTCGGACACGGGCGCTGGGGATGCAGTGGGAAGGCGGTTGCGTTTATGGAGCTGAATAAGGTTTATGTTGAGGTGCGTATTTTCCCTCTCTATCTCCCTCTTTGTACTCTTGTTTGTTTCTTGCTATTCTAGAGTACCCTTTTGGAGAGGAACACGTTGGTGCTGGCACGGAGACTGACGTGGAAATCCTCCAGTTGCTGCGGAATTTCGATTTCCAGTTGATCGACGTCAGGAAGCCTGTGGAGAGTAAGAACTACAACATCTTCTTCCAGAAGAACATGTGGGTGAAGGTCACCGAGAGGACGAAGTCGTGAGTGGCGGGGTTGTCATGGTTTTGCTTTGGCTGCGTGGCAACTTAGTTGGACCCGGGTATGCGTTCATCTAGGGCCTGATGTTGGGACGACGGTTTCACCCCATAGATCGAGAAACGCTGGGAGGGTGCTCGTTTGAAATGAGACCTAGTAGATGTCCGGAACTCATCCTTACTCTCAAGAGCAATGCGTAAGTAGGTGCCATGGCACATATCATACTTCTCTTGCTGCCAAATAGATGATTCAGACTAAATGCAAAGTTCTAGTCCCTATCTCACATACACTTGGCCATCATAAGTCATACGAATGACCTCAGCCGCCATTTCCAAGCTCTCCTGCTGCGCATACCCAACCAGCTCAAAAAAACTGATAGAGCATCCTTGCCGGTATGCCAAGAGAGGGCCAAACATGGCCTTCTACCCATACTCTCTTTATGTGTAAGTGCCTTCGAGTCTCCTCAGGATATTGCCCGTCTTCCATCGCCACCCCGGGGCGACTGATACCACACCCAAGCACTGTCTACAGCATGCTCTAGACCAGTCAACAAATGCCTCGCCTAGAGATTCCTTCAGTCTTCCAAGCATGTCTGGTTGCGGAAAGGATTCTCTATCCACCACCGACCGTAGGTAAGGGTCACAAGAACAAGAAGACCGAGGGGCCGTCAACAGAGCTCGCGACTGGTGTCCACACATCAGAAGCTCGACACTTGATACACCTTTCTCTCCCTTGCATTCATTTGATGTCACGAGGTACCCCGGCCACCTCACGATCTCAAGATTACTCTAGGTTAAGGAGTCATCACCATACGTTCCTGCCGATGTCCCGCCTCCCACGATCCCACGGTCTTGACATATTGTCACCTCCTATCATCATACCTATTTTGCCTAATATGTCTCACTCAAAGCCCAGTTTGCTTCCCAAAATGTAGACTTCGTACAAAGTCTCCTTGACTTGCACGCAGTCATGATGGCCAAGGGAAGGATGTGTCTGGGCTGTACAGGGGCTTGCCGTGCCTTGTGTCTGCCCTGGCATCATCTTAATACCTCTTTCAACCGATTTTACTTGGTATCCCCGGCAGACGAGATGCGAGGCGCTGGCAGACATTCACGAACGTTCCACTATGTTCAGTTATGGTACACTAGCCCGGAATTCACAAAGACAAGAGATTTGTGTATCAAGTTCCATTTACCTGCCACTCGCAGCCGCGATCTGAATTGTGTCTATACCTACAAAGAAGGGTATCTTGTGTGGACCAACTATCCGCCTGATCCCTTGAGTCCAATGATGATGGCCAACCCGGCAGGGAAGATTCAACCCACAAGAAAAGAGGACCATTTGTTTCTGGTCTTTTGTCATGTACGATGCAGCTTTCAACGGCAATTGTTCTTTCTATTGCAAGTTGTGCAAGTTGTCGTCGTTTAGGGCTCAGGCAAACGCCCTCTCACCCACACCGCCCGCCCGTTTTCGCCGACCCTCTGACTGTATATGATGAAGGCTTTTCATCACATACTCGTAGGTCATCATTGTGACTGTAGCAGCCGGTACTGCTCTCATCATGTTCACCCCCATGCCTGCGTAGAACGCTCTCCATCCTTCTTCGCGTAATATCGTACGGAAGGTCATGACAATTCCGCGGTACTTCGGCTCGGGTATTTTCTCGTTGCCACCTTTCGGAGCCTGTGCCCCGTTTCCAGAATTGGGCTCCGTAATCCCTAGCCCCTGTAGATATTCAACTCCAGGTGTCGGCCGTCTTTGTGTCTGTAATCTTGTCCGGATCACCTCGTGAGGATATGTGGCCGAGCTAGCTAGTACCTTTGACATTATCGAAGCAGATAGCACCCCTAGCCAGTCCGTCTGTTGGTTGGAACCGGTGGTCATCATGCCCATGCCCTGGCCTGTGAATTTCATTCTCAGGTATTCGTAGGCTGGGAATTGCACGGCAACATGTGTGAGACCAAGGAGTGCAGGCGTGAGTCCGGAATAGAAGGAAAATACACCTTCAGATGAATACATCTTCCGAGCCGCGTCTAGCGTCGAGCGGTAATGCCAGGGAGAGTTGATGGCCGGTCTGGAGGTCGGAGTGTTACCCGATCTGGGGAAGACCGACATTTCCCTATTGTATCCGCTCGATGACTGAGACATAAGCCTAGTCTTGATCACCCATATGGGATTTGTCACTATAGTGCTGCTGCCCCCGGCTATGATAGACGACCAGAAGTTGATGGCGAATGAGTTGTGCACTGGGGAAAGGTGTGATTAGCCAATAGGTTCCAAGACCGTAAGTTACAGGTAGGGCAACCGGAGCGAAAGCACATGCTTGCATATGCTTGGAGTCGTGGGAAGTAGCTTACCGTTGTTCTCGGCCAAGAAGATCTTGCTCTTGTTGTAAACGGTGAACCAAACCGCCCATGTCGGCAGGTAGCCAAGGATGATAGGCCCTAAACCTCTATACATGCCGCGCAGACCCTCTTCTTTCCATATAACGCTCGCGGTGCCCATCAAGCCCGAATAGACTCGGTGGTGACCGACATGTCTGCCCTTTGACACTGGCAGGAAACCGCCCTGTGCCTGCAGCTTTGTCTTGATGACATCCAGTGGACATGTGACTACGCCAGAGGTGAAACCACCAATGGCGCCTGAAAGAGCATTGAACTGTGTGTCGGATGCGCCAGCAGCCCACCTCTCTACCGGTGTCAAACCGCGGGAGCCTTGAGGTCCCATGGCGGCTACCGCTGAGGCCGTTGCGCCCTGAGTCCCCTGATTGATATTCTCGGTCGACGAATCGGTCGAAGCAGTTGGCGCTGAATGCCTGTTGGCGAAACCATATTCTGGTGAGCTGGCAGTAGAGCTTTCTGTTGGACGGCGCTGGGCGTCGCCGTGAGACATCCCCTGGATGGCGCTGGCAACTCGAAGAGGACGGTGGTGGTCGGTAGGGCCTCTGGGCTAGTCAGAGGCCCCAGGCATACGGTGGTCGGATCGGGATGCGGGATGCGGGATGCGGGATGTGTTGCGGCAACGCGATTGTATACTGGGGCTAGTCGCGTTGTGTAGGTCGGTAGTGGTGCCTGTGCCGCCGAGGTTGGTGAGAAAGGAGTGGCGAGGTGTTGAGGTGTTGCGGTGTGCGGGGAATGCACCCTCGCAAGTCCACCGTCGACACGAGAGCTACCGCTTATCGCAGGCCATTGACATCCATATAGGACAGCGGCTTGCGTGGACAAAGCGGTTGACCGGCTCGAGTGAGGTGATGAGGTGCTGTGGTAGCCTGTAGGGTAGGGAGGGGTGGGACGGGGTAGCAGCGGCGTGGGAGGTGGTCGGAGGTGACGGCACAGGTGAAGGTGAGGAGAGACGGAGATGGGTGTGTGAAGTAGGTAAGAATATCGGACCTTGGACCTTGGACCTTGGCTCTTGAAGCGGGTCTCGGCCTCTCAGCGTGTGTGTGTGATCGTGAGTGCAGTGCAGTGCTGTCTCTGTCTGCACTGCCGGTGCGCCGCAATTGCAGGATAGAGTCTTTGTTCATGTGAAAAAGATTGTCGCCGGTGCACAAGGACACGAGAGAGAGCTGTCAATGGTGCGGCAATTTACTTGTCAGTATCGTGCCAGCTTGTTCAATGTTGCTTTGTTGAGAACTTGAGTCCCGTGTCGGTGTCGGTGATGTGAGGTAAGCTGTAAGCAGGGAAGCTCCGACTCTAGGCCTGACGTAGCCCGGCTATCTGGCTATGTGTACCACTGTACTGCTGAAAATAGATTCCCTGGAAGGCTTGAAGGCACCCATCCATCAAAGCAATCCATCAAGGACCCCAACACATGCCTGATTACCTATGGTTCATAATATACAGCATAGGTGCAGGTGGGCTCCCGAAAGTCAAACAGCAGCTGCCAGCGGCACCCAAGAGTCAAGTATCCAGATGATCTTATTGGCTTCTGACTGAAGGTACCTAGGCACATGGGATGACCAATGTCGAAGATACCGAGCCATGCACGGCAGCACGACCCAAACAGCCAAAGTCCTGTACATGTGCTGTTATCGTAAGCTCGTTACCTGCATAATGCATCCTATATGAATGGTTTCAAGTTATCTCTGCCTTATCCGAGGTCCATCGCGAACAAAGAGGCTGCGCGAGCTCTAAGCGTGCCAGGTCATGTGACCAGCATTTTCCGGCGGAGCGACTTCGAGCCTGTCTTCGAAACATCACGACTCTCATTTGCCAGACAGCTCAACACCCTCCAGCTCCAAACAGACCTACCGACAAACCACCCCCAGAACCTCGCCCGCCATGTCGTACCCGAGTCTCGCCCCCTTCGTGATGAAGCGGCCCTGGCTGCAAAAGATCTTCAAGCCGCTCTCCAACTGGTATGCCAACACGGCCGGCTACCGCCAGCTTGGACTCCGGTGCGTCCCCTCGATCCCCCTTTGCAAGCTCCACGGCAGCCATTACCTAGCTCCAGTGGTGCAATTGAGTTGATCAATTGTTCAACTCGATAGCGCCTGAGCAATTGGGGACAGAGTCGAGTGTCAAAACGATCTAAAACTGACCTGGGTTTGCGCCATCGCAGAGCCGACGACCTGATCATCGAGGAGAACGAAGAGACCATTCTGGCCCTGCAGCGCCTGCCGCCCCAGGCATCGTACGACCGCGTCTACCGCCTCCGCCGCGCCATCCAGTGCAGCTTGAGGCACAAGCTGCTGCCCAAGGAGGAGTGGACCAAGCCCGAGGAGGTGAGCTTCCCCCAGAGTCGCAGAGTCATCAGCACCAACAACGCACGCCTACGTCCCCTCGCCTATACAGACGGGGGTTGTATAAATCCATGCATAGCTAACAGCCACCGAACAGGACGTCCCCTACCTCACGCCCCTCATCGAGAAGATCCGGGCCCAGGAGAAGGAGAAGGCCGACCTGGACGCCATGACCATCGTGAAAAACCACTAGACCAGACCCGACAATGCAAGGCCGAGCAGCCGACCGGCCTGAATCCATGGGCGCGTCCAGAATGGCTTCACCAGGGTGAGAGGGGATGGATACCTGTGGACGATACGATGGAGACTTGTACAAAACAGAACCTGCATTAGAGCGAGACAATAGAAAGGTTGGATGCCGCGAGTCTGCAAGACTTTTCCGTGTTGTTGCTAGCAGTTGATCGGAGGCGGGAATGCTGAGAGGTTGTGGCTGTGGTATGTGTTTATAAACCCGACTTAGTCTGAACTCCCTCTTGCGCAAACCCAACTATGTTCTTAAGGTGTGATCATGATACAGTCACCACTCATAAGTCTCTGTCTGGCGTACATACCCGAAGGATTATTAAATATCGTTGATATGGATATTTTCATTGCTGGAATGAACGCCCTGGCGTAATCAGCTCCCGTCCAATAAGGCACTTTGTTTCCTGTTCCAAAGTGCTTCTTCCGCTTACAAAAGAAATACCCTTTTTGCTTGACGAGGGGCGCGAGGAGACTTTGGCAGGCTCCGTCTATATGTGTCTTGGCTTGCCACTCTCACAGCCGCCAGCCTTGTTGTGCTCCGGGGAGAGGTGGATGATATCGTAGAAATAGGGTATATCATGTCCCAGTTCGTATCGCCGACGACGACCCATACGCTGTCGGGACCATTGACTCCTGAGGGTCGCGGATGCTCAGTTCACTCACTCATCAGGCGTTCGGCCATGTCATCTGACAGCAGTGGCCAACTGTCTCTGAGCAGCTTTGATTCGGTGAACTTCGTGTCCATTCAACCGAGCACGGTAGTTACCTATTGCTCATCGCCCTTGCGGTTTCCTCCAGTGCATGCAAAGAGGTTTTCATCGCCAATCTTGTCGTGTTGACCTGCTTAATCGGACGTAGTGCTGTAGTAGGCATGAAGAGAGGGAAAACTCTGCTCTCTTCATCTTGAGAGTGATGATGATGCGCTGAAGAAATAGTGGGCGAAACAAGCATGACTTGCACAAGAAAAGAAACGAAGAGAACAGAGAGTGTCGCTTGCTCGTTGTCACCGGCGTTGGGTTGTATCGTCACTTCGCATAGCGAAGAAGAGGATCTGAGGGAATCTTCTGAAGTGCGAGCCAGCTCGATATGGATAATGCACAAACTTGCCAGTGGTTGCTCCATCTTACAATGAAGGCCAAGTTGGTCGAATACTCTGGAGACGATGGTACAGGAGGACTATATACCTACATGATTTTTGTGTTATTAGGTTATTCCTCGGGCACGTCTACATGCAATCTCGATGCCACGGATTCCTTTTCATCTTCGATCAGCTGAAGTTTATAACATCCCTTAATGCTAGGCAACGGCAAGGGATCTCAACGGATGATATACATCGAGGCTTCCAATTGAGCCCATACTCTCAATATTATGTACACACACACGCACACAGACAGCAGTTGCATAAAGTAAACACAAGGTGAGAACCCTCGCCTACACCCTGGAAGCTGGAAGTAGGTCTGCATTCTCTAACAAAAGTCAGCTATGTTTACAGGAGTTTGTACTGTATGTGCAGTAAATGATCAAAGCCATACGTCCTAGAACGCAAGACAGGAGTGGCATAACATGGTATACATTAGGTCTCTACCACAATCGATGCAGTCCCTTGCATGTCTCATGTTGTAGACTACTTCGAGTCTAATGGGACCAGAAGTACACATCTCTACCAAGAAAAATGTTGGTGAGCAGCTTTGACTCGACACTCTACCCACGGAGTCTGTGCCGCCACAATGCACGCCATGGCGCCTTGCCCAAATCCATGTTGTCCCATATGAATAGCCAAGTTCTGCCACAACAGGGCGTTTCTCAAAGGCTCATCTTATACCATGCGACCTTGCTCATTCCAAGCCTGATAGCAAGCCAACAGCTGAGCCAACCTGTCAAGACCAAGTGAATATGGGACGAAGGAAGCAGAGTTAGACGACGAGTTGGCAGATCATGGGCGGATGAGCAAAACGTCGATAGCCCAAGGAATAGAGCAGACGCTGCAGGGGTATCCGCCATGCAAGTTGAACTCGATGTTAGAGGTTGACCGGCTCATGCAGCGGGAAGTGAAGTGAAAAGCCGTCCCACCCTTCCCTAACTCCTCTCGGTCCGACATAAGCTGATGAATATGATGATGTATGCTGTTGTGCTCGCGCGTCGTAAGTTCTCGTACACATAATTACGTTCCCAGGACTGCTCGAAAATCGATGGTCCGACATACCGGCCGCAAAATCGGTACACGAAAAATTATGAACGGGCTAGACAAGAATTGTTGTAAGGCCTTGGAGAAGTAAAGTGTCGAAAAGGCGTATTTGGTGTATCGGAACCCGTCTATGCGTTGCCAGGCTTCTCTTCCGTATCGATGTGCCACACGACGTAGTTGGGCAGGCCGATGACCTCAAAGCCTGCCCTCTTCGCCATCTTTGCGAAGCCCTCGGTCTCTGCCTGGTTCTCAAACGCGTAACAGGGAAAGTTGATACCTGCGGAATCAAGGTCAGACACGGTCGATGTACATCCGTAGTTCCATAGAACGAACCTGATCGGTGCACTTCAGCCTTAACCAGAATGTTCACACCACCAATGCCGTCAAGTTCGATCTCCTCGAAAGGGTCGTCAGCGCGGTTACCCATACGAGCCATATATGTCCTTCCCGTGTCGTATTGCTTGTAGCCTAAACAGAAGTCCGGTTAGCGACCAAGGTACCAGATTGCCGAGACGAGAGCTCTTACCTTCAGCTAGAACGACGTTCTTGTCGAGTTTGCTGGTGAGTCTCAGCGCTTTGTCAGATTCGATCCAAGAGTTGTAATCGACTATTGCGCATGTTAGCCTGGAATCCGGGTGCTCAGATGAGTTCATAGCTCACATCTGCCTTCTATATCCTTCCCATCTTCGTAGCGGTGAAACCAGACATCTGAGCATGTTAGCAGTGAACACATTCGCTGTTTGAAAAGGCAAACGTACTCGGGACGAGAATATCTCGGTCGCGAGAGATGAAGTCCTCTAGAATCCGAGGAGGACTCTCGACAATATCAACGTCGCGCCAATACACCCAGGAGTGATCTGGCTTGAGGGCGGTGGAGAGCAGGTAGTTACGGGCACGACCCATGGCTTTCCGTCGGGGTCCTTGGGCTTCGAAACCGTGTCGATCCTCAACGGATTGGCTCAGATGACTGCCGAAGTCCTTCTCCACGATGGTGACGCTGTTGAAGGGCACAGTGCTATCCTTGCGCTTTTGAACGCGATCCAATTCCATAGCCAAGACGGCCATAGTGTCGTCTGAGGAGTCGCCGACGAGGAAGGCGAGGTCGATGAGGTGGTGAGGATAGGTGAGTTCGACAAGCAGATCTACGTGATGGGGAATGTAGGGCGCGGCATCTTTCAGAGGGGTGAGGATGAGGACGCGCTCCTCGTTGTCGATGGCTTGACGCGTTGATTGAACCGAGTTGAGATCGACATGCTGTATCTCAGAGTTGTTGATAGTGATGGGAGCATGGTGGTTGAAAATGACGGGGGTCTGGAGATGCGCGTGCCAGGCCTGTTGCTCATTGAGGGTCATATCCATCGGTGGTTTCGACGGGCCCCAGCAGTAAAAACTGGACAGAACGGTCAAAGTCAGCCTTGTCTAGGTACGTCGCGAAGGGTCGCGAAGGGATTGGAGGTCTACCTTTGCATCTCGCCCGCCGACGACCTGATGCCGCGCCATAGTAATAGAAGTACGCCGACAATGGCAATGGTGAGAAGAACGCGCGTTTTTGTTAGGAATACCCATATCGCTCTGGTAGGGGGTAGCTGTGCCTTTGCCGACTTCCAGGTGATGCCGCCCTTGGGAAGAAGCATGATGAGCTCTCCGGGTGGCCCTTGACACCACCCTGAGTTTGAGCAAAAGCAAGCTGTTGACGAGTCCCTGGCGCAAGAATCGTATCTAAAGTAGTGTTCCGAGCACTCGGTGTACGGTGTACAGAGGGCTCGCTGAGGAATCGGATTTCGCGGGGGAACACGGTGGTAGCGGACAGCGTGTCTAGGATAGGCCGGTCGGGACGGGAGATGCGGTTCGGGGATGTGTCGTGGTCGCGATCGGGGTCGTGATTAATGGGTGACTTGTCGGTAGGATTACGGTAGGTGGAGGCCGGCGATATTGAGTGAAAAGTGCAGGATTGCGAGTCCCATCAGCGACACGAACAGCAGGCTACTGGTATCGTAACTGTAACGGCGTTGCGCACCTGCAATACGAACGAACGGGGCGGTCCAGGCGGCTGAGATTAGTGCACAGTGGTGGGAAAGACCTGTCGACGCTGTTGACGCTGAGCAGGGTGCCCCAGATGACTGGAAAATTGGAAGGGGGAGCGGCTACCCTTCCCTTAACAGATCCAATAGGTAGAGACAGAAGCAGTACTCCAGAGCTGACACAAAGCACCCATTACATTTCTGAATTTCTGTTAGTGACTTGGTACTCGCCCTAGATGTCTGTTAGTTGGACCCACGCTTGGAGCTGGACCCAGCTCCAGATGCACGTGTTCCTTTCCACTTCCCCCAGCCACAGCGCCCTGCGCTAAATTTACATTCATCAGATCACTCCACTCCTCCGTCCTCCGCTGTCGTCTACCTAAATAATGTCAGATGTGGAGTCCTCTGATCTGTCCCTTCAGCCCAGAAAAGAGCGCTCTCCCCTCTCTCCAGGAAACCCAAATTTCGAATGAAAAGCTGGCTCCGATGCACTGCGGATGCGTTCTCGTGTTGTATTATTGTTCCAAGGTGGGAAGCCAATCCAGGAGGCGGTTCAACTGGAAGGATTGTGCGTTCTAGCCTGGCTCGGAGACTTGGCACCAAATCCCATCAAGAGTTGAAATCTCGTGTAATTCTCCCTTTACAGTGCATATCTCCGACGCCGATGCAGAGACGGGACGTTCCTTGCTTATTATACGTGAACACTCAGGTCAGAATACTTTGTGGAATTGACAAGTCTCAAGGCGGTGTATGTAGTAATAATACGTCTTTCTTTCTTCTCCAACTCAGTCCAGAGACACGGTAGGTGAGCCATAATTCAAGAAGACACACATGTTCCAGCCACAGTAAATACGCTTTTAGAGGTGTACGAGAACTTGAGGGTTCAGTGTACAGTATCTACATGTTGGTAAGGTATCGAAGAACACCTCCTGTATGAGGGAAGCTCATAGAGAGTGTGCGGTAGGACTTCCTTCACCAATCGAACGCAACGGTCCGGCTTCGGGCGTCGGATCTCAGGATGACAAAGCAAGGGCGCGACTGGAGATGGCGGCGGCGACGTGCACTGCTACAGAAGTTTATTGAGCCTCGATGTAAACTCCCGTCATTCCTCGACGGAATTCTTCATATGTTCCTCCACAATCCAACTTCACACATTCAGTCCCTACCGTCGCAATTGATAAACACGGGTAGATGGGATCACCCGTAGAATGATCTTCACCTTCACCACTAGCTGCGGATCACTCTTGCCACCACCTCAGGCTTCGGTTTCGACCGCACTGCTCTTTCAGCACCGACTCAAATTTACGACACGCGCTCGACTGCTTGCTACACAGCTTCTGAATCAAGAGCCTCGTCGTTGCATCTTCTCATCTGAGGGGATTTCGCGCCAAGGCCGAACACTCTCAAGCGGAAGTCGTCGATTTCCCGTACTGCGAGAGGTCTCACTTACACCGCACACCTCGATTTATCTCACAAAGAGTCTTACACACTCACCAAGCTTTCGCCCTCATCACACGACCATCACGCCATCACAAAGTCATCAAGCAGCAAAAATGTCAACACGCAAATCCGCGCGTTTGAGCGCAGCTTCAGATCTCAAATCGTCATCATCACCAGCAGCCCAAGCCATGGCACCTCCGCCACCACCACCACCGGCACCCAGGGGCCGCAAGAGAAAAGCAGATGCCAAAGCCACCGCGGAAGATGGAGAAGACGCAGATGGTATCATCACGGAGACAACAACGGCAGCGCCCACGACGCCCAACAAGCGTCGCGCGCCAAAGTCGCAGGGCCTTCCGCCAGCAACACCAACGCCCAGCAACGCAAGTCTCTTCGGCGAGCGGGGATCCACAACGCCCATCACCAAACTCAAACCCAAACCCGCGGCCGTGAGCCGGCTGGCGGACCCGAACGCGACCAACGCCACGCTGCTATCGCCCGAATCGTCTCAGGTCGTGACAAGCAGCCGAGCCGCAACCGCCACTTCGCCATCCAAGCAGCCGCAGCAGCAGCAAAAGCCATCAGCCACGACGGCCACCATCCTCGAGGAGGCCAACAGGCACCTGATCAGCGTCGACGACCGCATGCGGCCGCTAGTCGAGCGGAACCACTGCCGGGTATTCTCGCCCGAAGGGCTAGCCGAGAAGGTTGACCCGTTCGAGTCGCTGTGCTCGGGCATCATTTCGCAGCAGGTGTCCGGCGCGGCGGCCAAGGCGATCAAGAAGCGGTTCGTGGCACTGTTCAACCCTCCCGCCCCGGATCCCGACCCCGATTCCAACGCAGCTGCCGACGACGCAGACTCTTCTGCCCAGACGAGCCACAAATTCCCCCACCCCTCGCAGGTCGCGGCCTGCACCATAGAGCACCTGCGCACAGCAGGCCTCTCACAGCGCAAAGCCGAGTACGTGCAAGGCCTAGCCCAGAAATTCGTCTCCGGCGAGCTAACCACCCAACTGCTCGCTGATGCGCCGTACGACGAGGTCGTGGAGCGCCTAACGGCGGTGCGCGGGCTGGGCCGCTGGTCCGTCGAGATGTTCGCGTGCTTCGGCCTCAAGCGGATGGACGTCTTCTCGCTGGGCGATTTAGGTGTGCAGCGCGGCATGGCGGCGTTCGAGGGCCGCGACGTCGCGAAACTGAAGAGCAAGGGCGGCGGCAAGTTCAAGTACATGAGCGAGAGGGAGATGCAGGAGATCGCGGACCGGTTCAAGCCCTATCGCAGCTTGTTCATGTGGTATATGTGGAGGGTGGAGGAGACGGATGTTAGTACGATGGAGTAGATTTGGAGACTTTACTGGTTCTTTCACGAGGAGCTGGTCAGCATGCTGAGGAACGATGAGGGGGAAGTATCGGTGCTTCTTCTCTCGACCGTGCTCAGCGGGAAGAAGGGGCAAAGCAGGTTTGAGACTCTTCGCGAGACTTGCGAGAACCTGAATCTCGTTTGGTCTGCCAAATCGTTCCAGCAACGTTGGAATCGGAGATCTGTAGGACTTCAAGCAGTTACGGGCGTTCGACCATCACAACTCGGTCAAGCGGATGGATGATAGGACTGGGGAGTATGAGGCATAATACCACGAACGTCACAGGAGGCAGGGCAGATACGGGGATGTCACGGAGCTCAGTCCTGTCGATGGGTATTGCAGACCGCAATACCAAACAAGAAGAATACTGTTTAGGGCCTAGGGACTCATGTCTTTGTCTTGATACCTAACAAAGTACGTCCGAGGCCGTAGGCTAGATGCTACCTCATCAAGTGTTTCACGGGTTCTTCATGGCATGACCATGACGATGTCCTCGCGCGATTATGTAGATCTTTTCGAGCTTGAAAACGCCAGCTTCGACAGGTGGTTCAACATCGAAGACGCACTGCCTCACGATCAACGACACTCCTAATTCGAAAGACGCGAAGAGAGTCAGTCCTGGAGGTGGAATAATGAGGAGGCTCAACATGCTGTTAGGACTCAGGCTGTGCAACTGGGACAGCCGACACCGACCAGGGGAGTTTTAAGACACAAGCACATGATGTGACCGAGACCGGCAGTGTCATCCACCACAGCCGCGGGCAGGGTCTCATAATAGTAGCACAGACCACAGTGTTCAACGTCTGACTCGATTCCCGTGACGCGTGTGTCGCTGGCACATTCGCACAATCGGAAGATCTTTCGCGAGACGGTCCTCTCGATTTGGTTGGCTTCTTGGAAGAAGTTTGTCCACTGGAGACCAACGGCCGGCCAGGCCCACCGACACGCATGTTGGACGCGTATGACTGCAGATATGCAACGTCGCGGTACAGACAGCCACGCACGTGCTAGCCGACGCAGCAGCGCATCAAAGACAGAGACATGGAACGATACCTACAGCAGGTCCCATGGTGACGAAACAAGAGGTATTTATTATGATCTCGGGGCGTGTGGTTGTGCAATCGCAACAGCCAGAATCGCGGCAGTGGCTTTTGTGGCTGTTTACAGTTAGGTAGTCGGCATCAAGCTCTGTTGACACCGCTCCCGGAAGCATGAAACAAGGTTGAAAGTTTTGGAACTGGTCACCCGCAAATTTACTGTTTGGTGACATGTCGCAAAAAGGAATACTGCAATGCACATCCCGCCTCATGGTCACGTAGTCGTACCGTAGTGTAGATTGTAAGCGGATTGATCAGACGATATGCAGAATCCGGTGCTGTTTGAAGATGCCAGAAGGGAAACAGCTGTTTGAAGCTTCGCCGTACATCTCGGATTTCGGCATCTGGATGACGCTGAGCCATAGAATCGATGAATGACTGTTTCCCAATGCGAGTGAAGCATACGTCGACGATGCGGGTTTCTTCGTGTTCGTGCGACACCTATCCAGTTATGCTGTTGTGCAGGCAAAAAGGATGCGTCAGCGTTTCCGCCCCTAGACGTCAGCCACGCGGGTCTCGGCACTCTACATGTGTGCAAAGCAACGAATCTAGAAGGCGACTCCATACATGTATGCTACTGACTCAGGTCCTCAGGTCTTGCTGCTCGGCCCAGATTCACGAGTGCGCAGTATGACCGAAAACAACACTCTCGTCAAGCAAGGTCAGGCGACATTTGCCACTGCCGAAAACCACCACAGCTCGTTTTCCGCTGCGGCTGCTACAGGTTGTCAAGTCGGACATATTGGCGCCGCGTCGTTGCGTCGTTGGCGTCGTTGGATCTCTGCCAAGAGAACCCACCCCATACAGGCGGACAGATATCCAAGATGAGGGGGACCACATATGCAGAGACCAGTCGATCTCGGGCGATAAGAAAGGGGCGCCAGGTACTAGCAGCAACCGAATGAGAGTGATAATAATAAATAGAGGGAATAATAGGATTGTATGATGTAGTATCACCATGCCGCGAGTAGAAAAACCATGCCATGAATGGGACGGACCGGGCGCTTGCCACCAATGGAACCGCAGTGGTGTATCTCTATCGACAGAGATCTTGAACTTCTCCATCGCCGCACAGCCCGCCATCCACCACTCGGCGATGGCAGATGGCGAATCACGAATGTCCATGGCCTACATAATAGTAGATGCTGGTGTGCTCTAGCAATGATTGATGCAAGGATTGAAAGGTGAACTAATAAGCCCACTCGAGCCTGTCGTCGTGGTCGACGCACTGTATTCAAAGCGCCCGAGCCCAATACCGGTAGCGACTCTGATACCGGTATGGCTTTGGTCAATGGTGATGCAGCCTGTCACGGCGGCGCCGTGCTAGGATGGCACAGGGTGGAATACTGGTGTCAGGCAAAGGTAGGGAGCAAATCCACGCTGTCGTCATGTTTATTTCGCGTCTGCAGAAGGTTTCGCTTGGACGGGATCCTACCGTTGTGGCTTGAGATGATACGTGTCTGCTTCCAGCGTTCACGACGGTTTGTCGACCCTGATAGACGATATGAAGCCATCCTCAGGCTCAAGAGTGATCCTGTGCCTTGACTCCTGCTGTACCGAGTTGGAGTTGGTACGAATCAGTGATCACCACAGATCAACACAGATCACAATGGCTAGAGCACCGAGAGCTAGCTACCCGTTCGGGTTAGTATGGCATATCGCCAATGTCGTGGCACTGGCCATTGGCCACCGATGCAGCGGAGATTGTTGCCGGGGTGGTTATATAGCAAGATATGCAGCTTCAAAATTAGCAGCAGATCAACAGGCTTGATATGACAGTCAGAAGAAGCCAGTTGCCCGGCACGAACAGGTAGGCCCAGTGGCCAAGCACGATAAGTTGGTGTTCTTGAATCCCGCTGCTGAAAGAGTGCATCGTGCATACCTGAACTTTGAGGCCGAGCAGAGCGAAGCAGCAGCAAGAAACCTGCTTCGTCAAAGAGTGTCTCAAGCCATGAAAAGAGCAGGTTGTTAACGCCGTCTGATCACGATCAAACGTTCGGGAAAGTATCGGCAGGGGCTTGCGTCGTGGGATGCATTGATGCAGCAATGCTCAGAACCTTGCAGGGATTCCCTGCTTCCCGAATTGGCACAGGAAGAGGCCAATCTCGCCACTGACTGTGACGCTGCCCACACATAGATATTAGAGACCGACTGCCAGTGACTGGACTCACTGGAGTGGCCGTCGGGGAGACCATGGGGAGATATGATAACGATTGGTGAATGCTGTGGATGAGTTCTGGACGATTCCTGCTGTGCCATGGACCCAAGCACGCAGCTATGGAACGAAGACAGCGTTGTATTCGGATTGTTCGTCAGTCAATGCAATATTTGGTTTTGCAGCATGATGATGCACGCAGTAGATGAGATGGGTCCGCTGGAGATGGAGATGGACCAAGGCAGCTGGGCCCGTTGGCACGAATATGCTCAATCTGGCTCGTCTGGTGTATTATCATAATTATGGCTCGAGTCCTCATCTCCCGCGTCGTGCACGCTTCCAGGCCTTCCCGGTCTCTGCGCGGCGGTGCCTCCCACCGGTGCAGTGGTGCGAGTGCCCAGCGGGGCATCAATACCATCCTGGGACAATCCTCTGCACGCCCACAGCACCTCCCACTGCCCGTCTGCGGTCTGCCAGGCCTGGCAAGCCCACTAGAGCCAGCAGCTAGGCCCCTAGTCTTGCCCCTTATAGCTGATCCTGGTCGTTCATTCGTGCGTCGCTGTGGAGTTCACGGGCCTGCTGCGCACTCCCCTTTTCTGTTTCACGCCCTCCACATCCCACACGCCCCCCATTCTCCAGTCAGAACACGCCCAGACGCCGTCCCTTTTTTCCAAGACGGTCGGATTCCAAAACGTCTCGGCTTTTCATATCCTAACTCTCCCTCCTTCCTTCTCCCTTCTTTCCCATCTTCCTCCTTCTTCCCACTCGGATTCATTCGTTTGTCCATATTCCAGTCAATACAGAGGAAGAGCACTCGCTCAATAGCTTCCTCGCTTTAATACACCTCCCGCGTCAATCGACAAGTCCTGTCCAATCCGAACTTCTCCCTCCCCACCCGCGACGCCCACGACAGCTTCTCCATCACAACAGAGACGCCGACTTCTTCTCTTCACCCGACCGAACCGATTCGAGTTATTGAGGAGGTTGACTTCTTGGTTGCCGAAAGTCAGCACAGGATTTTAGGAAATTGACTCCCGACCAGATTTTGTAAACCAGGTACGTTCTAAATATTGCTGCAAGGCGTGGAGTGTCGGGCAGTAGTTTGCCAGCCGATCGAACCTGGGCAGTTGGAGTCGGGAATTCATGGAACAGAACAAGAGACAGTGGGCCACAATTGATCTCCAGTCGCCCGCCAGGTGGCTTCTTGACTAGCAGTTGCCGAGTCACCGTGCCTGGCAACCACGACAAGAGCCCCTCTCCCTCCACCTTCCACATCGCCTCACCTCTTCCTGCCATTCATAAATTGTTTTCGTCAGGCCAGGCCGAGCTTTGGTCTTTCTGCGTGCTGGTAAATTACTGCAAACGTGTCATACCCCCAAACACATCCTGCTGCGACGGTCGCAGTCATCCCTTCACCCATCAACATCACTTTTTGGGGCTTGCCAGCACCAGTCAATCCCAATCATACGCCTTATTCCCAGACTTCCCACCATTGCCTTACTGTGTTTGTCAGTAGGGAATTTGTCGTATACATTTTCCGATCTTCTGGCCCGAAACCGAGCCAGGACAAGCAAGCTGACTCGCCTCCCAAAGTAACCACAATGTTCAGCAAGGAGCTCCTCTCCGCCGTCGCGGCTATCAGCTTCGTGTCCGGTAAGTTGCAACGCGCTCAGCCGTCCCCAACCATTAATTGTCTAACCCGATGCCCAGGTGCCGCCGCTGTCAGCTGTTCCGACCCGACTGCCACCGTTGCCTCCGCCGCCGATGCCACCCAAGTTGCCAACTGCCAAACGATCAAGGGCAGCGTTCTTATCAGCACTACTGCCGGGCCTGACATCAACATTGGTGGCGAACTGACCGAGATTGGTGGTGACCTGGTCTGTGAGAACAATGGCGCTATTCACAGCCTCCAGAGTTCGTCTCTGGAGACCATTGGTGGCATCTTCCAGTTAAAGAACGTGACGCAGCTCAACTCCCTCAGCTTCCCGGCTCTGGGCGAAGTTGGTTCCATCGACTGGGCCACCCTGAACTCTCTGCCTGAGCCCACCTTCGGCACCCCCGGTATCACCAAGGCTAAGAGTGTTACCATCGCCGATACCTTCATTGAGACAATTGACGGCATCAACGTGGAGTCGTTGACGGATATGAACATCAACAACAACCGACGTTTGACCAAGTTCTCGTCCAGCATCAAGAGCTTGAGCAATGCTCTGTACATCCAAGCCAATGGTCTGAACCTGACCATGGAGATGCCCAACCTCGAGTGGATTGCCAACATGACCATTGCCAACGTTACCTCTTTGACTGTCCCGTCTCTGAAGACTGTCAACGGTTCCATGCGATTCGACTCCAACTACTTCGAGAACTTCCTTGCTGCCAACCTTACCCAGATTCAGGAGGGCGACTTGTCGTTCGTTAGCAACCCCCAGCTCCAGAACATCTCATTCCCTGTCCTCGAGAAGGTCGGAGGTGGATTGACTATCGCCAACAACACTGCTCTCGGCAAGATTAACGGTTTCGGTGCTCTGCAGGATGTTGGTGGCGCCGTCATCTTCCGAGGTTCCATGGACGACATCGAGCTTCCCAAGCTGGAGAACGTCGTTGGTACCCTCGTGGCTATCAGCACTGAGGACTTGACGGACTCTTGCAACACTCTGAACAAGTTGAGCGGAGGCGTTATCCAGGGTACCGTCACCACCTGCCACGGCAACGATATGGATGCCAACAACGACACCTCTTCCGACACCAGCGGTGACGGTTCCAGCAGCTCTGGCGACAAGAAGGGTGCCGCGTCTTTCGCCGGTGTCAGCATGCCCACCATTGTCTCGTTGGCTGCCTTCGGCACCTTCTTCACTGCATTCTTGTAAACGGAAGCTATGTTGATTGGCACGGCGGAGGCGTTTCACATATTTCCCTTTGCAGTGTCACCGAAACTGTTGTCATTTTCATGAGCCGCTTTTGCGAATGGGGCTAGGTACAAGGAACGGCTAGACTTAATACTGACGCACGTGTTATTGGAATTGATCGTGCCGTTTATTGATCGCAATTCGTGATGCCTCCTCGCCTAATCTGTATCTACTGGCCGTAAATGCTCCACGGCCCTTCCAGACTCGCCGTCATCTAGTGGCGGCTTGTAGGTCGAGGAGTACGGAAGTAATGGTCACCTATATGGCGATATATGTGATTACTTGGGCTCATGTCTGGTATTTACAAAGTGTGAAAATGTTGTGGTATCGTTTTTTTTGGCGACTTTCGGGCAAGCAATAGGGCCCCAATGTATTTTATGGCTGTTAAAAACAAGTGCCAGACCAGCTGTGATCCTGATCTATTTCATCTTGCTCTCCTCTATATCCAGCCTTCTATTTATCAGTCTACTAGGTCACTCGTAGTATCCAAGCATGCTGAAGACGTATTGAAACGTGTCTTGTAGAGTTGGCCTTGTCTTGGGTCGGAATATTGGTTTATAGCTATGGTCTTTTTCCGTGTGTGTTTTCTTAACGCAGGCGTTACGAGCGGACTGGTAGACGGGCGTGTGGCAGATAGGTGTGTCCGCCGTAGGTACACTCGGCCCTCATAAGTCTTCCAAGTTGATAGGATGGATTCTAGACCTATCACACCCGCCCGTTAAGGACTGAACATACTGGAATAAGCATACAGGAATAAGCAGCTCTAATATTATATACTAGGTACTTTTAGCGCTTATGTCAGTGGTTTGATCATTTTCAATTACGATAGATATACCGTTGTTTGCTGGACTGGTTGGTGGTGTACCGAGGCTTATGAGGGAGGGTTCAGTGTATAGGGCGGCGCTCTCCCTCTTCTTTGTTTAACCTGAACAAGCGGTTGAAATAATGAGTATCTGGTTGGCACGAGCAAATATTCCGGGGGCAGTTGACTGTAATAAGCACCAAACCGCTGCTTCCAGGATCCTACTACAGATTGGTATTCCAACCGCTTGCTTGAGATCTCCTATGGGTAGATGGATAGGTAGGTAACGGTTGGGGCACCCCTTCCAGCATATCTATGGCACCAAGCGTCTCTCTGTCTCTCTTGACCGACGGTTCGATATTGTATGCGGGCTTCAGCTTGTGTTGTTTCCGCGAGCAGACCATAATATTCACGACTATGGCACTCGTGTGTAGCTTAACTAAGATACCCATCAGTCCCTCTCACTCGTAGAGCCTCCGCTCGAACTTGTCGACGTCGTAGAACTGCGGCATGATGGTGTTGCCGGCGAACACGCGGCCGTCGAGGGCGTTGACTGCCTGTTGTGCGTTTGTGGTTAGCATCGTGATTCCTAATGACTCAAATATGTGTAGATATTCTTTGGGCAAGCCCTTCAGATTTGGGAATCTTACCCGCAGAGCAGACACCTGGTCGGTGAACTTGATGTACACCCGCCGGCCCTCGACGTCGATGTAGAGCCGCTCGACGCGGCCGTACTTGTCACCGCACTCCTCGCCAATCTCCTGACCCAGCCCGCTCTCCATCTCGCCCTGGAGATCCTCCATGCCGTCGAGCATGTTCCGAAGCACCACGACACTGCTCATAGGGCCGAACTTGCTGCCGCTGCCCGTACTGCCGCTGTTGGTACCGCTCTTCTCGGCGGCGGTCTTGGACCCGATGACGCGGCCGCGAGCTCCGCCTGGTGTCGCCCATCCGCCGCCCTCGGCGTCGGGCTTCTTCTTGCGCTTCTCAACCTCCACGCGTAGCGGTTGGACAATGCCACTCTGGTCTGCGCCAAGCCCCTGGCCCTTGGACCAGCCGTACTTGGACATGAGACGGGCGGCGAAGCCCTTTTGGCCTGGGCGATTGTTGCGGGGTTGGTTTTCGGAGGAAGGCTCTTCTGGCACATACTCTTCCCCATCTTCATCCATGGCGTTACCATCGGCAGGGGCTTGCTGCTCGGATGGCGGCTCCGGCCGTGTGTACCGTACTGGTTCCCGAGAGATGGTCGCGGCGGCTGGTTCTGGCGGCGGCGGTGGTGGTGGTGGTGGAGGAGTCGGAGAGCGAGGGGGTGGAGGAGTCGGAGAGCGAGGGGGTGGAGGCGTTTGGCCTTGGGATGCGGCTAGACGCCGTGCGTATGCATCGTCACCTGTATTGTCGTCTGGTATGGAGGCGCGTGGAGGTGAAGGCGGCGGCGGCGCAAACGAATATGCCGATGGCGGTGCGAATTGGCCTGTGAAGCAGTCATGCGTCAGCAAGCTATCATAGACACGTATATACGGTATGCATTTCAGAGACGCCAACTTACTTTGCACGGCGCGGTCTTCGTCGTCTTCGCTGTCCCAGCTTCCCCGGCTCTCGTCGTCCCGGCGTCGATGTCTGTAGAGCAAAGCCTTCCACTCCTGTACTTCACGTATCCGCTCGTCGCTGCGCAGATATTCGTCTACGTTCGTAGGCCGCGAGGGGTCATATATCTCGTCCCAGTCGGTCTCGACAGGCGCAAAGTCGCCCTTCTTCTTCTTCCTCTTGCGCCCACCACGCGCCCTTTTCTCGCCCGTGCTGTACATATACTCGTCGTCTTGCGTTGCCGCCCAGTCGGCCAGTCTGCTTTTCGCTGGTACAGGCGGAGCTGTTGCTGGGGCCGAGGTATTCGTGGCATTATCGTTACTCGTAGCCGGTGGCGGCGGCTGTGGTGCTTTAGGGAAGCCAGCCTTGGGCTTCTGTGTCTTCTGTTGTGGGCGACGGATCTGCTGGTAGGGCTGGAACCGCAGGGCCGAGTCGGCGGGCTTCCTAGCAGCTTCCTGCTCTTTGACGGCGTCTATGGCTTGTTGCGACAGGACAGGCGCGCGTGATATCGACCCTGCGGCACCGCCTTCGGGCTCGAGCAGGTTGGCGTAGAGAGACAGGCCTCCACCACCTCGGGGCGGCGGCGGTGGTTCGGAGGCCATTGGAGCTCGTCTACTATGTGTGGTGGTAGAATACTGGCACTTGCAGAAGCTATGTCCTACTAGAGTATCGTGAGGGATAGCACCAGTTCTAACGGACGCTTGGCTGAAGATCAAAGGCTACCAGAAGAGGGTGAGGCTGAGTGAGCGTTTCAGTGAGAGCGCATGATGCGATGCGATCGATGCGATGCGACTGGATGTGATGCATGTATCGGAGCCTTCTGCGGCAGTTGGAAGTCTTGGAATTTACAGGGGTTCAATGCCGCTAAATTCAGCTGGATGCTGGAGCGACGATTGGCCAATGGCTTCTGTAGGATGTGGCTGCTTGCTGGAGCTCTCCAGCCTCTCCCGATAGCGGCATGGCGGGACTGCGCCGGATTACCGTTGTTCGTCAGGTCAGAAACAGAAACCTCAAACGGCACGAGCTTCCGGAGACGTTGATCATGCCATCCTGCTTGTCGCATGTCCCATAGACCTTCTTGCAGCAAGTGCATTTTCTTTCCTCCTGTCGCTATAGATTCTCTATGTTTGTCTGTATAGATTTCTCTCTATAGATTCCTGTCCTCGGCTTTCCTAAGGGTCATTACATTCATCTGGTCCAAGATTTGTGCTGCTATATGCCTCCCTGAGTCCGACATGGCTACCCTCCAGAACTCGATCAACGGCGCGAGCTCCTCTGCCGCCGTGATAATTCCCTCGAAAACGACACCGTTAACAATCACCTACAAAGACCTCCTTGCCGAATGCGCCTCGTTCCAGCGCAAGCTCGCTGCCATCGGCATCGACCACGGTTCGCCAGTCTCGATAGCTACGGTCAACTCGTACGAATTCATCGTCTCTTTCCTGGCCGCCTCCTGGCAGCGTGGGATTGCGGCCCCTCTGAACCCGGCGTACAAGCAGGACGAGTTCGAGTTCTACATTGAAGACATCAAGTCGGCCGTCGTTCTGGTGCCCAAGGGGGCTTACAAGGCCAACGCGCCGTCTGTGAAGGCTGCTAAGAAGTTCAATGCTGCCATTGCTGAGTGCTATTGGGACGATGCGCAGCGAGAGGTCGCCCTGGATGTGAAAGAGCTCGGTCAGTTGAAGGGAAAAAATAAGGCAGATATTCTCCAGGCTCAGCCTGACGATGTTGCGTTGGTCTTGCATACAAGGTATGTGCTTCAAAGGTCTAGGGACAAAGTATATAGGAAGGAGACTGACCCAATTGCTTCCAGCGGCACGACCTCGCGGCCTAAAGTCGTAAGTTGGGGACCTCCGAAAGGCTGCGGGATGTTATCTGACAAGAGAACTAGGTTCCCTTGACACATCGCAACTTGACAAGGACAATGAGTGAGTAAATCGAGGCGAGGTCGTCTGGCTGGACCCCTCTGAATAGCCTCGGACTCCCAATAGAACAATATACTAACATGGTGATAGAAAATATCAAAGATACTTACAAGTTGACCGCGCAAGACCGAACGATGCTGGTCATGCCACTCTTCCACGTCCATGGCCTTCTCTGTGCTCTCCTAGCACCCCTTCACTGTGGTGCTTCCATGATTGTGCCTACAAAGTTTTCTGCGTCAGAGTTTTGGAAAGACTTCATCGAATACAAGGCAAACTGGTACACGGCTGTACCAACGATCCATCAGATCCTCCTTAAGAGCCCTGCGCCGAGCCCTATGCCCAACATCCGCTTCATTCGTTCCTGTTCCTCGCCGCTCTCCCCTACTGTCTTCCACCAGCTGGAGGAGAAATTCAAGGCGCCGGTACTTGAAGCATACGCGATGACAGAGGCCGCTCATCAGATGACCTCAAACCCCTTGCCGCCGGCAAAGCGCAAGCCAGGGACCGTAGGCCTCGGGCAGGGCGTCGAAGTCAAGATCCTCAACGACGCCGGCGACGAGCTGCCGCAGGGAGGCGAGGGCGAGATCTGCATCAAGGGCGAGAACGTCACGAAGGGCTACATGAACAACCCTTCCGCCAACGCTACTGCCTTTGCGAAAGGCGGCTTCTTCCGCACCGGCGACCAGGGCAAGAAGGACGAGGACGGCTACATCGTCATCACGGGCCGTATCAAGGAGCTCATCATGAAGGGCGGCGAGAAGATCAGCCCTATCGAGCTGGACAACGTGCTGACGAGACACCCCGCCGTGTCGGAAGCTGTTAGCTTTGCCATTCCAGACGAGCTCTACGGCCAAGAAATCGGTGTTGCGATTGTGCTGAAGAGCGGCGCGAAGCTTGGCCAGGACGAGTTGAGGGGCTGGTGCAGCGAAAGGGTGGCCAAGTGGAAGGTGCCCAAGAAGGTGAGTCCGACTGTACCAAGAACACCGGTCTCAAATACAGTACGCTGATGGTATACACAGATTTACTTCACAGAAACCATGCCCAAGACCGCGACGGGCAAGATCCAGCGACGCATCGTGGCAGAGACCATGCAGAAACAAGAGTCTCCAAAGGCCAAGCTATAGACGGGACGGGGTTTAGACGCAGGCGCAGGCGATGGGGGGTCATTTTTGCATCATTCCTCATAGATTCACATACATAGAGTACTTGCGTACAGTACATACGTATGTTGGGCTAGGTAGACAACGGATAAACCGCATAGACGTCTCGAAGAAAAGGTACATAGCTACGTACATAGAATAGAACAGGTTGCATCGAACATACTCACATAGAGGAAGAGCCAAGAAATGTGACGTGGCATCAAATCAATATGAAATCAAGAAATACCAAGACTACCAAGAGGTTCTCAACCCGTTGTTCTTCTCCATTCTGGAAGAGGGTAGACGAGGTAGTTGTTTTTCATTTCAATATCTGGGTATCACATATGCGCCATCGCGCTCAAAATTATGACAGAACTCGCTCGCTCCTTGCTAATCACCAAATCGCATCCGTTACCCGGAAGCATCGCGTGTGTGGCTCTTTGCAACCAGTCGTGGATAAGATAATCGCATGTTTCCTCGACTCGAACATATGCAGAATTCGAACATATTCAAATCCCGAACGCCGGAGCGGGCTTGTCTATGCTGAGCGTGGGAAGAGGAGGCTCAAGGAAGGCGCGTCACACCTCTCACTCCTTCGTTTTCTCTTTCTGATACCAAGACCAACCCAAGAAATCCCCAAGATTAGAGGTTGAGTACACAGCTTGGCGCAAATCATAATTTCTGAGGACACAAGAATTCCCAAGGCCCTTGGCGCATTCCTTGGGTCGCGACGTCGCGTCATGCTCAATCTGCTCTGCTTTGATGAGTGGGTTGGTGTGAGCTGGTCGGATAGTTTTCCGGCATGTCGTTTGTTTCTTTGCTGTGTTTTCTCAAGTACACCTGGGCAGTAAATATTGGGAGGCTGTTATATTTGCAATTCCGATGAGCAGTTTCAACCAACTGCAGGGAGCCCTCGCACCGCGTGTTGCTGCTGTGGCTGGGCCTGTTGCAGGTTTGGTTGCTGGTGTTGTTGCTGTAGCTGGTTTTCCCGAGACTGCTCCTGAGATTGGGACTCAAGAGTTCGACCCATCCCCCTCGATGATCTCATCATCGTCCTCCTCATTCTCATACAGCTTCCCAGGTGTGACGAGTCGGCGCGGCGCATCGGCCTCGTAGCGCGCCGAGCTCTGCGCCACAGCCTCTTCCAGAGACGAGTAGACGGTGATGGGCGCGCCGTTGTGGTCGAGCGGCTGCTGGAACTGTGCCGCTGCTTGCTGCTGGGCGGCGGCGGCGGCGGCGTCCTCAGACGCGATGCTGGAGATGGAGGAGCGCCGCGATCTGGTGCTGTTGTCGGCGAGGGCTGAGAAGACAGAGGAAGCGCTTGAGGAGACTGAGGAGGGGGCGGGGTGGTGTTGTTGCTGTTCAGCGGCCCAGCGACGGGACTCGGCTTTGATGTGTTGCGACAGCATGGTGGATGAGGAGGTCATGGGATGACGTAGATGTGTAGATGTTTGAATGGGTGATGGTAGTGTTATTGTTTGACAGTAGTGTGCCCAGGTCTGAATTGCCTTTCGATATACTTGGCAGGTAGGGTCTTCAGTGTTCACTGACAGAAGTTCAGGACTCTAGGAGTAGAACGGACGAAAGGTTAATGTGTCGAGTTGGGTTGGTTGTGTAGGAAGACTGGCGATAGACTAATAAGAAGGTTGGCATGCAGAGGTCTCTCACCAGACACACGGTATATATATATATATATATATGTGAGATGTTAAGCCTACCGGAGAGGAGAAAGCCTTCAGCTCCAGATCTGGTAAGTCTACCCTGGCTGCTTGGGAACTGACTCGACTGTACCAAGTCTGGGCGGCTGCCGAGGCTTGTGTCATGATGGACTCACCACTACCACCACCACCGCATCCTACCCATGAAGAAGCCCTCGTCAATCCATGGCTGACCGCCGAGGATCGGCCAAGAAAGAGGACGCGATACCTCGTTACCTGACAGTGCTGTGACATCAAAGATGAGGGTCTCCTTAACAACCTCTCCCCACTTCTATCCAGGGTCCAGGTGGGCGGGCGCCATGGAACCTGTCAGGAATCCAGAATAGCGATGACCTCAGAGAGGTTGTTTCGCACAGCCGACGGTAGCCTTGGCATGGGTTGCTGAAATGTGTCAATGAGGATCCCTGGCTTGGCTCTGCTTGGCTTGCAAGTTGCAAGGGCGGTCAGGCAGACATCGTAATAGCATGATTTGCATGATAATAATGATAATAAGCAGAGAACCCGTGACAGCGAACACGCAGGGGGTGGTGGACAGGGGCATCCAAGTACCAAGCTTGAGGTCAGCTGGCGACGGGATGGGTCGTCGCGGCTTCAAAAACTTCAGAAGCCGAAAGAGCGAGCCGCGGCGAGCATTGGATACCTTACGATGGATGCCATGCGATGCAGGTGCCAGGCACAGTTCGACTCATCTAGCATCTGCGGCAGCGATAACGGATGGGACCTCCAGCTCGAGCTTGGCTCTGGCTCCGGCATTGCAGCAGATACGGAGTTGAGCATGGGCAGCCGGGACACTTATCTCTTCGGGGCCACGACTTTGAATAGTTTGGCAGCTCCTGTGTCTCTGTTTAATTGTCGCTAATAACTTTAGAAAGGTGCTTGAATACTGTTCTTGTTATGTATCTAAGGTTACTTTATGCAGCAAGGATGCGGGGGCGGGGACAATAAACAGAAGGCCGCGGGGTTGTTGAGCAGAAGGGTATCAAGGGCGCACTCACACCACAGCATGCTCACTGCGTGATCGCGGCGTAGATATTAAGTTAGTAAGTGCAACCTACCTTACATATCACCACCAAATCACATACATATATAGACTCCCCCATAATTCAAATGGCATCCCGCCTAAGAAGACCCATCGTCCCCCGTCTCTTCAACCACCAGCCCATTTCCGCCAGAACAAAGCACAACCTCTACTACCCACCCAAAGCCAAAGCCAAAGCCATCTACCCTCGGTGTGCAGCAGCAATGTCATCTATCAGCACCCCGCCGGCCGGAAAATGTGAGTGGCTCGTCGTTGTGCCCGACAAGCCCGGCATGCAGCAGAAGAGACTCGATGTTCGCCCGTGAGTGATGAATCTCACTACTGAGAGTCTCAGAGAATGAATTCCGTATATAGTTTACCCAGCTCCCAATCCCAATCCCAAAATCTTGACTTCAAGCATATTGGATAGATCTCATACATAAACCCGAAACTAACCATGACTGTATATCACCAGGAAGCACTTCGAAGGCCTGCAGCCATACCTGGAGTCCGGCCAGTTCAAAACGGGAGGTAAGGCTCTCCATCCATCCATCCATTCCTCCCTCCCCCCTTCCCCATGACCCATGACCCCCTGAGTCCCGACCCCAGGTCGGGTATTGGGAAAACGACAAGCAAGTTACTAACGGGTGCACTTCATCATCAAAGGCGCTGTCCTGAACGAGAAGCCCGAGGGCGACGACCCGACCAAGTGGGACTTCCACGGCAGCACGCTGGTCCTGATCGCCGAGTCCAAGGACGAGGTCAAGGCGATCCTGGAGAAGGACATCTACGCGACCAGCGGGGTCTGGGATGTCGAGAACGTGAGTCTACCGGGTTGAAGCTACGTTTGACATGGCGCTGACCAGTCCACTGCAGGCACAAATCTGGGCTGTGAGTCGAATTCATACCAACCAATGCCATCCTCAGAGATGAGGTACTGACCCATTTACTTATCCGTGCAGGCCAAGTTTGCTTTCCGGAAGCCTTGAGCTCGATTAGAGGCTATCTACGATTGTTGCTATACACCAAGGTATCAACGAAGTCCAGAACCACCGGGTCTATCATACAAGACCAACCCTAACCCTAACCTCTTGTCAACTGAAAGCCCATGTAGCAAAATCCATGATGCTCCGAATGCAGGTAGACGCGAAACAATGCAATAGCCAAATAAAGTGAAGGCGATGGCCATCGAATCCGCATACGCATCGTACATTAGTAAAGCGCATGAGCAAACCAAACGGTTGAATAATAATGCTGTTCCGCCAAACGGGGTGTGTCGGTTCACACATCCGGCGTGCGTGATCCAGGCGTCGAATCATTCGACTCCTCTGAGGCCTCAGCCGCAACCCTTAGCTCGTAGTTCAGGTCGAAGCAATCAGCCAACAGTGTGGTAACGCTTCCTTGGCCTTCAGGAATGTCCTCTCCAACCATGAACTTCCCGTCGACTCTCATGTTGTCAATTGAGTTGAGCTTGTATGATCGTCAGCACTTAAGACCTGTCGAGGGCGAGTCTTGCAGTACTCACCTTCATGCTATAGGGGTACAGCTCCCGAACGGATGATACTCCACATTTCTTCACCTCAACGAGGCATCGCTTCAGTGTTTGGAGTTGGTTGTAGATCGGTAGCAGCGCCTCGGAAACCGGCTCTGACGACAGCATCAGGTGGTAGATGTAGCCGTAACACCGTCGAATAAGGTACAGGAGTGTCTGGGGGCTCTATCAGCAAGTCATACTGGTAGCTATATCATGGGAGCGTGCATACCCGTTGAACGTAAAGCTCTGCTGGTTGCCCCTCGTCGTCGACCCAGTTGCCGTCAACTCGGCTCTCGTCAATCTTGTCAAGCTGCCGTTGGAAATCGTAGAGATCAGTTTCTCGTAGAGACCATGCTTGCGTTAGCGACAGCTTGTCGAGTTCGTTTCTGATGCCGATCAGAACGTCATAAACAGGCCTCCACTTGTCTGGGAATGTTCCATTTCTGGGAGTAATGTCAGCGAAAGGGGACATGGCGGAAATATTCATGTAAGACCAACTTTTCGAGAATTATTCCTGTGTACAATTGGCATCGTTCCATCAATGCGACAACTTTGTCACTGCCTTTCAACTTGTTTCCATCTTCATCGACGAAGTGGCCATCCTTCCTGCTATCGCTGATGTCTCGTAGTTGTGCCACGTATCTGTGTATGTCCGCAGGGAAATTCTGCGTCTTATCGTCAGCGAAATTAACACGGGCACACAGGGGAACTGACGGTTCTATCCACCTTGGACTTCGTGTTGATCACGGCCATTTGTCTCAGTACAGAAACAAGCTTCTCCGCCGTTGGTCTTAGCGGGACGGCAATATCCTCAATCTTCTTTTGCAGGGCTGTCAGGGATGCCCGGCACCGCTCTATTCGCTTTGCAATGAGCGTCTCCAGGTAAGGTGCGGACTGTGTATCGGGTGTAGTGTTGACTATGTCAGACAGATGCTCCAGAGTCTGCGACATGCTCTCGAGGTCCTTGGCGGAGAAGAGGTCGGCCTCGGTCAGGTGGTCGAGAAGCCGCTTGATAGTCGACGTCAGGGCGTACGCGGCGGGCGCCTCATTGTTTCGGCCGATGGTCATGAAGAAGAGGGAAAGTAGCTGGAAGCAGCTGTCTACAACTCTGTCCACTGTCCACATCCATGTTAGCTGGGGATGCCCAGAGCCCAAACACTGACTATGTATGCATGTCTCGCGTAAAGGTGAAGCCGTACCTCGGTTCTCTTGGATCTCTTCCGTGGCCTTCCCACCTCTTATCTCGTTCAGACGCTTGACCTGCTCGAGCACCTGGTCGTAGAGGACCATGACATCCTGGGTGCGGACGTAGGTTGTGCGATCCAGCTTGCGCAATTGCAGCTGATCACGGATAGCGACCAGCTTATCGAGGACTTGCTTCTCGCCCTCGTCCTTGGGGGCCGGTATCTTGGGCGTGTCCATGGCTTCGGCGTGTTCGTCAAGGACACCAGCTTGCAATGTCTGTGGTCTTCGCGCGGAACTCTTGAGGAGAGCGTGAACCCGGAAAGGCCGAAAGGATGGCTGAAAGAGAGTTTGACCCCTCTCTTCTCTTGGTATTGATGCCAATGGTCGGTCTCTTTGTGTGGTATCAGGGTATCTAGTGATCACTTGAGAATAGCACAGCCCACACACCCCAAAACCACATGCAATTAGTACGTAAGGTGGTAATAGTCGGTAGTATGTGGGTATCTGTAGCCTGTCGTCTGTACTCGCTGTACTTCTCTGTGCGCTGCTGTATGCGGGATGCCGGGATGTGCTTGAATAGCGACCAATGACGTGTGATAATTGCACGAGAATGGGATCTCTAGAAGCTCGAGCAGAAGCAGGGGTTGGGGTTGGGGTTGTCCAGCATTGAAAGACTCGGACTCTCCAAGATCACCTCAGCACGTGTCTACGATTGGTCTTTCCTGGAGCTTCCCCACGCTTTCTACAACCTTGGCAGGCCTGACCGGTGATCGGCGGGGTTGACCTTGGGCAGGAAAGAGCGACAATGGCAAAGGCAGGTGGGGTTGGGTTTCCTCCCGTCTCGCATTAGCCGGTCCCCAAACCAATGGGAAGCTTTCATGGGTGGGGTTGCTGCGGGGCAACAGCCGCTACCTCTGATTGGCTCTGGTTTCCAGCCTATCACCACCCTCATTGCCGAGCACGGAGACTCGTTTTTCCTCCTCGCTAAACCCTACCAACCTCCCACCAAAAATTCCATTTCGCAAGAAAGTGACTTCGGGTAATAATCCACGAGCGCAACCACCACCTCATCTTCGAGTAGTCAATCCCAGACATCGTCGCCAACACACACACAACCCGTTCCACACAGACGAAATCTGCCACAATGTCGACCGCCGAACTCGCCTCGTCGTACGCCGCCCTCATCCTCGCCGATGATGGTGTCGAGATCACTGTGAGCAGCCCTCCAGCCAGACGAATTGCCCCTCCTTCGCAAGGCCCTCATGATGGTCATATTGGAAGGAGGACGTCAATGTGTTCGCGACGCTGACAATCGTCACCAGGCCGACAAGCTCCAGTCCCTCATCAAGGCTGCCAACGTCACCGATGTCGAGCCCATCTGGACTTCCCTGTTCGCCAAGGTACGCACGATAGGAAGCCAGTCGCGGAACAAAGGAAAACCAGTTGCTCATGCATAATCTAGGCTCTCGAGGGCAAGGACGTGAAGGACATGCTGGCAAATGTCGGTTCAGGTGGTGGTGCCGCCGCTGCTGGTGGTCCCTCTGCTGGTGGCGCCGCTGCTGCTGGCGGTGCCGACGAGCCCGCGGCCGAGGAGAAGGTGGAGGGTACGTTTACAACCTGCCCTCGTCGAGGGCAATCCCGCATCGAATCGCACACTAGCATACTGACTTGTCGCCACCGCTACAGAGAAGGAGGAGTCAGACGACGACATGGGATTCGGTCTGTTCGACTAAACAGGTTCCGCCGCGACGACAACTACTTCCCTTTGTTCTTCAACTGCATGGTCTGGGGTTCCATACACCATTGGTGTGGCGTGAAGGAGGCAATATCAAGATGCCTAGGGCAAAGATATCTCCGTCATAGAGTAATATGACAATGCGCTTCTGCGATGACCACCTCCAGGACCAACGAATTGACGAGACCTAGGCGCATATGTGAATTGAATAGCTCTGAGCAGAGGCAAGCTACGAACACGAAACATGAGACATCGGACCGTAAAATCACTGCTTGGCAAACGAAACTCATATGGACATCACATGCTCTTCCTCTTGATGGTGATTCTCAGCATGACTATATGTTCTGGCTGGAGCTATGTTTATGGGAAGGGCAAATTCTGATTCATGACTCGAAAATCCGTACGCCGTTCCATGCGTTCATGAAATCATCGTATCAAGTTCATCCACCGCAGCCTACTGCACAATCAAGGCAGCGCTGGGAACCAGTCCAGCCTCCTTCAGGGTCTTGCCAAAGTCCAGGCTGCCCTCGAAGACCTTCCGCGGAAAGTTCTGGACAAACTTGGTGACAGTCACGCTGTCCTCATGTTCCAGCATCTGAGCAACCTCGAAAAGGGTTGTATCAGCCGGTAAAACCTTCATGACGTTGCCACCGGAGGTCTGTAGTCGTAGTCGTGCTTCGGAATGATTCGCGGCGGGACGGGCGGCGGCCGGCGCAGCAGGAGCAGGAGCCGCGGCAGCGGGAACGGCTCTGCCCTCTCTGGCAGCCTTCGCCTCCTCGGCCTTGCGCTTCCGCTCCTGCTTGTCGGCCTCGATCTTGGCCTTGATGCGCTGCTTGGCCTCCAGCTCCTCGGTCTTCTCCTGCCGCTTCTTGGCCGCCTCCTTGATCTGCTCCTTGCGCGCCAGCTCCTCCTTCAAGTCCTGGGTCTCTCTGGTGGCCTTCTGACGGATTTGCTAATCGGGCGTCAGTGAGACAGGTCAAAATCTGCTTAAACACGAGTAGAGCGTACCTCGTTGCGCTTGTGCTCCTCCTTCTCCGCTTCGGCCTTGCCAGCCTTCCGGGCCCGAGCTCGCTCTTTGAGCTCCTCGAGCTTCTGCTTCTTCTCCTCCTCGGTCAGAGGGGCGATCTGCTCAGTAGACTCTGCGAAATCGCTGTGACCCCTAGATTGATATCAGTGTGAGAGGAGGAGGACATGTAAACTCGGGTGACCGCGTGATGATGGGAGACTCACGACTTGCTGGCGTGGAACTCGGCTTCGGATGTAGAGCGGAACTTCTTTCCGCACTCGTTGCAGACGAGGGATCCAGCGGTTTGGCCCTCCTCCGCCTTCGCGACGTTCACGCCGGACGCTTCCTCCTCGATCAGCTCGTCCAGCGGGGTGTCTTGGGTCTTCTCCAGCCAGTCCATGGCATCCGGTACTGCGACGGCTTGTTAGGTCTCATGCTAATATGTCTCATATTTACGATTTGGACTCACAGCCATCGGATCTCTTCACGGCCAGCTCCGCACGCTCCTTGTCGAAGCCCATCTCGAGGAGTTGGTCTAGGACGGATGACATGTTGGGCGATTTGACGGGTGTTTCTGATGAGGTGATGTCTAGATGGAAGTGAGAGTACGCAAACTAGGTGGATGGTGAGATGTGTGGTAGGAGGAAAGAATATATAGAAATCTGAGAGAGCATATAAGAACCAAGCGGAGACGTCTATTTTGTGTGAAAGTGGAAGCTTTGGGGTGATTCTGGTCCCTTGTAGGCGTCAACGGCTGTGTGGTTTGTGTTTGTGGCGCACGTCATGTTGGATGCTGCCTCAAACAGTCAGGAGCTCAGGTCCACCACGCATCACTCTAAGGAGACTCATCCAGAGGTGGTCCGTGCAGATGCTTATCCGAAATAATTCTGCATAAACCGCTTGCATAATCCCTTATTCCAGGACAATCCCCACTGGACTGAGGTGGTCCACAGTGCCCCTGGTCTGGAAGAACCTTGGAATTTTACGCACTGAGCACAGGCTACAGGTGGAGTCCGGAGGGCAGGGACGGTCACCACCGCCCGCCCAGAAAGCCGTTACGAGACCAACAACAAGGCCATTCATTCGATTTCCTACCCAAGGAAACCTGCACAATACTTGGCCTATGTCGTAGAACCCACGTTTACCAATACCGTCCATTTCTAGTCATTGTCGTCTGCTCAGCTCCCGATTCCAGGAAGCCTCCCTCAGCAATACCCACGCGACCCCAGCCGACATCCCCAGCTATTCCCTGCCGATCTACCTTTGTGCTCGAGCCAGTTTGCGATAGCCCGCCATCAACCTCGGGACCACTCGTGCATGACCTCGTGGTTGTTCACTCTACCCAACCCCTCGACCGGCATCATCGAAACCATCTGACTTTACTGTATATTGGGCATACGCTACATATAACAGTATTCAATATGTCCGTCGAGATCGATCCTCAGGAGCTCGGCTTCCACCGTACGTCATAGCACTACCTCTGGTCAGGGGTCGCCATTGCTCACATCATGTAGGGCCCTTCACGGTCGAAGTCTCGGAAGTCTTAAGGATCAGAAACCCCAATACCTACCCGGTTGCTTTCAAGGTACGTCCTCCAGGACCTACTCGCATATGTCCCGCGCAAGCTGCAAGGTCGAGGCTAATGGCGCGCAGGTGAAAACGACCGCACCGAAACAGTATGCCTAACTCTGCGACTATACTTTACACACGAAAATTCCGGACCGTTGACAAGACATGTGTGATCAGATACTGCGTCAGGCCCAACTCTGGCCGAGTCGAGCCGGGCAAGGAGGTGGAAGTTGCAGGTACGCAGGGCATGGCGCAATATAAGTATGCGTGCACGACTGACACATGTCAGTCATCCTCCAGGCTATGAAGCAAGAACCCCCTATGGATACGAAATGCCGAGACAAGTTTCTGGTCCAGTCCGTTGCCATTACTGGGGACAAGGAGTTCACCAATCTGGCGTCGATCGTAAGTTCTACATTGTCATGATCACCAACGGCAAACAGCGAGCTGACTATGTTGAAGTGGGATGCTATCGACAAATCATCTGTAGTAGAGCGAAAAATCCGAGTCGTGTTCCAGCCCCCGAAGGGTTCTGGTGCAGCATCAAACCTCGAGACCCCGGATCGAAGGTCCACGACCAACGGCGTACGCTTGCTCCACTCTACCGGCGTTGACGATGTGCTAACACCTTCCTCCCAGGCCGATGCGACACCTGATGTGGCTCCCCCGGCCTATTCATCACCCGGCGACTTTGCACCCAGCCAAACAGAACCGAAGTCCTCGATGGACGACAAGGAGTTCCAGCACGCAAGCTCTCCCTCGGGTGCAGGAGTCGCACCCCTGGTTGCAATCCCGACTAGCGACCCGAGCCGCGACGACCTGAAGCAACAACTTGCCCAAGCGGAGAGGATGATCGCAGAGCTGAAACAAGACCAGGGAGGACTGAGGCAGCGAAAGGCCGGAAACACGGAGGAGAAGCCAGCCAGCAAGCCGGCCGAACTCGCTCAGGCGGTACGAGGCACCGAGGGCGTACCCATCCAGATCGCGGCGGTCCTGTGTTTGTTGAGCTTCCTGCTCGCTTACCTCTTCTTTTAGGCTGCGATGAGGATGTTTTTACAGCTTCTGCCGAGAGAGAATTTGAGATACTAGTTCCGGCTTTGAATCGAGAGGCAAGATCCCTAGAGGCGAGGAAACAGGAGAGTGAGGGCCTCCTCAATGAGGAGGGGTGCGCGGTATAGACAGATCCAGGGAGTGAACCTGCGAACCGCGGTGGTTGTAGATGAGACCTGGAAGAAGCATTGGTGATGGAGTCAAGAGTGGTAGCAAGAGCTGATCAGGGAGATGGTCTTCTTTACGATAAACCCTGTGTAATGTACGCTTTGTATTCCCTTTTGCTGCTTTTCGCGGTTGACGAAATACATCTTCTGAACCCACGCGTTCTTCGATATCTGCAACTTCTTCAAAGACTCATGCGAGTGATGAAAGCTACGAATTCAGTACCACCCCTTTTTACCCCGAACCAAGTGCTACTATACATAGAGAAGTTATCCCCAACTGCCTACCTATGATCACGGGCATCCATCCGACACGGGTCATAAGATGGCAGCTGCAATGCAGATGTTCAAGGGGATGCAATTTTTCGAGCATTGACTCTTACTCTATCCCAGTCTCCCCAACGCCGATGCATGACTAATCATGATAATAGTGTATGCTTCTAAGTATATACAGAATCTAGTGATTACCACCGTCGTAACGCGTGGCTTTAGGGCACGTCCGAAATTTAATGGATGCCCCTTTTCTCCGTCCCTCAGAGCCGCGTCCCACGACGGGCCTTTTTTGGGTCTCTACCTCACGATTCCAGCTCGCTCTCTTTCCACTCGGGCGCCGGCGCCGTCTTCTGGCCCTGCCCGACGAGGCGACCGCCCTCCCTGCGCTTGACGCGGCACCGGAGGCCGACGCTCTCGTCGAAGATGAAGCGCCAGATGACGTAGGTCCAGCTGCGGTGCTGGGGCAGGTCGGCGTAGAACTCGCGCGCGATGGCGTGCAGTTTGGGCAGGCGCGTCCACGGCACGGCGGGGAAGTCGTGGTGCTCGTTGTGCAGGCCGACGTTGTAGGTCAGCGCGTTGAGCGGGCCGTAGTAGGAGAAGGTCTCGGGGACGGGCGCGATGGCTTCTTTGTTGGGGGTGGCCTGGTGGTTGTCCGGGTTCGCCTGCGCCGGCGTCACTGTCTCGTACACGTAGTGCTCGGCTATGAAGTGGCCCGCCAGCGGGTGCAGGCTGCCGGCCAGGAAGGAGGACAGCAGGAGGTAAAGTAGGGCGTGGGCGCCGAGGGTGCGCAGGACGACGGCGTCGAAGAGCAGCTGCGTCGCCAGGTTGGCAGCCGAGACCCAGGTGAAGGGGATGGTGTAGACGGCCATGGGCCGCACGGCGTAGAAGAAGATCTGGAAGGTGCAGAAGAAGGCCTTGCCGAGGATGGAGTCGAGGAAGACGGCCTCGAGGGCGGTCGGCAGGTCCGTGTCGAGCCCGTCGACGCCGAGCGACTTGTGGTGCGTCAGGTGGTAGGGGCGGAACGAGGCGCTGTAGGGGATGCCGATGGGCAGGTTGGCGACGATGGCGAAGAGCCGGTTCGCCGTCGCCGACCGGAAGGCCAGGTTGTGGCTGATCTCGTGGATGGCGAGGAACAGGTTCTGGTTCGCCGTCGCGCCCACCACGTACGCGAGCGCCCAGTACGGCAGCGAGAAGAAGGGCGTGTTGCGCACGAGGTAGGCGCACGCTATCTGGATGCTGACGACCAGCAGCACGACGTACTTGGTCAGGGGCTCGGGGCCGCAGAGCTTGGTTACCTGGTGGGAGGGCGTGCATGTTAGTGACAAGGGAGCGTAGAAGTGTCGAGCAAGTCGTCGGTGTTGCTTACCTCTGGGTGTGCCTTGATGATGGCCAGACGTCGTGTCCGGTGCGGCTCCTCGGTGTAGGTCCAGTAGAAGTCTCGATATTTGGTCTCGATGGGATCCCACAGCTGTTGCTCATCGCCCGCGGCGTTGCCATTGACGCGGATTGTGCCCTCCTTGACAGTCTTGGGGGCGCTTGTGACGGTCGAAGCTGCTGCTGAGGGTGCCATTCTGAGTTGGTGTCGACCTCTGGTGAGGATTCAATTGCGTAGAAACTGGTAGGACGGCATAGGGAGAACGGGAGTTAATAAGTTAAGGTCGATCACAGGGAGGAGGTAGTAATACCGTAATTTCGCCTCCCAATCCACAGAAACCAGCGATCTGCGACTGCGGTGAAGAGAGTGCCACCACCACCTGAGGGGTCCCTGGAAAAGGTGGGCCGAGGTGGGCTGTCCCCTTTTTACCAGACCTTATCAGGCGTGGTGCCAGTCAATTGGGGATCCTCATCCAATCGATCCCAACGCTCGTCGCACCAGCACAAGCCGGAGGGAAAGAAGCTCTGGTCCCTGAAACTTTGTGCAGGTGCTTATGCAGGTTATTATCCCAACCCCTTTGCCAGGCTGTCCGTTGTTATTCTAACAAACTCAATTCACTGCAGTGAGATGCGAGACTTCTCTCAAAGTAATTCACATGCAACAACTGGCGTACAAGCGTAATGAATAGTCGTAATTAAGTCTCATGTTATCTGGAGGTACCTTAAAGAGCTGCTGTCAATCCAGAGTATCCAAAGCCGGAAAACGCCCACTCTTGCGAATATCTTGCCGAAATCTATTATGCCCAGTCCTCTATGAGACCATCATCGCTTAATATCTAATGGGATGTCTATAAAACCACCGGACGCCTCGCTAACCCTTTGTAACATGATATGCATTTCCATCAGATGACAACCGGCCATCCGGAGCTAAAGTCAAGCTTGTTCCAACCAAAGTGATATGCCTTTTGCTTGGTATCAGTTTCCTGATCGTACGGCACTGTTTGATGTCAGCGATTGTCATTCTGAAACATCATAGGAGAGGGAAGATATTGATAGAGTTGCGTACCATAATGGTAGTAAATGATGGGCCCTCCAGCCTCGTCGTCCACCATGACACCTTGTCCGCCAGGCGCCCAGATGTTGTCGTGAGTTCCCAAGATTTCCTTGCCGCCGCTGTCATTGGCGCAATCCACGCCTTGGTCGTCGACATAACCCTTTCGAGGGTCCTTCGAGCGGCAGACCATGACCTTGTACACGTCGCCCCTTCCCAGCCATTCCCTGGTCTTCGGCTGCACGCAGCAGCGCCCTGATGAGTAGAACAGATAATAGTACTCTTTCCACTTGAATACGAAGGCTCCCTCCGTTGGTCCACCGGAGATAGCCTTTGTCACGTTGTTCGCCAGGTGCGTGATCCTGTCGTTGGCACCGTGGGCGATCTTGGTCGGTGGATCCGCCAGCGGCAGCTGGAATATGCCTCGCTGATAAGAACCAAACGTGAAAAGAAGCCGGCGGTGGTCGCCGTGCCCTGCTGTGAGGAGAGACGCGTCCAGGATGTTGTACCGCATAGCCCAGTCGATCTCCAGGCGGCCGTGCTGCGTCCACTCGGTCGGCATCAGCGTCTTGGACGAAGCCACGCGAACATTTGCGCCGTGGTACCACGTCTGCGCCGCTTCGTTCATGATGCCGATGGTCCTGTAATCGAATTCGTGGTTGTTGTAGAACATGTAGTAGGTGTCGTCCACCTTGTGAATCGAGGGGGCACCGCCAAACTCGGGCAGATGAGCGTTCCCCTCGTGCTTCCAGGGGCCGTACAGCGAGTCGGCAGTCCAGACGCTGCCGTTCTTCGCCGTGTGGTATAGGAACAGCTTTCCGTCCTCACGCCGGATCACTGTCGGATCCATAGTCTGCGGCTTGTTGTTGTTTGGGATAGGCCCGTCCATGGGCTCGGGGTTTGGCCATCCACCTGCACTATGTGTTGGCTCGGGTGACTGGCCGTCGTTGATGTCGTCCGGAAGCCTCGCCGTCGTGAGGCCGACGCTCAGATACACGACCACAGCGACGACTCTGTTGATCGTCAGCATCATGGTCGTGAGGCGTGATGGCTGCGAGGCCGTGAAATCGGCCCATATAGTAGTTTGGGGGACGCGTGGGCAAATATACACAATGACGAAGTGGCACAGACACTTCTCATTGTCTTGACATATGAACGAAGTCTGAAAGAAAGGAGACTCACACAAGCCCGGCTAGTATCGTTCTCCTCCAGTGTCTGGCAGCGACGGGCATAGTACACGACGCGGCGCAGGTGGTTGCGACGGCACCATGGACTGCCTTGACACCCATCCTCTTGGATCGACGTCAGCTTCTTCCAACTGTCCTTTTTCCGTCGATGGATTGCGCGCTCAGCCAACATACCAGAATCCTACGGGCCCCGCCTATGGGGTTGCCGCCTTGGATATTACTGAAGACACTACCGGTACCCGAATTTGAACTTCGCAGGAACGGCTATGGCCCGGTGGTTAGATCTCTTGGCAAGTTGGTGCCGCTTGGCGAGCGATTGCCGCCTGTGTCCTGTGGGACGACATACCTCCTTCTGCTCGCCATCCTTCCATGGTGAGTCCGGCATGGTGCGGATATATGTACGCGTTGTCCGGGTTTCAGTGACATTCCCATTGCAATGACTGTCACTGGCAATTGGCAATTTCGAGAGCAGAGATAAGAGAAGGGCATCTTGCGACCGGGGTGGCTCGTGCGGCACCGGGAGCCGAAGGATTATCTCCAGCTCGCTCCTTCTCTCGCCCTCCGCTAGCCATCCAATGTCTCCTTTATTGTGCCCGCGCTGCCAGGTGCTCGAGGATATTGTCACTTTGCCAGTCACGGAATGTTATATCTCGAGCTCGTCAGGATGCAGGCCCCAGCCCATCTATTGAGCCCAAGATCACAGGTCATTCCGAGGATTGGGTCTCTGCACAGATGGTGAGTATCAATAACCTCAGTACTGGTATGTCGTCCTTCAACCAACCCCCAAGCAAGTGCTCAATTCGCCCCGAGTCCCATGAAATATTCCAATAGAAGCTCCATCACTGCTTGATCCCATTGTGAATCGTTATATCCTCCGCCTGTAACTTTCCAAAACTGCTTCTGCCTGGTCCTAGACGCGGAGGGCAAGGTCTTCGCCACTCAGAGAAATAGCGTACCTTAAGTCTCCGTCATGAGCGGTGATCACACCTACAATATCATCCGTCTGAGCATTCAAGACGACTCAGTCCAGCCGGTAAGCAGCCGCGGATCGTGTACGAAGCAGCGAGGTCAGCGCAATAAGCCATCTGACGCCATGATCCGCCGCCCGCAAGACCCAATCTGCGCACCAGTGATACAGCTCATGGCCTTGATGTTGATGCATACGGCTTCACCTCGATAATTAGAAAGCAGCTGAGGTAGCGTCGAAAGCGACCGATGCCGCTCCTAAAACCCTTGAAGCGAGGTTCGCCCGAGAGTAGGGCGATGGGAGGCCGCCGTTCGCAGACTGTTCGCCGCTCCGGGGCTCATGAATCCAAGAACAGTCATCGACGGATGCGTGGAGGGAGTGCTGGCTGGCTGGCGGCGCTTTTGATCCTGTACAGACGACACACGCAGTGATAGAATAGGTGCGGCAAGAAGTGCGTAGTCAGTTCCTGCGGTCGAGCTCTATGGACTGACTGTCTCTTGGTGCTTGGAGTTGTCGACTGTCCCCTGCAAGTTATCTGGCAGGTCTAACGTTATGTCTGGATATTAGCAAGCAGGGCATTTAAAGCTACATGCCGTGCAGATGCCGAATGTTCGCGGTCTTGTGGTCTCCGGCCCCGTTGTCACGCAGGGAAAGTCCCTATCCTGCGCAATGTCATGCCAGGCCTCAAGGCACCCGGTTTAGATCAGTCCAGATATCTCGACTGATATACACATACCTACCTATGCAAGCGGCTTCCCAGGTCTTGAATAGGTACTGTAAACTGGCAGTTAAGTTACGGGTACACTGACTGGAAAGCCGTTGAAACGGTAATTCGCATTGGGGAAAGCAGCGGCTAAATGTTTGTTCAGTCAATTGGCTTCAGCATAACTAACTGATTATGCTATATGCTGATGCTGATTATTATTTCAGCCCTACAACCGCTTGACTGTTAGGTCTCGTAGATGAGGAGTGAATACAGGCAGGTGCATGTTGCTCGGCGTGCTACATTAACTTGTGTGCTGAGCTGGATGTATCTCGAGTTCCAGAGGTTGAGGACAGTCGGATTGAGCAAGACAATCATGTACCCAGATCCTCTGGACCACTGCTCGATCAGCTCATTGAAGGGGTAGGAAAACGTCAAAGGTATCGCAAAAACTCTCGCATTTGGTCAGGAGACTAAAGCTCTCAGTGCTAGGAGTTCTGAACAGCAATCCCAGGCGCATGGGCTTCGGACTTTCACGTTGAAACTGAGGAGAACTAGAGTCATCCGAATCAAATCCATGTCTTGTGAGATTAGAGCGGGCAAGGCGAGCTATCATGAAGTCGTGCAGGAACTTGGAAATACAGCCGGCGAATATGCCGATCACTTGCTCGCTGTATCCAGGAGGTAAGTAGCTACCCATGGAGGAAACACAGTTCACTGAAGATCCTCTCTAGACGATCTGCGGACCGCATCTAGGACTGACAAAAGCCAATCCATGGACGTGCAGCCTCGTCCCCACGGGAGGAGATCTCTTCGTCCACACCACAAAGCGTCATGTTGCTCAAGGTGGTACCCCTACTCATGCCGAGGTTACCATGGCTGCACAGCCGGAGCACCACCCGGAAGTAGAGCCTCATATCAATAAGAGTAGCATATGAGCCCCGGGTCCGCGGGCACATCTTCACGAAGGTGCCATTATCGATCGGCCTGTCACTTCCGGTTCAGCTCGGTACATAGAGTTTGGGGGCCTTATGTAGGACTTTGTCGTTCGTTCCCTTTATTCTTTACCCCAGACTGATGCTGTTGGCTGCTGTTGGCTGACGCCGGCTAGCAAGGCTCCCCCGAGATCGACGCAGGTATTGTTCATCGTAACGGCCCCCAGATGCCGTGCAACTATGGGGCCGAAAGCCACAGGAACACGGCCAGGAAGGGTAGTCTGGTAGACGCACCAGTGTTGTTCCAGCCACTGAGGGACCGGGCCAAGCCGGAGAGCGCGACCGGTATACGCAATCGTGTGGCCTTGCCGACGGAGATGGGGCGGAAATACTGCTGGCGAAATGGTAAGGCAGACCGCGGTCAGGCTTGGGTAAGGCTGGGCGGATCTGCCTGGGGCTCGCACGGAAAGACCCGAACCAAAACAACCACTATGGCACTATCTCGCCGAAAGATGGCGTGTATTCAAAGAGATGTGATAGACGTGCTTCTTTGCACGCTGTCGTCCCGGTCTCCGAGCGCCGCTGATGCGAGCCGGAAGATCCTGTGAGGTGGCTGTATGTATGTAGTTAGGGGGCTAGTTGGCGTCGTCCTCGCACAAAATAGTGAGGCAAAAGTATTCGTGGTTTTGCCCAAGGCCTGGTTAGTGTGAATTGATACCGGCCACGTGCGCTCGAAAGCTGCAGAGAACGGGTCTGACTAAGATGAGTTGACGAGTAGGGGCTTCGTCCGAGGCAATGCGGACTAGTCTCGCCGCCTTACAAGCCGGGCGAACTGCTACAAGGGCGCCGTTGCATGCCAGCCTATCCAATGCAATGCATGGCCCCCAATGGAATGCCCTCATCTGGAAATGGCGCGACGGCGCAGATATGTGACCTGTAAGATACGGCGTCCGATAGGAGACAGCGCAGGAGATGGTAAGTCATGTGGTGGTGATCTGACACCAATCCTTGAAGCGATGCTGACTTGCAGACGAGGCGTGACAGACATTGGCTTGGTCGACGCGGATTGCGGGCCAATCTGGAAAGAGATAAATATGACCACGGGGCAAGACTCCCTTTGCGGGCATGGAATTTTCTCATAGATTGATAGTGTGCTCCTGAATTGCATGCTTGCTGCGATATCCAGACGCGAATAAATGCAACGCAACCCACGTCAACAGAGAACGTGGCACCGGAGACATGATGAGCACGCCTCACATTGCTCAGCATACCCATTTCCCAAGAGCGAACGTAAACTGCTTTCCCAGAATGTCTTGGTACATGGCCTTGTCGGTCCATGCCCAGACCGGGTCTCCCTGAGTGTTTTGTGACGTATGCCGGGACGAGCGGTCCCTCGACAGGATGGGTGAAACGTATGGAGGTATTGAACCTCGATATCCATGAGTGGTGGCCTCAGCTTTGCTCTTGTCCTTGGAAGTCACATCCTGGGTCGACTGAGGGATCCCACTTGTCTTCACTCCCTCACTGATCATAGGTTGCTCTGCACCGCCGTGTGAGCTGATCTTTTCCATCTGACCCAATAAGTTTCCCCCATGTGACATCCCTGACAGCTTGGCCGCAGGGTCGAAGCTTATGTAGACCAGCGCTTTGAGTCCCTTTGCGTTTTCGCCGGTAGCGTAGACAATTGAGCGTTCGTCGCCAACTGCAGCAACGTAACCCTGATGATCAGGTGGATTGAGTACCTGGTAGATCGATTCTGAGCAAGGGTCCAAGCAGTACGAAGCCCTTCTTGGTGGCCAAATGTATATCTCGTTCTCCTGGTAGAGTTGCTTGACCTTGTCGTCAAGATCGAGACTGCTCTCGGAGGGGATTAGCGCTCCGGCGGGTGACGAGATCGGCCTTGATTTTCGGTGTCCAGTTCGAATCCGTAGACACTGGGGGCCAGCATCTCCAACGCAGGTGTCGTCCATCATATCCAGAAACGTATGGCAGCATCTCTGGTAAGAACACAGGTATGTTCTGCTCCGCGTGACTATTGAAGTGCCTGAGCTATCGTCCCCTGCGTGCATCTCCGACGGTAATCGTGGTTGTGGGTTAATCTGCTCGGCCCTGCTTATTGATCCAATAAAATTGGCCACATTTTCGCCTTGTACTGCATCGTTGGCCGCCAAGCGGGTTTCTTCGGTATTCTCACCGTAGTACTCGCCAAATACGACCTCTTTGGTATAGTAAGTGCGTCTACTACCACTCTGCCCTGCCAACCATTCCTTGCGGGACTCGACAATCCTGATTCCTCCGGAAGTCTCATCCTTCTCCAGTGCAAGAAATCCCCATCGGTCATCGATAGGTCCCTCTGAGTGTTGCCTCCTCCAGCTGTCCTCTCTTTTCATCACTTGTGCCTTTTTGGGGTCGGGCTCTTCCAGGCGAAACCGGAAGCAGTAGTAGTGAGAAACCCAGTCGATCTCCTCAATCTCGAAAGCAGTCTGGTTTGAAAGGCCGTAGAAGTGGCCGTCGAAAATTTCGAAGCATACGGTAGATCCCATGTCACACCCGACCAAGTCTGACAGGTGCATTTTTGGGGACAACCAGATCCTCTTTTTGATGTCGAAGCCTTCAATGACCCATTTTCGAAAGCCATCGGTTCCTTCCTCTGAATGCGTTCCAAAGTACAGAAATTGGGCATTGTTTCGTACGAATATTTTAGACGTAGAGTTTAGGCGGACCGCCTCCAAGATGACTTGCTCTTTATGCTTGAAAATCAAAAGCCAGTTTTCTGTACGGGGTAAGGCGAAAGAGAATAAGCAGGACGTAATTCCATGTGCGTGATACAGGGTCCTAAACCTGTACTTGCGGCTTTTTGCTGATCGAGGCACAGCCAGGCTGATCAGAGTCGGGATGTCTATGATTACTTCGGTGTCCTTTGAGCCGTGAAGGTCGAGAATGCGAAGCCAACGGCGCGGCCGCTCGTTGATGATGTAGCACAGTTTGCCACAAATGTATTGGTAAGAATCGGCAAATGCGACTATACCCACGACGTACGGGGATGCCTGGGAGAAAGCTTGACGTCGTTTTGCCAGCCGCCGAAGAGCTCTTGAGAAATGACCACTGTCCTCTTCCTGCTGCGCCTCAGCCGTGTACCACGCCTTCGCCTGAGACAAGATGTTAGCACAACGTCGAAGAATCGGCCCGTCGAGCGAGGTGAGACAGTAAAAGCTCATCTTACTGTGACAATTGCCTTGCAGAAGCTCTCTTCGCGCACCAAGTACTGGAAATGGCGGCAGCATCGAGACAAGTCGAAGATCTCGCCAATCTCCAGATCCCGCACGATATATGCCATGATCTCGTATGGTAGTTTTTGCAGTCCAGACGTCTTGCGGAAATCCATTCGTGAACTGGTCGGCTCCCACTTGGGGCTCGAGGGACTGGTGTGTGGTTGCGAGCATAGCAGCGAGTGCCCAAGACGGTGGTGGGGGGAAGAGAGACACATCTGAGGGCTGTGCCGCCGAGCCTAATGGCCCTCCAGCATGACATATGTAGGTGCGAGTCGGGAGAATTTGGTGAAAGCTACGGCCACCAGAGCCTCATCTAATTCTAGACGGTCTCGGCTCGTAAAGGCGGACCACTCCGAGACTAACAAGGGCTTTGTACTTGTTGATAGCCGTGTACGTCGTCTGTCTCGCCGCTTGGAATGCAGGAGCACAGTACCACGTCGAGAGCCTCGCTTGCCCCATCTTCTCCACTGAGGGACAGGGCGTACCGTGCATGATAACGAAGAACAGGGAAAGACTCGAAGAGAAAAAGGAGGCTTCATGCTGGCCATTCGGAGAATGCGGTCGTCGATACGGTTCCATGCCCAGCGCAGCGGGGAAGAGTGGAATGGTTGAGCATGTTGAATTCCGTAGACGCCCATCAACCTTCCAGCTACCGAACCGTACCTCACAGGTTTGGATTTGAGATCTCAGATAGATCATAGAGGGCACTCACAGCTGGGGCCTTTCTGGGTGCCCTGTTCTTGCCAAGCCGATAAGTATCCACTGTGCCTGCTTGCACGCTGATTGGCCAATTGAAAACCGACCCCGCTGCATGCAGCCGAAGCCCGAAGAGCCTCAATCTTTCGGAGCTTCCAATTTCAGGGGCAGGGACCCTTCCCAGCCTCCAGGTAATGAATCTCCGGCTCCCACACCTCCTTTCTTAGTCTGGTCACCGCGGATGGTATGGACTCTATGGAGGCACATGTAGGTACAGATCATGTTACTTGCACCAAGTCTACTACCAGGTTTACCGGATTCTGTTCCCCTCTCGCCGTCTCTTCTCCTCTTTGGGGGCCATGCAGCGCCAGCCAGCCGCCCGACAAAGTAATGGTGCAAGTTTCCTACATGTACCAATCCCGTCAAGTCAAGGAAACCGCAGAGCCGCAATACAATAGCAACAGGGGGTTATGATCCCCGTATCTTGATCGCATCATTGATTCGCAGCCTCATCATTAGATCCGGATTTGGAAGCCCAGCCAGCATTCCGATGCAACACCCCTCAAACGGTGATCTGGAACTCTTATCCCGCGATAGATGGCTTCGGTATCTGCTTGTTGAGACAGTGTCTATTACGACGGCTGTCGGGGGCTGAAGACAATAAATGCTTCGACCACTGCATCGGCCGTGTGACGTGGTACCGAGGCGTACCATCCTGACATATGGCTCAGATTGCAGGTTGGAACATGATGCTGTTGGGAGCAATGCGGCTCTGCGACATGAGCCGCTCGCCAACAGATCAGCCAAGCCCGATCCGACCTATCACTTCTCACATTCCAGATGAGTACTAGTCTCCGCCAGCTTTTGCCCTTCTTGAGCCTCAACACCCGGGACTTTCCTGGCCAGAGCCGCCTCTTCTGATGGCATGTCCCATCAACAAGTGCACTTTTCGCGGCTGAAAAAGAACTTCCACAGGCGGACATCTGACGCCATCGTATGCAGGTGCTTCCGGTCCGGAGGCTCAACTGCTCGGGTGTCTGAGCCCGGTCCATACGAAACCTCCTGTTTTGAACTCGCATGAAGCTTCAGACTAAGACAGACTATACGGAAATGCTGCTTCCCTCGAGCCGATGTTTGACGATATATGTACGCAACTTCAAGCGAACATGAAGCAACTGACAATCGACAGTTGACAGTGGCCCAACCTCTACATCGTATCCTAGCGTCTCGCCTCGTCATCCGGATAGGTCGCTGGCTACTCCACGACAGTGGCCTTGACTGGTCACAAAAAGAGACACATGCCCGTCTCACGCCGAATCCGCTTGGCTTGATACTTTCGGAAAGATATTGCGACCTGATAGTGCCAGTTCCGACCCTATGTCGACAAGGTGTCAGACGACCTCTAGGGCTATCTCAAGATTTGCAGTTACCTTGGGAAGCATTTCATTCTGAAGGACCACACGTCAATATGACAGAAACGGTATACAAGCTGGAGACTGGGGTATCACCAAGACACAGCGCTGCTATAGCGATTGGGGGCCCTCTGCTGTGCTTCGCGAACTAGTCCGCGAAGCGAATCGACTTGCTTCATCCATGCTGTGTGAGTTCACCTTTGGACCAATACGAATACTACTACGTGGCTCAGGTTTCCCGGGCCATGAGGTATCAAGCTCTGCCAGCTCTTCCTTGTCATTACTGATGCCACTGTGTCAGCCGCGCCACCTATCGGACGTCACGACCTCGAGAACGGACAGCAACAATCTCAACAGGCTTCAGCATCGAGAACCAGTCCCCAACGTGTCAGGAGACCGCCCTCCATGTGAGCAAGGTCGTATGGCTCTAGCGACAGGACGTACCACTGCAGTGATTGGATCTGGAGAGGACCTTTCACAGCTGAGATGATAAGCTGAGGCTTGGTGGAGACAAGGGCATGTTGCATTATGCATGTCTCATGACTGACTATACGAGTTTCTGGGAGCAAGGGTTTGCTAGGTTCTTTGGCGAGATGGTATGAGAGGCCCAGAACACGGCATGATCAACTTGGCGAAAGACACCAAGCGGAAATCCCTGACGTGTGCCATCGCCACTGTTGCGGTGAGCGCGGGCTGTGTTTGTGGCGAAATTCAGGATAGCCGACTTCGCTATATTGATTGGCTCGTTACATCCGGACTAAAGAATCGAGAAGCAATGAAGCATGACTTTTCAACGAATTTCTTTTCTCAGCTCATGCGCGTCAAATGAGGTGGCTTTTTTGTCAATAGTTAAGTGTCCGCCTGCTGGGCAAGCCGGATCGTGCTCATGACAACCACGCTGGCGGAGCAGGTCAGGTCAGGTCAGGTTCCCCAGCAACCCTATATGTACCGTAAAATCAGCCCAATCTTTCACCGACGCCCTGTACCAACGTCAACCCTTAAGGCCTCTTGGTATAGTGGTATGAGATAAAATCCTCTGGGGGTTTTTCGTAAGTCTAGTATTCGAATCCGGGGCGTGCTGGCAAGCAAGTGAATAGGGTTTCGCCCAGGTCAAAGCACGCTCAACAGGTTCGGATTGTAGATTGAGCTTTTTGCTTATTTTTTATTTTGTTCTTGTCCTGTGCATACATGCCTTACCGTCTGATGATGTAGAAAGCAGGATGTCCCGCCCATCCCCGTGTGAAACCACACAATTTATTTCTAGCTCAGGGATATGCGCCTTGTTCGTCGGCCTGCCCGGCGAAGGAGTGTGGACATGCGACTGAGGAGGCGGTCAAACTTGCAGTAGCATATGTGTGCCTTCGAAACGAGCGGTATCCACAGACATTCATTTTCTCTCGCTCTTGCTATTCTAGTTGTCTCCAATGACAGGTGACATATGCTGAGGTACTTCCTACGTGTATGCCGTGGTCGCTCGATTGCAAGCCGAGATGCCACGCTCGTCGCTCATCCCCCAGTGGCGAAAGTTGAGTTGCACGGTAGGCACGTGTCCAGCCGTCTGTCCAACCTGTAGTCACATAGGACTTCCGCGCTTCCACTTTTCTCTCTCAACGAATGGTCGAAACATATCGTAGCTGCCTGCCCTGCGGTCGTTATCGTGCAGGATGCCGAAGCTCTCGCAACTCAGCTCCGCACCCACATGCCGTAATGAACCTACCTGTCTGTTGTTGACATGCTGAAGCCACCTGAGTATGATTGCGAAGAGGCACCTGCTCGCAGGCGATACGGACACCAGTAGTGAAATGCAGGGTTTCGGCAGTGCCTTCCACCTGCTAGCGGCCTCAGGGTTGGCATAGTTCCATCGCATTTGTGGCCAGTCCAGTGCATCGAAGGGGCAGATTGGACGGTGAACATCTCCAGGACACCTCGCTGTTGTCGGAACCAGGTAACATTCCAGTCCTCACGAGGGTATATATCACGCTATGCCATATAAACTCCGAAGACCTGTCTGATGTGGATGTGGCTGGACGTGGTTCACTGAGAGGCTGAAGAGCAAGATAGGGGTACATACAATGGGTCGGATGGCACTGGCTTCTTTCCATGTACAGTCGCGCTATCAAGTTACCTCTCTTTCCATTACGGCATATACCTCCTACCTGTTCCCAACTGTCTTTAACGTTGAGGCTGGTATGCAGGTGGTCTAGATCTGTACATGAGCACCTGCATCAAATGCTGTCAGGGTTGTCTTTCCTGGACATACCTACGCCAACCCCCGGCTGCGACTGACATGCAACCGCACGACATGCCCTTCGGATATAAGTCCATTTTGCCGAAGACAGCAAGATAGAACAATAAGGAAATTGGTAAGTACCTGCTTAACGGAACCACTCTGTCTATTTCAGGGTACTTGTACACCGAACCCTTATAAGTCTCCGTACGCCCCTCGTTCACCAAGCGAAAGATGTATTTACTATATCTGGGATAAGCAGTCTGGAATAAGCATCAAACTGGCTACTTAGATTAGATATGCTTATTCCAGAGTGCTTATTCTATCAATACGAATTTCGCATTAACATTTCAGAGTTGACGGGAGCATGACGGACGGAGACTTATGAGGGATGAGTGTACAAGCCTTCCAAATCAGAACAGGCAGTCGACTGGGGCTCGTTCCTTTCATATCTTGAGTCGCCCGTCCTCACGCTTGCATCGCACAGAAAGACAGAGACAGGAAGGATGCTCACCCAGAGCTGCACGCTCAACCGGACTTCTCTGGACCACCTCAACTTTCAGCCATTCTTGGTTACTTGCGAAGCAGTCCTATTTGCTCTTCGATCATCAACACCGAGCACGAGATTATCTCCCTAGTCTTGCTATCGTTGCTTCGCCAGCCCCTCGATGAATCCCCAAGAGCCTGCGAAAATGTCCGCACCAGCAGACGAGGCGGATGAAGCAGTTGCCGCATTTGCCGCGGACGATCCGGACTTGGCGAAACTGTTGCCTACGCTAGACGAGGAAGACTTGGAAGCACTGAAGGCGGCTGACGAATGGGTGTACGAGTGCGTAGTCCTGAGTCGTGTCTTGCACTTCAAGGCTCTTCGGATTGCCCAGATACTGAACATTAGCCACTAACGGCGGGGCCCCCAAGTGGGACAGTTTTCAAACCAAAAGGCCACACTTGCACCCACGGACAACTCCATCCGAATTGAAGCTATAAATTATATAATAAATGCATTGTAACTGCCTTTTCTTAGAGTTTTCAGCAATATTAATTGTTCACCTGGTACCGTACAGGCTGGCGGATTGCACGGCGTGAAGATCGCACCATAATGGGCTCGTCGTCTTCATCATCCGGTTTATCAGACCCCTCCTTGTCCCTATCGTCAACAACCACCCCTTTGTCTAATTCTTCTGAATCGTTATATTCAGAGGAGAGGGAGTCTTCAAATAGTGATCTCTCTGCCCATTGCTCAATAGCAGCTTGTGTGGCCTCCGTATGCTTGATTTATTCAGCAATAATATTCCTAATCTTCTATAGCCATTGATTAGGCTCTTTCTGAGGGGCCTTATGGCGCTTCTTTGGTTATGTCATGGTCTGGTATAGGTAGCCCATGTGGTGAGTCCTGGAGCCCGGACATGAGTACATGTACCACCATTGAATGTCAAGCTGCCACGCTTGATATTCGACATCCTTTTGGGAGGAACAGCCGTGGCATGGTGGTTATGGTGAGCGTTCCGTCACAGGCTATAGATGCTCAATTTTTATCGTCTTTTGCCTCTATCTGCTGTTTCAGAAGGGCTATCTCAACCATTATCTCATGGTACGCCTTCGCAACTAAGCGGACTCCTGCTTGCTGTTCAGGGGTCTCAACCACTGTTAATAGCATCAGGGCTGTGTCCTGCCCTAATTTAGGGGCTTCTAATGCTTCAGGAATGGTTTCTGGGTCCATTATAGCTGCTGCTGCTGCTTGTATCTCTCCTGCCTTCACTATATACTCATTTGTCAGCATTTTCTGCCAATTTACAGGCCAAAGATTAGCATCATGCCATCCCGAACCCATGATAACTGGCGTGACTTTATCGCGAGCTTTTGCTAGGCAACTGAGGAACTTAATTTTACTAATAGGGGCCGAATCATTGAACGGACCGAGCTAGTTGATGAGGCGGCGATAGGCGGCCTTCACCACAGAGAAAACGGTCAGATCCAGTGGCTGGAAGATGTAAGACTACCTCTATTAGCAGAACAACTACTAATTGACCAAATAACCTACTATATGGGCAGGAAAAAAGCACATATACACGTTGTTTATGTAGCATAAACTCGTCTGAGCAATGGCTGCCATTGTTGAATACACGGATGTTGATTGATTCTATTAATTGTTCTGCTCTACGTGCAGAGATTGATCATCTGTCTTCTTGGTGGGTCAGATGCCCTGTGCGTCTCTGCCCCACTTGAGATCTTCCAGTGTCTATCTCTGTGACGGCCTGCACAGACCTTCCCACATGACAAGCCGATACTTCCCAATAAGGGAAGGATCTGACCAGAGGATCCCCTTAAAGGGGCAACCTCCTGCTGTACCTATCTCTCCCTCTCTTCCTTTCCTCTCTAGTCTTGATATTCTCGTCAATAGTGTAATAGCTGCTTGCTGCAGGCCATGTCCCAGCTCCCCAGTATGCTCGCCGTGACAATCTCCGGCTCCCATTCTACAGCCATGGTCATCTAGTATTAAGAGGCGAAAATCATTGGGATCTTTAGAAGCTATATTAGATAGATAGATCTAGGGCTTAATTAGCATGTAGTTAATGCCATTAAATTAAAAAATAAATACTTTCTTAAGCTATTGCAGTGCAATCTCGTTTGAGGACCAGCCGTTAATAACGTACGTTATAAACCACTTTGTCATTTCAGGATGCTCTTTAACAACCTGTTCTTTAAACCACTGCATTTGTATTGACTTTGCTTTGAAGATAATGAGCGGCTGGAGCTTTTTCCCAGTGGCAGTGATCGATTTCGCCACTGTAGTTCATGTACGGTCATCGTTAGACTTGACATTGGCCCTTTTTGAGCCAGAACTGCCTATTATAAGGCCATCAGGCCTATAATTTCCTGGTCAGCTGTTCAAAAATCACTTTGAATGGACAATTCACATACTGCCAGCCCTGCATAATACCGTACTTATCGACATCTGCCCGGTTTTTAAGTTTGATGAAAGTGAACTCCTCATACAGATCATGAAACGTATTCACATTTTCAGGCGTAGTAGCGTTGATATGCTTATAGTCAAGCTTTTGGCCCATTTTGGTCTTAATCTTCTGGTGTCGACGGATGAAGTTTTGTATGTAATGGCTCCATAAATGATCTGATTTTCCCTCAGATTTGAGGATCTGGCGGATGATGAACTTGATGTTGCTGTAAGTTGGTGCATGGCCGGCCTTTTCTTGGTACAGAACCCATAGAATTACCTTCTTTTCTTGAGAAGGGCTTAACTTCTGAGCATAAGAATGCCCTTCTTGCACTATACCAGTTAGGCGCATTGTGATGCTGTCTATCTTACAAGAGAGAGTTGATTTGGGTATTCTCTAGTGATAATAGGCTTTGCGGAGGGATAGGCCATTATTTATAGCGGTTATTACCTCTATAAGGTCTTTTTCAGTGTATTAAGGAGGAATTTTGTCGTACTAAAGCCACTATTATTTACAGATTTTTTTTAACAAGATTTCTATTGGATGGGAGGTAATAGGGGGCACGGGTCCTATTACCCCTCAGATTAGGCCCGGAAGTGCTAACTTCCGACCCCCACCACGGGCTATCTCGGAGCGGCAGACCTAATAAAATTTATTTTGAAAGAAACACTAAGAAGAGACGATTCTATTGCCGTACTTACGGTATCTAGGGCTTTATTACCGATAGAGATGTGTATAAGTGAACATTGTGATGTTGGGTGTGAAAAGTGTCCCACTTGGGGGGCTGTCCTACTTGGGGGCCCCCGCCGTTAGCTACTGCATTTGCACAGCCCTCCGATCCGGCAAGACCTTCTGGATTTGAATGTAGAGGACATACCGCGGCGTAAGACCGTCAGAGGCCGAGCGAACCTCCTTGAGATGTTCATGTATTATAATGTCAGGAAACAATCGTAAGTAAGCGACCCAAAGTTGAGGAGTTGAGGTCCCTGTACTGAACGCGATACAGAGAGCTGATCTACTCCACACCACCCATAATCCCGGAAGCTCTGAATTCCGAAACAGAAGGGTTTTCTGGCAGCGAATGTGGCATAGAGCTCCGCCAAAAACTCCAGGACCGTACCCGGGCCCGCAATAAGGGCGAATGCCAGGGCGAATGGCCGCATGTGTATATGAACATCGTTTGTTTCGGCCTGGGTACCTTTAGCCCCGTGGCTAACGCACCACCAAACCAAGCCACTGCGCCGGCTCTTAGGAAGATGATACAGCGCTCACGTACACAGCATGCAGCTGTGCTCCAGATCGTTGAACGTTGTAAGTGGTGCTATGCTATACCTGGTCTCTTGATAATATTCAGGGGTCTCCTCTTGTTGTTGACTCCTCCTCATGGCATTTTATCTCACTCGCATATTCGTAGCACAGAGGCTGACTTGATTGGTGCCAGTGAGGGATTATTGCCATCGTCGGCCTACAGTAACGTTTTCTGATCCTCGGTACAATGACCAAGACGTTGCAACATTAAAAGACATACCCTCGGCCACGGTAGACCGTGATGTTCACGGCACTCAAAGCGCCCTGCCCTGCAAAAGATTGACGCGAGAACGCTCGTCGTTTGTATTGGGCTTCGACCTTCCGTTCAACAAGTCATACTGGAAACATCACGACCTGTTGCGATGATCTGGACTCCTACAACGAATGAACAGTTCAAATGGGTGCCAAACCTCCAACAGGCCTAGGAGATCCTGAAGCAGGAGTACTACCAGGTGCCCTTGAATTGCCTCCAAGATGCATGGAGTGAGGATTGCCCAACAGAGGAGCTCCTCAGTCAAGACGAGGTGTTGGGCGACTACAAGGGCATGACCCCAGAGGAGTTGGAAGAGATGGTCTATCCAGCAAAGGGAAAAGAGGCCAAATGAAAGAATGAAGCTCAGAAATTACCCACGTAGATGTGCGCGATGCCCTCCTCGAGAGTGAGGTTTCCTTTTGCCGGGATCGAGGAGAGTCCAGGCAGGGGGGCGGAGATGTTGGCGAACGGCGGAGCGAGCGAGATGGGGCCGACTTTGATGGCATTGATTACGATGATACGGGGATGGCATTTGTATGGATGCAGAATCCTGACGGTGTCGAGGACCTAAAGAGTTGTTTTCAAGACTCGGGATGTACATTCGTTGTTATACGCCAGCTGGTTGACACTGGCAATCCATAACTTATCCCACCCTTGTCCATTACTCCCTCAACTGTGCTTCACCAATCTCATACCAACGTTACCTGGGCGGACTTCCATAAGCCGTTTCTGCCGGCCTCTTCACCCTAATTGCATTCACGATGGCTCCGAGGGGAAGCATTACGCCTAGGGTACATATATCCAGTCCGCTACTTCACCCGCTGCCGACGCTGACCTGACCCGAACCCCAGACAATCATGGCGCCCGCCGCCGCGTTTACCATGGCCTGCGTCTTGTTCGCGTACGTGTGTCACTGTGTTTTCTTAGATATGTACCTGAACTTCTGCGATCGCATACTGACCCATGTCCCACCTGCGTAGCTACACGCGCTCGTCCATCAAGGAAGCCCGGCGCAGTGCTGTAAGTACCGTGGCCGCGCGCATGCCCCTTTCGTCACCGGCCATCCACCCGGTCACGAATGGTAGGAGGTAATGTTAGCTCACGCGTCACAGCAACACGACCGCGAGCAGCGGAGACAGCAGGCTGCGTTATCTGGGGATGATGCTGGCAGGGAAGGACGTTGAAGCTGCGGATTTGTTGGAGTATCATGGAGGCTGTTGCGTGAGGGGCGGGCTTTCGGTGCTTACTGGAGGCGATGAGTAGAGCTGGGACTGTGCTTTGTTGGCGTTGCCGGGCTAGATTCTCTGCGCACTGGAGGCGGCTGGAAGGGAGGGTGTTGGGGAATGAGTGAGGACGATGACGCCGAAGTCAGCCGCTGCTGGGACGGATGAGTGCTCGAGCATGGGGCCGGTCTGAAGGAGGCAGCACCACCTGTCGCAAAGGGAAGGAAGGATTGGACCATGTATGGGTCAGTCGGATGGGATGGCAGATGCATGGGACTTTCCGCGGCGTGCTCCGGGCACTGGGATTACGCGAGCATGGGGAGGATATACCCTGATCTGTTACCGTAGCTGTTGGTAAGCTGATATCATTCACCGGGTTGCCCACGCAATAGAGCTAAGAAAGGAGGAAGTACTCCTTGATATCGAGGACACAGCTGGCGATATGAAAGCTCTGGATGCAAAGGGCGGGCGATATAGTAAGATTCTTTAGAACCCGGCCACCCTCCGTCGCCGTTTCTGTTGCCTGAGTCCAGCCGCTCTCCAAGTCCCGAATCTTTTGACTGAATCTCGCGTGATGGTTGTCGTAGCTCCCATACCAGTGATACTATCGCTTCATGCGATATCTAGACCAGGCATGCGATAGCAGTAGACTTGGATATATGGACACCGTCGGGGAAGCCACAGCATCTTCATATTTGGGCGAGGACACTCTTCGTTTCCTCGCTGCCGACTAGGAGTTGCTATCCTGCGATCGTGTTCTGGCGAAGACCATGACGCTGTCCACTGTTCCTGCTACCCAGGTAAAGTAGCCAGGGTGGCCTGACTCGAATCCATCATCCAGTCTGTTGTGATTATATAGTCAATGATGTAGAGGCCGAATACAACAAGCGGGTGATGTGGCATATACCGTGCATGCATGATATCTTCCGACCGAGTGTCACTTCTAGTTCGCAGTCAGAAAAGCAACGTAGGGCCTGTATAATTTCGACGACCTTTTCAATAAAACCGAACACCAACCTAGAGTACAAGATTTCCACATCCGTTGATCTATGATGCGAAACCGCCTTTAAGCATGATGCAGCAACAGTAATACAGATGTGCGTACTGCCCCCGGCGTTACTCCTTTCTCCTGCTACCTCTCTAGGATATTGCTTCGCCATAGTGTGATCACTACCCGTTGTACACCCTCGGTTTCTTCGCCACAACCGAGTCCCACATAGAATTCGCCGAAAGAAATGGCCGTCCGAGGCAAAGGAGGTGGATGTAGTTACAGCTTGTCGTCCCTTCCTGGATGCGCTGCGAGCCATAATGTTGCTTCCATGCCGGTAACTGAAACAGCCTAGCAGCTGACGTCGACGTTGGCCTTGGAGTTCATCAGCAGTGCCACGATGAGACCGTACAGACCCAGGACTTCGGCGAAAATAAGAATCAGAATCATGCCGACGAAGAGTCTGGGCTGCTGGGCAGTTCCTCGGACACCAGCGTCACCGACGATACCAATGGCGAAACCAGCGGCCAAACCAGCAAGACCGACAGAAAGACCTGCACCGAGCTGAATGAAGCCGGTGTACAGAGGGAGGCGTTGGGTCAAGCCGGAGGAGATAAGGACGGAGACGACGAGACCGTAGATACCGATGATACCAGCCATAATGACGGGTACGATGTCTAGGAGAGGTCAGCGTTGCCTCAGACACATAATGAATAGGAGCGTCGTCGCGTACTCTTGACGATGAGGTCAGGTCTCAAAACACCCATGGCGGCAATACCAACACCCGACTTGGCAGTTCCGTAGGAAGCACCGAGGCAGGTGAAAACGATTGCTGCCGTGCAACCCATGGCACCGAAGAACGGCTGTTGCAAGTTAGTATCGTGAACAGCGTCATTCTCGAGTGACGGGGGAGCTGATTCGAGCTTCGCCAAGACTCGGGATGGAGGGTGGGACTAACCGCGTAGACCGGGCTGCGCAAGACAAAAGAGTTAGCATATGGGAGACTACAGATTGTATGGGTGCTGGGTAACAGCCCTGAAGCATTTCGGTGATGCCGCAAGCTCGTGATGATGGGATCGGGGGTGGGATCAAAAAGACGCTGCTGCAGTGGGACACGTACCAGGCCTCGGAGAAATCAGGAGCCCCAGACATGGTGAGAGAGGTTCAGGACGTAGAATCGAGGTAGTATACGAGCGTTGATGGCTTTGGCAAGCTCGAGAGATGGGCTTCGGAGGCGTCGGGCGGTGGTAGACTGGGATGATGAGCTCGAAGAGTACGGGGCGATGCAGTGGTGGTAGAGAGAGAGGTGTTGCCTGTCCGATGCGAACTTGGAGGTTTGCCTTGGCTTGGGGCCAGGAGTGGATTTTGCAGCTTGCGGACTTGTGATTAGGTCAGCGGAGCGGAGAATTGCAACCTCCGATCGATCTCTTGGCACCCAAAAAATATTGCGATTGAGCTTGAAGCTTTCCTTTCGAGTCGCATCCGCATCTGCAATTTTCTCAACCATCCCACATCTCTATCTCCAGGGCGAGCCAACGCAAGGAACCCTGAAGCCTCACTTCTCACAACACGCGCACGACCTTTTACCGGTTCTACCAAGCAATCACCATGTCTGCGCAGGATCAGAGTGCTGGTGAGTTGGACCATCTTGACATCCGTCTCTGGGGAGGTTCGCATTTGCTAACAAGCTAAAGCTTGGCCCATGGCCGACGCTGCTCTTAGCCAGGAAATCCTCGATCTTGTCCAACAAGCAAGGTATGTACAAGAACCCAGTGCCAATTGTCTGGAAGCAAACAGTACCATCTCTTGCCTTGTACTAACGTTCTCCTAGTGAGTAAATTCGCATACACCGACGCGGACGAGAGGAGAAACTTGGAGGGCAGCGAGAGTTGGGCGGCAGTGGCAGACAGCTCTCTCGTGAGAGTGCTACTGTGGAACGCTGTCGCTCTCCCCTCGCTGTTCCCCAGAGACATGGGCTACGTGACTGACATATGCCAAAGGCCATTACAGACAGTTGAAGAAGGTAAGTGACCCATGAGGAAACTGGTTCCGTACTTGCACGTTATGATGTCCGCAAAGAGTAAGAACTGACTCCTGGTTTTCTGCAGGGAGCCAACGAGTGCACCAAAACCCTCAACAGAGGTGTTTCGGAGATTGTGGTGCTAGCTGGCGACACAGTGAGGATTCTCGACCACCGAGCCCGCCCTTCGTACCAAGTACTGATTGTTCTGCAGGTTCCGCTGGCAATCCTTCTGCACATTCCGCTGCTTTGTGAAGACAAGAACGTTCCTTACGGTGAGCATCCAAAGCCTCAGCTCTTCTAAATGTTCTTGGACTCCTTGTCCAAAGAAACAACCACGAATACTGACTGGCTGCTATAGTTTATGTCCCATCAAAGATCGCCCTTGGTCGAGCTTGCAACGTGAGCAGAGCTGTCATCGGTAAGACCTTGACTCGACTCCCTTGGTCTTAATAACTCAGCTAACTTGTCGATTTCCAGCGTGCTCGATTACGACGAACGAAGCCTCGGAGCTCACGAACCAGATCCGCGCCCTGAAGGATAAGGTTGAACGCCTGATGATTTAAGATACCCCCAGTTCAGGAAACAAATCATAGGCAGCAGGAGAGCAAGAGTTATCATTGGTAGTCACGGCTTAGACTAGACAACAATTGTAGCTATGTCAGTCAATTCTGCGAAATGGATGAATTCGGCATATAGACGGCCCATCGAGTGTCAATGATGATAGTGCGAGGTTTTCTGACGTCCCCACGTGCATGCGGAAGTCAGTCTGCCATGCGGATGCATACCTTATGATCCAAACAATATAATTTATGCACATAGCTTTCCTTCGCAGACGACTCGGGGTTTACGCAGCCTGGGACATGGGCCTGATAGCAACTGCACCTGCAGCCCGCTAAGAAAGCATGACGACATCAGCAGAGGAATTTAAGGTGGGAGGAAGACTACCCCACCATAAGCCAGAACACCACTGAAATAAACCATACATCCACGATGCTGGCTTGGGGTTACTGGTGCTCATTGTCGCGATATCTACTTTTCAAACGCTACTCAGTTTAGCAGTCTCAATTTGAGCCCTTGATGATATCCCTTGTAGCTTCAGTGCCATGATCGACGACTATACACCCACCTCCCAGAAAGATGCCCAACCTAGCTCGTAAGCTCCTCATCGGTGCAGCGGTCGACGGCCTCATAATCCAGCCACTGGCAACCAAGGGGCAGCGAGCTCAGTCGCCTGTCAAAATCAAATATGATGATGCTACCGTAACCTCGCTCCCTCGGGACCAGCACCCCGACACATCAAAACCCAACTCATCTTTCGAGGCTTTTGGAATCATCGGTGCGTTGTGCTGGGAGCTGACCCAGCTAGCTCTACTCTGCCTGCTCCTGCTATAGCGGCGAGAGTTACCACTGACTAGACATCCTACTGACTGCTGCTCGCGTAGGACTGTTTACTGTCTCCCGCCTGAGTTACCTCATTACCATCACCGGGCGCCAACAGGTGGCACAAATTCGTGGATACCCAGTCTATGTAGTGACCGACGTCGCCCTCACGCCATGCACGAGCCAGAGCGAGGCCGAGACGGCCATCACCCACACTTCAATCCAGCTTCGTCGCGCATCGGCCGAACGACTCGTTGAGGAAACCGACACTGAGAGCGAGGCCGAGGCCCTGCCTGCCGCAGCGGGTGGGGAAGACGCGGACGACCCGGGCGCCAACAGCGATCGCGAGGACACGAATGAGCTAGCGGCGGCGGGCGAGAGGAGCAGCATAGCAGAGGATGTATTCAAGCGTCGCGGCAGCTACGGACGTTACGCACAGCGCTGGTTCAGCCAGAAGGTCGGTATGGGTGGGGTGAGGAGAGCCGAGACGGCCGAAGCGGCAGGCAGCAGCAGCAGCAAGAAGACTGCCACACCCTCGGATAAGGCGTTGAGTAAGACGGTGGTTCAAGAGAAGGTCGACACGCCACCTGCACCCTCAGCAGGCGAAAGCATGATACCCAAGTTGCTGCGCATGGCGCACATATGGTTTGGGACCTCAAAGAGCTTCTACTTCTCCTACGATCTAGATATCACCAGGAGTGTGGGCAGTCGTGAAGCATCGGCAGCGAACGCGCCGCTGCACAAGACAGCCGATCCCACGTTTTTCTGGAATCATACCATACTGTATCCATTTACAGGGATAGGCGATGAGTCCTTGATGTTGCCCGTCATGCAAGGCTTCGTGGGACAAAGATCGTTCGTCGTCGACCAGAACCCACCTCAGCTCGACTCCCAGAAAGATGCCGTGGAAATGAGCGATATGACGCCATCCATGCATTCTGACGCGGGATCACCGCCGCCGGAACGAGCATCCGTGGATCTAAGATCGTCTGAGAATAAGTTCGTCATCACTGTTGTGTCAAGGAGGTCGATCAAGCGGGCTGGGCTGCGATATCTGCGACGAGGTGTCGACGAGGATGGTTTCGCGGCGAACTCGGTTGAGACCGAACAGATACTTTCGACCCCTACATGGGATCCATCTTCCAAAAGATACTCCTTCGTGCAGGTCAGGGGCAGTATACCGCTGTTCTTCACGCAGTCGCCCTATTCACTCAAACCGCTGCCGGTACTGCAGCATTCGCCCGACGCCAACTTTCGAGCGTTCAAGAAGCACTTCGACAGGATGAGCAAGACGTATGGCTCTTTACAACTCGTCAACCTTGTGGAACGTCATGGTCCCGAGGCGATAATCGGAAACGAGTACCAGAAGAATGCCGAGAAGTACAATGATGAAAAGTCGGAAGGCTCTCGGTCTCTTGACTTCGAGTGGTTTGACTTTCATTCTGCTTGCCGCGGGATGAAGTTTGAAAACGTGAGCTTGCTACTTGATACCCTGGGTGAAAAGATTGAGGAGAGCGGTAGCACTATTGAAACAAATGGCCAAGTGAGCCACAAGCAGGACGGTGTCCTGAGAACCAATTGCATGGATTGTCTGGATCGGACAAACGTCTGCCAGAGTTCTTTCGGCAAGTTCATGCTCGATCTGCAGCTGAAGGAGCAGGGTTTCGATATGTCTGCCCAGCTTGATCAAGAAAATTCTTGGTTCAATACCCTCTGGGCTGATAACGGAGACGCCATCTCCAAGCAATGTCAGTTACTGCACTTGACCCGGCACAATTCAAAATCCACTCCGCGATCATTGACTATTTCTTTGTTTTTGGCCACTACTGACATTTGATGTGTACAGATGCTTCAACAGCTGCGATGAAGGGCGATTATACTAGGACGAGGAAGAGAGACTACCGCGGCATGGTCAATGATCTGGGCCTCTCCCTAACGCGTTTCTACAACGGGTAAGGGCATCTTCCCAGATAAAGCACGAATGTTTCTAACGCCTTGAGCAGTATGGTCAACGACTACTTCAGCCAGGCCGCGATTGACTTTTTCCTCGGCAATGTCACCGCGCTGGTATTTGACGAGTTCGAGGCCACGATGATGACAAAGGACCCGGGGGTCTCAATGTCGAGAATGCGCCAGCTAGCCATCGAAACATCACAAAAGATCGCCATAGAGGACGATAAAGAAGATTTTATTGGGGGCTGGACGCTTCTAAGCCCTCACATGTCCGACACCGTCCGAACCTTTCCTTTTGAGGAAGTTGTCCTCCTCTTGACCGATACGGCTTTGTACCTCATCAGATTCGACTGGAACCTTGACAAGGTATCATCCTTCGAAAGAGTGGAGTTGAGCCATGTTGTCGGTATCAAGGTCGGCACATACATCACATCCACTATATCTGCCGCCCAAACCGACGAGTCGAAGAATGTTGGAATGGTCATTACGTATGAACCCGGCAAGGCCGATGTGAAGAGGACGAACACGCGGTCTTTATCGACCATGTCCAGTTCAGCTGGGCAATCGTCTGGCAAGAACGAGGTCCTTGACGAGCCTGCCCCTGCGCCGGCCGCCCCCTCGGGCGTGCTAAACCAGGGGATTCTCAGCGCCATCGCAGGCGGGACACGCACGCAGCCACCGCGCAAGATCGCCCTCAAGGCCCTCTACTCCCACACGTCTATAACAGAGGCGAAGGGCGTGAAGAGCATGACGGAGAACGAGCAGATTAACGTCATCGTCTCGGAGGTCGAACGCCTGGTGCTTGCGAGTCAGTCACCCCAGGACGATGACCCAGGCCACAGCAGCATTATCGAAAAGGGTGACATTATATCTTTGGCCGAGGCGAAGAAGAGCACGGGTCTGTTTGAACAGCTGGGACATAGCATCAAGAAGCTGGTGTGGGCGTAGAGGATGGACCTCACCCTCCCTCCCCTTGGGCGAGTGTGGTTGGTTTGGTCGGACTTGGTTCCGGGGCATACAGTATATACGGCGCAGGACTGAGCATAGCACACGGAGGGTCCTTAGTTTTCGAGCTTTAGTCTTAAAATTTTAATCAGTAGAGCGCGCACAGGCGCGATATAAATGCATTTGGTACCGCATGTCTTCCAGTGCAATTGGATAGCGCAGGCCGTCGGCGAGCCGGAACCACACCGAGTCGTGTGATTCGAGCTTCTCCCACCTGCAGCCGCCGTCATCGTCGGCAGAGTCCAGCTTCTTCTTGTCCTCATCCTTCCTCTTCTTCTGATCCAGCAGCGTGTGGTCCAGCAGCCACTGCATCGGGTACCGCCTCGCCTCGCGCCCCACGGCGGCCTTGGAGTAGCTGCCCGGGCTGTCGACAACGAGCAGCAGCGAACCGGGCGGCACGGTTGCGGTCAGTCGCCGCAGGAAGGCTGTGGTGGGGCCGATGCCGGCGGCGGTGTAGAGCTCGTTGAGCGTGAAGAGCAGGGTTATGAGGAGCGGCTGGGCGGTTCCTGCGATGGGAAGAAGAAGGTCTGATAGCTGGGCCGAGGAGAGCGAGAGGATGTCTTGCTGGGTTAAGGTTGAGTGGAGGTGGGTGGGTTGGATTAGGGGTTGAGCATCGGTTTGGGCGGATTGCGGAGGGGGTGCGGTTGTTAGGCCTGTTTGGAGGGTTTGCGTTATGCGACCCCAGGGACCGGTGTCGAGGAGGGTGAGTTTGCCTGTGAGATCCGTGTCTGCGGTGGGCGTCGTGGGCGTCGTGGGTGTGGTGTCGTCTGTCTCTGTAGTGGTAGTGGTAGAACTGTGAAGACCACACGTATGCAGATACGATGCGAAAGCCACGATCTCGGCTGCGCCGCCGCCTATGGAGAGCATCCTCAGACTTCTTGTTGGCGCTTCGGGTGCTTTCTCCGATGGCAGACTTGCAGATAGAGACTCGTTTGCCACCGGACCTCCCGCGTCAGCACGTTCATCGCCATCATCGCCATCATCACCCTCCTGTCGGACACCAACATTGCTGCCAGTACCACCACCATAACCATTCTCAACGATCAGCCCCTCCAGATGCGCCCCGATCTCGGACAGGACCCAACCATAGCACAGCGCGCGCGTGGGGCTCCACCGCGCGGCGTAGACGTCGAGGTTGCCCTCGCGCCCGAACGCGGCGTCGAAGTCGCGCGCGTACAGCAGGGCCTTGACCTCCTGCAGGCGCGCTGTGAAATCCGCGCTGCTGAGCGTGCGGCTGAAGGCGGCGCTGAAGATGTCGAGGAGGGCCTGCTGGTGCTGGAGCTCCTCGTCGGGGGACTCCTTTTCGGCTGTTGCTGATGCGGGTGGTGGTGATTTTGGTGTTGGTGGTGGTTTGGGTTTGGATTTGGGTGCTGGTCGCTTTTTGGGAGCCGTGGTTTTTGACCCAGAGTCATTTTTGTTTTTTTCCTTCCCCATTGTGTCTCTTGTTGCTTCGTGTTTGGATGTGACCGGCTTATTGGCTGTTTGATGAGCTTGAAGTTTTTGTTCGGGCGGTTGGAAATTTGGGGTTCAAACCCTGATTAGTGAATAATTTGAACTCGCGTTACCAACTGCCTTGAACCTTTCTCAGGACACCAGACGTGCAGATATAAACAAGTATGACACACCGTCCCATTCGACCCGAGGATAATATTGTCAATTTTCGACCAGAGTAATTGATGTCTACCAAATATGGCACCGAACATGCCGACAGCCTTAAATGCCAAGGTGCGGTTTAGGTTGCATTTGATTTAGTCGACACGCTACAGTGCATGAGTTCTGCCATGCCTCCGGAACAGCCAGAGACAAGACCTCCACGGACTCAGAACTCTACGAATTGTGTCTGCTTGGTTTGATATTACAATTGAGGGTGTGAAGCATCTCTAAATCGAGCCCGGAGATAATGCATGGTCTGCATGGGAGACAAACGAGCAGCGGCATGTCAGCATGTGTACCGGCGACTGCGGAGGGAACATGTGCCATCCACGAGTAACTGTATTCTCCCACCCCGATTTCCGTATTCTCCCACCCACTAAACCCCATTGGGACAGCCTTCCTACGCGCGCAAGCAACGCACCCCAGCAACACACTCTAAGTACTTCATTCCGTGTGCGTTTTTCACCAATTAAAAGGTACTTCTTATGATGCGACCGGCTGTTTAAGATAATATCCCGTAGCGACGGTTAGGGCTAGGATTAGTGGTTAGGGTTAGCCGGGGGTTTGGGTGGCGGTGCGAGCCCCCCGTCCTTGTGTGCGCCGTGGTGGTGAGGGTGATGGTGGTGGTGGTGGTGATGGTGGTGAATCTGGTGATGCGGTGTGGTGGTGTTGAGGCTCTGCGCGACCGTTGTAATTACAGTGGACTGAGCGCTGTAGTTAGAGTGGGCTAAGCGCTGTAATATGGATGACTGTCCGAATGGGGTTTAGTGGGTGGGAGAATACGGAAATCGGAGTGGGAGAATACAGTTACTCGCCATCCACCAGGATGAGGGAAGCTAGGTGTAGTCCGCCGAGGATCAGTCAGCACCTTCTGCAGTGGAAGGGGAGGCCAAGCAGATGACACCAGACGCCCGACAGTCGGCGGCAGACCGATCCACTAGAGCCGGACTGCTGTCGTCCGAGCTACAACCACGTGTATCGTGCTCTACGATGGCTGCATACAAAATTGGAGAGCTGACTTATCAGACTTCTATCGTGATCCTCCCCTCGACAGACGTGAGGACTATTGACATCGTGATTAGGGCAGGCACTGGCAGGGTTGGATTTGGAATTCAAATATCCAAAATTGCTAGTACCTTAGTAAGTTTATAAGTATTTGAAGCTGATATACCTCTTATTGTCGAGGTATCAACATGAAAGCCAAAGAAAAGCCTCCCCCTCAACCTCGCCCTCGCCCTAGCCCTCGCCCTCGCGCCTCGCCAGTCGGGTGGGGTGTGTTTGACGAGCCTCGGCGGCGCATAGACCGAAGAGTCGAAGAAATGGGACTGATGATAGGACCGACCGACTTGGTAGTTCGCTGTTATAGACCCGTAATAGCTCCGTCGACGGTCAACCTTGGAAAACACTGCAGGTGAAAGTGCTCCGTGGTGTCCGTAGCGGTGATGAAATGCCTAGAGAGACTGCTTGGGAAACACCCCCACCTGTGACGGCGGATTGCCTTAGTGAGCGGCCACACCAGTGACATGGACCATGGACCATGGTGGATGAATTGTGTCAGGACTCCAGGGACCCGTCGTGCAAAACACATCCTTTACTAGTAACCAGTCCTTCCCACCCAACGTAAATTCCTTCCCTTCCCTCCCCAAACCCGCACTCACTCCTCTCTCAACTCCTCCCAGATCAATTATCCCGTATTCACAGATTCGCAATCATGGGCTACACCGAGAAAGACTGGCTTGCCATCAACACCATCCGTGTCCTTGCGGTAAGGAACGACACCCACCTCTTCCTACCCCGCCCCCGCCCAATACCTGCCCCGCCATCGTGAAATATCACGATGCTCTCTTTTTGCCGCAATCCGCCCCTCTGCCCCAAGAGATCCGAGATCCGGTCACTGACGATGCTCTATCCAGGCCGATGCCACCGCCAAGGCCAACTCGGGCCACCCTGGCGCGCCCATGTGAGTGACGAGTTGCAACGACAAGGGCTTTTGGGATGTTACTAACACTTCCGCAGGGGTATGGCGCCGGTTGCCCACGTCCTCTTCAACAAGTTCATGAAGTTCAACCCCAAGAACCCCAAATGGTTGAACCGCGACCGCTTCGTCCTATCGTAAGTCGCCCTCGATACCCGCTTGAACGATTGCTGACCGGCCGCGTCACAGAAACGGCCACGGTTGTATGCTCCAGTATGCGCTCCTCCACCTCTTCGGATATGCCGTCACCATGGACGACCTGAAGACCTTCCGAGTAAGTCGACACATCTCAGTATATCAGCCGTGGTTGGCATGGACTAACGAGTACTAGACGGTCGACAGCATCTGTGCCGGTCACCCCGAGTCCCACGACACCCCTGGTGTCGAGGTCACCACCGGTCCCCTGGGACAGGGTATCTCCAACGCCGTTGGTCTTGCCATTGCCCAGGCTCACACCGCTGCCACCTTCAACAAGGATGGCTTCCCTCTAGTCGACAACTACACATACTCTTTCCTCGGCGATGGTTGCCTGATGGAGGGTGTTTCGGGCGAGGCCTCCTCTCTGGCAGGTCACCTGCAGCTAGGTAACCTGATTGCCATCTACGACGACAACCACATCTCCATCGACGGTGACACCAACTGCGCCTTCACCGAAGATGTTGTCAAGCGATACGAGGCCTACGGCTGGCACGTCGTCATCGTCGACGATGGTGACCATGACCTCGAGGGTATGGAGAAGGCTATCAAGGAGTGCCAGGCCGTCAAGGACAAGCCCTCCATGATCAAGCTGAGGACCACCATTGGCTTCGGTTCCCTGCAGCAGGGAACCCACAGCGTGCACGGCTCGGCTCTCAAGGCTGACGACATCAAGCAGCTGAAGAAGAAGTTTGGCTTCAACCCCGAAGAGAGCTTTGTCGTTCCCCAGGAAGTCTACGACCAGTACCACAAGCACGCTGCCGAGGGTGCGGCAGCTGAGGAGGAGTGGAACAAGCTTTTCTCAAACTACGCCAACAAGTACAAGTCCGAACACGCCGATCTATCTCGCCGACTAACGGGCGATCTCCCTGAGGGATGGGAGAAGAGCCTCCCCGTTTACACCCCTAAGGACGATGCCATCGCCTCGCGGAAACTGTCCGAGACTGTTCTTACCAAGATCGAGGGTGTTCTCCCCGAACTGATCGGTGGTTCCGCTGACTTGACTGGGTCTAACCTAACCCGGTGGAAGGGCGCTGTTGATTTCCAGCCCCCGTCCACGGGCCTTGGTGACTACTCTGGCCGATACCTACGATATGGTGTGCGCGAGCACGGTATGGGCGCCATCATGAACGGCATTGCCGCTTACGGTACTCTCATTCCCTTCGGAGGTACATTCCTGAACTTCGTCTCGTACGCTGCTGGTGCCATCCGCCTGTCGTCGCTCTCCCAACAGCGACTTATCTGGGTGGCCACCCACGACTCGATCGGTCTCGGCGAGGACGGCCCTACTCACCAGCCTATCGAGACCTTGACGCACTTCCGTGCCCTGCCGAACTGCATGGTCTGGCGGCCAGCTGATGGCAACGAGACGAGCGCCGCATACTACGTTGCCCTGACTTCCAAGCACACCCCATCCATTATTGCCCTCTCGCGACAGAACCTGCCCCAATTGGAGGGCTCGACTATCGAGAAGGCCATCAAGGGTGGCTACGTCACACACGAGGCCGAGGGTGCCGACATCACCCTCGTCTCGACCGGTTCCGAAGTCTGCATCGCTATTGACACCGTCAAGTACCTGGCTGACAACCACGGCCTCAAGGCCCGTGTTGTCTCTATCCCTTGCTTTGAGGTCTTTGACGCGCAGTCCAAGGAGTACAGACTCAGCGTCCTGCCCGACGGTATTCCCTCTCTGTCGATCGAAGTCATGAGCACGATGGGTTGGGAGAGATACACTCACGAGCAATTCGGTCTAAACCGGTTCGGTGCTTCTGGCGCCTACAAGGACGTCTACAAGGCAAGTTTCATGTTCATTCTTTTGGGGAGTTGAAGCTAACACATCTTACAGAAGTTCGAGTTCACCCCTGAGGGTGTGGCCAAGCGAGCCGTAGCTACTGTCGACTTCTGGAAGAGCGTCCCCAACGTTCGCTCGCCAATCAACCGTGCGTTCCAGCAGCTTATCTAGATGGATAAGGGAGTTTGGCGAAACGAGGGTTGGTACGATTATATGGCGCAGCTGATACCGGACAGACTTGAGGCAAGGGACATATAGACGTAGGAGCTAAAACAGTTGAGATTCCAGACAAATGAATTTACTTTGATCCAGAAGAGATGTCGTATTTTCTCTTGTAATGTGGACCAGCCTGAGTGCGTGTTATATACGCTTGTGTCATATGGCTAAAATCCCCGCCCTCTTCCTACTTACTTGAAGCAGTTGCGCTCCTATGTGCGTCACAACTGTGGTTCGTAAGACGAGTTTACGATGTAACTGCCATACCATCATCCCTCCTCGGGCCCAGCTGCTTCATCCATCAGGTACTGCGGCCGGCCTGTACACAGGCTGGGGACGGGGACGGCTCGTGGGACTTCGGCTGGGAGCGTGACGGGATGAGTGTAGGCGATGACCACACTGCCTAGGTAGTTATACTCACTTCCCTCGCTTTTACCACATCAATGGTGTCCATATAGCAGAATCCCCAGGGGGCTCAGGCGTCTGTTCGTTTGACCTCTACCACTTTGTTTTCATTCTTTCTCGCTCAGTTCAGTCCCCGGCAACGTCTTCACCACCACCAACACCACCACCTGCTCCTCCACGCTGCCGCCGGCTCCGGCCCCGGATTTGTCTCTGGCTCAGGTTTTCACTTTGACTTTGATTCCGACTTTGGTCTTGGACCTCCGTCCACCGACTCTGTATCTCCCGCCCCACGCGCTCCAGTCTCGCGGCCGCGCGGCGGGCGTCGAGCGTGTCGTCGGCGCTGGGGGCTACTACGAGACCTACCAGCATGGGCGGTGTGTTGGCGTCTTCTTCGTCGTCGTCGTGTTCTGCTTGCTCGTTGTTGGGGTTGTTGTTGTCGAGGTGGAGGGTCTGTGGGTCGTCGGCACCGCCGCGGAGGTGGGGGTTATTGCTGCTGTTGCTCGGGCCTGCGGTTGTGGTGTATGGGCTCGTCGATGAGAGAGTCAGCGGCGAGGCGTCCTCGAGACCCCCATTGCGCGTCGAGGCAGCCAGGGCGAGGGCGCCGGGTTCCTGCTGGTCGTCTCCGTTCGCGATTGAGAGGCGTGCCATCCCGTTTGTCGCTGTCGTTATTCTCCCAACCGCTGCTGCTACTGCTACGGACGAAGAGGAAGAGGCAGAAGAAGGCTTGGAGTTGAGAAATGTCTGCAGCAGTACGGGTCCCCCGTCCGCGTGCTCAACCATGATGCGCTGCGCGCTGCCGAGACCTAGTCGTAGGGCCGACTCGTGCGCGTTGAGCGCTGTGTGCGAGAGCGAGGTTAGAGCTTGGAGCTGTGATGGGCTGTTGCGCGAGGAGGAGGAGGAGGAGGTTATGAGCGGGTTGAGGGCGCGGTCGGTTAGGTGGAGGGAGAGGTTTGGGTGTTGCACTGGGAGGTTCGCCATGGTGGTCGGTCTTGCGTGGTTTGGTTGGGGCGATTGGTGGTTCGGTTGGAGGTCGGATGGTGGTATGGGGTAGGTCGGGTGGTAGGCGAGGTTGACAGTTTCGGTCTTGTCCTGCGTGTGAGGAAAGTGGCAGTCTTGTTCTATGTTCGTGTCTTGTGCGAGTTAGTTGGGATGCTTATGAGCAAAAAGCTCCGTGCGATATCACAAGTGAGGATGTAGCGAAAATCGGCAGGAGTTACTGCCTTCATAAATCTCCGTCCGGCATGCCTCATTGGGTTTTTGGACATCGATAAAGATAATCAGATTTACGGACTGAGCTTAATGAATAAGAGGTACTCTTATTACTGTCTTTTAATAAGATATCAGCAAAGCAGTATCATGCCGTCTCAACCGTTCGGGTTCTCGATGCGGGATGACGGCAGGGCGGTAGGACGGCAGGAGGGGTGGTGCCATGCCACATCAGCAATGGGAAAGTGCCGTCTGCAGTTCCCCACTAACAAGGTTGAACCCTGAAGGGGTTTGACCGTCTGAGCTGGAGCAAATTCAATGGAATACTCCCACTCTCCAACCCTGAACCTCAACTTGCACGATATCTCACCGTTTTAGTACAACACTTATACCCCGAGTCCCCTATTACACAAGACAAGGTCGTAGCCCCGACGCATCATGTTAGCTCTCCCTCCACACCACTAGGCGAACGGTGTGGGACGAAAAAAGAAGAAGCAGAAGGGCAAGCAGGTCGCCCGCCAAGCCCTGAATAGCGGCACTGGCAAGACTGGCATTCCTGGTGGTAGTGGTGGAGTAACGATGAGCTCGCCTGGTCCTTACCCGCCGCCGCGCCGCGCGAGACCGCCGGCGCGTAGTGTAAGTCTTCCTTATTAATAGCTTCTTTTGTCGTCGTCGTCGTTGTTGTCTCTTTTTCTTCCCTGTCCTTCTGCCTCCCTGAGCTGGTTTGCGCCTCCCTTTCACTGACAGAATGGCCCGCCGCCGACAGAAGCTGCGCAATGGCACATGGATAATTCCCAGCACCGGCGAACGCAGTCGACGCCAATTCACCCTTCGAAGCCCGAACCTCGACGGCCCCAGCGACGATGACCACATGCGCTCCCTCGCCGAAGGCGAAACCTTGAAGGAGAAGGCTCAGTATACATGGCACAACGTCAAGGTGGCAGCGCGTCTGCTGTGGGCGTGGCTCAACTCTCCCAATGGCCGGGGCACCATCAAGTGCTCCATCGCGTACCTGCTGGCTAGCATGGGGACCTTCTGGCATCCCGCTGCCAGCTTTCTCGGACCATTGGACGGCAAGCATATCGTGGCCACCATTGTGACGTACTTCCACCCGGCGAGGACAGCAGGTTCGCAGCTTGAGGCCGTAGCTCTTGCTGTCTTTGCAGTATGCTATGCTATGCTCATCGGCATGCTTTCAATGGCAACTTCGGTGCTCATTGGCAATGTCTGGGATATGCAAGCGCTCTCTTATGTCTTGATCCTCATTGTATTCATTGGCTTCGGCCTGGGTTTCGTCGGCTGGGTCAAACAAAAACTCAACAACCCCCTTGTGAGCGTTGGTGTCAGCATAGCATCCATTGGCATCATAACCATCATAACGAAGGAGGGCTCGGTCCACAGAGCCGAATTCTCCACGAACAAGATCGTCCAATACCTCAAGATATTGCTCATGGCAATGGTCATATCTACAGCCGTCAACTTGCTTCTGTGGCCAGTGTCAGCCAGGCGGGCCCTGCGTGAATCCATGCGGACCGCGTCCACCTCTCTCGGTGAGATGCTGACAATGATCTCAAGCGGCTTCCTGAGTGGTGCCGAGGAAGATCTCAACTCGAAACCCTTCACAAAGACAGCGGCTATTTACCGTTCGACCTTGACCCAGATGAACAAGAATGCGAGAGAGTCCAAGTTCGAGTATTATCTACTCGGCCGTGAGCAGATATACCGGCGTGACAAAACTGTGGTGAAGTCGATGGAGACTCTTCGTCAGTCACTCGGTGGCTTGAGGAGCGCGGCTAACACCCAATTCGAACTCCTCAAGGAAGTATCACACAATCTATTATCTCCTAGCTCGACTGTGTCACCTGGCACGGACTCATTCTCTCAAAACTTTGCCCGGTCTCTATCCGCTTCTTCGAGGAACGGTAACCATTTCAGCACTCTTGCAGCCATCGACGAAGCGCCTGACGAGAGAAGCGATAGAGAGGACGAATCGAATAAGAATCAGGAAACTCTAATGTCTCTGAAGACGCCCTCCGAGATTTTCGAGTTGTTCATTGCCCGACTTGGGCCTTCAATGAAGTCGTTGACTCACACAATGGCTGAAATGCTCAAAGAGCCGCCGTTTGGTGAGCCAGGCTCGCCCATCGAATTCAACGAACAGTTCAAGCAGAGTCTGGCCGAAGCAATCAGGCTGTACAACCAAGCGAGAGGGAGAGCGCTGGAAGAACTGTACAAGACAATCGAGTTCGGCCGGACCCGATCCGAGAACATTCAAGCAGACTTTGAAGAAGTGGCCGCAGCATGCGGGCACTTCTCGTTCAGTTTGCTCAGTTTTGCAGATGAAATGCGGAAATACATGGACGCTTTGGATGAGTTGAGGGATGTTACGGAGCAAAACAAACGAACTTGGAAGTGGCTTATGTTCTGGAAGAAGATCAATTTGCCATGGAAGTCCGTAAAGGAGGAGGAGGAAGATCCCGAGAGACTTCCCCTACTGAAACCTGTCAAGCGAATGCGTCAGTCCAAACTCCCCCAGGGCATCCCCGATGCCATGAAAAACCGTCGGGATACAATCGGCTGGGACACGGCACCGGTTAAGGGATTATGGAGCGAAATTGTCCGAAGCACGTCACGGAATGTCTTGAAGTTTGGCAGATTTCTCTCGAGGGACGACAGTAGGTCACCTCCCCTACTGTGACGCATGCCATCCGCTAACCTTACCTGCAGTTCGCTTTGGGCTCAAAGTCGGCATCGGCGCAACACTGTACGCCATGTTTGCATTCATTCCTGCGACGAAGTCTCTCTACGAACATTGGCGAGGCGAGTGGGGTCTTCTATCCTTCATGATCGTGTGTTCGACGACCGTGGGCGCATCCAACGCTACTGGCTTGGCTCGTTTCACAGGTACCATTATGGGCGCTGCATTTGTTATTGTCAACTGGCTAATCACAGACGGTAACGCCATTGGACTTGCGCTTCTTGGCTGGGCCGTCTCCTTCGGCGCGTTCTACATAATGGTCGATCGCGGTAATGGGCCGTTCGGTCGCTTCATATTGTTGAGCTACAACGTGTCCTCGCTATACGCGTATTCACTCACACAGCAAGTCGAAGATGACGACGATGATGAGGGTGGATTGCATCCCAGGATCAGAGAGATCGCCTTCCACAGAGTCGTTGCTGTGGCCATCGGTATCATGTGGGGCTTGATCGTCTGCCGCCTCATATGGCCCATGCCTGCTCGCAAGAAGTTCAAGGAGGGTTTGTCTGTTCTATACTTGCAGATGGGGCTCATCTGGAAGCGAGGGCCGCTTGCCATTCTACTCCGCGACGACATCTCCGCCACGAGTTACATGAGGATTGGCGAGCAAGCCGCAATGCAGCGGTATGCGACACAGCTGCAGACTCTCCGCGTAGCCGCAAATAATGAGTACGAGCTACGGGGACCTTTTCCTTTCGAGACATATGGACGCATCATGACGTCGACGCAACGCGTGCTCGATGCATTCCATGCTATGAGCCTGGTGACTCAGAAACATGGACGGCTGAGCGAAGGGGAGAAAGCGCTACTCTACCATACAGCAAACGAACGGGCACAGCTTTGCGCGCGTCTTTGTCACGTTTTCCAGGTCCTCGCCTCCAGCATTATGCTCGAGTACCCACTTACGGATGCCATTCCGAGCGTGATGGCCATACGAGATAAGCTCCTCGGCAAGATCTTCAGGTTCAGGAAAGAGCACAACCCGGATGGGACGGAGATCGACGTAGCATCGTCGGAAGCCGGCAATGGCAATGGAAACGGCAATACTGGGAATGGCAAAGACGCAACCATGCTGGGTACCATGAATAGCGTCCCGAAGCTGGGGGACGTCACGCTGGAGGAGCCCGACTACGCGCTCTTGTACGCGTATGCCCTAGTCACGGGCCAGGTGGCTAAGGAGCTCATCGTGGTGGAGAAGGAGATCGAGGGTCTATTCGGCCGTCTGGATGAGGACGCGCTGCTCCTGCAGTGAATACGCGTTCGGGCGTTATCCATCGAGACAATTCAGTCGGATGGTTCATGAAATCGGCTGCCTACAGGCAGACGGGTTGTCGCTCATTGCCAGGAGTCCCCTTAAGGATGGACCTCACTTTGTAGCCCACGCTGGTCTATGATGAGGAACGGTTTTGGCCCTGAAGGTTACTTTGCTTTTGAAAGCATCACGGACGGAGCAGAAAAGGCATTCCTGGGCGGCTTTGGTTGGTGAACTTTCGTCCATAGCGAGCATGGAGTTCAGGCAGCCTTCACACCTATTGGATGAAACGTGCTTCAGAATAAATACTTAGTTGGCTAGGTACATACTTGGGCTCTACGAATACTAGTTCTTTTGTCCAAGTCTCACGCCATCTGTCTTTCTCCCTGCTTGTCAACGTCTAGATCTCAGTATCGTAGTACCACCATAAGGGACTAAAGGATGGAATATACATAATGTACCTGATACCTGTTACCCTTCCCTGCAGCTAACACTCACATTCCATTACCCCTGAAATGATCTCTCCGGTCAGCTATTCTCTTGCCTAACCGCGTAGCTATAGATTATAGATGGAGAGGAAGTAAGCCGTGACTACAGTAGACGGAGGCAATCCGGCACGGGTCATTCTTCCCATAGGATTTCCCACTCGGTGAGCAGATTGATTGCGGCTTCTTTCCGGAATGAACTGAGATGGAACGTAATGGAAGCAAAGGAATACGCCAGCTGCCACCGAGGTGACAAAGCTATCTGGAGTTGTCGATCAACACCGATCAGCTGAGATAGGGGCGTGTCCAGAAATGGTCTCATTTCCCACAGAAAGACTGGAGGGAGATGATGATGACTTGTACTTAGTCCCGCAAGATGGAATCCGGAGCCGTAGTTCCTTCACGTGGGTTTAGCCATGGCTCCGGTCAGGTACCAGAGTGTTCCAGCAGCATAGTCTGTCGTTGCGGTTAGACCTAACTATAGGACAGGAATGGATTGATTTACATGAGACACGACAACTTGATATCGACTACTAAGCAGAGAGCCGCGGAACGACCACGGATCCATCTCTCTAGTTATTCATACGACACCTGAAATGGACAGGTTCCAGAAGTGGCGTGCCCACCTATCCGTATCTCAAAATAGTGTGGAGCTGTTACGCGCCCAGCCGGACACGAAATGGCTCCTTCCATGCACTTACTAACCTTTGCTGAGCTCTGTGCGTTTCACACCGCCGTTGTTGTGGCTTACCTGATTGTCATATGGGTAGTTGTAGCTCGAGACTGTGAGGACAATAAATCTCCTTTGGACAGGCCAGATACTCCTTCTGCAAAGTCCTTTGGGGATTGTGGCCATTACGGATCGACCGCTGTAGTGTATTTTCGTAGACGCCATGGTCTGTCTGAGTTTCAGCCCTGGCCGTGGAGGCGTCGTGGGCACAAGCTGACGGTACTCTGAGCCCTTGACTGGAATTGTGCTATTGTGGTCATGTGAGAAGGATGTCACCTTGCAACGTCTGAGTTGTGTAACTATACCACGTGGAACCCCTGTCCGGAGGATTCTGTCGAGGGCAGATTCGCATGGGGAGACAGGGCCGGCCCGCAGGCGAAAGGCCGAGCTATCATGTTGAAGAAGATTCAATTCCGCGAGGTTTCCGACACACGGAAACGCGTCTCGAACAATGCTGGCAGCCCTGGTTGGTGGGATATGAGCTGAGGAGCTTGGTCTGCAGCACGGCGGAGGAGCGTCGAAGCTCGGGGGCGATCCGTCACGATCGGTCCCGAGGGTCATGACTACCGCTCCTATATATAGAAGCCGGAAATGGGCTGAAACCCAAAGGTTCAAAGCGAAGGCATCGTGATGATACTGGCTCAAGGCCTGTGCTTGTCCGGTACGATGACCCCCAAATTCATGGCGTCGACGAACAGGGTCTTCTGTCTTACCTGCAGCTCAGCAAGCCATTCTTGAGAGCAAGTAACATGATATCAGAGCGGCCACCCAGACAATTGCCTGCCGGGGCCGTTGTTTGTGACAGTCATGGACTACCATTCTTCAGAGCAGGTAACATGATACCACAGCGGCCACACAGACAATTGCCTGCCGGGGCCGTTGCTTGTGATAGTCATGGACTGTCATCTTCAGATACCCCTGCCTCAAGTCGAAGCTGAGAGCCGGCAATATCTCACCGAAAGGGTCAGACAGGTGCCCAGATCCTCAATCGAGACGAACTTAGGTATTCGATGCTCGTAGAACTTCTCATCCAGGACGCCTCTGTCTTGCGCTGCGGCAGATATAAATCTGGAGACATGGGCTTGCCTTTCAGAGACGTTGTTACCGTCCCACAGCAGTCATCGTTCATTTCTGGATAGTACGGTAGACCGATGATCACCGGAATCGTCCAACAAGTCACTTACGTGTCGCATACTTCGGCTTTGAGTATACGAAGAGACCACAATGCCGACGCCGGCCGAGAGCAAAGTTAGCGACCGACGCTTTACCCCCGAGCCCGACTCGATCTCGGCCGAAGACGTCCAGCAGGAATTTGCCGACATCTTCGCAGAATTGCGCGAAGCCGACGAAACGCGTGCGCGGGCTGGCGATGTCAGGGGCTAATGGATGACTGCAGACAGCACCATCTCGCATCTATCTTCCCGCTTCGTCACCGAGCCCAACGTCGACTTCAGCGGCGGGTGGCAATTGCAACTACGGAACCTGTGGCACCTCTATTACGTCGCCGGCAAGCACTGCAACGAAGCTGCCGTGTCGCCGCTCATACTGCAGATCGTTGAGATCTCGCAGCGCGGAGTGCTGCCACGAAACCGCTTGAATAGTGACGGCACTGCCGAGTTGGAATGCGCGCCCATCATGGTCATGGCTGGCACCCGACAGGTTCGACAGTTTCTCTGGGTGGACCTTCCCCTCCTCGTCCCAGCCATGAGGGAGTACTGGAGTCACGACTGTGCTCGGATGAGTCGCAGCCAGCGAGTGAGAATCAGCTTCTTCCTCGGTTCGTTGGCGGCGACAAGCACAGGTCAATGGGCATATGGCCTGTGTAGCATCGCCCTTGTGTTGCTTCGCGATACGCTGGAAAAGGACCGACGGTTGGTCAGGGTGGGTGTCGAGCCAGGAGGCGAGGACAGTGAGAACACGGGGCAGTCGACAGATATGCTGACCATCGCTGACCTGCTTCCTGCCGTCAGTACCTGGCTGGTACAAGCAGGCAGCAGGATAGTACAGCTCTGCGAGGCTGGCGATGGAACCACGCAGGGCTGGCTGACCACGGCTCCCCCTGACGATGTGTACAGTCTAGGCCCTCTGGCAGTAGAAGCCGGCGTACAGCCTGTTTTCGGTGGCTTCAACAGGCTAAGATGGTTCTTCTGGCCGCACAGGCTTGACGCCATTGGCGCCGAAGCACCTGGACAGGAGACTGGAGGCAACTCAACGCCGTTCGTGCAGAGGGTCAAGGCTGAGAAGCAGATGGTGAGGCGCGTGGCGCACAATATGGTATATGCTGCGAGTCAGTCCAACTCGAGTATTGTCCAAGAGTTGCTGCGAATGGGAAGGCTGCCATTGTAAGTTACAGTGTGTCAACCTGATACTGTGTAGTGTGTAATTCATGAGCGAGCGCGACAACAGAGAGCAGAATTACCTTAACCTTAGTGAAGAGAAATATGATTGTGGCTGGTGAGTGTGGCTCGCTCTCTGTAGGCGGTGGCTTGGCAGCTTGGCCAATGCTGCCACTGGTGTCAACGGGAATGTGGTCCACTGCCCCATTGCCCCATCATTGATGGACCCTGAGAATAGCTGCAGGGATCAGTACCTACAACCTCAGTGAAAGCTGTCCTTATTAACTATTCCTACCTCCCATACGGCATTGCGTCTTCAACAGCCAACATTCCTTGCTAACTTGGGATGCCTGGTCCACGTCGAAGACTGCGACGAAGTAATCAAAGTGCACAGCTATTTATCTGAACTACTCTCCTTTCCAACGACGCCATTCCTTCTCCCAGCAGATAGTAGATGCGGTGCTAGGGCCGCGCGGCCAGACATTCTCGGAAACTCGCAGTGCCTTCGAGCCTTCTGGGACGAGTAGAGGGACCGAGTTGGACGATTTATTATATACGCGCAGGGCGTCAATTGGGTCAGAACCATTTTACTGTGCTGCAGGGCTGTCACGAACAGGCGGCGGGGGACTAGGGACGAGTAACGGAATACTGTCCCACGTTTGTCGCAATACCTACAGCAACCAGGCACTGCCGCTATGATGAACGGGTACGACGAGAAAAGCCGCTACGGCGACGAGCCAGAGCCCGGGAGCTTTGCGCGGGCCTTTGATGCTTTCCGTAAGACTCCCAGTCATCTCTCCTCTTACGCTACCTCTACCTCTACCGCACACCTCGCACCCCCAAGCTAACATGCGCCATCCACCAGCAAAATCCAAACCCCAATACGTTACGCGCACGTCCGGCGGCGGCAAGTGGACGGTCGCCATAACTATAATAACGATCCTGTTGCTATGGTCGGAGCTGGGGCGGTGGTGGCAGGGCGCTGAGGACCACACGTTCTCGGTCGAGAAGGGCGTCGGGCACAGCATGCAGATCAATCTCGACATCGTGCTGAAGATGAAGTGCAAGGACCTACACGTCAACGTACAGGACGCTGCGGGCGACCGTATTCTGGCCGCCTCGCGCCTGAAGGAGGACCCTACCGCATGGTCGCAATGGGTCGACGGCAAGGGCGTCCACAAGCTTGGCAAGGATAGTAATGGCCGCGCTGTCACTGGCGCTGGTTGGCACGACGAAGGCTTCGGCGAGGAGCACGTCCACGACATTGTCGCCATGGGCCGCAAGAAGGCCCGCTGGGGCAAGACTCCCCGGCTTTGGGGTAACAAGCCCGACAGCTGTCGTATCTACGGCAGCTTGGATCTGAACAAGGTCCAGGGCGATTTCCACATCACCGCGAGAGGCCACGGATATGCTGAGTACGGCGAACACCTGGACCACAACTGTAAGTTGACCACCTCGGATATTTGCCCTTTGATAAGCGCATGGGACAGATAGGAGACAGTACAGAACCATAACCGCTGACTCAAGCCCACACGCAGCCTTCAACTTCTCGCACGTCATCTCGGAGCTCTCCTTCGGGCCCTACTACCCGTCCCTCGTTAACCCGCTCGACCGCACTATCAACCTGGCTGAGGCGCACTTCCACAAGTTCCAGTACTTCATGTCGGTGGTGCCGACGGTGTACAGCGTCGACGGGTCCGTGTCGCGTACCATCTTCACGAATCAGTACGCCGTGACGGAGCAGAGCAAGGAGGTCGGCGAGCGCATGGTCCCGGGCCTTTTCTTCAAGTACGACATCGAGCCCATCCTGCTGACCATCGAGGAGCGCCGTGACAGCTTCCTGACCTTCATCGTCAAGATCGTCAACATTCTAAGCGGCGTGCTGGTTGCCGGCCACTGGGGCTTCACGCTCACTGATTGGGTGCGCGAGGTCGTCGGCCGGCAGCGGCGGAAGCAGCCGGAAGGCTTCATTGGCACCAAGACGGGCTTTGACGAGTGATTGAGTTCGGCATGGTGACTATGGCTACGGCCATTGCAGAGAAGGGCAATTAAAAAGAACCCTAGAATGGTGGCGCTGGTGGTCAACTCGTGTTATTAGCGATAAAGAGAACGAGCACGCATCGAACCAAGATTTGTTATTACTATATTGGGGGTGTCTGCTGGTCTGGTCGCATGCTCATTACAGATCTGGAAAGGGCCCGTCATGGAGTTATAGGGGTTATCACATGTATAGGTGCTTCTTTCAACGTAACACCGATATGATATACATTTCAGTTGATTTATTCCGTTTGGTCCATATCCAAGTCACTTACAGAGTCAGTATCCCATGGAGTGAAATGGAACAATACGTAGTTGAGAAGGCAGTGGTGAAGGAGGTAGTCATTCCAGAGGCAGACCGCGAACTGCCTCTCTGACCCGAGGCCAAATATGGGGCTCGAGGGCCGTCCATACCAGCCTTTCATCACATTTCCGCCTCGCGGCATCAGATTTTCTCCTTGAGCTCGAGCATACCTGCTTTCGGCTTTGCCTAGGCCTGTTCTATACGGTACCTGGATGGACTCAAGATACAGCACCACTTGTCCCAAGCACAGTTCATCCAGTCTCTATGGCAAAGTAGCTGAGCTGATCCGAAGTTATAGCAGCCACAAATCATCACGTTCATCCTATTGTGCCTTGTGGTAGCGGTATCCAGAATAAGGACCAGGGTCACGAATAGTGGCTATTGGTCTGTATTCTGGAAGTTGCTTGATTGAAAGAAGGGATGGGTGGTGTCCCCATTCCAGAAGTAGCTATCATCCCAGTTGGGTACAAATCAGGTACAAACGGGTACCCGTTGGGCTCCAAGGTACCTTGTATCCTGGTCCGTGACCCATCCGTCATTGTGGCTGGAAAATGGGTTGAGGAGCCACACTATTGCCGGCTAAAAGTCTATTCTCTGACTGTCCCGAAGCTCAATGACAGCACCATACCGCCCGAGCAGACCTGTTATCGCCCGATACATCGCTTGAATCTACCTAATAACATTTCCAGTAACCTTCTTGTTCTGCTTGAATAAACACCCTATAATAAGCAGCCCAAGTTCATTAAGCCCTTGCTATGGTTTATTCAGTGTGCTTATTCTACACTTGATGCGAACCCTGAAGTCCTCGAGTATTCAACCAAAGGGTGTACGGAGACCTTCCGAGGCTCAGTGCACGTTAACCAACAGGAAGCCTAGGTCCCAGCATAGGGTCAGAAAGGGGGATGGACATGTCATGATCGAGATCACGACGGTCTTTTGCCCCCTGATGTACATGCGTTGCTGGTGGCAATGAGAAGACGTCTATGCAAGAAGTCGCCTACCCGAGATCCCATAGGCTGCACCGGTGTAAGAGGAAATGGAGATACCCAAGCCTCCCGGGTGGAAAGGGGTTGTTGCTGCCATCACGTCCCGTATGAGGGCTACATAGAAAGTATTATAATACCTGTTAAATGCGTTCGTGTCCGTGATCGATTGTCACGTATTGTCAGATGTCATAACAGTGGCGTATTTGGCCTTGTTGTGATTGCTGTGAGCAGCATATGTGTCATCCTGTGGGATCACATGTGATACCTGTCAGAGTACCTTTCCCACCTATTTGACCAATACAGACCATTCCTAAATCTCACACGTATTTACGCACACAATAAGCCGAAGCCGACGACCCAGCCTGGTGCTCAATAATAACAGACTTCCCCACCCACAGAAAGAACAGAAAAAAAAAAACAGAAAAAAAGTACTCCTCGACACCAAACCGACGCCGTCTCTACCTGCTACTCCGGGGCGAAGAGGCATTGCACTCTGCATCCACTGCCCAACAATACAGCAGAGAAAGTCATCCCTGATTTCCTCCTGTGGGATTCCAGGCTATACACTAAAGCCATGCGAGTAACTGTAACGCGCACCGGCAGGTACAGACATACAGCCACCTGAAAGCTTTAGACCAGCCAGCCCCTATCTAACCGACACCGACACCGACACCGACACCGACACAAGACCAACACCAACCAGCCAGCACCTGCGTCCGAGGTCACACCGTCCATCGCATCTGGGAAGAGAAAAAAACGAAAAGGAAAAAAAAAACAGTCAAGACCACCTATAAAAACACGAGCATCATACAGTTACAACGCGCAACGGCCATGCAAAGACTTTGAACCGTCGTGGCATACGTACACACTTGGGCCAAGCCCCCCATTTCTTCCCTGCTGTTCATCTTTGCTGCCTTGCGGCGACGGCATACATACGCGAGAGCAATGGCGACTGCTCCAAGGTACGTATCAAGTTTGCGGGGAACGAGATCCGGGCCATGTCAGAAGCCTCGGACCAAGTTGACATCACTACCCTTGAATGCCATCAATTTCTTTGGTGGCCATGCCCGGAGACAGAGGTTCACATTGTTGCCGTCAGTTCATGCTACAGCTATTGTCTTACATGACACTACGACTCATAGAAACGCCACCCAAGGGCTAAAGCGTAAGGAAGCGTGCCTCCCAGTGTTCTGCAATTTGCTCGTTGGCAGCTTCAACAAAGCGTTTTTATGAATCAATTCATTGACGAAGCTCAACAAAAGAACTCGAGTAGCTACTTGGTGTCCCCATCGTAATCAAGTCTGGTAATGAGCGGATTGAGGCTATAGATCATCAGGTCTGTATAGCCTGTTGGTAGGAGAGAAAAACGACATGAATGAAGAAAGATCCCAGAACCATCCCGACAGAAAGGAAATCCGAAACAGTGCGGACCAGAGCACGATGTTGCTCCCTCCCCGACAATCACCAATGTACTACCCGAACCCCTCATAAGTGCAGAAACGCATGCAAGCAATTCGATTTACTTCCTAGCCAGCATGTGTTGCTGCTCAGACAAGTATTCCTCATCCGAGGCGTCGAGGATGTCGTACTCCTCGTCAGTCAAGAACCCATGGTCGGAATCTTCGGCCCAATCTTCGTCTTCACCGCAGTCCTCGAAGTCATCGTCTTCCTGGCTATCGTGGACGCTGGCTGACGGGGCCACACTCTCGGTCTCAGTACTAGTCTCGATTGTGACTTCCGATCGATCTTCGTGAATGTTCTCGTGCACTAGCTTGGGGATGATCATCTGGCTCTTAGTCATTTCAGGGGAGACGACTGGGGCAGCTACCGGAGCAATGGCAGGAGCCACGAATGGAGCTGGCGGGGCAGCAGCCGGAACAACGACTGGGCTGGCAACCGGAGTCGTGACCTTTGCCTGCTCAGTCAATGGCGTTTGAACGACGCTGGGCTTGGAGGGAGGCGTTCGAACAAGGACATCGCACCATAGTTTGTGGCCAAACTTGACACCGTCTGGGGTGGTAAGACGCCAGTAGGAGATGACCTTGCCGTCCCGATCGGGAGTGCGCAGCAGGACAGTGAAAGGGAACTCCTGGCCGGGGCTCAGAGTGTTATAGCGAATAGTCGATTCCGAGGCCGAAACGAGCTCGTGGATACCGGCAGGGTGTGCAGGGTCAATGGAACCCATGTAGTCACCACCAACAAACTTGACAGAGCACCCAGCAGGCCAGGGTGTGGTGCCTTCGTTCCTGAGGACCCAAGTCTGCTGGAAAATGTGGTTGGGAGGCATGACGGTCCCATCCGCAACGGTGTCTCGCTTGAAGATAGCGACGAGATCGGATGAGACAGAATGCTCAGCAGCCTTGCTGTTGGTAGCTGATTGCTGTTCTGTTGGTTGAACATCAACGACAGTCTGCACGGGAGTTGCTGCAATGCTCTCGCAAGGGCCGATGCGAGCACGGCGTGTTTGATCACCCATCGTGGGAAGACGCTTTCCGTCTTCATGCTCTCCAGTAGTGGTGACACTGACGTGTCGCACTGGAGACTTGAACTTGATCAGAGGATGAGTCTTGTTATGGTTATTGGCTGGGCTGGCTTCACAGTTGGCACAGAAGTCAGTATCATGGCATACGGCGCACTTGTATCGCTCGCCAATGATGTACTTGGAGCCACTGTGAGGGGCCGAGCAGAGCGGTCCGTCACAGCAAATTCCGAAATGGGTGGCACGTGACAGAGATCGGAAGACCCGATCGCCCAGAGGCTCGAGGACAGGAACGAAGCGGTGTCCGGGGTGGACGAAGCTCGCACTCTCCATGCACTCTGAGCAGTAGTCCCAATCAGGACAGTCAAGGCACTTGTGACGGATACCTCGCACATACTGATTACACCCATCACAGATAGCATTGTGCACGACGTTGCGGCCTGGAGCCAGTCTGGACGAGATCGCTTGAGGAAAGACGGTGCCGCTGACAGCAGGGGCGAATCCGTGCTTGGGATCGTGACCGTGCGAGTCCTTCACGAAGCAACCCTTGCAGAGGTCGAAGTCATCGCAGGTGTTGCAGTGGACAAATTCCTGTTCCGGAAACTCCTGTACGCAGCAGTTGCATGTACGAGCGTTTAAAGCCGCACTGAAGGCTGTGCTGGAGGGAGAAGGTACCGATCTCTCGGCTGGCCGCAAAGGCAGGCTAAACGCAGATGCAGCTGCCGAGGTAGACGGTGGAGTGCTGTTGGTACCAGCAGGTCGGTCCAGCTTAGGGGCGATGTGCGTAGTGCTGCACTTGATCTGTCCGTCTGCAATAGTCCGCTTGATGAGCCAGTGTCCTTCGCCGTAACAGGTGATGCCTCTAGTGACACAGTCCTGGCAGAGATCGAAATCTCCATCATCGCAGATTGAGCAATGAAAGTGAGCACTAGGAACAGCTCGATCACAGCTGTTGCAGCAAACTGTGAAGGGTCGCTTCAAGCAGCTTGGCGAGTTCGATGCTGCGGGAACATCCTCCTTGGCCTTTCCCTTCGCGCACTCCTCGACAGGCTTTCGCTCAACAGTCTTCGGGGCCATGTTGGACTGGAAATCAGTTGACTTTGCTGTAGACTGGGCCAACTGCTTGACCATCGCCTCCGCCGCCCCCGCCTCCTCCTTCTGGTGCGCGTCGCGGATCAAAGAGCTGAGAGAAAGCTCGGAAGCGGTCTGTGAGAAGCGGTACTGGTCGGAAGAGGGTGAAGTGCTGTCCTGGGATGCCGTACCATCAACAGGTGCGAGGGTCACCAGCGGGGCAGACTGGGACACAGAGCCCACAAAATCGACGACCTCCACGCCATCAGTGTTGTGTCGGAGGTGAATTCTAGGCATTCCTCGAGCTCTCCAGTGCTTGATGAACTCAGGAAACTCTTCCGGATTCTGAGGAGCAGTTATTGTCTCCAACGTCGCGGCAGGACTCGCGGCAGGAGCCTCGCTGCGGGGAGCGACGGTGGGTGTAAGAGCTGGGGAGATGGCGTGGGAGGTAGAACCAATAGCTCTTGTGGATTCAGCGTCTAACTCGTCCTCAACAGTAGCTGGCTTCGGGGCCAAAAGCTGGACAGACTTGGTGGTAATTCGAAGCTTGAGCTTCTGCTTTGCCTTGGCAGCTCGAAAGAGTTGCTTGTAGACGGCGATGTTCTGCTGGTTGAGAGCGACATAGGAGGCCGCGGAATCGGAATATCGCTCGACAGTGACGACCTTCGTGACAGGGATCTGGAGGTGGCATCGGAGCTATTCGGGCTTCCGTCAGCATATTGCTCGACTTGCCAAAGTCAAACTGTATCCAACGGGGAATGGTAGTGCTCGGCCCCATGACGTGATACTCAGTCCAGCACACGCGTCACCAAACAAGGAGTAGATAGCAGCCTATACACTCAATAGGGGTAGAATAGAGCCAGCATAAGGACTCTGCGCAATGAAATGAATCAACTATAACGAACTGACCTTATCCTCGAGGGTGTTGGCACCGAGGTCACGCAGAGGCAACTTGAATCGACGGGGAGCGCCATCCAACTGGACCTTCAAGGTGACCAAGGTGTCAGAAGTAGCAGCAGCGGCCGATGACGACGCCATGTTGATGCACTTGATGCTGCAATGCGTTCAGGTTAGTATGTCTTTGGCAAATATGGTGGTCTGTTGATAGGAAAGCACGAGAAGAGGAAGTGGATGATGGATGTGGGAAGTCGGGAAGTAGGGAAGTATGTAGGAAGCGTTTCAAGATCCGGGGTGACGAAGCAATTAAGCTGCAAGTGCAGTAGCGGCGAGCAGCAGGTGCTGTGTAGGCAGTGGCAGCAGTGGGCACCGGGCGATACCACCCGGCGATAAGTGAGGCGAGTGGGGAGAGCAGGGGGGAGGTGCTCAGGTAACCTGGTAACCCACCTTGCTAGGTAGGCAATCGAACAGTCCAACTGCAGTAGTCGCAGGCGATCCGATCAGGCGCGCTGCTTATCGGTCTGGGGACGCACGAGTGTACTGTCAAGGCGGTCAGTTCAGTGTCGAGGCGGACAAGGACGAGAAGAAGAGCGTAACTCGATGCTGCATAACAGTAGTGCTGGTGATGAGTGTGTAAGAGTGATCGGGCGGCGGTTGATGACGAGGGGAAGGAGATGGGAATGAGTGAGGAGAAGAAAGGCAGTCGGCAAAGGGGCAGTCACAGGCAAGGAATCAAGCAGGCAGGCCATCGGAGAGGCGGGAAACGACGCACTCCCCCATGAATAAACCACAGCAACTTACAGCAGACGCAGTACATCAGACGTTCTAGTAATAAGGTGAGGCGTTGAGGTGAGACAGGAGGCAAGGTGTTGGGAATGAAATCACAGGTGGGCATTGACGAGGAGGAATCGACGTACATATGTAGTAGTTACTGCGGGCCGCGGGCTGCCGGCAGACAAGTGACTCGCAATCAGAGGTGAGAGGCGAAAGGTGAGAGGCGAAAGGCGAGAGGCGAGAGGCAAGAGGCGGCGTTCCAGCGCCGGGTCTCAAGATCTCAAGATCTCAAACTGGCGGCGTTGGCTTGACTGGGTGGACAACGGAACGGAAGGCGGTCATCAAATACGATGCAGATATTCAGATGCAGGTCGATCGAAATGGAAAGCAGGTTCCGTTCCAGAGGTAGTGACAAGACACGTTATTTGTAGAATAATAATGAAAGACTGAGAGTGAGCGGGACAGTTAAAGCTTCCACCCGGTCAAGACTCAAGCTGCTGAGCTATTGCGGGGCAGACCAGGGAGCTGGGAGTTCGGAGTCCAGATCACCCAGGCAGCCGGGGCATGATGAGGCTTGCCGTGGGGACAGTCAGGCTATCAGCAGGTACATTCAAGTAAGGCCTGTAGTGTTTTGGTTTATAACCCTGTTTAATTGTATAGACTCCCGTTTTCCCTCTTTTTTTGTTTAGCCATCGATCGTCCAGGGGTCTTTTCCTGGACCATGAACCTAACAAGGCCATTTGGACACCTCAGCTCTGCTGACTGGAGATCAGATTCGCCGCGGGTTTCGCCCCTCTGACTAATTGTGGCCTGTATCTAGAAGTTTCACCTCGAATCTGTGTGGCGAGAGCCTCAAGGACCTGTGTTAGAATCCCATACTCCTTAGTAATGATTCTATGGGGTAGTTAGGCCGGTATCTTGTTCACATGTTATGAGTGGGATAGCTACCAACCTCCTTTATGCATGTAGCTGCCTGACTGGGGGTAGGAATATTTACTTCTGTTGTATGCTGCATGTCGAAATTGCCACGAGCATACTCGCGCTATCCCGTTGTGTAGACCTTGCACAGGTTGCCGCCGTCCATCCCGTATGCAACAGGTTCGACTCGGTAGTCTTACGCTGCAAGCCAACATTTACGGACATCAAAGTCCATAATGAATCGTCTAGAAAGGAATAGTCCATGTTACGCACTGGTATTAAAAGCCGAGGTCATGTGTAATGCGAGGTGCCGATGGCTACTAACGTCTTGTCATGTTTACTTACATCCATGTATGTACGCCAGACACATCCCTTCATGGAATGCCCGAATAACGATGGTATTGGGCCGAGGGTCGAGGTTATGTGAACCTCACCGTGGACATCGCGATATCTCCTCCCAGCACTCTAGGGCGAGGCTCGTCCTGCGATAGTTACCATTGCAAAAAGTTGCCTTTGCACGTGCGGAGTTAAGGTACGCCCCTACCTACTGGGTCAACGTAATCGCTTCTATATTGATTTGTTTTGGGATTTGGGATGGTTTCTTTGGGAATAGGCATGACGAGGAAGCATCGTGGTAGAGCAACACTACAGGATCAGAGGGGTAAGTTCGACATAGCAGATGTGGGTAACATACCTTTGATTCTAACACCATTTTCCTGTTGAGCAAAATCCAATGAAGTTAACCGTGGGCTCAAAGGTGATGCGCCCCCTCCCTTGAGCCCACGGTTATTCACCACATCTCAAAACAATAAAGTGTCCAAGCCCTGGTGGCTCACGAGTAACCCCGGCCAGACTGGCATATTAACCTACTGGAAATGTGATAGGGAGCATATAAGCCTTCAACCGGTAGAGCCGCTACCGGGTCCCTCACAGAGTGGCATGTTCATAGCAGGTGATAATCGATATATGAGCTCGACACATGTATGACGGCGTGCAGGCGATATCGGAGCTGCCGTGAGCATGGAGGCGACGAAAGGGGCCAGACGATGATACCTGAGCTGGACCACTTCATTCCTCTCCGGATATCTTGCCATGCCACGCATGGATAGGTATGCCCGTAGATGGGTCCAAGTTCTGCAGAAAATGCAAACATCCACGGCCTCGATGCACAAATAGTTGATGTTGGTGCGAACCAAGTGTTGGATGATCGGTGTGCAAAGCGCAGAAACAGCCTGGAGACGCGTAGAAAAAGATAAGCGGCCAGCACGGCAGCGCGACTCTTCTTGATGCAAGTGGCAGCCGGGCGAGTGACCAGCGACGATTCATATATTTGCACGCGCTGGACCTCGTACAAGTGTCAGTCAAGCGTTTCGAAAACACGTCTGCCAATGTGCAGCTGGCATATCCCGAGGCCGCGCCCGCAGCGAGGGACCGATTGGAGGTATGCACGGGCGACGATGCAGCAGAAAACACCTGTGTGAGTGGTGCTTCTTCCCTGCTTCACAGGCGGTGGTTTGCTTAGGTGCGTCTTATGATGGGACGGACCTGCTCGTTTGATTGGGGAGGACGTCGACGGTGTATGCCGAACAGTATTGTCGCTGTTTGCACCTCTGTTCGAGTGTCTGAGTGTTTACATGCATCCCATCTCGGAGGAGGCACAACTTACAAGTGGCATGGACTCAAGATGGAGAGGCCCTCACTGCAGGTGGTGGCTGGAATCACGGGCTGCCCGGTGATTGGCTGGGCGAATGTTGATGATGAGGACGGGCAGACGGGCTCTAGACTTTCCAGCGGCTCCACGCCAGCAGCCAGCAGGCTGGACCGGGTGCCTTCTACCGGTCCCCCCTGCCCTCCTCCGCTGTGCTGTCTTCTCCACTGCTACGCTGCTACTGACACTGCTACGGTGCTAGCTGGACACGCTAAAAGTATGGAAGCTACTAACAATTGAGAAGGCTCGAGTATTCTTCTCTCCACCTGCACCTGAGAGTGCCTCTAAGCCTCTACCTTGTCTGGCCTACCTTGACCTCACCCTCGTTGAAACTTTTGGTTTCCATCAAAACAGCAAATTCCTCCTCGACTACATCACCTAGAGACACGATTCCCAATCCCCATCCGACGGCCCAGTGATACCCTTCACCAGCCTGGAGTCTGGAGGCCTCTATTTACAAGTTGTTCTGTCTCACAGCCCCTTCCGGATCGCTGCTCGGTTTTTGCCTCGCTCTGTTCCCCTCTGTTTCCCATTCGACAGGACGAGACGAGACGAGATTGACGCATCCGTCTCCCGCTGCCGTCTCTGGGCTCCTGTAGGAAAAAGGAAAATAGGCACGCTGGCTTCTTAATTGATTGATTAGACACCGTTTTCCTTCTCACCGTAGGCGGTCGTTTCGCCCGAGGGGTCTTGTTCTGTCCACCGAGAAACCCCATCCGTTGTTCCGTCATCGCCGCGACGACGCATGACCGACATATCGATCACGACGCCAACGTCGTGCCCCAGCACCACTACCTGCTCCATCAGGTAGCTTATCTGCCGTCTCTTCCGGCTCCGAAGCATCCCGCTGGCCACCTGCCTGGACCAGCGCATACCGATCACGAATTACCTACAAGATGGCGGCTCCTGTCCGACGTAGAAAGTTGATTGGTCATCGCCGTCGGGTCGAAGACGAGGACGAGGATGAGGCTGGCCCTGACCATCTCGAAAATGATGACGACTCGCTGACCGACGGTTCCATGGCTTCTGATGACCTCGATCCAGCCGACGATAGTGATACTAGTAATGTCGATGAGGCCTCGCCGACAACCCCAGCCATTACCAAGACGAGTGGCCGTGCAGCCAAGGGCAATGGCGCCGCAAAGAACGCCCAGACCAAGTCTGTAGCCAGTTCTGCCACCGAAAAGCTGTCCAAGTCGGGTCACGATGCTTTGCCCGATACCGAGTACATGCTTAACGGCCTGAACATATCGGACAAGGCCAGCTCCGTACAGGAGATGAGTTTCGACGACGTCAGCGGTTCTCCCTCCAAATCTTCGGCACCCATAGTTGTCAGCTCAAGTGCGGTGGCCGCTGCGGGTTTGGACAACGCACCAGGCCTACCGGGTGACCGGCGGCGAAGGGAGCACGATGAATATAGGCGCAAGCGGGACGAGGACCCAGCCTTTGTGCCCAACAGAGGGGCCTTCTTCATGCATGATCATAGACACGCTGGTCCATCTGGCAACGGCTTCCGCCCTTTTGGTAGGGGCACTCGTGGAAGAGGTCGCGGCGGCGTGGGGGGTCCCTTTGCTCCAGTCAAGTAAGCTTCTACAGCTCATCCGGTCATAACTCACCTGCTGACAGAATGTAGCCAACCATTGCAAAATTCGGCGGACCCTACGACAAGCGCCCCTTGGGCTCACGATATGCATGAGGCCGTTGCGCAACCTATGCCCATTCGGCAGCCACGGTCTTCAGTTGTTGACAACGGCCCTCCAAACGGCGACGGTTTTATACCTACCTGCCCCCCGAGCTCCACGCCGATCAACCGAACAATGTCGACAGAGAAGCACGTCGGCAATGTGCAAGTGAGGGTTTATATCCCCGGTTTTAAGGAACCCATCGTCTTCTCGGGCATGCCTGTGAAGCAGTATACAAAATTGCCAGACCACCGACCACCTCTGAGACGGGACAAACCCGTTCGCATCTCCCTGCCTAATTTCCCTCACCGATACGTTTTTCCGGCCATTGATAGATCATTTATCTTCATACCTCGTGCGATGCGTCCAAATCATCGGCTCAGGGGCAAGCCGAGGTCAGGCATTGGATCTGTCGGGGGATTTTCCAGGAGAACCAGTGTATTTGGAGGAAGCGTTTACGCTGGCAGCACCTACACACCCAGCGTTGCCCTCAGCCGGCGCTCTTCCATCGCCCCTGATATGGGCAGAGACTATATTGTCTCGCCCACCGGCTCTTCGATGTCACGGCCAGCCCTTCCATACGACTCTGCCCGGCCGGTTGTCAGGCTTCCTCCACAGAATCGAGCTGATCCTAGGTTTCCGACTGCAGATGGTATGCCACTTGGGTCGCCCATGGGAGGAGCGCAATCTGGTTTCACTGTAATGCCACCTCCGCAGACGCATCCTCTACCTCAGCGACCAGTCTTCCAAGAAAACCGATCGGTGCCTATTCCGATGCATCAGCCTCGACCTCAGAAGACGGTTTCCGTAGCTGGCATCGAGTCACCGGGTACGCAGGAGCCCATATCCCAGCCATATCAGCAAGCATTCCACCAGCAGGTTCCCGTGCAAGTTTCCAACGGGTTCGAGTCACACGCACGCCATCCATCATACCCTTCTCAGCATTCAACGGGCACACCTTTATCACAAATCCCTGAGCGTGCAATTCATGCTGCTCCTTTCCAGCCCAACCAATTTCAGCAGCAGGGCTACTACCCGCCTTACCAGATGATGCAACCCCAGCAGGGATACTATTACCCTACGGCTCCATACACTGGCGCAATGGCCCCGACGCCTGGCGCACCCCCTTTCGTTCCCGGCATACAGCAGGGCCAGCAGCCCCAGAGCGAAGCCTCTGGTACCCAGTCGAACGAACAACCAGCTTCAAACTCGAACTTGGTCGCTCAAGAGGTCAATGGCATGGTGTACTACTACGAAGCTTCTCAATTACCGCCCATTGCATCTTATCCTCCCTACCCGGCACCTCAAGGCTATCCCATGCCCAATGTAGGCATGAACGGTATGGTCACGCCTAGTCCGGATGGCTACTACTATCCTCCCCCGGGCGCCGGTGTCTACTACCCACAGTAGACTATACTCCTCCGATGACTCAGCTCTTGATGGTACGATCCTCGGTTACAGAAACTCGGAACACAGAAATCTTGTCGGACTGTAATCGCAAGACGTGATCTATTTGCGTCATTAGGCACCTCTGGCTATAAACTCGAGAGCTCCATAACTGCTCCGCACCCTTGGATCTCCTCAACGCGGATTCTAAGGCCTCCATAGCATTATACATGCAGCACCAAGGATCTCCTTGTGCAACTAACACACACCGGCATCCCCCATCTAGCAGCAACCCTCCCTCACCGACATCCGTTTTCGCCTTATCTTCAATGCTCTTGGCGTCGGCTTCTACTTATCATGGTTCCATCCCTTACTGGGAGGGGAACGCCCTGCACTGGCGTTGGATGGAGTTTCTCCGTCACATTTGCTTTACATTTCGCATCGTCAGCGAGCTATTGATCAAGCATGCCGGAAAAGAGAGATTATGGGCTCTTCTTAAACGCGGCGACAGCAGAGTTGGAGCGTGGTGGACTTATTACGGGACGAGCGGGAGGAATAGGAGCTGTTGATACTAGGGTGGCAGATGGACGGCTCGGTCGCCTCGGCCTTGGTTTTCCAGGTTGATGCGGTGCGAGTAGGGAAGCAGGGGAGACAGATGCTTAGGCAGCGATTATCGTGAACGCAGGAATCCTAAAACACTTAACCGTATGCTTTCTGTGTTTACCATTTAAAGCTGTGGTTCCACATCATTGTGCCCCGTGTCTCGCCAACGAATATCGAATTGCTCGTGAGCTCTTCTGCCCTTGACGTGGCAACCTTGATCGCGGAAGCATCGACTTGAACGGAGGGGAATCCATCTCCGTGGCTAGGTATCCAAGAAATTGTTGCCATCACTTTGTAAGTACTTCTTTCGAAAGTACGTATATTTATCCCCTTTCCCCTTTCGACGATTTGCCGCCTCGTATTCGTTGCACATTCATGTAACCTCGACGTCGAGTACTCGAGTGTCCTCCCAGTCAGTACCGTCCTCTCTTTCCATTACCTGTGAAACCACGATCCCTAAAGGGACCAAGCTGGGGTAGTGGTAGGATTCACTCTGGTAAAGAAAGACACCGCTAATGAAACCAGGGCAGTAAAGCCCCTCTATCGTTCTCGTTGTTGTTATCTGGGCGCAGGGGTTACCGTCGTGACGTGACAGCGAGGACTCCATGTGGAGTGTAAATACATATGGCCGGGATATGCAAGCCAGTTGAGTCGTGGTACCGTAGGCATAGAGGGACCCAGTGGATATCTCACGGCTCGGAGCAATCGTTCGACTCGCGGACAGGCAGGGTATTGGTGCCTTCTATTGTACCGTAACAGTGCGAAAGCCAGTATCCCCTTTTTAGAAAAGCATGAACAAGTGTCAGTCTAAATGTAAAGGGGGCATGTAACGCGATAATGCCATGTCTTTAGGCCTCTCAGTCCCGCGAGCATGGCACTGGCACGGCTGTTATCGTATGTTACAAGACTGCTGGTGGGATTTGTCTTAGAAGCATCAGGGGATAAGATGCTGCCATCGTATCTAGGGGGCTCACTCAGTAGTGCCGGTGTCGTGCTCTTATTGTGAAACGACTCATGTATCTACCACTAGCTCATTTCATGCCTATGGTACTTTACACGATCAGTCATGATGTGGGTTGTAAGAAGGGCCAGCACCGTCGTGACGAAACGACTAGCCACTACGAAGTAAAAACACTATGATCCATGTCTATGCCACGCGTGAACTTGGGTGTCATGGTCAAGGCACTGAGGGTAGCATAGATGCAGCAATTCCATTCTGTGTCTGCCTTGCTTATCTAGGGATTTCGTCTACGGAACACCACCAGGGTCTGCGTTACCAAAGGCACGCCATGCTGAACCAGCATCTCAGTCCCATCAACAGTAACACTTCCGTCCAGACAACTCATATACCCAGACGCACATGTACGGTCAAGGCCAGCTTGAGATTCGCTCATTGGGTACATGTATGGGGGTCGAACTACGACTCGGCGCCGTCCGATTCGACCAAGTCGGTGCTGTAGACCCGCGACTTCTCGCCACCCTCGGAACCAGTCTCTGCGGGCGGTGTGAGGTTCTGCTTCTTCTCAATCTTGGGCACGGCGCCGAAGCGCTTGTTGCCCATGTCCCAGACCTGTTCATTCTACGGTTAGATGAGTTCACCAAAGAGGACTTGGATGCAAACTTACGGCGTACATGCTCTTCAAGCCTACGTCGCCAATGATGTCAAAAGGCAGAGTGCCGCGGCTCTGGACGCCGCCGTACCAGCTCTTGCCGTCCTCGGTCGGCGCGAAGGCGAGGTCCTCCTTCTGGATGACGAACAACTTGTCACCGATGGCGACCTTAAAAACGGGCAAGTCATCGGCTGTGACTGAGGTCGGGAAAGTGTAGCCTTGGTTTGAGTAGTCGTAAGTGCTGCCGGGGATCTGCTTGTACAGGGCCTCAACGACCTTGTCCGACATCATAGCCAGCGTGGTACCTGTGTCAAGAATGGCCGCGTTGCCGCTCTGGGTCACAGTCTTACCGTTGATGGATACCGACTCGGAAGTGACCGACCAGAAGCCCTGAGAGTTGTCCACCTCAGTCCAGTGGATGGCTTCACCTGATGCCTTGACCAGATCATCGTCCATGTGACCAAATGTGTAGAAACTGTCATCGGCCTTGGCATCCCGCGAGCTCCAGAATGCCGAAGTGAACAGCTCGGATTCCTTGGGTATGAGTTTCGATTTGATCATGTTCTCAACGGGTGTGGCCTGCGGGTCGGGCCCGCTCGCGTCTTTGACCGTATTGATATTGCTATAGGCGAGGCCCAACAAGCCGTCACCCGCGCTTTGAGTGAACTGGGTTGACATCTTGGTTGCACACTCGATGGTCTGGTGCTTGATCGAAAGGCCGCCCAATACTAGGGTATCTGCGACGCAGTTGCCCGAGGCGCCCGAACCATCGCCGTACTGAATCTTCCACGTCTTCCCAGACAGTGTCTTGCTCGTGCTCGACTTCTTCGGGTCGTAGATGTTGTGGCCTGACTGTGAGCTCTTGCTCTGGCCGGTGGAGAAGACCCAGAGATCGGCGGAGCCGGTATCGAAGTCCAGCATCATCTTTTGCGGTGGTGTTCCAATCTGCACCTTGCAGAGCCATCTGTAAACATAATAAGCAAGGGGTATGAAATGTAGTGCAGCAGGAGTACAACATAATGAATGACTGTTGACTGCGTCTGTTGTCTCGGTGGGTGAAAGGAGAGAAGACTTACTCAACATCATTCTGCTGATCTTCGGCGGTGACCTCACTAGGCTCACTGTCCGGGCTGGTCTTCTTCACGAGGACTCGCTGCTTTCTCACGGTGCCTCCCAGGGCTGTCTTGACGTCCTCCGGAACAAGGCTGTGTTCCTCAGCCTTGTCGACCTTGTCGATGTGATAGTAGGGACCTTCCTTGGTGGGATCGAAGCCGTAGCGGTTCATCACGGAGACATACGACTTGGGACCATGGTGCTTGTAGTTGGGGTTGCGCACCGCCTTGATCTTCGAAAGGCCCTTTTGCGTGGTGTTGGTATTGCTGTTGGGATCCATGATGAGTGGCTGTTGTTGTTATGGGAGGCGTTCGAGGTTAATAATGACTGTAGGCTATGATGGTGGTGATGGTGAGCAAGATGATATATTCGAGTGTTGATGATGGGAGGGAGAAGAAAAGAGACCAGAGAACGAGATCGGGATGGGGTGAAATGGGTCTCTAAGCAGAGCCGTGGAAGGCAACAAACACCGCGTCCGCGTGAGGGTAGGTGCGGTGACAGCAACCATGACGGGGCAGGAGCGCTTCTGCTTGAGCCGTGTACGAGGCAACCGTATCAGCATGGTTGCCACTGCTTGTACCACCGGAATGCCTGCGTATTGGACACCATGTTCCATTCGACGCAAACACAACCTGTACCAAGCTGGCGCACATGCCCCAAGCTGTGTACAAAATGTGTGAGTAGTTTCCTCATCAGCATCTCTTCCAGTGTCATTCTACAGTCGTCCTTGAACAGCGAGCCCTAAGCGGATGGACAAGGCCACAAGTCTCCCGGTTTTGGGGTTTGCAGAAGTCGAACGTGGCCATGAAGAACGATGGCACCTTCCACGACAGGGGAGACATGAGCGCTGTTGTGGAAGTAGCACACAGGAGTCCGTTCCTGCCTTCGACAGTGCATCCAAGGGGCATGTGGCGCGATAAGGCGATGATCCTTACTTCACGTCTGATAGGCTGTGCTGGGGGCATTTAGGGGCAGGAGCTGCACTTGAAAGCTTTGACAACTTATGATGATAGCTTGGAGGCGTGCTATGTACCTGTCAGGAGATGCCACAGTATGGAAGGCGCACCATGGTGACCATGCTGGTGGGACACTGTCCACCGTTCCAGGAAGCGAGGATCCCTTAGTGAGGAGCCCTCAGCCGTTCTTAAGCGATGCAAGACAAGGAAAGCAAACTCATATTCCACTTGGGTGTCAAGCATCACAAGAGGTGGCAGTGCCTATTTAACCTCACGAGACGTAGGAAGGGCGCGGAAGCACGATATGACGAGGCGGAATGTGGCTGGGCTTCCGGCTGGAAGACTGCTGCTGCACATCTGTAGCCTTGCCGAAGGTATGTAAGCTTTGCTATGCGTGACCAGGTAGAGCGCGCCCATCATAGAGGCAGGTAGACACCCATTGGAACATGCTCTCGTTCGCAAGGTAGCATACGATGCCGTGTCAGACGCCCTGGATTTGTGCGACATTTCACAGCTGCGTACATACAGAGCTAGGTAGGTAGTGCAAGGGGCGAGCTGGGCAACAGCCACGATCATGGCGTGAGAAGCTAGAACAAGGCACTCAGTATGAATACAGCTGGTTCTCGGCAGCTGATGCCGAAAGAGAGACAAACCTGGAGAAGGACAAGCTTATGGCAGGCCTCACCTTTCACGTCACGCTGGTTGCACGTACCAAAGGCCAGCTGATGGGTTGTAACACAGTCTGTGGATACTGGCGAGGCATGTCGAAAAGCTTGTGGCTCGAATCTGAGTGCGACGTGGGGATGGAGTGACTTCGCATCCTCTGGGGTCTGATTCGTGGTCAGGTTATCGTGATACTTCACACATTGTCGCAGCGGTAGTGTATGTCGATGCCAGACGGTGTACAATGAGAAACACCCCGTCGGTTGTATTCCTAAGGGAGATGCAGTGGCTGAGTCTCAGATGTCTGTCATGGTTATCGTACGCCCGGTGGATGCCGGAATCTGCTCAGATGAAGCAGGCTGCCTACGAAACACCACCCACATCTAGCCAGAGACTCATTGCAGCTTCACGCTGCCAGGACAAAAGCCTCGAACTCCAGTGCTTAGCCAGCATTCTTCTCCGTCGACCAGCGAGCTCGCCAAGACAACTTGGTCGATGACAATATTGCTGCGTTACTTAGCTTTTGGTTCCCGAGATTAATGTTGCGAGAAAATACGATACCTCTCCAGAGCCCACCTCCTGGTCGTACCATCATTCCCACCACTACAGTGCGTGGCACTGAACCCCCTAGAGACGGGCGGAGTGACCCAGCGTCCGTTCCTCCAGAAATAAGGTGTCGATATGCTGCCCTCCATGATAGATCCATCTTCGCTATTGACAAGCAGGACCTCTTTCGGATCGGCTAGACTGAGGCCATATCGGCTTCTTGCTTCGTCGTACATGATCCGATGGGTGGTTTTGAAGTGAGTGAACTCTGAGCTCGGCGTACCCTGCTTGTCAACGAAGACGTTGAACTTGAAGTCTCTAACCGGAACCTTGTCCCGTTCTGCTTGAGCTGTCCCCTCGCCCGCTGGTTCTGGCAGGCACGCTGGCAGCAGATTTCTCAAAGGTACTGATGGAGTTGGATGCACCTCGACAGAAAAACATCCATCTTGAGCGAGCAGAATCTTGACTCGATGTGGCCCCTTGCCAAGTGGTGCAGTCTTCTCATGCAGCAAAGTCTCGAGTCTGCTCAAGCCTTCCTCGCCAGCAAGGGTCTGGGAAGCAGCCGTCCAGCCCCAATGATCAGCAGCCCTAAGCATGCGATCCCTATGGAAGTCGAGCATATAGAAGGGAGAAGGTGTCTGATTCCAGCGAGTGGTGACGTACCCCTGACTCGGGGCTTCGATCAGGGCCGGGTCATATCGAAGGGATGTAAAAAGCTTGAAGTCCTCCATGCCGTCTCTCAAAGCTCATGACCACTGCTTTACTCTCGTCAAGTCTTCGCCGACTGCGCCGAAATCGAGCAGGCCAACCCGGAGTAACGGGCAGGACGGCAATATTGATGATACGAGGGTACGACGGAGATAGCAAGCGGGTCTATCACGTTGTGTGTGTTCCTGATTAGATCATGGTTCGCTGCTGTCCCTACTAGCAGATGCCTAGGTATTTTAGACAGGTGACATCAGATGTAGCATTGAACAGAGCGATAGAGTAGGTAGTTTGAAAGAGTGAAGTTCAACAAGTCTCTGGCAACCTAAGGCTTGTTAGGGGAAGGGCTGCAGGCGGGCCCCTATCCATCCAACCTTGAAGCCTGGAGGGCGGCAACGGCGCCGGAAGTTTAGCGAGCTCCGGCGCCGTCGATTACTAATGCATGCAGCCGCTTAGGTCCATACTCTGGTCTTGGCGACACGACCCACCCCTACGCCATCGGCCAAGGCCCCCATGAACAAACAAGAGGCCCGAGCTTCCATGTCGTGGTCGTCGCGCTACCAAGAACTGATGATTTTTTTGAAGCTCCTGCTCAGTGCTGGCCCGAGCAAGCATCATCGACAGATCGTCCCGACCTTCGTCACGCATCATTGTTGTCGTCGCATCTGCTCTTCTCCTGCCCGTGTACAAAGCTCTCCATTTATCCACATCCCTCACACTCACAGCAGTCCCCGATCATGTCTGGCGCTTCCGCCGCTCCGCCGCCCATGCCGCCCCTGGGCCGACCCGTTGCCGTCCCCGTCGAATCGTCCGTCTGGGATCGCATCACCAATTGGGCATCTGAGAATAAGGCATTGGTTTACACAATCGCTGGTGTCGCCGTCGTTGTCACAGGCGCTGGTGTGGTATACTATCTGAATGACACGGTAAGCCGCCGCCCTGTAGTACTACGCGCATGGACGGAACTGATAAGAGTGCGTGATGCTCAATAGAAGCCGTCCGCCCCTGCGCAGCCCAGACTGAGCAAAAAGGAGAGACGGAAACAGAAGGAGGCCGAACGTCAAGCCGAAGCTGGGAAGCCCTCTACATCGCCAACTGAGCAACCAAAAGCCGCAGCAGTAGAGAGCGCCGACGAACTACCTGAAATCACCGAATCTACCGTCGCCACTTTCACGAATGAGCAGCGCCAAGAATACGCTTTGAAGCTCAAGAACGATGGCAACAAGTCGTACGGTAGCAAGGACTACAACCGTGCTATCGAGCTCTATTCCCAAGCTATTCTATGCAAGCCCGATCCCATATTCTACTCCAACAGAGCCGCCTGCTACAACGCCCTGAGTGACTGGGACAAGGTCGTCGAGGACACAACTGCCGCCGTCAACCTTGACCCAACCTACGTCAAAGCCCTGAACCGTAGAGCCAATGCCTACGAGCACCTCTCCATGTTCAGTGAATCGCTGCTCGATTTCACCGCAAGCTGTATCATTGACGAGTTCCGGAACGAGAACAGCGCCGCCTCTGTCGAGAAGCTGCTCAAGAAAGTCGCTGAACAAAAGGCAGAGGGCATCATCAAGTCCAAGAACCCTAACAAGCTGCCGAGCCCGACCTTTGTCTCTAACTACATTCAGAGTTTCCGTGTGAAGCCCCGTCCCACAGGACTGGAAGACTCGGTGGAGCTTGCGGATTCCACCGGAAAGGGGCAAATGCAAATTGGTCTGCGTGCGATGGAGAAGAAGACGCACGAAGGCTATGAAGAGGCAGCAACGGCATTCGAGAAGGCTCTAGAATTGGGCGACCTGGGCGATTACGAGGCTCTCGCATACAACTTGCGCGGAACTTTCAGATGTCTACGAGGCTCTCAAGAGCAGGCTTTGCAGGACATGGACAAGAGCATCGAGCTCGATCCGTCCATGACTCAGAGCTACGTCAAGCGGGCGAGCATGCACTTGGAAATGGGTAAGAAACGCTTATCGATCACTCGCTGAGACCTGGCTGATATTATGTAGGCGCTCGCGATACGGCTGCCGAAGATCTGGAGAAGGCCATTCAGCAGAATGACAGCGACCCTGATATCTACTACCATCGTGCCCAATTGCACTTCATTCACGGGGAATTCCAAGATGCGGCTAAGGACTACCAGATGTCGATTGACCTCGACAAGGAATTCATCTTTTCACACATTCAGCTCGGCGTGACACAGTATAAGATGGGCTCAGTGGCATCATCCATGGCTACCTTCCGCCGATGCACCAAGAACTTCAGCAAGGTCCCAGACGTCTACAACTACTACGGCGAGCTGCTTCTCGACCAAGGCAAGTTTGACGAGGCCATCCTGCAGTTCGACACAGCGATGGACATGGAAAAGCAAACCAAGCCCATGGCTATGAACGTCTTGCCGCTCATCAACAAGGCTCTCACTCTCTTCCAGCAGAAGTCGGAATTCTCTGAGGCGGAGCAGCTGTGCGGGAAAGCCCTCATCAGTAAGTGAACTTGGCAACACACGTGGTACGTATTTGCTGACGAAATCATCAGTTGACCCTGAATGTGATATTGCCGTTGCTACCATGGCACAGCTCCTATTGCAACAAGGCAAGGTCACCGAGGCCTTGAAGTACTTCGAAAGGGCAGCTGAGCTTGCGAGAACTCCAGGAGAGATCGTTAATGCTCTATCTTACGCGGAGGCGACTCGGACACAGCTCCAAGTGCAAGAAAAGTACCCCCAACTAGCAGCTAAACTGCAAGGCATGGGTGGCGCGGGAATGGGTGGTGGCTTACCGCCTGGAGCCCACTAGGGCCTTACCGGTGCTTCACAACACACCATTGAAACCAAACTCATTTCAAGTGATTTGGCGAGACTTGTACGCTGGCGTAGGATACTGTGTGAGATGAAATTGGGCTGCTGGAAGGATTCATAGCTTGGGCCAGGTGCCGATCCAAAACGGTCTGAAGCTGAAAGGTTGGCAGCCCAAAGGATGAGAAGATAGCTCACTATGATGCGGTTGCATTACTCTGTACCTAGTACTGTACATACTTAATTCTTTCCTCTGTTTGGTCTGTACGTTTAGTTGTGCTGTGAGGAAGGGTCAACCTTCTAACTCTTTGGCATTCAGTATGTGTGGCCGAGTTACAACTCCGCCTCGTCTGCATGATTCCCACGGGAAGTCTCTACTTCGACCAAACGGGCTTGCTTGTGAGTAAGTGGTGGTTTTTTCGAGGCCCATTGTGGGCTGATTTGCTCACTAGCTACGTCTCACGTTACTAGGGTATCTCACTGCCGCTTTCTGCCGTCTGGGAGCGGGGAGATAGGTAAGTACTCGCACATCTGAGGCGGTGTTCAGGTCGAGACGCCACTTTCCGCCATTGGGGTGGGTGTACATTATGGCCGTCTTCATGTTTCCGGCCTCGTGGACTCACCTGGACGTCGAAAGTTGCCACTTGGATAGAATTAAACGTTTTTGTACCGTTCCCCCTATTTGTCCGCTGCCAGTCTGGGGAAGGGGTCAGGGCCCCACCACATGTTGCTGGCCAGCAAGGCCCCCCTCTCTTTGCATCAAGTGATTTCTTTGCACAGACCAGGAGAATGCATGTAGACGATGTCTTGTAGGATACTGATATTGATTATGCTATAGAGAAGAATACGAATAAGCTCTGGTTGTGTGTACCCCTAAGAGACACATGAATGCACCATGACATATTTAATTCCATCGTACCTATTACCCACAGCCAAGGAACGAAGGCAGGAAAATTAGTTGAAAGTTACAAATTCCTGTTCCCAATCTTATGCAGTGCCCCGAATCCTCGAAAGCCTGCGATAGACATCCCTGGTGTAAAGGTGTAAATGCAAGCAAAAACTCGTTCGCTGTCGTGGTACTGATGCTGAATGCTTCACCTTCGCATTACAAGTCTAGGTTTGTTATTAATGGTTCACAAGAGAGGAATAAGAGGACATGCCTGATTTTTTCAACGTTTGTGCAGGGCGGCTGGCTGCCCGATCAGCCCCACCGCTCCTCAAGCAAGGTCGAGAGGCATATGGTGCGCCACGCGCTCATTGCAGCAGGCCGACCACTTTTCGCCGATGCGTCGGAGGGATCCCTTCTTTCCGTCGCTGGCGTCCTTCTTCGCCTTGCTATCCTTCTTACCCTTCTTATCCTTCTTCCCGTTCTTCTTCTTCGCGGGTGCGACGCCGTGCGCGCGGTAGATCTCGAGCGAGTCCACCGTCGTGAGTGTAAGCGAGCTCGAGTTCGAGCCTGACTTCTTTCCTTCGTGGCACGACTTGGCCTTGGTCTTGGTCTTGGGGCTGACGCGGCTGCGGTGCAGCTCGAGCGAGCTCGAGTCTGAATCTGAGTCGGTGATTGTCGTTGTTGTGGACATTGTCGGCATTGTGGAACGCTTTTCTTTGTGTGACTGTGACTTGGGGCTGTGGGTGTAGGCTGAGCCGAGTCGGCTACGGCTCCCCTTGGGACTTGTGTTGGGACTGATGCGGCTGTGGTGCAGCTCGAACGATTCGACGGACATGAGGGGGAGTTCCTTGTGGTCGTTGCGGTAGTCGTTGTCGGCATCGTCGTAGTTCTCTGGCTTTACTTGCGCCTTGGTGGTTGCTGCTGCGTCCCAGCTCGCCACTGTACCGAAGTGGCGAGTTTTCCAGGCTCTGGTGTCCTTGAGGCTGTCCTTGAGGCTGTCCTTGGCGTCCTTGAAGTGCTGCCGGAAGGCCCAGTGTGTAGACTTGGACTTGGACTCCGGCGCCACGGGGTGCAGCGTCTCCGGCGCTGTGTACCGACGCGTAGGGTGCTGGTGATCCTCCTCGCAGGCGTCCAGGATCTCGACGAGCTTCTTCTCGACGACGTCCCGGTAGGCGGTGGGCGGGTGGTACGGGCTGCGGCGGACATGGTGCATGGACTCCGCGATCCGGCGTCGCTCGTCTGCGCGGATCTGGTTGGGGCGGATCTGGCGCGGTTGGAGGATGTGTAGGAGACGGCAGATGAAGTCGTCGACGTGGGTGGTATCCCATGGCTTGAAGTGTAGGAAGAGCTGGATGATGTTGACGCGCTCCCGGGTGTTCATTGTGGTGCCGTGCCAGCGGTGCGACGGCGGCAGCGCGCTGGTGATCGCTGCGATGGTGTCGATGATGATGGGCTTGACATTCGACGAGAGTAGCTGTGGCTGCGACACCCAGATGGGGTGCACCGTTGCCTGGCTCTCGGCCTGGAGCATGGGCGGAGGAAGAGACAAGCTGGACATTGTGCGACGATTGGGTATTTGGTACATTGTGTGAAGTGCGGTGCTTCGGAGTGTGTGGATGTGCAGACTTTAGGATGATGGACTTGGTGACTTGGGATGAGCGCATGTGGTTATTGAGCTTGGGTGGTTGAATGCTGGATTGTATGAATGGAACTCTTAGACTATTGTCTGCTAAGAGTGCGGTGTCTTGGTGTTGTGTTGTGAATAGGGGGCAGCTCGAGCAGAGTTGGTCTATTGTGGGATTGTATGGATAGATGGAAGGGATGAACGGACTTTTTTTGCTTGACCGGGAGAGATGCCAGGTCATTAAATATTAAAATACTCCAAGGTTTGAGGTTCAAGATAAACTTTTCATGATTGAGGACAACTTGCTCATGTGGCTTTCTCCGAAAGAGATGTAACTTTTAGGGTTTAGTAGTGTCTACATAACCACCAAACTGTAGACAGGCTGCGAGAGGGAATTTTCAGAAACCATGTGCGCCTCTCGCTTGCCGCTAAGCGGAACACCCATAGAACATTGTAGGCATGGAGTCATATACCCTTGCGGCCGTCGCAAAGGCTCAACCCTGTGTGTAGACCGCCAACATGGAAATCAGGTGGTAGACCGTGGTACACCCAACCCTCATTAGTCTCCGTAAACTCCTCATCCACTAAGCAAAAGGTACGTTTATCAAAATTGGAATAAGTATGCTAGAACAAGCATCGAATATGACTTTATAGCCATGAGCTGCTTCTGCTTGTCTGCTTATTCCAGTATTTCCAAATATTCACGTGTGATCTGGAATTCTTCCAACATGGCGCGTACGGAGACTTATGAGGGTTGAGTGTAGCCATGACCCAGGATATGCTGAAGACCGCCAGATTCAGGAAGATTCATGCAAGTATGATGGTACTTATGTTCTACTATATTCACCTATGAAGGACTTGCTGTGTGTTAATGGTGAAGTGGTCTTCTATGCTACATTGATTCTGCGTAGTTGGATAACACCGCGTGAGCTCGCAACTAGGCTCATCTGGAGGTACAGCTGGCAGGATGGCAGGATAAACACCTTGCAGTGAAGCCTCAAACTCCTTGAACGAGGACCCTAATTCGTCGGCCACACAGGCGGTCTTATTGACATTGCCGAATGCGAGGGTCTCGCAAGTATCTGTTGATAAGCTTTTGAGCCCATTACTGGCAAGCATAAATTTTCCGCCACGTAAAACAAGCTCAATGTTCTCCGCTGGCGCAAAAATGGCTTGGGCAAAGGCATCTGACTGGTGCTTCATGTCTGACCGTCCTTGAGCTTGGCCGTCAAAGACGACAATATCTGCCAGTTTGCCAACCTCGATGGAGCCAAGGTCTTGCTCGAATCCAGCTACTTTCGCGGCGTTTAGCGTCATCATCTCCCAGAGTGTCTTCGGCTCGAGAGTCATGCCGTAGCTCTCCTCCGTGAATGAGGCGGCACATACTGCCTCTCTGCCCATGGTTGCCGAACCTGAAGGAAGCCAGTCGGTCCCAAGGGCGACAGTAATGCCGGCTTCGAGCAAGTAAGTGACATTTAGGGTCTTGCCGTAGAGAAATACGTTGCTACGGGGTGACCAGACGACCTGTGCGTCACGCGCGGCTACCAGGTCGAAGTCAGCGGTACTTAATCCGAGAGCGTGAATGATGGCTAGGTTCGGAGCGATGAGATCGGTACTGAGACCACCACCGTCTGAAGCTGGCATGTTATCGAAGGTCATGTTGGACAGACATGCAAACTCGTTTGCTGCCTCTGCGTCGAGACCCTCACCAATGTGGGCAATATAACGATGCAGTTTGCCGGCCGTCTCCCGGTTCATAGGTTCAGGGCCGTAGTCGCAGTCGCCATTCCTCATTATGCCATCGGCGTCGTCGAGAGGAAACACGTCATTCAGCGCTACCGGTGCCACCAGTCCATCTTCTAGTCCGGCAACGTAGTCCAGATTCCGCGTCAGGCCGGATACCATGGCCCCGCCGACGATGGAGGTTGTGCCGGAGAAGAGATGGCGCAGCTCACCCCATCTGGTAGCCTCGACTTTGCTGCCGTTGACAGGGGCATAGCGGGGAGTGTGACCGCGGGCACCGACCCGCCAGTCGTGGCGGTGGTCCACAAGTTCCCCAATGTCAGCGAGGGGCCTGACGGTCGAGTACTCGATGTGTTCGTGCGTGTTGATGAACCCAGGAGAAATGACCGAGTCTGCGCATTCGATATGGCTGGCGTCTCTGGCTCTGGTGCCCAGCCCGCAACTGTCGCCTACGTAGGTGACCTTGCCCGATTGCACGAGCACGGTGTAGTTTGGGAGTGCGCCTTCGGGTGTTATGACTGTGCCTCTCAGGAGCAGATCTCGCGTGATACCCCTGCTGACGACTCTGCAGCCGGCACTCGCCACGCGCAGGCAGGGAAGCGCGGCGAGCACAAACGAAAGGAAACCGGCTGTTCGCATTGTCGTTGCACGCCTTGTTGTCTACCTTGGACTGGAGCACTGAGAGTTGTGGGAGTGGCCATGTCGGAGGTTGAAGGAGATACCTAGGTCAGGTGTGTTTTGTGGGTATATCTGATCCTTTTCACTTGCCACTTGGCACCTTCTACATGTATGTACCTTAGGTAATTAGTAAGGTTGACACATGTCAGCAAAGTTTATGACTAGGTAGCGAAGTCACCTTACCCTGCGGCTCTTGCCGATCCGATATAGACGACATTAGTATTCAAACGTTTCTAGAGAGAGGTAGAAATTCCATCTACTCCGGTGTTTAGGCGCGATATACACAAGCGACAGAAAAGACAAGATCATTAGGCTGAGAAGAAGATGCGAACGACGAAAACGATGATATACCTGGAAGAACCGATGGATTGTCGAGTCATGGGGACTATTTTTAGCGAAAGCGGGTGTAACCTTGACAGCAGCCCCAGAGCCAAACCAGGTCATCGGTATGTGGGTCCCAGCCACTTGATCCAGCCACCAGTACCTAATCGGATCTCCTGTCATCCAGGGCGTTCTACGATAAGGTTACTGCCGTTCTCAATCGAAGTATCGCAGCCCCGCTCTAAATCGCCAGCACCTCCTAACTTTTTTAACTTGGTTTTAAATAAAAGCGATAAAAGTACATTTTAACGACCACGCTTTTAAATTAATAGTTATATATATTCACCGTTTATACTTAAATAGCAATAATTGGAGTGGTCTGCGGGATTGTATTAGCATCTCCCACTCTTCCAGGTGGGACCTCTACCTCACCCATCTATCTACATCTTCACCACCAAATTGGTCACCAGAGATTGTTTTCAAAGCGATACTCATCATCTTCGATTGATTCCGATCATTTTGAACCCACTTGCACCACTCTTGCACCATTTGCGCAAAGATGGCATCAGGTTTGAGATCATCAGCTGCTGGCAAAGCACCTGCCAACCCTCCTCCCTCCAACGTCACTTCTGATGTCATACCTTCTACGATATCACCCTCATCTGACGATACTATCCAGGCTCAACAGAGCGAATATCAGCAATTCGACGATGATCAGCTCTTTGCTGAAGGTCAGGCTTCTTCGCAGAAAAAAAAGAAGCCTGCTGTTAGATACTAGCACAATTGTATTGAATGGGAGCCGGAGATAGACACCGGAAGATCTTCAGTGGGGCAGAGACGCACAGGGCATCTGACCCACCAAGAAGACAGATGATGTTGAATACACAGATGATGATTGATTCTATTGATTGTTGTGCTCTGTGTGCAGAGATTGATTATCTGTCTTTTTGGTGGGTCAGATGCCCTGTGCGTCTCTGCCCCACTGGAGATCTTCTGGTGTCTATCTCCGGCTCCTATTCAACAGATGATCAATCTCTGCACGCAGAGCAGAACAATTAATAGAATTAATCAATATCCGTATATTCAACACCTGCCAAACCCCATTTTCCTCTAAGAAAGATCGTCAAGCCGCTCGCAGGTAACGTTCACTCTCCAGGTGAAGGTGCTTATCTGACACACACACACATATATATATATATATATATATATTAAAGCTTCAATCGGATCGATATTAAAAATGTTATTATATAATTTAAGTCATACAAAGTTATACAAAGTTATAAAAAGTTATAAATATGTTTTTATTCGTATTTAATTAATAGTTTAAAAATTAAATCTTTATTTAAATAAGTAGCTTAATGTCACGGCGAGCGTACTGAGTAGCTGGGACATGGCCGACAGCAAGCAGCTATTACTCTATTAACGAGAATATCAAGACTAGAGAGGAAATGAAGAGAGAGAGAGAGATAGGTACAGTGGGAGGTTGCCCCTTTAAGAGGATCCTCTGGTCAGATCCTTCCCCTATTGGGAAGTATCCGCTTGTTATATGGGAAGGTCTGTTGCAGGTCGTCACACTTAAAGCCTTAATTAACCGTTATTTAAACGAATGGCTGTTTAATTATTATATAATACCTGTTTATTATTGCGTACGTACAAACTACGTTAAATTATATATTAAAGCTATTTGTCAGATGTTGGATCCCAGATGTTGGATTAAAGGTGAGCCCTGAGGGCACCTTGATAGGTAGACACCGGAGCCTAGTTGTTCCGTCCCGATCCAGCCCCCTCTGGCACAAAACTGCCACGGTCGCACGAGGACACTCTAGAGAGACAGAATACACACACACACACTTCAACCTCACGATTGGCTCAAATCTGACACCAGATATGGTGCCCTTAGGTGCAGTACCCACTAGGGGGCTGTCAAGGGAACAGTGGATCCACCCTGGCATGGTGCAGTATGGTATTTAGCTGTAGATTAGCCCTGCCGAGCATACTTGAGAATGACAACAACATTTGCAGCGACCGCTCACACCCCCAAGGCTTGTGACCCTTCTAGAATCTCACACTTATTTTATTAAGAAACTGTGAGCAGTATCCATCTGTATATGTAAGCGGTATGTGGGGATCAGCCACGCTGTCGGGTCGTACAGGGACCCACAGGGCATCTAAGTGTATTCTACCACCAACACTCAGTCGATAGACCTTTTCCTGAATACAACAACGCTGTCACACTCATACTGCACTTATCGTTTCACGGATAATGCTCTCAGAAACGATTTTAAAAGATTTAAGAGTGTACAGCGATTTAGAGCGGGCCCGCTCCACTTGCAACACTTCGCTTGAGAACGGCAGTACCCCTGTCTAACGTAACTTGCCTTCAACCCATCTCGTCGGCAACTGGACTCATTCTCCTCGTCAACTTTCAGACAACAACCATGCTGCTGTCACTTCTCAGCCATTTGATATCTGTTCAAACGATATCCTGACACGGCAGCGGAGCGTCACCTGACCTGGCCCTGACCCGATCCGTCTCAGCATCTATTTCATCCCACCCGCCATCTCCAAACACATCTCTGACACCCAACAAACGAACTCCTCTGTGCACCCGCGAACACACGCACAAGTAACATACGCCTTCGAGATTGGCAAGATGGCTACTTCTTTGAGTACGCCCGAGGCTAATGTCGCCTCCGCCGGTAACGAAACCGCAGACGCACCCACGTTGATCAAGAAAGAGCAAACAGCCAAACCCGACATTACAGAGGCGCCCACAACTGCCCACCCGCAGGTGTCCAACGTGGACGAGAAGCCAGCTACATCAGAGAAGACGGCCGGCAACACGCCGAGTTCGAAAGAAACAACAGCAGCAAGTGCCGCCGCCACGAGCCATGAAGAGACCAAGTCTGCGTCAACTACGCCCGTGCCTGCAGCAGTCGCTTCAAGTACAGCTAACGACGATACCGTCAACCCGCCTGACTTCCAGGGCGAGGTACAGACCGACAACCATCTACCCAGCGTCCAGACCTTACGTAAGATAGAGGACTATACCGTCTTAGACAATGACGGCAAGTCGCATACCTTCAAGAGCCTATACGCTAGCCACAATGTCGCACGGCGCGTGCTCATCATCTTCATCCGCCATTTCTTCTGCGGTGTGAGTGCTTCCCGCACCGTTGTTCGCACTCCAGTTCTATATACTAACCAGCTGATCGCAGAACTGCCAGGAATACCTGCGCACCCTATCTGCCTCCATCACGCCCGACAACCTGCTCCAGCTGCCAGTCAGCACCTTCATCGCCGTGGTTGGCTGCGGCTCCCACGAGCTCATCAACACCTACATCCAAGAGACCAACTGTCCTTTCCCGGTCTACGCAGACCCGACGCGGCGTCTATACAATGAGCTGGGCATGGTGCGGACACTAGCAATGGGGGCGAAACCAGCCTATCTGCAGGATAGATCAGTCGCGCACACCGTACTCTCCGGCATAAGGCAGGGCTTGAAGCAAGTGAAATCTGGACTCGTGACGAAGATGGGCGACCAGCGACAAGTCGGCGGCGAGTTCCTATTCGAGCCCGCGACCCTGGCAATTGACACGCCCATCTCGACACCGCAGGACGAGTCGGACAACAAATTCGACCTGAGCATCGAGGACGACAAATCGAACTACGAGGGCAGCGTGAAGGGCGAGGAGAAGCGCATCACCTGGTGCCACCGTATGCGCAATACGCGCGACCATTGCGAAGTGCCTGAACTGATGGAAGTCCTGGGCCTAGAGGGCGACGGCACTCCCATCAAGGCTGGGAAGAGATGGCAAAGGGCGCTGAAACAGAGGAAGGGCACGGGCTTGAGCATGGCGAGCCAGATGGGCCGCATGGGTCTTGATGCCAAAGGCCTTAATGGCGGCACCAAGAATGGTGCCAAGGCGTAGAAGGTCATTGCGCGAAAGGCCTTCGGGCCGGGTACGATTATGGGAACAAGCGAGCTGGTGTTGGTCAATTCTTAGTACTGCCCCTTACGAGCAGTGCAAGATTGCAACGAAACACAAAGCTCGAGATGACGTTTGATGGTGATTTCGACCTGGAAAAGGGGGCATTGAATACAGAGGTCCGCGGAACTTTCAGGAGTTGGCCTGCAGGCAACACTGGGTACGCTGACCTGCCTTGCGAGTGTTTTGAGTTTTTCGCAAGGGCATTGCGAGGTCAAAAGCCGAATTGCATTGGGTATGTGGGTAAATCTTATGTTGTTTTAGAGCAAAAGAAGAGCATGCGGGAGCGCCATTCCATAGTTTTTGTCTAATGATACCTTTTCCTATTTTCTCTTTCAACTGCGAAATTCCGTGCGCCAGAGACGCGGCAAACGGACGAGACGGCCTGTGTCAAGCTCGTGCACTCGTTGTCTCTAACCGTGACCAGCCAGCCGTTCTTCACTGAGCTTGTCCTGGAAAAATCAAACTTCGACGAGTTCGTTGAGTAGGTTGGGTAGTAAGTAGTCAACAGTATAATTCAACAAGATATATCACCCAGTGTATCCTGCTCCCCTATAGCTGTCACTACCACCACTTTCCGCAAAAGCCTCACCTCCTTCTTAAAGGTCAGGCATAACCACCTATGTACTCCCCAGATCCTATATCCGTACTCCCAGTCCCCTAGAGGCCACGCCCGAGCCCGCTCGTTTGGCTTCGCCGAAATTCATTCATTCATTCCTTCTCCTCCGTATGCACAAGAGCTCCAAGGAAAGAGTGCTGCTATATCGGTTATATTCCCTTTAACCGCTTTGCAAAAGAACAGAACAACCGTCTCCTCATGCAAGGACCCAGCTTGTACTACTACGTTGTGTGCACGTTGGACTCAACCTTGGACTGCCAGTGATCACCTGAACGCAAGCGTGATGTGCGTTGATTTAGATGAGTTCTAGCATGAGTTCAGACAAATGTGTTTGTATAATGCCACCCTCTTACCCCTATTTCCCCATCACTTCCCCCTCCCTAGTACAGATTAGTATTACTACATTTTTGGTTGTCTAGTCAGTCAGCTCGGATACCACTCTGGCACAGTCATACCGACTGTGCTCGTGTCACAGGCGGAAATGGGTTGGCACATGTGGCAAATGAGTGTATATTAACGAGCGACTTTATTGTGTGACTGCTAACTGCAACGCGTACTGAGCAAAGCTCAAGAGTGCACCATAAGCTGATTTGGGTACCGTGTGCCTGGAGGGAATTGCGACTCTCAGGCCAGGAACGTAGAGTCCGGCTGGTCTGCAAACGTCTAGGGCAAAGGCAAGATGTCTCACAGGTAGACTAAGCCTCCTCTCCTCCAACATTTCCGCCTACTTTCTTACAGTAGTCACGAAAGATCTACTAAGATCCGCACCGTCGTCTCCGCATCACTTGTCCATGACAAGACCATAAACATTTTTCGCCGATTACTTTCTGTGCAACATCAATCCTCGAACGCTGGCTGGACTAGAGCATCGGCTTGAGGGCTTTGATGTCGCCGTAGTGCGTTGGCCCGATGGTGTGCGGTGACCTGAGGCCGGTTGGGACAAAGCCAAGTCTTTAGATTGGCGATACCACATCGCACGCCACCTCTGGCGAAGTTTTGGGCTCGAGTAGTTGCTCATCCGGGAGTCGGTGCAGCACTCTGCTTACTCAGAGACATCCGCCTGACTAGAGGTGTCCGCTCTCGTGAGGTTTTATGACGTTTTTCTTGCCATACACAAGGAATGATCAATCAAATCCACCGCCGATCTGGCTAGCAAAGGCCGTGCTGATAGACTTTTCGTCATCATCGACCCGGCGGCGAAAGCCGTTCGGATAACCAGGATAGCCCTGGTCAGTAACATGCTGCTTCAGTCGGTCGCTATGAGTGTACGACGTAGGCCGCGAACGAAGGGCGTCGAGACCAGCGCCGAGGCTTGCCCCACCCTGGCCAACACCCTTGGCACCTATAACGCTTGCAGTCCCATCGGTGTACTCGGACGTCGTAACGCTCTCGCCGGCGATGCTCTCAGTCGCTCGACCTCTGCTCTTGCCCCCCATTCGGCCACCTGATGCTGGGTTGAAACCCGGAAGACCAGGCCATTGGTCAGGATTGAAGTTGGAGAACATGTGCGGGAAAGCTGTGTTGCCCAGAGCAGCACCACCGAGGGTCGAACTATGAATGCTGGATGCATCATCAGGCACGTAGGACATGACGGAACCTGACTCCAAATCATGACTGGAATGCTGTCCGTTGTACCCGCCAGAGAGCCCATTGGGAAAACGTTCAGGGACATAGGAAGTCTGTTGCGGACGTTGACGGAAAGCATTCTTGGGTCGACTGAATTGGAGCAACGAAGTCTGGAGGTTAGATAAAGGACCCTCAACGAGGCATGTCTTCTCCTTGAAGTGGACAAGGAGATGGTGCCAAAGATCATGCTTGGACAAGACCTTTGGGTTGCCAATGATCACAACTCCAAACTTGGCGCGAGTGAGAGCGACGTTCAGCCGGCGGGGGTCGGAAAGGAAGCCAATACCCTGGTTGTCATTGGATCGAACGCAGGACAGGACGATGAAGTCCTTTTCACGGCCCTGGAAGGCATCGACTGATGCAACCTCAACCTCCTTGTACATCTCCTTCTTGAAAGTACCGGTGTTCTGCATCGTGGTGACGATGTAGCTGCGCTGGCCCTCGTATGGAGTGATAACACCAATGTCCCCAGGACGCACGCCAGCCTTGAAGAAACGAGTTACGATCTTCTCGACGTTGGAAGCCTCAGTGCGGTTGAGGTAAGAAGTTCCGGACGCAGAGATCTCCTCGTTGCCCAGATTGGACCAGAACATCATGGGTGATTCCATAACAGGCCAAGGAAAGTCGACATCTTTGCGGAGTCTGCTCTCTGCAGAGACACCATTTTGGAGCGATCCTTCATAGAACATGTTGGAAGGAAACTGCGAGAGGCAAGGATGCATACGATACTGAATGTTGAGTCGGATAGGGGTAAACCCCAGTCGCACCAGTCGCTCGAATAGAGACTGGTTCAAGCCTGCCTTGGCGGCCTTCTTGTTCATGATGACAGGTCCCAGTTGCTTGTGATCTCCCACAAGGACAACCTGTTTGCAGCCCAAAACAAGAGGGATCATGCACTCGGGCTCAGCAGACTGGGTGGATTCGTCGATGAGAACATTGCGGAACTTCATCTTAGCCAGTCGCGGGTCTCCGGCGCCGACACAGGTGCAGCACACAACGTCGGCATTGCTTAGAATCTCGCGCTCGGCAGCACGTGTCAACTGCTTGAATTTCTTTTCATCCTGGCTGGAAAGCTCGCCTTGCTCACTCTTGAGCTGAGTGAGCTTCATGAGCTCTGGGTTGGTATCAAGCATGCGGACTTGCTCGTGAAGAGCAAGGAAGCTGACAGAGGATTCCACATCTTCACGGGATTTGGCAGTGAGGCGTACTACCTTGAGCCCCGTGAGATTGATCCGTTCGCAAAGCTGGTCCACGGCAACGTTCGAAGGCGCACACACAAGAACCTGACCGTTATTCAGTTTGGCAAGATGGTAGATGATGGTGGCAGAAGTCACCGTCTTGCCGGTTCCTGGAGGGCCCTGAATAAGACTCAGAGGCGTGACCAATACGTTCTTGATGGCACTGATCTGGCTGCTGTTCAGCTCTGGAAGACCAGGCACACTGAACTTCTTAGGCAGGTTCGTCTTCATGGGAGCAACGGCAACTTCATGGCCGAGCAACTTGTGGAAGATGTAGCCAGACACACTCATCTCGTCCACAGCAAATGTCTTCATGGCAGCCTGCATGCGGTCGTAAGAGGTAGCTTTCCAGACATAGTCGGCTGAGAAATTGTGAGTGCACTCGGTGGGGACTGATTTGTCGTTGCCCGTCTTGCGCAACTCCAGGGTGACTTCATCAGACTGGTTGTTAGGGATCTTGACCACGTATCCGACTCCCTCCCAAGGAGGGCGAAGCTCGCCCTTGTACTTGATGCGCATTTCGTCACCCACGGCCAGCTTGACATCACCAGATTCCAGCTTAGGAAAAGTAAAGCTGGCCAGATGCTTGTTGTTCAGCCCCATGTCCCATCTGACGACCAGTCCGTCTTCCGACTGCGCTTCTTTGAGTTTCTTGTCATAGTCGGACTCCATCTTGACGAGCGGACCGAAGATGTTCTGGTACACGAAGGGGTCTTCGTACTTGAGGGACACTGGGAGAGGGTCGTCATCGACACTCGCAGCCTTCTCCAGGTCCGCGATGGTAGCAGTTGCATTGTCCTTCCACATCTCTTCCAACTTGGCGATCATGGGAGGGGTCAGGTGTCGGGCACGCAGCTGCTCGTTATCGCTCGGTGGGGTTACGAGCCACGGCAGAAAGCCGCGGTCCTCGATGAGGGGTTGCCATCTAGAAATGTCCCAGCTCATGTCTTTGGAGGATGGCGCTGCAGCGCAAGGTTGTCGGCATAGAAGGACGACAACAGTATCGGATTTGGCAGGGATGAAGCCGAGGAGGAAGACGTTTTTGGTACCGCAGTTATAGCACTCGAGGGTCGTGTCGCCAAGCGCGGACTCGGGATGGAGCTGGACCTCCTTGTGACGAGCGCGAACAAGATGATTGACGATGTGCGACGAACTTGCGTTGCCTCGTGCGCTGCAGAACCACTTGTTGCAAGCAAGGCACTTGACTACCGAAGCTGGTGCGTGGATGCCGCAGTATCTAGCTCAAAACGTCAGCAAGACTGTATGCAACAGCATGGTGTAGTGAGGACATACGCGCAGGCATGCGGGGGCAGCTCCTTGTCCTCCTCAGGCGCCTTGACGTTCAGGCCCTTCATAGCGCCGACAGGGACACTCGCCATGCTCTCGGTATCGTCATCGTCGAAAACTTCGGTCTCGTTATCGTCGTCATCATTCCGACGTCGGCCATTTCCTAGGCCGCCGCGGCCGCCATACTTGCCGTAGAGTAGACTCTCATCAGGGTCAAGGGTTGACAGGTCATCGTCGCCGGCGTTAATAGCGGCAGCAGAGTCAGAGACAAGATGATTCCCAAGGTGAGTAAACGCGCCCTCCATTGTAGTGCCGGTACCCGGCTGGGATCGTGGGTTTCGGGAGAGGGGATCACTTCCTGGGTTCTGGTCAGAATGCTGGAGATGGGCGGAGTTTCTGAGCCAGTAGGATAGGAAATTTCTACCCAGCTAGCTGAGCGTCGGTAGGGCGAACTTCGCACGTACCTAGATTCGGCAGATAGTTGAGTTTCTGCGTTGGAGGCTTGCAGGGCTTTGGAGGTTGTTGGGTGAATTATGTAGACGGTGGGGAATAGTCGTGGGAGAATTGTGTCACATCCTTGACAAGCGTGGTGGCGGATCTAAAGAGTCAGACCCAGAGAGACGAACAGATGCTGCAATTGCGCGATCAACGGCGGTGGCGGGCAGGCGACCTGCGAACAAAGATAGGGAAGTCTGAGAAGGTTTTTGTTTCTCAGGAAGGTTGCGATGGCACGCCCACTGGCTGGTGAGGTCAGGTGTGCTGTCGCATTGGTTTCCCTGTGTGGCTTGCCTCGCCTCCTGCACGTGCGACCGTATGCAGATGCGCGTTTTTATGCAGTTGCGTTCTGAGCCCCGCTGTCTAGGACGAGTAGCTTCTATGCGAAAGGCTACAGTATACACTACTAGCCACGTTTGTCTGTGGCTTCTAAGAAACAATCCCGAAAAGTAGCTGCGTGAAGCTGGTAAGGCTGTTTTATGCACAAGCATTAAAATGATGATTTGCATAACTAGCTGGCATAAGCAGTTTGGCGTGCCACATGCCCTGCTAGTGTCGGTACCTAGGTACATATGTTTCTAGGGGCAAAACTCAAAAGTCCCGATCCATGTCTCCACCGAACTTTTTATTTTCTGCCGTTGGGAGACAGGATAGATACGTCAACCTCGTAGATATCTCAACCTCACTTCCAGCAGAGTGACAGTCACAATATCTCTGCGCGATCTCCCATACTCATATTCTGCTCGACTCCCAACCAGACAGCTAGCTGCACACAGCTGATTTCAGTGCATCATCATGATCGTAGGCACCATTCTGCTGACTTGAGTTGGGGCATATACTGACAGCGCCCCGTAGCGAAAACAAGCCAGGCAGCGGGCCGATTATCTTCACCGCAGAGCTCTGCTCCTGCGCGATGCTGAGATAGCCGAAAAGCGTGCGAAGCTTCGAAGTTCCTTAGCCACCGGCCGTCCGTTGGATGCTGGAGCTGCCGATGTACAAGTGAGGAAAGACCTCCAATATGACGAATCGCGGCCAGACAGAACCGCCAACGAGGCCTTGGATCTTGACGACGAATAGTGAGCCAGCGTTCTGTCCGCTTTTGATATTCGAGGCTGACTTGGTTATGGTTGTAGCTCGCAAATGTCAGGGATTGTCGACCCACGCGTCTTAGTAACGACGTCTCGAGATCCTTCAGCAAGACTATCTGCCTTTAGCAAGGAGATCAGATTGCTCCTTCCCACCAGTATCAGGTTGAATCGTGGAGGAACGATTCTACCTGATCTTACTCGCTCAGCACAAGCTAGTGGGTTGAGTGACATAGTTCTCCTGCATGAGCACCGTGGTGTCCCTACTGCGCTCTCCATCAGCCATCTGTCCTTTGGACCGACAATATCCTTCTCGTTGCAGTAAGAGCTTGTCAGTCGACCTACAGAATCCGGCTAACCTGAAACTGTACAGCAACGTGGTCTTGAGGCATGACATCCCGAACAGTCTTCGTGGCGTGAGTGACATCCAGAGTCTTGCCCAACTAGCTTGAAGGATGTTCGCTGACACTTGGACTTCGCAGACTGTGAGCGAAAGCTACCCGCACATCATCCTAGATGGCTTCCAATCGCGTTTGGGGCAAAGGGTGGCGAAAATTCTGAAGCATATCTTTCCGCCACGGGAAGCATTGACCACCAAGGGCAAGCTAGGGTCTCGAGTGGTCACATTCAAAAACATCGACGACATCATCGAGGTTCGGCATCACGTAGTAAGTGTCCCAACTGGAATCCACCCCCTTTCCTCCTGGTCGATAAGCTTGCCCCCAGGCCGCCGGACTTGATCAGGATTGTCAAAGACTGACTCGCATATTCAGTTTGTGAAGACGGGATACGACTCGGTTGAGCTCAGCGAGATAGGTCCCAGAATGTCTATGAAGCCCTTCGAGATACGAGCGGGCACCCTAGGAGATAAAAACAGCGATGTTGAGTGGGCACTCACGCAATACACCCGCACAAGCCGGAAACGGGAATATCTTTGAGGTGGATCATCTGAAGAGTCCCAGTTGCGAGGCTCGTCTCATGAGTGGTTGTTGCGTCTGTGGTGGAACAGCTCACAGGAACACATAACGCAATGGAGACCGCAAAACCTTCTCTCGGATCCAAAGGAATCGCCAGACAATGGTGTAGCTGTCTTGGATGAATGTCCCCAGGACCTTGTCACTGTGGCGGCCGCCTAGGACGTAGAGCAATTCGGTGACAATGAGTTCTGATATGGAGTGATGGCTCATTGCGATACGGCCCGGCAGGTGCTTGATTTGGGAGGGTTGCGGAACAGCCTTCAGCCTTTTGGCCTTGAAGCATAGCCTGGCGCAAAGGGGCGGCTGGTTATAAACTACCTACCTACGTATACTGATGGCATCTCTGGGCTTCCGTGGCCCAAGCTCCGTATGAAACGGCAGTGTTTCTGCCGCAACTTTACGAGAAGGTCATGGTCGCGTGAGAAGGTCTTGGAAGAGCATTCTCCCCAAGTCTATTCTGAAGCAAATCAGAATCGCTATGGGCATCAGAGTCAGGAAGCTTTGTGGCGGAAGAATGTCAATAGAATATGTAGAAGGCAGGTCTCAGTTGGGGACTGCCGCCTAGCTCCGTCAATGACACGAACTTCAAGAGATGAGTAGAGTTTTTGGATCATATGCGGCATAATGGAAACATGATATGGGATGAGAGATATCACACATGTTGGGTTGACTTGAATCGAAGCCGCGTCTACTACCAATGAGTTGAACCTAAACCTGTTGGTCGAATGAGAATCGTATGGTGGGCACACTGCAGATGTCAGCGTAAGGACCTACTGTAGGCAACGACATAACCGCCAATGGCAAACGAGGGACTGCTCTTGCATCACATCATGGCTTGCCCGGGCACATGCACTGCCGGTATGCCGACTCCAGTTCGTTCCCGATCACAGCCCCAGACGGTGACGCGAGCGGCGAGCGGCGAGCTAGCCCTTCGCCTGCGGGCTGGTGGGCTGTGCTTATTTTTGGATTTGGTATCGCCTCTGGAGGCCCACAGTTCCGGCTGTGCGACGATGGACCCTCCCGCTGAACTTGTCCTTCTCCGTATCCTCTAATAAGTATCGTGTTATTAGTTGTTACTGGCCATACACAACACAGGCACACAGGCTGCATCTCCTGCGTCTCGTTATGAACCTAATAAAGATTGGCAGCTTGGCGGGGGTCTCTGTCTAACAGTCTAAGCCCACGGGCCATCCGCCAATCAACGACCTAGTGCAAATTATAAACAGTAATAAAGTAAGCTTCCACCCGTCTTCTTGTGGCTTACCTAGAATCGTTCTGTTCTTCTTCATTGATGTCCTCCTACGTGTGACTACCACCTCCCTAATTCGTTCTATTTCCCTGTTACTATCTATCTTCTATCTGATCTGGCAAAGACGACGGCGACGCAGAGGACACAGGCGTTGGTTATACGTCATTCCGATCAGCAGGAAGCTCCTGCAGACGGCCCCGGCCTCGACTGCTGTGGACTGCTGTGAAGCAACCAACACCCGCCCGGGCCCCCCCTAGTCCTGTCCTTCAATCGTGCCCATCAGCTGAACTACATTGTCACTCCACCCATTCCTGCCGTATTACCCTTCCAATCTCCCAGACACAAACATCTGCATCGCTTTTCTGCTGTTGTTCGTTGTTCGGTCGCCCATCACCGATCAATTGAGCTTCTTTTTAATTCATCGAACGAAGCTCGCCAGCAGTCATCATGTCTTATGGCAACCAGTACGAGAGCAACCCCTACCAGCAAGGCCCGTCGGCCGAGCAGGGCGGCTATGGCTACGACCAGGTAAGCACCACCGCCATCGCCATCAACGGCAACAACGCGGTAATGATGCGCATCGAGGAGTGTCGCTTACAGTTGTTCAGGGCCAGGGCCACGAGATGCAGGACTACTCCCAGCAACCCGCCGCCTCGCAAACGCTGCCGCAATCAGAATTCCTAAACCGTATTCAATTCCTACGCAACGAGATAGGCACACTAAGGAACAATGTCCAAGCCATCTCCTCGCTGCATCAGCGCTCGCTCGCCGAAGCCGACAACGGCCTGTCCGCTCAACAGCTCGAACGCATCTCTGCCGAGACGCAGCACCTGAACGGCGGCATCCGAGACCAGCTCAAGTTCTTGGCCAACGACGCGAACAAGACTACTGGCGGCAGCCGCAGCGTGAAGGATACACAGGTCAAGGCCATCAAGAGCGAATTCGAACGTGAGCTGCGCAACTACCAAGAGGAGGAGGGTTCATTCCGCTCGCGATACCGCGACCAGATTGCCCGCCAATACCGCATCGTAAATCCCGATGCCAATGAAGAGGAGGTTCGCGAGGCAACCGAGGCAGACTGGGGAAATGAGGGTGTTTTCCAGACAGCGGTTAGTCTCCCATTTCAATATGGCAACGGCCTCTTGGGCTATGCCAAAAGTTCGATTAAATTGCTGACAATGATCTTAGCTCCGCACAAACCGTACTGGCCAGGCGACTTCAGTACTGGGTGCCGTCCGCGCGCGCCACAACGAGCTGCAGGCCATCGAGAAGACTATGATGGAACTGGCGTCTCTGTTCCAAGACCTGGCTGTATTAGTCGAGCAGCAGGAACCTGCCGTAGCGCAGGCTGAGGAGAATGCCGAGAACACCACAAAGTACATCGATCAGGGCAATGTTCATGTATCTAAGGGCATAATCAGCGCTCGCAACGCTCGCAAGTGGAAGTGGTGGTGTCTGCTGGTCACCATCCTCATTATCGCCATTGCTGTTGGTGTCGGTGTCGGCGTGACGGAGGCTGGCAAGAACGCAACTGGAGGAGGGAAATAAGTTCACGGGAATTGGGCCGAGCGCGAGACGCTTGCACTTTCGTCATTGGGACGGCTCAACGCAAGTGTCCCCATCCACGATGGGATCCAAAGCACCAGAAGCGGGGGAGAAAAAACCACCAAATCACACATACGACGAATATTATTACAACCACCACCACTTAATATTTCCTTTCGACTTTCCACCAGCCGGAGCCAGCGCCTGATACCACCGGCGGAAGGTCCGGCATCGATGATACGGGCGAAGAGGAGGGAAAGTCATGTAATGCATTGTTTCTATGTACGCATAGTTTGCGTGTTCACTCGCCAGTCGAGTTGAGGAAGGGAGGAGAAAAAGTCCATGGTTGGATCTCTCATCATCGCCAGGGTAAACAGCCTTCGGGGCTGGCTTATAGATACCTACATAGGCGAATGGCCAGATAAACTACATGCCTTCTTCTGATACTTTGCATGCGCAACGGCATGACGATGAATTCCGCTACTTGTCCGCCAAGAAACAGTGTGTCAAGCGGTCGGATACAAAATAAAGTATAGACTTGCCCAACGGACTCACGAAGTCGAGCTTCGTTTCTGTCCTCGTAGGGGCATGATGCGCAGCCGCGCCACAGCAAACTTATTATCAATGTAAAAGCAATGCGTTGGCAGCTGCAGCTGGAAGCTTATGGACGACACGCTCTTGGAAGCGGATGAAGGTACGTACATGTACGTTGCTATGCACTCAGTACCTACCACTCCACGAGGAACAAAACGAGTTGTCAAACAAAACACGCATATATATACACATAGCCTCTGAACAGCTCTGCCAACGACGAGCAGGCCATCAGCCATTCAGGCGGAGTCCGAGTGCGTCTACCGTACCGTACCCTACCATACCTATGTATGTAGTCTCCGCCACACACACACACACACACACACACACACGACAGCCTTACATCGACACAGTCCCACACCTAAACGCGGAACACATAGTGTTGGTTGGACTTCCAAAAGATTGATGAACATTTAGTTTGATATTCGATAGGTGCACGGGGAAGGAAATGAAGAAGTCCTAGGTCCTGTCTTCGTATGCCTGGATCCCCTTATATGGGATCCAAGGGCTAACTAATCTACATACGTTCGGCCAATGCTCAGTATTCCAACACATCGACCGCTGGCTCCTGGACATACCATACGAGTACGGTATTTGTAGACTACGCTGCATGTATATAAGATAGGCCTCACAGACAAGCAAGCAGTCAACTCGATCATGTATGTGCATGCGCGAAGGCCACCGGGGGGCCTTGAGTGTTCGTTCCTCCTGGGGATAACTGGCTGGTTCGAAATACGCACAGGAGGAACGAGCCGCTCACCGCTTGTACCGTCGCAAATTACGAGGTGTGCCGGACATTGGGGTGGGAAAAGGTTGAAGATAGGGGAACAAGGCAAGAGGGGAAGGGCACGAAAAGGAAAGGAGGAAAGGGGGAAAGAGGCTACGCACCTTAGGGGAGGGATATGGCCGCTGGCTAGAGTTCTTTCCCAAGCAAGATCTTTCACTGAGAGCGCAGCCTCGAGTCGAACTGGCCGTCAACGACCATAACCGCTCAGGGGACGATGTACGGTTGGCAACTGGCCTTCACTCGCCCGATCACATCACATAGGTATCAACCACCAGTTCCCCTCATAACGCACATGGTTGCATATTCAGAGACGGAGTAACAATACTCCACAAGCCACACTGAATCGACCATATAGTCGGTTCATGAGGTATACTATACAGTGCAGGCCGTGCTGGCCAGACTACCCATATACTACCCAGATATGATATTGGATGCTGTCATCTCCAATGAAGTCGTGGCTCCTCCATTGCTGGCAGACCTGGACAGCTTGGGCAACACAACGCCGGGCGCGACGTTTGCCAGTAGCTTGTCGAAAAGGGGCGTCCCCAGGCCCGTGACTATACGGTACGCAGTCAGTAAACCATTTTTCTACAAGAGGAATCGAGGGAGCAGGCAAACAATTGACTGTCATCTCGCTTGCAAGACATGAGGCACCAAAAAAAATTGTAGAAGAAATAAGAAAATTCCAAGAGACTGCAACTCACCAGGATCCCAGCCCGCCGTGGCATTCCAACTCGCACCCGGCACGACAGGCGTCGGCAAGCCCGAATATGCATCCCTCCCAGTGCACCCCCTGCTGCCGCCAAGCACGATATCCGTGAAGCCGCCCGCACCCAGCGCGTCGCTGTAGATCCACGGGTTCAGGAAGCCAAGAGGCGCCAGCCCACCCTTGACCCGCGCGTTGTTGAGCAAGCTAATGACAGCCGCGAATGTGGGTGCCGACGCCGACGTTCCGCCCACACTGATGATGGTGCCCTGGTCGACGACGGCGAAGTTGCGTCCTGCTGCCGCGACGTCGGGGAACCCGCGGCCCGCCGTGTTGTATAGGCCGGTGAAGGTGTCGCCAATCGATGTCAAGTATGAGGCCACGGCGGCCTCCTGGTACGGGGGCCGCGCGAACAGGTCCGAGAAGCCGCCCGACGAGAAGGAGACGGCCTGCTCAGGGGCCACGCCTACGGTACCGCCTACCGAGGTCACGTAGGGGCAGGCGGCTGGGAAGATGGGAAGTAGGCGCGTAGCATTCCTACCATCGTTCGTCTGGCATGCGCTACCGGGCCCAGTACTAAGGGACAATGTCAGTCAGATATTGCTATAGTGTTGGGGTTGAGACTGGGAATGGTGGGTTGCAGTGGATAAATAACTTACTCGCCGGAGCTAAAGAGGACGGAGGTACCGCGAGCACCGAGCTGGCCGATCATGGTGCAGACTTTCTTGACATATTCTGCCGGTACTGATTGTTCGTCCTCTCCGTATGACGTAGTGAGGGTGTGCGGGAGCTCCCCGTCAGGGAGCGCAAGCAAGTAGGTTAGATACTCTAGGTATGGTTCGTTGGAGTTCTACACTCCTTGTCAGCAACCGAACTCCAGCACTATATTTGCGGTAACCTCTTACCTCGGCCGGGTCCGGTTGGCTATGCAAGATTAGCTTATAGTCAACTGAGGGTTAACACCAGAGAGTAGACTTACTCAAGATCAGGGACCAAGATTCCACGACCACCCGTAGAGTAGTAGCGGATCGTTGTCTGGAAACCAATTGACGCAGCATACTGCATATCCAAGTTCGCCTCAACATCGTCATCGACTGTGTCGGTTTGGTTGTTCAGGCCTCCGTTTACGGATATAGTCGTGAAGTTCTGAGTGAGAGCGTAAGGGGCAAATTGCTCGAGAAACTGGTCAAGTGCATCATGCTTTGCGTATTCCTGGACGCTGTCAGAGGTGTAATCGCCTACAGAACGGGCTGCTGAGACATACCTCCAAGAAGCCACTAACTCCCAGGACGGTCGGGACAGTTGGGTCAGCCGTGTAGTCTCCGATGTTGTACAGAGCTCGCAGACACTCGGGCGTAATCGTCGTGTTGCAGAACGTCACGTTGAGGTCTTGCGTAGAGACAGCCGCCGCGGCCTGGAAGAACTCGGGCAGTTCTGCCTGCTCAAAGACCTTGCTGATCTCGAACCTCTGCGGTCTCAGCTGGCCGAAGCGGGTCGTTGGCTGGACCATGGTGATGTGAGGCATGACTTCGGCCGGCACAGAATAGCTATTTTCGGTGAGTCAACTGTTCATGGATGGCCGGTCCATCAGGGAGAAGAACAAGCATACTGCAGCGTTCGGATGCGCTCGCCATCCGTGCCAACGTGGTTGTAGACACCAAAGTCGGCGCTCAGCAGTTTGGCAGCCTTAAACACGGTGGTCTTAAAATTGATCCACTCCCCGTCGTCCTCGATGTCCTCCTGCGCGATGCCGGATGCTTGCAGCCAGTTCAGGACAGCGGCCGTGGACTCTTTCGTCGGCTTCATCAGCTCCCGGACTTGCTCGCGCGAGAGGTGGCGGCCGTACAGCGCGTGCTGCGGCGTGGATACATCGTAGAGGGTCTGCTCGAACTCGGCGAGGTGCGGCTGCTCGAGGGCAATCCGCAGGTTGATGACTTGGTAGGGGTCCGCGTTCCGCAGCTTTCGCCAGCCCATTGGCACCTTTGGCAGCGACTCAACGACAACATTCTTGCACTCGGCAACCGCCTGGAGCAGCGCAACGGCTGCGCACAGAAGCGATTGGGGCTTCATCTTGATCAGCGAAGGGATGGCACACAGCAATGAGGTTGGGTGTGGTTGGAAGTCGCAGATCAGAGACCAGAGAAGCAGGGAGATGGGTGTAACCCAGGACCAGCGAGGAGCTCAGATTCTAAAGCCAGTTGGCGAACCTGGAAGCGAGCCGCGCAGCACATGCACATGTCGTTGGTTGGTGAGAGGAGACGGTATCACCGTGTCATGCCGTCTCCGCCGTGCCGGCCCAGACCTGCCTTATGCAGAGCTCCAGGTGCAATGCACCTGGGCAATATGGAATCTGCAATCTGGAGCTCGAACGCGCCTGCGCGATGGAAAATGAAAAGGAGCAGAGGAGCAAGAGAGGGAGCTATCCCTATCCCTGCCCATGCGGCCAAGCCTGCCCCCCTTACTGTAGAACCATTGATGGCGGGATATAGTAGCCCACCAACGCCACCTTCCCCTGAGGGGACGTCCCCCGCCGATCAGAGCATCGACGAGTCATTGAGGCGGCCGTACGGTCCGTACCTGTCTTGAATTGACCCGGCTTGTTCGCGAGTCGCGACCTTGAGAGAGCAGGCTTGGCAGGTAAAGCAGGCACCTGTGATTTGGTGCGCCAAGCTGGTGTATTCCGGTCTGAAACCAGGCACATCTCCACACAAGAAGCATTCCGATAAGCATCGACAAGCAACGGGATATTCGCCAAGCCGTTCAAGTGCCTAGCTCCCCGGTGCCTGGATCTGGGCGCGGAGATAAATTATCCATGACAAGAATGACGAAGTGAATCATTTCCATCGCTGAGAAAACTGAGGTGTAATCGACCAATGCCGCTCTCCGGCGGAACACCACATGCGCTGATCCTTCAGGGATGACCTTTCCAATATTTTATAATGCTCTGCTGGGCCACTACTGTAGGAGTTCAGCAACGCCATTATAATGTTTAACCCGTGGCTGATCTTCGCTGCCGTGTATGATACAAATCATAAGAGATGTACTGTGCAATTATGCCAGCCGCCGGCCGGACAGTCATGCAAGTTCTTAGGTAGATTGACCGCTTGGCTTGGCTGCTTGGCAAGTCACCCGATGTCTCGGGAGTTCTTGTTGCACGACCCGACCCGCAAGGTCCTCATCCTGAGCTTCGGCGGGTTTTCACATCTCATCATCCATCACATCCAACATGTCACTATCCGAGCAGCAAACCGCCTACATACGGTAATATTACCGTATTTACCATTTCGTCGTGACATGTCTCCTATTTGCGCGGCTAAGCGACCTCACGTAAAGGCAAGGTTTCACCCGTTGTAGAACCCTGATGAACGACCTTTTCATTACTAACAGTAGCTATGGTTGGGTAGGTGTCTGAACTGGTGCTGCAAATATCTATTTTCCGAACAGTGAGTGAAAACTGCCCATCCATTTTCTGGTATCTAGCCACACTGGCTGCATACTTCGCGGTTCTCGAGATCCTCTGAGGGACTGATTCTGTCTGATGTCAGTCAGTTGTGTGTGGAAGACCGAACAAGTTCGTTCTTACCGTCTGCCATAGGAGTCATGTAGTATGATTAGCTCGTAGATGAGCTATCTTTGTGAGCCTCAAGTAGCACCTCTCCCGGTCTACTAGCAAGTACCGATGCTACGCCGCGCACTAATGACAGGTGCAGAACCTCCACAGCGGCACAGCCACCAACACACGTGATCCTGGCGACTACCGAGACCTTGCCATAGACGAATCTTATTCTCATGAACAAGCAAGAAGATAGGGACGTGCTGCGGTATAGATCGTGGATAGCGACACGGGCCATGGTCCACCCAAAGCCTCGGCGTGTCTCTACGTGTAGCCACCCGCACTACTCGATGAGCTTAGGCCTCGAAGCACTCGCACCATCGTGTTCTTCATCAGCCCTCCGCTTGTTCTGCCCAGGAGCAGCGGTGGGAAGTCGGCTCGCAGCCTCCGAATGCGGCAGGTTCTCTAGCAAGACGAGCTCACGGTAGGTGGCCTCGCCGAGTAACGCCTTTACGTACTCGCAACGAAAAGGGTGCAGTTTCTCCTCAAAGCTTGCGAGGCCGGCGCGATACTGCGCCATGTCGTGCTGGAACTCCCGCCCCAGCTTCGTGACGACCAATGCACCCTTCGGTCCCTGCCTGTACGACCCCTTGGTCACACAGCGGAATAACTCCTTTGGTAACTGCTGCTCGAGATGGTTCCAGCGCGCAATCAAAACGCGAAACTCCTGCGTCTGCAGCTCGCTGTTCTGGAGGAACACATTGAGGCTGCGGCACTCCGCGCATAACGGCGCACACCCACGGGGTTTGTGGGCCCACCCGACGGGCTGCTTGGGGTATTGGGGCAGGTCGACGACAAGGATTTTACGCAGGATGGTCGTGTACATGTGCTTGGCCGATTCAAGCGCGGGCACCTTGTGTTTTTCCAGCGTCGACGTGAGACGTTTCAGGAATTCCTGGATCACCCGGGAGCTGGGAATGGATTTGACCTTCGAATTGGGGATGTGCTTGTAGACGGCGATGAAACTCGCATTAAGGAGAGGAGTCATGTCTTCCGAGAGCCCTATACTGAGACCGTGGTCGACGAGGTGGATGAAGTCCCTGAGAAATGTGGCCTCTAGACAGTCGAAGCCATGGGCTTTGGTAAACCAGGTTTCCTCTGGAAAGTCTGAGATATCAAGTGTGAGCTTCTCTCTACAGCCTTCCAATATGCGTCGGGAGATCTCTGCGGCTCCAGAGAGTGAGTTGTTGCTGTGCTTCTGATACACGGTTCGCAAGATCGAACAGATGAGGACCTTGGGTCCACGCTTTGAGAGGATTGGGACCAACCTGATGAGATAACTTTAGCATCAACCATTACGAATGAGGTTACCATGGAACCTGCATGACCACGGATTTACCTACCAATTCGCTGCCCATGAGTCGTTGCTAGCCTGTGAATCAAGAAGATCGATCAAGATATCGTGATCGATCAAGATATCCTGATCATTCAAGATATCGTGAGCATTCACGCCCAGTGAGGCTTCGGACTCGATGGCTTTGCGCGGAACCAGCGCTTTCCACTCTTGGAAGGAAGCTTTTGAGGGTATCGCGACCCAAGATAACTTCTGCCTTGTTGATAATATCCTCTGTCTTGTTGATAATATCCCTCAAGGTCTCCAAATCCAGACTTCCAGCGATCAGGTCACCGAGCCTAGAGTCTGATTAGAGCAAGGCAATGGTTGAGTACTCCTGATAACGTACCAGCTGTCCCAGTCCGGTGGTGTATTAATATCTTGTGAGACGCTCTCGTTCACAAGCTGAATGATTCTTGTCAACACAGCGTCCCGGGAAGTGGGAGACCACCGCGACGCGCCGACGAGCTCCCTGAAAAGTCCGTTATCCTGAAACCTGATGGCAAGGGCCACTAATTCAGTTAACAGTTCGCCGTCCAGCGACGACTCTTGAACGGCTTTCCTTAAGAACTCCAGCGCGGTGGCCTGGAGTGTGGGATCAAGTGGTGATTGGTTGAGCATATCGGTAACTTGACTCAGTATGACAGCTTTGCCTGTATCATAGGATTCAAGGAGCAGACTATGAAGTTGATGCATGGGGACGATCAGGACGACCTGATATTGCAGTCAGCTTGGAGTGGCCGAGCTAGTCTTCGGTGCATAGTGCTTACACTTTCGTGGTAACGATAGGAAAGAGGGGCGCTTCCGTAACCGAAGATGCTTTCATCTTCCTCTTCACTATCAGCCTCTCGGTCCCAATGTCCTTCGCCCAGGATCTCCTCCTCGTCGATGGCGGCGCTGTCGCAGACGGTGCGTCCGTGGTTTGTTTTTATCGTCCGTATGTCCCCACCTCTCTCTTCTATCTCTTCTCCATAGGAATCATACCTCCTGTGATTCGGCCCGGGTTGGCCCTGTCCAAGTTGGCGAGGAAGACACAATATCCGGTCACCAAGGAAATGTCGTGCAGCATCTGACACACAGCTTGATTACGACCTCTCAGATTTTCCAACGAGAGGTTCGATGGTGAGTACCTGTCCTCAAGCATGTACACCTGCTTCTTCGCTTCCGACGTGTGGGCTTGCCATTTGGAAAGCAGCGAGCGGAGCTTGTTCATCTCCTCAACAATCAGACCAGCTGACATTCGGGCGCCGCCTGTATGAATGACGTCGTAAGTTAGCACCAGACGGTACCCAGACTCCAGGGGCTTGATTTCATGTGTAACATCATCAGAAAACCACGCCAGACTCGTCAAGCTCAAGTCGGACGCCTGATCAGTGTCGAGACTGCGGACCCTCCCAGCATGGGATAGTTGCGCACTGCCACCCTTATGCTTTGAGGGAAGACAGACAACCAGTGTGCCGACCATATCCGCTGCCGTCTCCGAGTCCTTGTGGCACTTGGAAAAAGAGCCTTCCCCGTATAGAAGCAGCTTGCAGGGCTCTGCTTTCACTCCTGACATGCCCAGACTCCACGCAGCATCCGCCAGCAACGTGCCAAGGAATGATTGCCAGTCCGGATTGGCTAGCTTGAATTGGGTGTGATCGAGTTCCCAGGTATTTCGTGCTGATGTGTCTACCCGTGTATCTGCCCTCTTTCTGGAAGGGGCTCGGCTACAGGCATCCTTGATGGTCTCGGCATCACGGGGCACCAAAGGTAGTGGGATTAGGGCGCCGACAACGGTCAATCCAGGGTTGGGGAAGGTGCCGTGCTTCCTAGAGGTAGCAATTGAGTCGGTGAGCACAACCCCATCGAACCATTCGAGCAGATCCTGCTTGAGCTGCTCAAAAGCAGGAGCACTGTTGTTCGATGTATTTGTGGGAGAGTCGCCACCTCCATTCGCAAGGTAAGCTGGAACGGGTCCAATGGACCAGGACGCCATATCGGTACCAGCACCGACTCTGACCCGGTCCATCGCTTGTGTAGCGGGAGGATCCTCCAGCAGTTGCGATCCCCGGGGAACTTCTTCGTAGTATTGTTGTAACTCGAACAGGAGGGCTTTGCGGTGGATGAATGGAATTGGACAGATTAGATTTTGTGCTCGGAGAAGGGCAAGATTCGATCAGACGCGTCGGTTGTTGAAGGGAAGGTACAAAGCTGTAGCAGTGGGGCACAGACCACAAGCCTGTATATCAGTTCGCACCTTCCCCTGACATTAGATCTGCACCTGCCTCTGGTGAATGTGTGTCGAAAGTTTTTGGCATTACTGCTTAGAGCTGTTGAGACATGATACCGCTATGATCATACCTCACTACCAGGTTGGAAATTCAACATCTCCTAGAATTTTTAATCGTCACCGTCTTTGTCTGCATAATGCCATCCGAGTCCCATCCTTCATGTTGCCGAGCATCCCAGGCTGAACCGTTTGAGGCGGGAAAAGACACCCTGTTTGCCCTATTCCCGTCGGCGCTGACCTCCAGGGGCTCACCGCATCCAAGGGTCGTCATGTCAAAACCCCGATCCGCGGTTTCGTCGATCAGCTCCCCGTATTTGTTGACTTTCCTCCTGGGCGTCATAGAGTGGCCGAAGGTTCGAAGGGCCTTCGGTGTGCTTTCGGGCGTCTGCTTGGAGTTATACGAACCAAAAATGGAGGGGGCGACATGGACGCCGAACTTCCGCATCGTGAACATGGACGGGCACATGACGAGGAGGTTTAGCTCGACAAGGGCCCAGAGAATGGTCGGCATGATGTCCCACGTTTGGTCGGGTGACTGGAAAGTCGGTTGCAGTAGGTAGTATAGCCGGACGATCGAGGTGACGAAGGTGCTGGTTGGAGTGCTAGTCAGCGCAACCCCGGGGCTGTAGACTAAGAGGAGGAAAAAACTCACGCTGAACCAACAACGAACATGGCCAGTATGCCAATCTGATGAGACCTCTTCAGCCGCAGTCCCAATATCAGAGGAAATGGCAACCCCAGGATAATCAAGTCCGACACGAAACCCAGGATCGCTGTTGCAAGCCAGATAGCCTGCCGGTCGTTACAATACCCGTCGAGCATAGCCACCTATGATAACAGACGTTGTTAGCTGCCTCGCGCTTCTTCAGGGCCTAGGTCAGTGTGACTGCTTACATCCCACGCTTTGCTGATCGGGTTGCAAGCGAACAATAGTGCAAAGAACAGAGAGGTGCAGTAGCCAACGACGAGAAACATGGCAGCGCGGACTGCCCATATCCATTGGCTTTGAGGCGCCAGGCGCTGATAAGATAACAGGATTGAAAGCTTGCTGAGCAAGTGGACGATGTTGAATATCATTGCGACTATAGTGAAGGACTGGACCAATGGGCTTCGTTAGCCAGGTGTTCGGGTCAGCGGGACGGCCCGTCCTGTCCTACCTTCAGGAACAATATGAACCGGTCCATCGGCATCTCCCAAGCGTGAATGCCCAACATCAGACGTTGGAACCAACTGATGACCAGAGACTGGCAGGTCAGACTTATCACCCAGGTCGCGAGGAGGCATACTGTTCGAGAAAGAGTATGGTTAGACGCAGCTCGTCGCGTTGAGGCAGCTTGAACTTGCCTGTCTCCGGATCAGCCCATCGTCGCTGCACCCACCACTTGACGTAGACATGCTGGCTCAGAAATAGAACCGCGAGTGATGCCCCGATGCCGTAGACAAGAGACAGTGCCAGTCCGAGATTCCGCTGAGGGTGTTCGAAGTCGACATCATAGCCCGCTGGTGCCGGGAGCACAGTGAGCACGCCGTCCGTCAACGACATTGTGCTTCAGATCGACTGCGGGTTTTCGAGAGGTCAAGATGTGGCACAATTGATACGGAAGCTGGACTGGCCGTGCACGACTGACGACTGCACAACTGTGATATTAGTACGAGCGTTGAGTTGGTCAGCAAACCCTATCCTCAGAGTATGGCCTGAGGGGGCGCCGGGGAACGAGGAAGAATCCGTCCGGATGGAGATAGAAAAGATCAGGTTACACCCCTAACTGAAGGATTTGAATCACATTCAATAGTCGTCATGAGCGGCAGCTCATGTCATATGCGGCTTTGAAACTCCACTTCAAGCATTTTGGGATATCATGTTATTCTCGTGTAACGCTTGGCCTCATGAAGCTGGCAGTGCTAGCTAGACTAGAGGGTTCCGTAAAACCTTGGGTATGAACATGGATTCTTTTGAGCGTCGTCTACATTATGTAACTGCATGCTTATCAGTTAGTTGCTGCAGCCAGGGTCCTTGTACGTGTACTTGCATGGGGCGGGTAGCACCTCTCTCGGTTCCTCACCAAAAAGAACGCATTGTAATAATAACACATGCTCACTATACGCAGGACGCTCATCCGGGTTCACATCTAAAACTAAGGCTCCTGGTCGTCACACGAGCCTTTCCTATACCCTAGAGAGAGCATAGCTCGGCTGAGCCGTAACTCCAAAACAACGTGATCGACCTGACTGACTGACTGACAGGAAGTGTGGATGGAGGCCTGCCACGAGTGGTAGCCTGTTGGATCCGACACCTGCATGGTGTGACAATAGCATGCGCCAACGCGGTCCGACGGTCACTAATTGGGTATAAAAAATAGGGGCAATCACACCTTCCTAATCTGGGCGCCCTGTTCACCGGGGTTGTGCACGGATAGATACTGCCTTATGTAGACACGACCAGCCGCGTCTGGGCCCAGGGGAACGGAACCGAAGAACGGTCGTACGACGGCCGCGCAGCCGATGTCACGAACAGTAGCATCTCACAGTCCTCCGTGTTGTTCGGTGTTCAACCACCCCGGCGCGGTTCCCACATGTTATCCATAACATATTGGGCTACCCCGCTCCTTGCTCGGCGCTGCAGTGAGATGGATCCTGTAAGCCAGATTAGGAGAGGAGGTCGCAGTATCTACATTAATGATTACACAGAATATTCTCCCGACAAGGCAGGGCAGGGCACATTCCAACTCTCAAATTCGTGCCCATTTTCAACTCGTTGGTCACAGTCTCAGAAACGATGGCATTCGCGGTTAACCAGGACATGGTCGACCGGATGAGGTCCGTGTCTGCGTTGCAGGCCGAGGCCGAGTCCGAGTCCGACGTGTTCAAGGCTGCTATCAAACACCTCCAGGAGGCCGGCCTGGAAGAAGTCCTCTACACCCCGGCCAGGCAGTTCGGGACCTACAGCGAACGTATAGGGTCCTACTGGTCTCTCACCCCGCGAGCCAGACCGTGGGCGATTGTGCAGCCGCGTAACACGGAGGAGGTGTCCAAGGCGCTGAAAGCACTGGTCAAGACTAACGGCTGCCAATTCGCCATTCGCAGGTATGAATATGGATAGTTGCGACTCGCCAGCGTTGTCTGATACTAATTCAAAATGCAGTGGAGGTCACACATGTTATCCTGGCTCAAACAATATCGTAGATGGGGTCACGATTGACCTGGGTCTGATGAGCCAGACTGAATATAACCCTGAGACGAAGCTGGCTTCGATACGGCCGGGTGGCCAATGGACAGGTGTGTATAACACCTTGGAAAAGTGTAAGTGTTCTCAGCCTGCTCATGAGTCTCCTGGATAAGAGACATGATACTAATACCTTCATGCAGTGGGCGTCATGGTGGCCGGAGGCCGAGAAGGCCTGGTTGGTGTGGGCGGCTTGTTGACTGGCGGAGGAAAGACATATTATACCTGCCGTGTAGGCTTCGCTTGTGGTGAGTGACGGGGCCATACCCCGTGATAACCAACGGCGACGGGCAACCGCTGACCTGCGCAACAGACCAAGTGGTGAACTACGAGGTGGTGCTGGCCGACGGCACTATCACCAACGCGAACGAGTCGGAGAACCCGGATCTCTTCCGCGTCCTCAAGGGAGGCTCCAGCAACTTCGGCATCGTGACCCGATTCGACATGAAGACGTTCCCGGCGCACGACGTCTACGACGGCATCGTCACCTTCCCACCCTCGTCCGGGGACGCTGTCATTGATGCATTCATCGACTTTACCAAGCAGCTCCACGTGGTCGACGATGCGCACATCCTCGCCATGTGGGTGTCCATGTCTCAGAGGGACATTGCGATGCTGAACGGCATCCCCGTCGACCCTGCTCAGCCTCCGGATCTGACCATGGTGTCCATGATCAACATGATCATGACCCAGCTCGACGGCGTAGAGGCATCACCGTCCTTGGAGAGATTCATGAACGTTCCCAATCCCATCAATAATACGATGAAGCACACGACTTTGGCCAAGAAGGTGGCCGGGTTCCTCCTGCCTTCGAATCGAGAGTGAGTTCCTAGCATGTGATGACAGAGAGTAAGGCTAATGGTGTGCCATTCAGAGATATATGGTTCAGCCTCAATTATAAGCTGGACAGGCGGATCATTGCCAAGAACGTAGAGGTGTACGACAGGCTTGTCAAGGATATCGGCGAGCGCTCCCCCGGGTGCGTCATCCAGATGGTGTTGCAGCCATTCCCTACCTCGTTTGGAAAACACTCCACCGAGCGTGGGGGGAACATGTTCGGGCTGGAGCGGTTCAAGGATGACTCTGTAAGTTAAGCCCCCGGAGACGGCCCACATACCTGGTGAGCGAGACTAGCTGACATTACGGCATCTAGGTTCTTATCATCGTCGCCGTCGAGGGCAGCACACCCGGCTTCTACGACATGGCCTTCCCGATCTTCAAGGCCGCCGTCGACGAGATCGAGGACTATGCCAAGTCGGTAGGGGGCGACTTCGAGTTCCGCTACCTCAATTACTGCGATGGCTCCCAGGACCCCCTGAGTACCTATGGTCCCGAGAACATCCGCAAGATGAAGGATGCGGCGGCCAAGTTTGACCCGACGGGCGTTTTCCAGACCAAGGTGCCTGGCGGGTTCAAGATCAGCAAGGTGAAGACGCCGGAGTGATGGCCAGTACACCGAGGGGATATAGAATACCTAGTGGGAGGTATCGCAATGCTTCAAATGCACGGGGAACGTTTTAGTATATATGTCCCGTGTTATAGACCTATAGTTGGAGTTCTATACCGCTGCCGCCACATGCGCTCCTACATTACTATAAAGCCCCATAACATGTCCAACTCCCCTATGGACCTGTAATAGACGACTGGGCAAGGCCATCGTTGCCAGCCTCTCTTCCACTCGCCGCCTGTTCGAGAAGCATGTGATACGCCATGATTGAGTAATATAACCCCGCTCAGGTGCAATTCACAACGTTGTCAGAGAAGTATCTGCAAGTCTTCCATGGACTTTGACCAAGGCACTGAGGCACTGATTAGCAGTGACCTGCGTGCAGAGCGGCGGCTTTAGAATCCACTTACTGTACCCCAGGTGCAATCATATTCATAGTAGTTTCCATCCGATGCAGAAACCACGCACTTGTTTAAATCGCTAGCGCATTGCTGTATCATTAGGGGTCAGCGAGGAAGAACACAACGCTATGTTATCGTCAAGAGACGTACTCCTTGGATATCACCCCTTGAATTTAACTGGCGCCGGCTGGAGTCGGATGGACAGCCATGGTGGCCCGGGCAGCTCTTCACGTTGGCCTTGGACAAGATCTTCGTCCATTCTTCTTTCACCTTGTGGTCATCGCCCCAGTCGAATTTGACCTGATCGCAGAGATTCTGGTCAAGCTCCTTCAACCCTACGACGGGCATTGGGCAGGTGTCCCTGGCGTGCAAGATCCCAGCAATGCCGCGTTCGCGGCTGGAGGAGGGAGTGGCGGCGGCGAGTGTGAGGTTGGCGGCTGCTGCGGCGAGCTGGAGGCAAGTGGATAGCTTCATGGCAGATAGCGTGGGAAATAAATAGGGAATGAAGAGATAAGCGCTGATGTCTAATTCATGAGTTGGTTGTGGTCACTGGTTTGATCTTAAGGCAAGTGGTTAGGTACGTTGTATTGGCCGTCGAACAACTCTGTGGAACCTAGAAGCTTTTGGTTAGAAATGATGACACTCCCTCCTGGTTCATTGCTTTAGTGTAGCACTCTTCCTGTAGTGTAATAATAGTTAGACCCCTCGAGCATAAGACCTAGTGACATCAGACTCCAGCTGTTCTAAGTATACAATGGTCCTTTGTTTGAATTTACGACAGGCCTCCATGAAAACTAATGCCATCTCTTGAAGTGCTGGGTTGGATATTACAACGCCTAATAATAGGCTTGGTAATTTTAGCAATCAACTCAGTTCACGTCAGGTGCCAGTGCGGACACTCATTCCCTCTCGGGCTTTCTCCGCTCTTTGTGGGCATAGTCTTGAGCACGGCCACTCCTAATATCCGCAATGACTTCAACAGCACCTTGCATCTATTTCAATCTATAAAGGATATACATAGCCAGATCCCTCTGCATAGGATTTGTGCTACTTTAATACTGGGGGACCAACGAGGGTTATGACATTCCTTTGCTCGCTAAGCCGCGCCTGTAGGGATGAATCAAGCGAGGGAGTTGCAAAGAATGGGCACTGGAGATTTGCCTACGAAGTCAACCTTCCAGGGAACGGGCTATAATTAGCACCCGGATACACTGACGTGATTCTAGAGTTCTGACTGGCCAATTTGGGGCCCATGGGTTACGATGGTTGGGTTGAAGTCCTGGCCTGTTGAATTCTGCTGTGGACATCAGGATTCCCAACCTAGTCATCCGCTGGATTTAAAGACCACACTCGCAAGCTTTCTTTGGACGAATGATTGAATGAATTGATAACTACAGAGACCAACCGGGACCGAACGAGTTCGAGGCAATGCGGTCTATATTGGGAGGCCGACATCCGTTGAATATGGTTGGCCAGTGGCGAGCGTTCATGTTTCCGCAAAGCCATGGGGAGTCTCGTGGGGGGGTCGGGTGTGCAAGCTGACCCACGCACAATGGACCAAAATACAAATTCAAGTCACCTTCAGTCGATGGGAAGGAAGCCTCTTCATTATCGAAGTCTCGTATAAACTACCTATTAACAGCTCAGCGAGGCCGTATGGTATCATAGGGACTTCACATGCCAACCGTCTGATCCAGTTGCTATGCCAAAAGGGGGAGACCCTCGCATTTGAACCTTGGAGTCTGACGACCGGGCGTCCTGCAATCCGATTTGATGTCTTCTTATTGTCCAAACATCGTTGGATATTCCTGACAACGTGACCGACGATCGAGTGGTTTATTTGCGGCGGGGAGGCATGGGAGGGCTCGGTTTCTAGCCTAACTTCACGTAGTTGCCTGTGAGACTCATGTTAGCAAGGTGCGGTACTCTTCGGCGCAGAGTATACATACCAGGAAACTGCCCTTGTTTCCCATGAGCCTTGCCGATCCACCATTCATTCTCGTTCTGTGTTCTGCTGACTATCTCTATTACATCTCCGGCGCGGAAAGTCAAATCACCCTCAGCTTGCGCCGAGTAGTCGTACAAGGCAGTGACGGTCTCTACAGGTGGTGCTCCGCTCATGCGACTGGGCTTTGGTTTCGGCGGCGGCGGCTTCGGCTTCCCTGCTGCCGCGGCCGCCAAAGCCGGCGAAGTCGGACTCCCTAGTGTCGGAGACAGGGGTGATTTGACGGAACCGTATGATGCGGTATAAGGTGGAGGGGGATGCTCCGCTGCTTCTGCCGGCGACTGCTCTCCGTATTTGGCTGAGGCGAGGGTTGGTGTGGATGTGGATGAGGATGGGGCTTCAGTGAGTAAACCAGCAGGTTGACTCCCACCCTGAAGGAGCGCCTGTGGTTTTGGACCATACTTGGGGGGTTTCTGGCGACCACTTGTCTTGAACCTTACGATGCTCAACTTGTCGACCTGCTCTTGAATATCGCCTCGCTTTATGTTGAACGCCTCTTCCACGTCCAGTGTGAGGTCAAAGTATCCAATATCGCAGTGCTGCATCTTCTCGTGAAGAGTGTAGAAAATATTCAACTGCATGTAATAGAATGACTGGAAAAGTGGCTGGATGAATTGTCGTTCGAGGGCGAACAGCTTCGGCAACTCTTCCTTTAACAGATCGTTAAAGTAGTTGAACTCCTGCGTCGCCTGCTCGACCTCACTCTCTGCCTTCCACAGAGCCTTCTCGTCCTTGGCAGTCTTCTCTTTCTTGTCTTGCAGCTTCTTCAGCGTAGCGTTGCGTCGGTCGTAGTCCAGTTGCTTGTGATCGCGTTTTGTGACGGTCTTCCGGCAGACCTTGAGCACATCGAGCAGCTCGTTCGCTGGGCGAACAACACGGGAATCAATCATCTCGAGCTCCGGCGCAATGGTGGTCTGCAAGTCCTTGACAACGGCCTCGTATTCCTCACAGGCGCGGATCCCCTCGGGATTGCCATGCACTACCAGCGAATCAGGGTCGGACATGCGGCCAGATATGGGCTTGTAAATCTCGGTCATGGCCTTGCTGAATTCGATCTGGTGGTTGAGCATGCCATTGATGGCGTCGAAGTACTTCTTGCTCTCATCGTGGAGGCGTTTCGTCTCGGTCTCGAGCTCCTGGAAGCGGCGCTCCGAGTCGATGAAGACGGCATCTTTGGTGTGCTCGCCGAGGTTGAATTTGGCCTTGAAGGTTTGTGGCGCCTGCGAAGAAGAGGGATTGGATTAGCTTCCGGCACTTCAGTGATGGCGTCGCAATGCGACTATTGCCTTGTCCATGACTCCCACTTCCCACTTACCCGGACCACGCTCTTCTGGAAGCCTTTAAAGCTCATGTCTTAGTCGACTGCTGAACAGTATGATGGGATTACGTATGCGGTGATGGCGGGGTATTTATGGAATTGTCGGGTATCCGAAGCCCAACAGCCCCTACACGACAAAGGTGTCGATGGTGCGACTGTGAAAGGATGCTCGATATTCGAATGGGCGCAAAAATGAGGAGGCAACAGATAGATATCTGGCGACGGGCGACGAGGTGTGGTCGGAGAGTTGAGGGGTCCAAGTTGAGGCAGCCGTTTAGCAGACTTACTAGCCCGGCGACCACTGATGGCACTGACGAAGCGCTCGTGGCAGTGCTAACCACCTGGGCAAGGCTAAGATCGGGGTCGTCAGAAGTCCGGTCGTCCTGTGGCTTGGCAACTTCGCATTCGCAAATCGGCAGGAAGTATGTAAGCAGGTACGCGGCACGAGGGGAAATGGAGGCACTGGGATTGAAAGGGAAAGAAGTCTGGTGCTAGCAGGTATTGTGTGTGGTATGTGTTGCACTTTTGATTCAATCCAGCTTCAATATCTACGAAACCAGCAGGAGGCCTGACTCTGACAGTCTGACAGGTTATGAGTTATGACAGGTTATTGATCCTCCGCTAGATGCCGAGAACCCGTGCCCACTTAGGTAGGTCAGCGGTGTTTGTACGAATGGCTATTTGCAATACCGCATCGAGCTACAGTAATAGTAATACCCTTGGACGACAACTCGGTTCATAATAATAATGACTCCGATCACGAGTGCCCAGTTCAACCGGGAGTTACCATTTCCTTGTCATCAGTGAAGGGAGGCGAGCACGGAGCCCTGCATTGGGACTGGAGCACCGCCTTAGGTTTGCCCGACATCCGGATCTGATCTCGTGGTCTCCAACGTCATAGGTACATCTTCTAGGGCCCGTGCGCAATTCAACTAAAAGGCGGGAGGAAATTGGGACCGTGCGGACAGGAAGCGGGTGTCAGGTTTCCCCGCCGTCATGGATTGATTTCTGTCGTACCGTCGCCCGTATCATCCTTGATCCGTTGGCCGAGCATATCTCCGAGGCCCGTTTCCAATACACCGAGCTTGGGCCGGAGCTTTATTATTATCGTGCATCTTTTCCATTTTTCTTCGAAATCGCCTCCCAGCTCCCGCCATATTTCCCGCCAACCTAACTTTCTTCTCACCACCCTCAAGTTCTCCGTACATCTTTTAATTCTTCTGCTGCGTCATCATGGCCAATGTCGCATCCTCTGCCTTGAGACAGGCTTCGCGCCTTGGTCTCAAGCAGTCATTGACGTCACTGCCGCTGCGTGCAACCAAGCATGCCTCGAGGGTAGCTGCCACAGCTGCAAGCCAAGCTTCTCGAAGAGGTTACGTATCAGAGACGAAACGAGATAATGCGCAAGTCAGCGTCGACACCGCCATCAGGTTAGACAAGAAGGACTTCATAAACGAGAAGGGCGAGCTGGTTATGCCGGGCCCCGGAAGTCCCGCGAATAACAGTCCCATGGCCGACGTATTGAAGGAGGCCACCATGCTGGAGGAGGGCCAACGACCGATATATCTCGACATGCAAGCCACGACTCCGGTTGACCCGAGGGTCTTGGACGCCATGTTACCCTTCTTCGTGAACGTATACGGCAATCCCCACTCGCGGACGCATGCGTATGGGTGGGAAACCGAAAAGTCGGTTGAAGAAGCCCGAGGGCACATCGCGAGTCTCATCGGCGCAGATCCCAAAGAGATCATATTCACGAGCGGCGCGACCGAGAGCAACAACATGAGTCTCAAAGGTGTTGCCAGGTTTTTCGGGCGATCGGGCAAGAAGAAGCACATTGTCACGAGCCAGACCGAGCACAAGTGCGTTCTTGACAGCTGTCGACATCTTCAAGACGAAGGCTTCGAGGTCACATACCTACCAGTCCAGAACAACGGCCTAGTAAACATGCAAGACCTCGAGGCTGCTATCAGACAAGATACAGCCATCGTCAGCATCATGACAGTGAACAACGAAATTGGTGTCATTCAGCCGATGGAAGAGATTGGCAAACTTTGCCGTCAAAAGAAGGTGTTCTTCCACACCGATGCTGCGCAGGCAGTTGGCAAAATACCACTCGACGTCAATGCAATGAACATTGACCTGATGTCCATCTCATCACATAAGATTTATGGACCCAAAGGCATCGGTGCCTGCTACGTTCGCAGGCGCCCAAGAGTCAGACTCGACCCCATTATCAGCGGTGGCGGTCAAGAACGAGGTCTGAGAAGTGGCACTCTGGCTCCGCCGCTGGTTGTGGGCTTCGGCGAAGCCTGCCGCATTGCCAAGGAAGAAATGCAGGTATGTTGAGCCCCTTCCATCCCTGTTCCCTCTCAACAGACCCTCCCTGAAGTACATGATGAATCGCTCAAACATGCATGGCTTGCTGAATTCCTTGACCGGAATCAGTATGTTGATAAACAGCACAAGCGTCTGAACTTCTTGTTTCCTACCCTATCCCTGCCGATAGACAGTTGAAGAAGGGGATTGAAACTAATCAAACCGCAGTATGACACCAAGCGCATCAAGATGCTATCCGATCGGTTAATGAAGGGGCTTTTGTCTCTGGAGCACACCACCCAGAACGGCGCTCCCGATAGGTTCTACCCCGGCTGCGTAAATGTCTCGTTTGCATACGTCGAGGGCGAATCACTTCTCATGGCTCTGAAGGACATTGCATTGTCGTCCGGCAGTGCATGCACCTCTGCGTCGCTGGAGCCGAGCTACGTGCTGAGAGCGTTAGGCAACAGCGACGAAAGCGCACACAGCAGTATCCGATTCGGCATCGGCCGGTTCACGACAGAGGAAGAGATTGACTACGTCCTCAAGGCTGTACAAGAACGAGTCACCTTCCTCAGAGAGCTGAGTCCTTTGTGGGAACTCGTGCAGGAAGGGATCGACCTAAACACCATCGAGTGGAGCCAGCACTAAATGTGGCCCATGCACTCTCCAGCTTGCATTATGTTGGTACGCGAGCGACCGCTACGAGGTCTATGTATATTGCGAGGTTGCAAAGTGGTCGGAATGACCGGGTTACGATCGCTCATGAATAGACACGGATGTCAGCAGAGCCTCATCGTAGGGTTGGCTCCGAGACAGGGCGCAACCTGTTCGCTCCTTGATAGGGGCTCAGTGGGATTGAGTCATAGCAGTGCCCCGGCATCTTGAGGAAGCCTCATGACTATCACATACCTTGATACCATTGTATTATAAAATCTGTCTGAATGTGACAGGGCAGGCGTTCTAACGATGCAACCAACATGACATCTTCAAACCGTTATGGAATATGTTCCCTCATGTGAGCTTTAGGGCTAAGGCAAGCTCTCTCCGAATTTGTCAAATCCCACGTAACCATGTTTACGAAAACGTAGCCAGAGTATAATAAGAACAAGGACCTGAGAGCATTGACTCCGTACAGAACGTATGGAGCCGTGACTCAAGGGCGTTCAGTCGTTTGTGGACCTGGGCCCTTGTTTTGTTGCTGCCATGCGACGGGAAGATGTCAGATGTACGGCACGTCATCATGGAAAGGATAGCTCCCGTCCTTCATGTGATTACGTATTTGGTACCCGATCCAGAGACCGAAGGCAGCAAGAGGGGACTCGGGACTCTTTCAGTCCGACACCTGATAGAAACATGGAAGTGACATACCTATAGGTAGCCTAGAGTGCAGGTGGGGTAAAGGGAGGTTGACGTTTCGGGCATGGTGCTATCGAGGGGTCAAAGAAGCTACGTCATAGCTGTCAGTTCCATTAGGACGGGAGCCATTGCCTTGGCACTTTCTAGAAGAGCTCACAATCGCATCGTCACTTGCATCGAAATTGGGATGCCCTTTGATCCATGGCCATATTTGCCGTCTTTGCCTTGCAGCATTCACGCGCCTACCTCCCGTCGTTAGCTCATTCCTCTTAGCTTGCTGTCACTGCAGTTACGCAACATTCCGGCCTAGGCAAACCGCCCGCTTATAAAGACCCCTCCTCCGCCTGTCTGCTTCCTGCTCCCCTCCTTTCCCCAACCACCAACACAACAACATCACTCCAGATTCGCAAATTCGACACCTACACACAAAGCAACAACAATACTCCCTTCTACTACAACCCAATCTTTTGCCTCCTCACCAAGTAGTCATCATGTCGACCAACGATAACACCTCCACCCTCAAGGCAGCTATTGACTCCGTCTCCGGCGCCGCGCAGAATGTCCTTGGTAGCATCACTGGCAGCAACGCCGACAAGGTTCGCTCTGGCGCCCCATCTGCTTCTGCTCACTGTTCGCGAGACTGATCAGCACAATGATACAGGCCGAGGGTCAGGCGAAGCAAGACAAGGCATCGGTCGAGCACGATGCATCCCAGGCGACGGCCAAGCTTCCTGGTTTCACTGCCTCATCCTCCGGTGCCGTCACCAAGGACAACGAGGACCGAACTAGCGGCTCTTACAATCAGACTATGGGTTCGGCTAAGGAGTTCGTCGGTGGACTGACTGGTAGCACCGTGAGTTTACTGCCGGAACACAACGTTACGTTGATGCCGAGTGCTGATACATGAACCACAGGGACTCCAGTCTGCCGGCCGCCAACAGAACAAGGAGGGCCAGGAGCAGGAGGCTGCCGGTCAGGTCAAGGACTACGCTAGCGGCTTCAGTGACCGAGTCACCGGCACCGTAGGCAGCGCCGTGTCTGGTCTTGCTGGCAACAAGTCGGCCCAGACCGAGTACGACCTGCAGCACGCTGAGGGCAAGACCCAGCAGCGCGGTGCCGAGCACGACATCACGAAGAAGGCTGATGCCGAGGCTGCCGCTGCGCATAAGTAAGCGTCTACTTCATGGGAGAGTCGCTTTGAACCATGGAATACATGGTCTGCGTGCGAGGAGTGGTGGTCGACACAATGATACCCAGTGAGAGATGAACCGTTCTGCAATAGAGAGTTGCTTGTGGACCTATGATGGCGAGAATGATGTGGCATGGTAGATTGCATCCATAGGCGAAATACAGCTACTTCTCACCAACTATGAGGACTTCCATCGTTCCAGATATGTGTTCCAATCCGTGATCGCAAAGTGTAGACATAATACACTCCATTACCGTGATCTCGGTGTACCATCTCATGACTAGAGTCAGGTTAATTTCCTATCCTTGCGAGATGTAAGATACTCACTGTTACATAAAGTACCTTGCCTACTAGGTATCTACGCCTGTTGTTACCACACAATAACCTATCGGGCCGGCAATGACAAGACTTCCTTGTTTCTTGACTGCATATTCCCGCTGCATGGGTCCTCCACGAAGAAGTGCGGCTCAAAATCCCAGCTTCTCGAATCCCAGTACCGGTCTGGTCGGTCTCTGCCGACTCACCGCAGCAGCATGTATCGCGACTTTGGGGCAAGGCCTATCTAGCCTTCCACACCCGGCTCCTTCCGCACATGGCACCCTTGACCAGGGCTGCCTTCTAGAATGCCTGGGATTTCCACGGGTCGGGAATTAGTCATGCGGCACGTGTACCTCGCGACTGACCGAAATGGCGCGCGTCGAATCAGACTGCGTATGTTAGGTAGGCTCTTGAGTCTGGTACATAACTCACATTCACATGACAGCGACTGCCTGCCTGCCTTAGGTAGGTACCGAGAGAGGCTCAAGCACGCGTCCAGACTGTGCCCGCCTTGAAACGGCGACAGCGCAATCTATTTGTGACTCAACTCGAGAGGGAAACGGTTAGAAAATGATGGCAGAGACCGGCATCGAAATCGGTGGCCATCGTGTAGGAAAGGCAACGCAGCGTCCTGAGTGGCGGTTAAACGATGCACGAGTTCCGGAAGACGGTGTCAGGTGAAGATGCGGCCTGCAGCAAAGAGCCATGCAGAGGTACGTACCTCAGCATTCCGCAGTGGAGCACAGCGCATCTCGATTCTCGGGAGTCGGCGGGCAGGCGGGTCGCGGTGGGTGGAGCCCTGGAAAAGCCTGTGCGTAATTGGCGTGTGCCCTGCCCTTTTCGCCTTCTTGTGGTGGACCGCTGTGCACCACTGCCACCCCTGAATAGGTCACACACACACATGATAAGGTATGGAACCTCAACCTCAACTACATCCGGCCCCCAACACACCTCGGATACCCCCTTCGAGCAATGAGCCGCACAGAATCGCAGGCTACACTCCCAAGGCTGACCTGTGCCTCGAGAGCAGCCTATTTCCTCATGCACCACGCGTTCGGCTCGTCGCCAATCGATCATCAGCAATGGCCCCAACTGCTATTTCCAGAGTCCGCCTCCAGGCCGGACGTGGCCCGCGGGCCAATGCCGTCTTCATTACAGCATGAGGAACCCTGCTCCCCTTAATATGGGACGTCCAATGCGACGACGAGCCGCTCCCTTTTCTTCCCATTCGTATCATGAGTGGCTTCTCTCCGTGCCCTCCACGCGACGCTCGAAGAAGGGCGCGTCGTAGCCTCGGTGAGGCTTTCCGAACATCCTGTGGAAGTTTGTCCTGAAGCGGAAACACCGCCTACCAATGTTTAGCCTGCTTAGGTAGCAATATGCTGTTTCTGGGGAAAGGCTTGAGCTCAAGCATGTTTGCCATATGGCCGTCAAACACCCTCATTCGGCTGTCGACCTAGAGTCCGCCGCAGACCTGCCGTCTCGTGGCCTGGTGTCATCGAGGCATCTGGAATTCTTCCATCTGCATGAAGAATGGATGGATGCTCAGGACCACCTACTCGGTACCGGGGCGTCCGCGCCTGCATATTCCAAGCGGTTTGCCACGCCCTATAGCCAGCCCGTTGCTGCGAGTCATAATGTACTGCCCCGGGCCGGTGGTGCAAGTGACATCCCAAGGCTGTCCCAGGGCGCCCTATGTTTTCCTCCCACCTAACATCTAAAACGCGCTGGCTGCTTTCTTTGTTAAGGTTCTTCACCCCCGATGATGGAGTATAACGTAGAGAATATGGGACGACAGTTGACGCCTCATGTGCAACTTGTTTGTGCTGCTGTTCTTTTGATTCTAACATGATACCTGTCCCGGATGGAGTTCATCACCCGCTTCCTCGAGAGCTAGGTTGAAGACTGCACCTGATCAGGCAACACTGTCTGTTGACACTTGACGTGCATTGGGACATCACTGGTTCTCAGTGCAGAAGCCTACCAGCTCGGCTCTCAAGGGTCTTACGCAGGAGTTTCGCCAACCCCTGCTTCGGGGGTCGATTCATCGCTGCCATGAGCCAGAACAGGATCTGCCGAAGCCACCCACGGACACTTCAAGCATTGGATTTATGTCAGCCAGCATCATCTACCATCCTCTGAGAATCCGAGTTTACAGCTCATGATATATCTAGACCCACTTTGTTGAAGGTCATCCCACGACCCGGTGGGCTTGCTGCTTGGATCGTTACGTCGACACGCGCCTCGTCTCGAAGGGGTGAAGGATTCTCCCCGACATTTCGGCGTTCTCCATCCTCAGAGCAGATACCACTCCCAATCTCTACGCGTCTTGTCGGCTATCTCCCTGGTGTCTGTGAGCTCTGAGTGACATCGTCCGTCCCCTATCCGGCTACCGGTGGCTGTCGACCACCTACAGACGGGGTTCCCAAATTTGACTCATCAAATATATGTTTGCAGAAACGTCGACGTACTGCCGGTGTACCCTGTGCCAGTGCGAGACTCGTGCAATCCTGGTAGCAAAGCGTCGAACGAGCACCAGGCGACAGAGACATTACAAGCTCCTCACCTACAATTCGAAACGTATAACTAAAGCGTCGCCACCTTGACTATATTCACCATGACTAAAAGATCAACCACTGTGATGATGCGAATTGCGATCGCAGGCGCCGGCGGCTTTGCTGCCCTCCTGACTCAAGAGCTGTCACAAAGTGCCAACCCCGTGATTGTCCTCTCGACCAAAGTAAGTCCCTGAAACCACGGTTTGTTAAGGATGACTAATTTCCAATAGGCACATCCCGACTTCGAAACCAACTACAACTGTCAAGTTGCTGTTGTCGACTACCACAACATTGAGAACCTACAGTTTATCCTTCAGGGGGTAGACCTTGTGCTATCCACGATATCCGGCGCCGAGCAACTGAACCTCATCGACGCTGCCAGACGAGCTCGAGTACGCTGCTTCGTCCCTTCAGAATTTGAAGGTTCCTTGAGCCACCGGCCTACTTCCCACGACCCTTTCGATAACGATTCGTCGACGGCACTGGAGCAGCTTCGACATTGGTCCTCTTCAAGACACTTTCCGATGAAGTCGACCGTCTTCTCCTGCGGTATCTTCTACGAACGATTTGCCCCTGGCGGTCTCCAGGCATATAATATGGGCATCACCTGTCGCCTCCCCCATCAGGGGGACTACATGATCAACGTCGGCCTTGGTACCGCAGAAATACCAGCAACCAACGTCCAAGGTCGCCAAATCCAAGTTGTAATGACATCAGCTGTCGACGTGGCGCGGTTCGTCGCCGCTGCCGTCGACCTTGGCATTGATACTTGGCCACACGAGTTCAAGATGCGCGGCGCCCGAGTAACACCACAGAGGATCCAGCAATTATGCAGTGAAGTCAGACAGGGTAAGCTACCCAGCCTCTGATCTTATTCCTTGGCCGATACTAATGTGTATCAAGTTGAGTTCGCTGTCATCACTAGACCCTACCCTGAGCTTCTCTCCTGGCTTCAGTACTACGAACAAAACCACGACGAAGCCAGGTGGTACTCCATGCAGCATATGATCCAAACCGCAAACGGACGCTTCAGTTTCTCGGACGCAAACTTGTTGAATGACCTCGTAGACGTCGAACCTATGGGTTTCAGGCAGTGGCTGTACAACAACTGGGGCCCGGCACAGTAGTGTACGGACAATCCTCCACGTGATCCTTCACGGAGGTCTCTTGTGGTCGTGGATAACCAACCCAGGTTCCTGAGGCCATACCCTACCCCCAAACGAACTTTATTTCCCTTCTACCCTGTATACCTACGTCCTTTCACTATCCCGACTTCACATCCGTCCTGGTGACGGTTTTGAAGCAAATCCTTCTCTCCTCTTCCAAGTTACACTAGTTACACTAGTTACACTACTTCTACACCTTCTACAACTATAAACAACTGGCATGCATTGCAGGAGGAGTTAAAAACACGGAATCCATCCTTTTCACACGTTGTTGCTTGACGCACACGTCACCCAGATTCTCATGTCTACCTATCTAGCGTCAATATGCAGGCATATCACCAGCCTTGAGCGGGACCTTGGCCTAGCTAGAACCACAATGTTATCGTATACATCGTGATCGACACGTCTCTGCCTGGATGACTCCTATGCCCACCTCGTCGCCTACCCTACACTCGTTACGCTCCGGTCCGATCCGGTCGATGAAGCAGATGTCGTGTACTCGTAAAGTCTTGACTCCTGACTGCCGTACCTAGTCATCGCCATGTTCCCAATCCGCCCGCATATGCACGTCTGCATGTCTGCATGGCCTTCTTCTCCACACTGCCCACATTGCCACTGCCAATGCCACTGCCAATGCCGCACTGCCCGCCCATCTTCCCATCTTCGTCGTAAAAGCTACCAGCCACAGGCTGGAGAGTGCTACCGAAGCACCGGGACGCTGGGTACGACACCCACCAGCGCCCAGACGGCTAGGGCTGTGGTGATCGACGGAGTGTTTGCATACATGGTTATTAGATAGTTGAGATGCCTACCCACTCGCGTACGTTTTTCAAGGTAAACCCCCACGCTTAAGCGCCTGTCTGCCTGTCTGCCTGTCTACATGCCTGTCTGCCTGCGTCCCTGCCTGCGTGCCTACAGCCTGTTCACCTGTGTACTGAGGAGCCTCCACGTCACGGCGTTCAACTGCCAGTCCCAGATCAGTCTCGACTTCCTGCAAGACACCGTCTGGTTGTCATCCAAGTGGCAAATCTGGCACCCGGCCTGCCTGTCTTACTACAGGAATGGTTGCTGATAAGATAACCCTAACCCTACCACTAAAAACGGGGCGAACAAAGTGATCCACGGTCGTCTTTCCGTGGTAGGGTCGGCCGGCTGCCCCTGAAGCAATCACTTTGTTTGGTTCATTGTACGAGATACGGCGTCACCTACTTGCTACTGCTGAAACCGACCTTCTTAATGTGGTCCATTCCCATGTTCTGATCGGTCTGTGTGTGCTTAAGACATGGTTACTCATCGCAAGTCTTTTTTTCTCACTCGAAAGACGCGTGAACAGTCATGCAAGCTCTGCTGCCTGCGGACGTATCAAGTAGTCAGCAGGACATATGTATGATGATATTATCTGACATACATGACGGGACAAGACCAGCAATATTGCCTAGTGACAACGCACGGCATGCCCAATGAATCATGAGAACGGCATACACGATACTATGAGCAGTCGTCCGTAGCCTAGTCTGAGTATCAACCACGGCAGAAAAAGCAGGTCTATTCTCTTCCCCCTTCAACCCCTTTCTATTCTCGGCTTGCAAAGCCTCACAGTGCCCAGGCCTGATCATGAGCATGTGAAAGCATTTAATGCTTTTTTTTTTAATTTGATAAAAGATTGTACCGCGGTGTGCCCAAACGCCTCAGTCATGCCTTCATGCGGTGTTGAATCCATTGCACGTGTCTCCAGGCCCATTCGTGTAAACAAGGCTCTCTCTCCTGCGGGTGAGCCGGCCTTGTGACCGACCAGTCCGGTCAGCGTGACTCTTATCGCGCAATAACTCCAAGGCAAACAGCTCTACGTTTACAGAAAATTCCAGGACAATCTCGAGCTCAGCCATGCTCGGAGTTGCCCAGTCCCCACGTAGAACGGGGTGATTGACACACAAACACCCACCGGTTCTTGGCAGGGCAAGGCAGGGCGTAACGCGGCACGATTCAAACCACGCACACACCACATGCACACCGAAACAAGGCGCCGCCCGCTTCCTCACGTAACCACGCCCTTTGCACCTCTCCCCCTCCTCCTAATCAAATCACTGGTCCGCCTCATCGCTGCCAAACTCGTCCACGATCCACAGGCAGAAGCGCTCCCACTCGACCGCCCACTCCTTGATCCTCTGGGCCTTGACGCCACCGCCGACGCTGGCCTCCTTGACGTCGCGGCTCCAGGCCTCGGCGGTCTGGTCCTCGAACGCGGCCCAGCGGACGCTGTCGTGGGCGAGGCTGCCCAGCCCGGCGAGCCCGAGGTTCTCCCAGCCCTGCAACGCCTGCCAGAAGTCGTGGGTGCTCCCGGCCGTGTCCTGGCCCAGCATGGCCGGGTCGTCGTTGCACAGCGAGCAGTGCACGCCGCGCGCGAGCAGCGCCGGCAGCGGGTGCGACATGACGGACCCGCACAGCCGCAGCACCTCGTTGGAGATGGGGCAGCTCTCGACCAGGATCTTCTTCTCCTTGACCAGGTCGATGAGCAGCGGGTGCTTGTACAGACTGAACCCGTGGCCGATCCGCCGTGTGCCCAGCAGGATCGCGTCGAAGAGGTTGTGGTCCGTCTCGCTGCCGGACCCCAGACACTCGCCCGCGTGGAAGAAGAAGGGGATGTCGACGCCCTCCTCGGCGCACTGCTTGCGGAACCAGAAGAGCTCGGGAAGCAGGGCACGCAGGGGTTTCCCGGCGTCTTCTTGGCCGACCAGGTCGTAGCCCGCGACAAGGTGGGGATGCGTGATCTTTGTCGTGATACAGTAATCCATGTCCTGGATGATATCGCGGGTCGGGAAGAATCGCAGGGTAGCCCAGATGGTGCGCAGACCCCAGAACCCCTGCCCTTCCTCGGTGGCCTTGAACTTCGCAACCTCCTCGTCGATGACGTCCATCATGGCGCTGAAGTCCTGCTCGGGGGTCTCGCTGCCCTGCTTGTAGTAGTCTAATGCCCAAGAGAATCGCAGCTCGGCCCAGTTGATGCCGTCGGCCTTCAACAGGTGCATCAGCCGCTGCAGGAAGGCGCGGTAGATGGGCTCGTAGTGGACAATGCTGTTGATTACGCGGAAGCACATCAAGAACTTCCGCCAGATGTGGTCTACGCCGCGGTGCTGCTCTACGGCCTCGGTGCGTGAAATGGTGCTTCGCCCGTAGAGCCATTTCAGGAACCCTGCCTTGCCGCCGTCGGGGAAGGCGTCTGCCGCTTGCGTGAGTAGGATGGGGGTCATCTCCTTGTAGCCGTCGCTCCAGATATCGCCCTCGGTGCGCGCCTGCTTGAAGAAGCGGAACTGGAGACGAGCGTACTCGCGTGCTTTTGGTGTGGTCAGCGGCTCGTCCGCCAGGATGTGCATTCCAGGTGTAGCGAATAGGACTTCGAACAAGTAGTCGAAGTCAACCATTGCGTCCATGTGGGCGTGGAGCAGAGCGCCCTTGGGCATGCGCCGCACGATATTCCACAGCTTGGTCCCCTCCATACGGTCCTTGGACAGCGAAAACATCATGCCCGGGTGCACGGTGACGTTCTCTGTCTCCTTAGCCAGCGAGTCCTCGAGCTGCGGCGTCCAGACGGTGTTCTTCTCCTCATCGCGAATGCGGTCCACGATGGCGCAGGCGCGTGTGGCGATTGGAGAGAGACTATGTCTGAACGAGGCATCTGGAGACCATCTTAGTAAGTGTAAAGTAGTTGTAGGGGTCGGTCCATACCGGTTCGTTGCTTATTCTCTTGCGAAATGAGTGCTTCACGACCCTCGATATATTTTTGCATGAACGGATCGCTCTCCTTTGGCATGTCTCGGGATATTTCGTCCCATTCTTGATCCGTGAACGACATCTTGTCTCGGCCGGGTTGTGTCTACCTCAAGATTCTGCAGCTCGTAGTATGACGAAAGATGAGAGTGTGGAGAGAAAGACAAATGAGCAGGACGATTGCGAGATGCAGCGCCAGTCTTATTATATCAGTACGAGTAGGGGAGAGCAAAGTACGGGAGCCGCCCTAGTAGTCACTCTTATTCCCTATTATATACCGTCTTGATGTTTGTGTATGAGGGCAGGGAGATGTGTCGAGGGAAGTCGTGCGCCGCCGGACACCGTTACAGATGACTGGATTCTCCCCGCGGCGACCCACTAAAATAAACCCCGCTGGCCGAGTCCTAATAGGGGGCGCTATGTCCCTGTGGTTCACTAACTTTATGGCCATTGTGTCAGGTCCTGGACTCGACCACCAACGTATTTCCATCTCGTCATCCATCAGGTGCTTTCACAGTCCTCTCCATCAACAGCGATCATGGAATAAATGCGCTCCACACAATCGCGGAGTCCTAATATCTCGTTTCACTGAACTCCCTGGGAGCACCCGGCAGCTCGAACGTCGGCCGCCGGAGATCGTCGGAGTCGCTTCGGCTGTTGGGAGGGCTCTTTGATGCCTTCCTTGGCCGAGTGACTCATTGCATTCCTAATCTTGAGGCAGCAATTTCAGAGATGAGATATTGAATCACTCAGTCATGGCATCGAAGAGCTACACAGGTCGCTCACAAGTGCTTCAGCCATCGTAACTCTGAGACTGACATTGTAACCACTCAAGCAATGCAACAAGGCTTGTAAACGTTACCCACGGTGCATATAGAAGTATCGAGGTGGCGTCCGCACCATTATGAGAGCGTAGTTCTTATTTGAACTTGATATTATGCTTGAAGCAGTACTGAGGCATGATGGAGGACTGGACTTGTCCCCAAACCATGGAACAAGTGCTATCCGTCGGACCTATCTTAACCCTAACCCTAACCCTCGACAAGACTTCAGCCTCGGAGAGAGGAGGGGAGAGGGAGATATGAGGAAAAAATGCCGCAAGCTCCCCAGCAAGTTGTTGCTCTACTGACAGGACATTCCATGCAGGCATCTAGCGGATCGGGGTCAGGTGATATCCCCCATCCTCCCTCGGTCCTTGACAACGGCTTCTCTCAGAATCCAGACACACCGAGCCAGCTTCGCCGCCTCCTCACTTAACAGACCCAAAGTCACCGAGATGTCACTCGAGGCGATCAAGGACATGTTCTCACACTGTACGCTCGATCAAAAGCACTGCGTTTCTGCCCTGGAGCTGAACGAGGCCGGTCTACACCGGTGAAGTCCAGGTACTTCGACTTCAACCTCGCATGGCGTTGTCTGTTATTCAGCCTCATCTCCGCAGGCGATACATGGTTCTTCTGGGGAGTATCAGGTAAATATCCCTTTCCGTCAGCTCGAGACGGTGGTCTGCACGCCGTCGAGCTGGGGATGGAACGAACCGGATTCGAAGTCCAAATCTGGCAGGCCCACGGGCCGCATCGAGGGTCCAGGACCCACTGTGAGCGCGAGAGTGAGTGCGAGGGTGAATATCAGGGAAGCGAACGAAACGTTTCATTCCCGAGAGCCATATTGGGTACACCGAGCTGAACAAAGCAGAAGCAGGCTCTTGCACAGGGTAGTAGCAGCATACTGGGGAAGCCATCGCTACAACCCCAGGCTTGCTACGCAGACGTGCACGACGTGGTACAGATGGACGCCGGTCAATATAAAGTTCGGCGTCGAATCTCCTCGTCCCTGCAGGCGCCGGGGGTGATGGTAAAGGTACCGACGGGTTGGACCCAATGGCATGCCAGCGTCGCCCCTGTATTCGGTGCGGCAGGAGAATGCGTGCCCATTCTAGCCCCCAAACCCGTCTTCCCCTTCCCTTCCACATCCCCAGCACCGCAGCTCCAGGGGTTTGCCGCCATCATCAAGACAACCATCACCATCACCACCACTTGCAACCGACACAAACCATATGTCTCAGTCAGCTCAACCGACATCAGCGTATCCCAGGCCGTCGGGCTGGGTCGTCGCCATTGCTTGCCCAGGATTCTGGAAACGCGGCAGACGGCGCCCTGATAGGCGGGCGACCGCTGCTAACAACTAAGTGCCATGCCGCGCAGAAAACAACCTGCCTATTCCGCGTGTCTCGCCCGGAATGGGATGAGCGGTGTCTCAGACGAGGGCTACATACAGGCAAGCATGAATAGGTACATATGTAGGTACGCTGAGTGACTGCACGCGAACCCAGAAACGTGCCCTTGTTTACCGTCACGTTCGGGGATTGTGCATATTGTAAAAGACTGTAGCATCGGACCACTTCGACATTGCAAGAAGGATAGGGATGCATGGGTCGAGGTCGGCCTGACCGACGATGTCGATCTCTTGAGCTTCTGCGCGTTACTGGTGAGTATACGACGTGTCCACGAACAGGGGCCTTGGAACCACAGGGAACACCAGTGGACTACGGGTGATACCGCTGGCGATCGCGAGAAAACCAGGTAGCAGAAGCGGGAGCGATATAGAGGACAGCTGATGGGCTATGCCTGCCGCCACCAACATCGCTTAGCACGGGGACAGGAGCATGAAGGAGAGTTCAACGAAGCGCCGTGCAGAACTGTAGAAGTCATCAAGGGGGACCAGACGAAGCACCGGACGGAAGGATCAAACCAATGCATGCTCGTCAACTCCGTTTGCGTGGTCCGTGGGACGTATATACCTGGAATAAAACAAGGTTATTACATACGACCATAGGATCAGGAGAACTTGGCATCCCGTCCGCTCTGCCTTAAATAAGCCTGATACCGCCGGATTAGTAGTTGGGTCGGTGACGACCAGCGAATTCCCGGTGTTGTATGTATCAATTTTTGTACTTGGAAATACCACATATTGGTATTCTTATTTTGATGGTTGACAGATTCAGTATTCATACTGATCGTCAAGTCCCGGTACAGCATGAGTCTCTGCAGTGTCGAAGCCACTAACATCGCTCATTGCTCACGGGCATGACACTTCAGGAGCAGATATGAGATAGCCAGAGCTTCCACGGTATGCCATTGCACGCAGGCACCTCCGAGGAAGAAAACCAATGACGGAACACACAGTAATCATAGATAGATACACACACCAAGCAGCCTAAGGTTAGAGTTCTCGAAACACAGCTCTTTTCCCAACATCTGACCTTGCTCCTCGATCAAACCATCCCCATCTAAGCCTGCAACGCCATCTCCTCCCTCGCAGCATGACTCCCCTTCCGCCACGCCTCCGTATGATCCCTCCCATTCCCCCTCTCATCCCCGAGGCTCTTCTGCCCGCCCACCTTGCCCCAGCCGCCGCCTCCGGGCGTGTTCACAATGACGCGATCGCCCGGCTTCATGGCCGCGCTGTTCTTGGCGCCCATGTTGATGTGCCTCTCCTCGTACTCGACCTCCTTTCCCTCACCCTTATTCCCACCATTACTCCCGCCCTCCACCTCCACATGCGCCCCCGCCACCGCAAGGTCCCTCTCCGGATCCGCCCTCGCCACGCGGCGGACCCAGATATTAAGCCCGCACTCTGCGTCCTCGCCGCCCGCAAGGCCGTACGGCCGGTAGACGCGCCGCTCGCTAAGAATGGAGACCTGGACGGGGATGCGGAACTCGATATCGCGGACGACACCATCACCACCGCGGTGTTGCCCCCCACCGCCCGAGCCGCGGCGGATCGAGAACTCGCGCAGCACCACCGGGTAGCGCCGCTCGAAGACCTCCGAGTCGGTGATGCGCGTGTTAGTCATGTGCGTGTGCACGCCGCTAGTGCCCTCCCACGTGGGTCCCGCGCCGCTGCCGCCCGCGATGGTCTCGTAATACCCAAACCCTTTTACCTCCTTCTCGCCCGACACGTTCCCCCCAAAGCCGAACGTCAGGTTGTTGCAGTCGCCCTGGGACGCGGCGCAGGCCTGGAACGCGCGGAAGATGACGTCGGTCACGCGCTGGCTGGTCAGCACGTTGCCGCCGACCACGGCGGCGCCCGTCGACGGCGACAGCAGCGACCGCGGCGGGATCCGCACATCGATCGGCTTGAGGCAGCCCTGGTTCAGCGGGATGTCCTCCGAGATCAGGCACCGCAGGCAGTAGATGACGGCGCTGTAGGTGATGGCCTCGGGCGCGTTGACGTTGCCGTAGACCTCGGGCCCCGTGCCCGCGAAGTCGAAGATCGCCTCGCCCTTGTCCGGATCGATGGTCACGCGCAGCCGGATGGGCGTTCCATCGTCCATATAGTCCGTCGCCGACAGGTCGCGGCCCTCGAAGCGCTTGTGCACCTGCTTTAGCAGATTGCGCACGCACAGCTCCGCGTTGTGCTGGATGTGCTCCATGTAGAACTGCACCGTCTCTTCGCCGTATTCCTGGATCAGGCCCTCAATCAGCGAGATGCCCTTCTGGTTCGCCGAGACCTGGGCGCGGAGGTCATTGATATTGTCGGCTAGACAGCGCGTGCCACTGCAGCCGGGATACTGCGCCGGTTCCTTGTAGAGCAGCTCTGTGATCCGCTCCTCGTTGAACCTGCCCTCGCTGACGATCTTCTCGCTCTTGATCGCCGCACCTTCCTGGAACAGCTCTCGCGAGTGCGGCGGCATACTACCAGCCGTGATACCGCCAATATCAGCGTGATGCGCACGAGACGCAGCATAAAACAGGATCTTGTCCTCCTTATCGTCGAAAGCAGGCATGAGTAGAGTAATATCCGGTAAATGCGTGCCACCATATGAAGGATGATTCGAGATGATCACATCCCCTTTCTTCAGTTTGCCCTCCCAGATCTTGGCTTGTGTCTTGACACACGTCGACATAGACCCAAGATGGACAGGAAGATGCGGCGCATTCGCCACCAGACCACCAGTAGCATCGAAAATGGCACATGAGAAGTCGAGACGTTCCTTGACGTTGGTGCTGACACTGGTCTTCTGGAGTGCCCTGCCCATCTGCTCCGCAATGGCCATGAAGCGATGACCGAAGATGCTGAGCATGATGGGGTCGACTTCTCGTTCCACTGACTCCTTCTTTTGTGACCTGTTCATATGTTAGCGCGGTCCCATGACTCCCTAACAGTGCGGCACTGCACTCACTCTTCCTTGCCCTCCTTTTCAAGGTCAATGACAACATGCGTCTGCAAAATCAGCGCCTTCGCCTTCGGAGTAACGACAATAGTCTGGGTCCCGTCAGCCAGCATCGCCGGTCCGCTGATCTCGTCACCAATCGCGAGGTCCACCAGCTTGTAAATAGGCGTCTCTAGCCGGCCACCTTCGAAGTAAACCTGCGACTTGCCATGTGCTTTCTTGTCTCCTACTGACTGGCGCTTCACCTCCTTCAGTTGCTGATCGACCGTCTTATCCTGGTAGCGGAAGCTCTTGCCGATGCCCCGGATGCGTACATCGTCGACGATGATATCCCGGTCGTCGAGTGTAAATCCGAACTCGTAGCGGTGATGTCTGACAAATGCCTTGCCGAATGCCCAATCCTGGCCGTCGAATGAAGTCGTCGCATCCTCTTCGCTGGGCTTGACGATCATGAGCGCGGATTCCGTGCCGCGATACCTCATGTTGAGATACTCCTCGAAGACGATCTCACTGTCCTCGAAACCCTGGTCCTGCAGCGCCTTGCGGGATTTGCTCTTGAGCTTATCCATCTTGCTTTTCAGTTCTTCGACAACTTCTCCCTTATCTTGCCAGACCTTGGAGTCGGGCTCTTGTCTCTCATCTACCACGTCTGCCAATGCCATGCCGTACGCCGATAATACAGACGAGTAACGGTGTACCAGAATCTGCTTCATACCCAAAGCCTCTGCGATAGCTACAGCGTGCTGACCACCAGCTCCGCCAAATGTAGCTAACCTGTGTTTTGAGGAATCGTGGCCTTTGGCTTCGGTTATAGACCGGATTGGTCTCGTCATAGCCTCGTTCGCTATCGTCAGAAACCCATAGGCTACCTCATCCAAGCTCATGTTCTTGCCGGTCTCCTTGTTGACCTGATTAGTGAGCTCCTGGATTACCTTCTTGCTCGCTTCGTAATCCAACCCCTCGTCCTCATTCTTGCCGAAGATCTTAGGAAAGAATTCAGGCAAGAGACGCCCTAGGAACAGGTTCGCATCCGTCACCGCAGCAGGTCCGCCTTTCCGGTAGCAGGCAGGTCCAGGATGTGCACCCACTGATTCAGGCCCGACAACAAAGAGCCCATTCTTGAAGAACAGCCTGCTGCCACCCCCAGCAGCAACCGTATTTATGTCGAGCTGCGGTGACTGTATCGTCACACCCGCCGTTGTGGTCTCGAAGACGTGTTCGTACCGCCCCTCTCCGTACCGTGAGACGTCGGTACTCGTGCCACCCATATCGAAGCCAATAACCGGGATCTTAGTCTCGTCGTCATAGCTCGTGATGGCATAACCCACCACGCCGCCAGCCGGGCCCGACAGGATTGCTTTGAGCCCCGTGAACTTCTCCACGTCGACGAGGCCGCCGTCGCTCTGCATGAACTCGCAGCGGGCGCCTCTGCTGCCCTCCTCCTGCAGGACGCTGCGCGTGCCCAGGCCGCCCGCGAACCCCCTCTGGAAGCCGGCGATGTACTTCTTGATGGCGGGCGTCAGGTATGCGTCGGCACAGACGCTGGTCGCGCGCGAAACAAGTTTGATCATGGGCATGAGCTCGTGGCTGAGAGAGATGTGTTGGAAGCCGACGTCACGGGCGATCCGGCCGACCATGGCCTCGTGGTCCGGGAACGTGTAGCCGTGCATCAGACACACGGCGATGCTGCGGATACCCCTATCGTAGATACCCTGCAGCTGCTCCCTGATACCGTCCTCGGCCGGCCGGTGCAGCACGCGCACGGCCTCGCCCGAGAGGCCCATGACGAGGTCGGCGTCGGCGGCCTCGGGGGTCCCGGCCTTCGCATGCGTCTTGCTGAGGGCGCGCTCGGGGTCCTCGGCGTAGTCCTCGAGGGTGACGCGCTCGTCGACCTCGACGACCTCCTCGTACAGGACGTCGGGCTTGCGGATAGCGAGGTCGAAGATCTTGGGCCGGCTCTGATTACCGATGGTGAGGCAGTCGCGGAAGCCGCGCGTGACGACGAGGGCGATCTTCTCGCCCTTGCGCTCGAGCAGCGCGTTCGTCGCCACTGTCGTGCCCATGCGGATGCTGTCGATGTTCGACGTCTCCAGCGCCTCGCCGCGCGGGATGTCGCGACCCTGGAAGTGGCCCATGATGCGCCGGATACCCTCCAGGGGCGCATCGTCGTAGTTCGCTGGGTCTTCAGAGAGCAACTTGATCACCACATCCTCCCCGTTGAGTGTGCCGACGCAGTCGGTGAAAGTGCCGCCCCGGTCGATCGCGATGCGGACCGCGCGACCCTGCTGGTCCGTAGAGCCCATTGTGACTGCTGAGATGGGAGGTAGGGTGGAAGACTCGGAAGAGGGGGTGGATATATAGGGGATAGAGACAAGGTTCTACCAGGAGCTCGATCAAGTCAATAAGCCGTATGTTGCTTCTCAAGTCCAAGGTAGTATAGACTGGGCGCAAGAGTAGATCGAGGTTCTGCAGCGCCTTTGGTCAGTCACATTCACATTCAAACTGGGAAGGCACACGGAAGCATGACGAGTATTTGTAGACCACGCAATATGTCGACTGCAAGAATGTGCAAGGTACGGCGTTCCCAAGCCGATCAATGGCAGCAGCCGATCAAGCCGTGATGCTTGGTTGGAGCTGGAGCTATTCACAGATGCCGTCATGAGAATAATAGGTATATGTAATCACCCCACCAATCTCCAACAACCCCGCAAAGTGGGTACATCGTGGCCGACGATAGGGACAGAGCGAAAGCCGTGTTCTGCTCGATACAACTTGTAAGCTTTATGAGTTAGGTAATGCACCAGGTTCTCGGAGACGGAAGTCCGCTGCCTGAGAGTGGATCGTGTATCTCCTGATTCATAAGCGGTTCTGACTGGACGTGTTGCTTGATGAATTATTAATGCGCCGTTCAGTGAGACGGCGTTGGCTAATAAGTGGTCTACAAATCGTGAGCCTCACATGCCTTGCCCTCGGCCCCTGCTGTTGCTCGTAGTCGTACCAGGTCGTACATGGGCCTCAAGCGCAAAGCATCTCTCCTGCATACCGCGCCTGTTGCCGCTGCGGAAGAAATAAACCTATACGTTGTCATCCCACTCCGCGTTTGCGCCAACTCCCTTCATTGAATCATGCTTCTTCTCTCATTGAGTCGTCTCAGTGCGTAATCACGCGTACCGCCTGTAGTATGATCCCAAAGAAGAGCCCTCTCGCAACCTCTTCGATCTGTAGGCAATCAAACACTCGGCCCAGTGCCTCGCTAGTGGCCGACTGGCCCATGATTCCCATCAGCGCCGCCGGGACGCTACTCTGTATGAACAGCTTCCTCGCTTTCACGCGCAGTTCTTCCTTCTCTTCAACCGTCAGCTCTGCCGGCCAAGCCTTTCGTTCTTCTTCGGTAGGAAGCGAGTTCTCCCGAAGCTTCCGTAGATGCGCCGCGATTCCCTCGTCCGAAGTGTTTGTCTCGAGGACTGACTCTTGAATAAGTGACTTGATGGATACGAGTGAAGGGTTTCCAGGCCGGAGCAAGAACGTTTTCGCTGCCGTCAGGAGAGTCCTTCGAATATTCCACGCCGAGGAGAGCGTGTAAAGTTCATTAATGACAGCGAACATGAGCTCAACTGCCACTCGAGTCTCCTGTTCCGACAGAGGGGCGTGCTGCTTGGCTGGTCGCTTGACAGTCCCATTCACCTGTGACAATTTCTCGTGCTGAGTTGAAGCTAATGAACGAGTCGGTGAAGTAAGTGAAGTGCTGAGCCTTGAAAATCCGTCCGTGCTAAGTCGAGTGCTCGTTGGAGAATCGTAGTCATCTGCAATCTCGGTCGGTGGTGGTGGTAGCTTCATATTGCTCAGGCTCACTTCCGATGGTGAGCGCAAGGCAGCCAAGCTCGAAGTTCGGCTGTGCACTCTACTACTTGCTCCGCTCGTTGACTTTCGTTCCCATCGATCGGCCCTTGCTGGGTGCAAACACTCTTGAGATTCCATGTCGGCTTGATAACTTGGTCGTCTGTCCATGAGGGGCAATTTGCCCGGTTGCACAGAGACAATGGACGATCTCTGGCTATCGAGACTGTCTCTGGACATTCTTGATGCATTCACCGAAGAGGCACTGTCCATTCTCGGAAGAGCAGGCAAAGAGACGGGCCGACTACTTGCAGGGCTGAGTGATCCGCTCCCCTGGGTTGTTTGGATCTCCTGTAATGATGAGTTCGTTGATCTCTTTGGACCCAGTCCGATGTTGCCAAAAACGCCAGTCACTCCGCCGACAAGACCTTTGCCGCCATCCAATGCTCCCTTCGGTGCGTTCTGGATCACATCGAGCATCCCCTTGCCCATGGACTCGAAAGAAAATCCTCTGTTAACACCCATTTTGGTCTCCTGGCTTTTGTCAAGGAAGCGCTTCATGGCCTCTGATTCTGCCAGCGTTTTCTCTACACAAGCTGTTCGCATGTATCTCTCGATCTCACCGCGCAGCGATGATCTCGTATGCAGTTTCCAGCTCGGGAATGCCGAGTGCGCCTCCAAGAAGGCCGTAGCGCCTGAAATTGCTGCAATCCGCCGGATGCTCTCATGAAGGCCCTCAAATTGCGTGTACGTCTTCATAATCATCCAGCCGGGCTGCTGCGACGACGAAGGCTCCACTTGGATAAGGTATTCCCAGGTTGGCTTGCTGCGTAATCGGCCTTTGTCATTACCAACATCGTCGTGAATGGTGATGGCAGCGTTGTGTAATGTTAGCGCTTGTGGTCTGTGAGACTCGGCGTCCTCGGGGTCGTCCCTTGCTGGAGGCACGAACTGATCGAAGCTCGTAAACCGATTAGTCGCAACCGGTTCTTCTTTGTTCGACGGTGACGAGTTATGACTTGGGCTATCGGCCGAAGATCTAGAGGTTGTGGGAGAGGTGAGCGAATTCTGCCTTGCTTCGGCCTTGTCCAAGTGCGCTTCTTTCGGCGCAACCTTGGGGCCATTGACTTTCGTCGACTCGGGGGTAGAACGGGTCGCCTTCTCTTGTATGTTCAGTAGAAGCTCTCTCGCGTTCTTCTCCACGGCTTTGTCAAGCAGACTGGGAGCTTCTGTGGTGTTCTCCTTCGAAACCCCTTTCGTCTGGTCTGCTTCTGCAATCATTGCATTCAGTCTCTTCATCTCCTCCATGGCCCTTTCCATTTCCTCGTCAGCTTTCGATAGCTTCTTCTTGTGGGTCAGTTCCTTTCGACGTTGTCGATCCATATCGTAGGAGTTGCGGTTGCCTTTGGAAAGTCCAATGTTTCCAACGTTACCGTCCACATCACTATAAGCCTTTTGATCTTGAATAGCGTCATCAATTGCTTGAGACAGGTCCGTCTCTCCGGATTCCAAGAGGTACACGATCCAAGTGTTGATCCACTCGGGTTTGGAGCATGTCTGCAAAGTGCCCTCGAGGACAATGGTTGAGAGGATCTCCCGCAGGAAGATTCTAGCCGGCTCGAAATCACGCGCTGGTTTCTCCAGAAAACCAAGTAGGTCCTCGGCCACCGTCTTGAACTTCCCTGCTTGTTGCCTCTGGTTGAGCAGGTTGGATAAAGGAGCATCTCTATTGGTGGCCAGATAGTTGTAAATGGCATCGGCAGCAGTCATGTTTGTGTCTGTAGGAAGCTCGGAATACGCGGACGCCATCTCGGAAAAGAAGACTATTATGATGGAGCACGTGTGTGTAACGAAGTCGACAAAGGCATCGGCGGGGCGCTTGCGGCTCAATCGGTTCGACAGGTTCAGGAGGAACTTGATCAGGACCTTGCGAGAGGATAGAGAGAACGACTGGTCGGATGGCACGATAGGTCCATACCACCATTCGACATAATCGCGGATGGTCGCATCAACGAATTCGTTCAGGGCGGCTCGTGTCTCTGGCCGGAAGTCGTCGAAACTTCGAGCCAGCGTCTGAGCATCAACCAGTTCATCTTGTTCGGCGTTCGTGGACGAGTCTCTAGGTCTCGTTTCGAAGAGGCGATCAAGAAAGTCGTAACCCTTTTCACCCCGGACGGCACGCGATACCTCTGGGTGACGAGATTCCCAGGCTGCGAACAACGTGATCCCCCCAAAGGCGCCTATGAGCACCAGCCCGACCTTTCCCAGTATAAAGTAGGTGGTTGCCGCAAGCCCGGCACCAATGGCGCCCAACGTCCCTGGTGTGGCCGTTGACAGGAACTGGAAGACTTTGGACACGAGGTCTCCTTGACTCGCTGAAGACGGGAGAGTATCTTCCTCAGACGGGTTCGTCGGACTCGTCAATGGGCTGTCGGAAATTGCATTGGATGGTATTGTCGCGTCGTTTGGGGTGGCTTGCATGTCGGGTTGCGATCTGGCGGGTGGTGCGCCGCGTGTTCCATCGCTTTCGGTAGCCATTAGGACTTTTCAGATCTATCGAATTCGAAGACTAGTTAGGGCAGCGATAGCGGCGGACACATGTCAGATATGGTGTAGGTAGGCAGGTAGGTAAGCAGACAATCGATCAAGGAATAAGACAGAACGGAGAAGTGACAGTCATCGCAGGTAGATTCGACAATGGTGAAGTGAATGGTGTTGTATTCTTCGGGTTTTGCGGTAACGCTATGAAAGGAAGGAAAGAAAGAACAGAAAGTGTGAATGGTGTGCTGGTCGAATGTTTCGTGTCAACGTCAACGTTCCGAGTTTGGGATGGCTATTCCCATCATGGATGCTAATTTTGGGAGCAGCCAGGATGAGGACTCCATTGAGGAGGCTCGTCAGGGGTCTGATCGCCGGTACATCGTGGCTGGCGCAATCTAACCCGCCCAGATTTGGGCTAGGATGACGGGGCCCTTTGGAGGCTTTGGGTCTGGACGCTTGGTGAGAGGGGAGAATTTCCCGGCTAAGTATTAGCTGTTATTAGCGCTGTGGATGCGCTGTAGCAAGACTCTTCCAGGGGCTAGGCAGCTAGGCCAGCCCGACAGCATTAGGTAATCCCAAAGTGCCGGCGGCGCGTCTCTCAACGAACAGCTGCGACCTGAACGCGTCAACCCCACCACATTCTTGACGTACCTGCCTCTTAGGTAATCCAACCCCGTTTGTGGCCTTTGTGAGCTATCGAACTCAGATCCTCGCATTTACCATCATCGGATCACATATACACTCATACGTCCATACTCTTGTCCATACTCTCGTCCATTATCCGGTCTTCGAACTCATCACTCATCTCCCCCCCGTTCCAATCAAACTCGCAACAATGGTCAAGTCCAAGAACCTCAAGAGATCGCGTCGCGACGAGGACGACGACGTCTCAAGCGAGGAAGTCACAAAGTCGAGCAAGAAGACCAAGACCTCTGCTGCCCCTGATTCCGGCAAGGACGACGACGGCAATGCTTGGTGGGCCGTAAGTAAAGCCCAGGTTGATCTACCTCGCATGACTGGCCTGTTGCTAATTCTTGCATGTAAAGCTTGGTGGTAATCGCAGAGCCACCGTCACCGATTTCAAAGGCACAACCTACGTCAACATCCGAGAGTACTATATGGACAAAAATGGTGATGCCAAGCCGGGAAAGAAGGTGAGCTGTCTGAGACTCTAAGAGCATGGTCATCTTTCCATCCCGACTAACCAGCATACCTAATCCAGGGCATCATGCTGAACCTGGAGGCATACGGCGTTTTGGTGGGAGCCATCCCCGCTATCAACGCCGAGCTCCAAGCCAAGGGCCATGAAGCTCCAGAGATCTCTTCGATCGCGCCTGCCGCCGCCGCCGCCCCGGCTTCAGCGAAGGCACCCAAGAAGACAACCGCGAAGGACATGAAGAAAAGCAACAAGAAATCGAACATCGAAGCGACCAGTGACGAGGACGAGGAAGATGAGGAGGACAAGGAAGAGGGTATCTAGGGAGTGCTCCGCCAAGGGGGACATGTTCGCCACTTCTGACCGCTGAATAACTGGTGGGAAGCTGCACGTGAGATGTATCACCTCACTCGATGCCCTGATCTTCGCCAGCTAGCTCGATCGAGATGTCTCGCGGAGGGGACAATAATTGCCTTCTTTTCTGAGTTGCACGAACACAAAAATGAAGGACCTTCTAGTTGAGAAGATTGCTTGAGGTATAAGAGGTCTATTTGAGACACGTCTCGCTCTAGGACACAGATACTTGATTTGAATGATACCCATTGCTCTAATGAGCTTTATCAAAGGACAGATCCCTCTCACGCACCGAATACGTCGATACTCGCTCATATGAGCCTCATCTGAATCGCTCATGAGTTCTTTTGTGGTTCCAGTTGATTATATAAACGCGACACATGCCATCGGATATTTTGTTGATACACCTATTTATCGACAGTTGCCAGCAACAAGGACGTTGGCGGCCACCTAAAACAAGATTCGATCTAGGTGGCCAGATACGAACCGAAGGAATCATCTACATAACACCCGCCATGTTCTCTTGCCTCGCGTTCAAAAACACGGGCATCAAACCTGAATCCGAGCTCGTATCTGGCCGCTGTGCCAGTATCCGCGCCAGCTGCGGCTTGACCCCTATTCTACCACGAAGGAATACCGCTCCAGGAGAAACAGTAGACTGCCCATTCGACCTTGGCACCGCCATAGTACCTCCGAATGAGGACAGAAGTCAAGTAGTATATGCTACGCAGCCTTTGGGAGCCCCTGGAATCAATCGAATCAGCATGCGGCTCGCAGGTCATGGGAGCTGTTCGCATGGATAGCAGGAAGCCCCATGATAGCACAGTATGACCCCGGTATACTACATGCAACACATACGGACAGATTACCTGAACCATGTGGACCAGCTACAGAAGCTCATAGACCTTGTCAGCCGATCTGATATGCGTTGCTGGAGGCGATGGGATGGTTTTTGGTGCTTGACAACAATGTTTCCTATTGCGTACACACTATCAGACCAGCAAGGGCGTCGTATGTCAGCCAGGGCGAAGCACAATCAGCTAGGCTACCTCTCGTCTTTGCTGCCAATGCCTCGGGTGCCTTCACAAGGATATGCATGAGCTGGATGGAGTGTCTCGGGCGCTGAATACGTCTACAAGTCTAGGCCGGCCCATGCAGCTGAGCGGCGCGGGGGTGGTATGTCCAGTGTTCTGTAGATGGGTCTGGTAGTCCTTCATCTCTTCTTCCATGAGGCTGACGATTGCCTTGACTTGAGGTTGCGAGCCCAGCCAAGCTCGGGGAGATTTCGGGGAACCGTGGTATATCCAACTTGAACAATTGTTCCCATCTCTTCCTTCTGAGGAGCCACCTTATCAGTACATGATCAGGTTGACGGGTAAAGCGAGAAGAATATCATTCTCATACGATAGCAAGGAAGAGAAACAGGAAATATGACATACTCTCGCTGTTCGGAGGGATGAATTGAGAACCTTGGAGACCAAGTTGTGTGCAACCTCAACAAGGGAATAATCATCAAACAAATAGTACACAGTGCCGCCGATGATATGTTCAGTGTCGTCATCAACGAAGATGGTGCTTTCGTGGACCTGGACGTCGTGCTAATATCAAAGGTGAAGTCAGCCTCTCCTAGCCTCTATGCAGGTGGGAAGGCTTTTATATACTTACCACTAACTTCGTCGTATCTAAAAGGAATGCCCCCGTTCGTAAGCCTACATCCGATCCTTTTCCCTTTCGTATCTCGGACATCCTCGAGATGTGCCTTGAGTTAATCCCCACACGAATCGATGATGTCTTCAGTTTCACCAATGTGAAAGCCCACTGCTGGATACGGGTTGTCCAGTTTCGAATCCGAACGATGTTGGTTCCTCTGAGCACCAGAGCATCTGGCAGTTTGTGTTCCATAAGGTCGGCGCGCATAGGAAGGCTGCTGTCACGTAGTTTTTCTCGCTGGTAGATTGTATACAAGATCTCTCGAACGTACAAGAATGCGAATCTTGCTGATTCTATGTGTGTGTCCACAAGCGAATAAATGTCGATTGCCACATCTCCTCCCAGCATCACCTAGGTAACAGAGCTGCCACATCCTGCTCAACAGAACACTGCGCGTCCCCCAAGCTTTTTATATTCTTGACTTTCCATGATAACTTCCTTTGGAAGTATGGAGATGAACATAGCTTGAAGTGATTTCTCCCGTGCACCAAAATGTCCCATTCCGACGTGATCAACCCGGCGCGTGGTTCCTCTCATGGATGTTCAAGGGACCGGCAGTGACCTTGCCATGTTGCTGCTGCAATGTATCCCACTGCTTTTGGTAAGAAAAGGGAGAGAAAGAGAGAAGCAGAAGTTCTCTTGGGCACTCGGAATACCTTTTTATCACTCCAACAAGCGGCTCAGGGAACAGCTGTCACTTGCCAAATGACACAACACTGAGTCATTGGCTAACAAACTTGCAACCCACTTTGGGTACGCCGATTCATCGGCAGCCGCAGGAGGATCGGCTGCAATGACAACAAACAAGCGTAAGCAATTTTGAGTACAGATTGTTGGACGAGGTTCAGGCGACGGTGGCTTGAATGACAGTGACCAGGGACTTGACTGGAATCATGTCCTGAACAAGCAATTATAAGATGTAGGTATAGAAATACGTATGTGTGTTGGTATGTAGATACCGTAATGGATGAGCCCGCTACACTGAACCCTTATAAGTATTCGCATACCAATAGTCCAGCAAGCAACGGTATATCTCTCGTTATTGGAAGAGGCACACTGGCATAAGCGTGGAAAGTAGCATATAACATCAGTGCTGCTTATTCCTGTATGCTTATAACGGTATTCAATTCTTTACGGATAATCTGTGATCTTATCAACATGCCCGTACGGAGACTTATGGGGGCTGAGTGTAACAGGGGCATCAGACACTCTAACCGGGCACCATATAGGCCCCTGGTGGTAGGACCGACGACAGTGCAAGGTGAAGTCAAAGCCTTCGCAATGGGATACCAACGAATCAGCGGCTGCTCAGCAGAAAATCCCCGGTAGGCCTCGCTGAGCTCGGTGCTTATGTATGTCTGACCATCATACCACCCCCTTGACTGCATCCTCACAACTTCGCTCTCGCCTCGATAGCTCTGTGCGCTCCTCCTCTCTGTGTGAAGTACTCGCCCACCTTCCCCCTCGCCACCTCGATCACCGACGCATCCTCGATGGTGGCGGGATACTGGACTTCCTGCTCGTATTCACCATGGACCGCGTTCTCGACCAGTTCCCTTAGAACCCTCCGCAGTGTCTTGCCCGACCTCGTTTTCGGGATCATGCCCTTTCCTTGGATGATGCCACCGAGAGCGGCAATTCCACCTATTTGCTGGCGGACGAGCTGTTGGATCTCCTCCGACAGCTTCGTATCGGGCACGGCGGATGTAGGGTGGTCGGGCACCGAGAGGGTGATGAAAGCGAACGGCAATTGGCCTTTCAGGGAGTCAGGGATACCAATGACACTGGCTTCAGCTACGAGTGGATGGCTCGTTATCGCTTGCTCGATGGAGCCTATCCCATCTCGTCAGCAGATACTCCCAGCGGATTGTACTAGGACTAACCTGTAGAAAGTCGATGACCTGCAGTATTGATCAGGTCATCACTCCGACTCATGATACTGATGTAGCCTTCGGCGTCTATCATGCCAGCATCTGCGCTTTGTCAGTGGAAGGGTGCGTAAACAATTAGGTGCAAGACGTACCGCCCGTATCGATCCATCTACCATCGAACCTCTTCAAATAACCCTTGTAAAACCGCTCCGCGTCCTTCCACAACGTCGTGAAACCCGTCGGTGCTAGTGGGATCGCTAGAACGATGTTTCCCATATTGCCTCGCTTGACCTCGTTGCCCTTGTCGTCCACCACTCTGACGTCGAATCCTGGCATCGCCTTGCCAGCGCTCCCAGGCTTGATTGGAAGCGGCTTGAAGCTGTTGGCGGTAGTTTGCCCGTCCCTTTTTATATGGGAATTCAAACTGATACCTGATATAGGAGACCCTGATTCTGACGACCACCAGTTGTCTATGATGAGGGCACCGGGCGCCCCATAGCTCTGGATAAGCTTCTGGTACATGGTAATGATTGAGGGTTCTGATCTTTCGCCGGCCAGAAATAGCGCCTTTAGGCTCTTGAGCCCACCCTTTTCCCCTATCCGCTTGAGGCTCTCGTTCTCTGGGTCATCCCGTTTGATCGCCCGCAAGGCGGCTGACACATCAGTTGCTGTTCTGAATGTACTTCGAATCTGAGACTTACTGGGAGCTGTGGAGAGACTGGTAACCTTGTCTAGCGTATGAAAATGTCCCTGGTTAGTTACCGTACCCTATGTTTCTGGAATCGCCTAGCAGAATTACTTACTGCCGAGAAGTTAGCAGAAGGTTCAAGTGTATTCCAAACCCGGGGACTTGGAGTCTGAAATAGGGATGTTTTTATACATGCCACTCCTTTATGATCCTCCAGAAGGTAGAGCTATCAGGCGTCCCGACCGGCTTTCCTTCGAAGAGAACTGTTGCTGCCCCAGTGAGAAGTGGAGCGTAGATGATGTAAGAGTGTCCAACCACCCAACCAATATCGCTACTGCACGTTAGGAAGCTTTTAATATTGCCATGGCTGAAGCGTCTCACCTTGCAGTGAATATGACATCTCCAGGGCCGTTGACACCAAACAGATAGTTGATAGAGAGATGCAGTCCAACGGCGTGGCCACCAGCATCGCGTACCACGCCCTTGGGTGACCCAGTAGTGCCGCTAATTCATGTCAGTGTCAACGTAGCAGTCTCGAAGGCATGCAGGCGTGTACATACCTTGTGTAGATGATGTAGACACCCTCGTTTGCACCGATCGGAACGCAATCCGCCTTCACGCCTCTTGCCCTGCAACTGCGCACCATCTTGAACCAGTTACGCTCACCGCCAGCCTTGTTGAGAGCATCCCAACGCAGCTCGTTTCGCTGCCAAATGATAACGCGGCTCGGCTTATGGCTAGACAGTCGAATAGCCTCGGAAATGAACGGCTTGTAGCTTATCGGTGGTTTGGCTCCGTCGATGCCACACGAAGCGGTAAGAATGGCGACAGGTCGAGATGCTTCGATTCGCTGTGCTAAGGACGCTGCGGCGAAGCCGCCAAAGACTACGGTGTGTATTGCGCCTAAACGATTGACGGCAAGGATCCCGATGAGGGCTGCGGGTATCATGGGCACTGCGTGGCATCAGTTCAACTGTCGTTTTCCAATATCAACTGATCCGAGGTGACTTACTATAAACCAGTACAACATCTCCCTTCTTCACGCCCTCTGCTCTGAGGGCACCAGCTGTGACTTCGACCTCGTCTAGCAGCTGCGCATACGTGATCGCCTGCTTGGTCTTGGTGACGGGGCTGTCGTAAAAAATCGCAGGCCGGTCACCATTCCCTGCAAGCACATGCCGGTCGACGCAGTTGTAGCATGTCGATATCTCTCCGCCCTGAAACCAATTCCAATGAGGGTGTTCGATGCCACTCTTGAGCTTCTTGGTCGACTTGGTCAAGTTTGCGCTTGGCCTCTTATGCCAGTAGAGGTGCTCGGCCTGATCCGTAGCTGTTAGTCATCATATGCTCGCTTGATGGTCTACAGGAGCTTTCCGGGGGAACATGGAAGTGCATGGGAGCTGAGCTTCCAAGGCCAGCCTGCAGGCATCTCAGACTCAGAGGGAAGACTGACCTGACTAGACCAGAAGGATTCCGGGTCCTCAAGGGACTGGCGATGAGCTTCATCCTGTGGGTGACTCATTGTCGCAGACCTCGGGCAATGACAACCGTTGAACCTTTGGGGAGCTCTCTTAAGACGCTGTACACCTGTGTGCAGACTGGGCTTGTGTGAAACAGGTTGCGAGCGACTCTCTAGCATAGGTACTTGGGCGATGTAGTATCTTTTCTGCACCACCTGTTCACGACAGAGCCAGGCCGACAATGTAGCAGGAGAAACTGGTACTGTGTTTCTCATTCGAAGGTTATATATTGGAGGTGCTGAGATGATGTAACAAGACGGGGGCACGGCGGTCGCTGCAAGCTGCGATTCCCCGCATTTGCCCCTTACCCGGGCCATTTGACCGGACCCCTGAACGGCTTCCTCGGCAACAAGGAGCTCCCCAACTCCATATTCCCGTAAGAAAAGGGTATCATGAAGAGCGACGAGCGGAGCATCGAGTCGGTCTCGTTGACGGTCGTGCATAACGCCAGCGTATTCGTATGAGACTGCACCCCAAGTCCAACGGCCCTTAGCATACCACGCATCGTTTCGTAAGTAGCTCTGTTCTAGCCGTTTGGTCGAGAATGAGAGCCCGGGGCATCGATCTCATGGTCATAAAATAAGATGGCTAAGGGGAGAACGGCGTATGTCCGACTTCAAGAGTGACTACACAAGTCAGGCTGTTTCAGGGCAAGACATGGACATGATGGCCCTGACAGTACAGTGAGTGAGTCTCTGAGAGTCCAAGCAAGACGCCGTATATATGCTAACTTTCTAGGTCCAAGCCTCCGTCCTCAGCCTTTCAAGCTTGATGTGTTCGTTGTTTCCTTCCTATCCAGGCACTAGAGATATGGAGGCACTGGAGCAACGCTGAGGGTGGATTACTGTGAGGCATCATCACGGCCGGGGAAGACCAGGTCATGGCGTCCTCCATGTCAGTGATACGCACTGCTGTATATCACAGGGGCTAATGGAAGTATCATAGTTTAGATCGCGTACTACAAGATGTGATTTCACGAGCCAGTATGCGACAAGCGTACTGTATCAAGTCGAAGATGGTATACCTACAACCATGGCTTAGGGCTCGAACTGTCTGTAGAATCTAGTCCCGGGCACATCCGGAGGTCGTCTTCTTGTATTTGCCGAGGCTTACATCGTCCTCCACAGCGTGGCATCAACGAGAACGCGATGATCGGGCCATGGTGGTCGATCCGCACAGGCCGGGAGTCTGTGTTGTACCTTATCCGCGCCGACCTACCCACGGCACGACCTCTATAGACAGCGGCAAGCAACAAGTAACTCACGCCTTCGATGCACAGGTTAGTTGGTATCGGCCTCACGTGTCGCTCAGGAGCCATATCGCCAATGCATTTTCGTGTATTGATCTTTCGGTACAGTATGTACGCCAAAGTATCTCACTGGATCGGCGGTCACCATATGCCATCGGATTATAATACCTCCCTAATACGACCGACGACGGCGAAGAGGAAGGTCCATAAGGCTTCAAATCTACTCCGTACAAGGTTCGTCAGAGGAATTGATGGCATGCCTACTGGCCGTATACACGGCAGCGAAAATTGAACATAATATGAGAAGCAAGCAAACTATTCAGGTCGACAACAGAAAATTGCCTCAATCACCTTATCCTCATCTGTTCCCATCGCTTCACGTCGGATGGTCCGTAGGTCTATCCCCTTACATACATGAAAACCATTGCCCTTCATGGCCGGCGTCGCAACCCAAGCCATCATACGTGTTTGACAATCAAGACAGCCAAGCTGATGACAGTCCTGTCGGGCATGGTTGAACAGCCGCCCACGTGGAGGAGCGGGTGCCTAGCTACACTCGAACACATACCACAGGATTCCAAACCCCACCCAGCCTCGAAGATATGTGGACGCCTTGCCGGCTCGTTGCAGAGCAACCAAGTCAGTTCTCAAGAGGCAGGTGTTTGCCTGTCTAGCACGCAATTTGACCTTGAAGTCAGCTACCCGTTGTTCTCACGGGTTGGAGGTGGCAGGTTGAACAAAGCGTGCTCATTTGGTCTACACAAACCATCGATATGATCTTGGAAAGGTACCATCGCGAGACATTGGCGTCCTACAAAAGCATCCAAAGGGTCATCTTATCGCTTCCTATTTCCTTTCTCGAGTCTGCTCGCCGTCCTGCCACTGTCTCTTGTCCCACCATATTCACCTACGTATTTCAGAACTTATTACAAACGCAAACATGCTCCCACTCCCGATCCTCCTGCTCAGCTGCCTTGCGCTCCTGCCACGTGCAGCAGAGGCAGTGCCCAACAGCGACAATGCCATCGACGTGACCGCCTACTCGTTCCCGCCCGAAATTGGCGTCGACGGCGTCATCAGGGTGCACAAGGCAGAAGCAATCTCGTACCTGGAAACGGTAGCCGGATTCAACCTCACGAAGCTCTAGGCTCTCCTGCGCAGCGATTCCGATCCATCATTGCTAAAGCCTTTATTAGGTGCCGTAAGTTGCCCTCGCCTCACCCCTTTTCCCCTTCATATCTGTCGGCTATTATCATGTCATATCCAGACTTGTCGAGAGGTGAGTGTGCTGGAGCTGATTCTAGTTGCGGCCTGCGACCCCTGCATGAAGATTCCGTGAGCAAGTCTGGTTCATCACCCATATCCAAGTGACTGGGGATGGTTCTCGATATAGTGAGAGTTGCGCCCTGAACTAGGAACGTAGTACTACCTTGGAATTATATCTGATAGCGAGCGTGGGATGGTAGATGGTTGGGGTGGCGTGTCTTTAGGACTCAGGGGCATCAGGTAGTATAGTATAGTAGTATAGTATAGTAGGATCCGAGGTACGGGTTTGGTTACGCACTCACATCATAACGCCACAGTGTCTTCCTAAAGACAAAGCAGTACTTCAAGTATTCGAGAAGGATTGAGATAGTCATGTGTTTTATATTCTCTGTGCTGCTTTCTCGAGACTGAACGCCTGGAGACCACCGTGTTCATGCAGAGACCTTCCAATGCATATATGCTCATTGCCATGCTACCCAACTCCATGCACCATGAAAATACCGTCGAAACAAAACCCATCTCCTCATATGCTGTCATAATGCGGCCGTTTCTTTGGGCTGACTCAAGCTTGGCCGCTTGGAGGAGGTCCAGAGTTGTCTGTCACAGACGCCTTTTGCTTCGAGTATAACCCGTGCACGCTCTGCTGGCCCCTTGAAGCAATCTTCAGGTCACTGAAGCCCGCCTCTGGAAGTCTCTTCCCAGCCTTAATCGACTCGAGGACCCATTCGACGCCCACGAACTTCACACCGCAGCCGCCAACCTTCTGGATCTCCTTCTGCAACTTGCCACCAGCGAGGCCGCCCCCAGCACCCCCTTTTCCACCGGCGGGCCTCCCTAGGATGATGTGCGTGACCTTCCGCCGTCCCAAGTGAGACGACATCTTGGCCCCGTGCTCTGCCAGCACGTGCTTGAGCTTGTGGTCGGAGATGAGCGGATGCGTGCTCCCGTTGACGTAGACGACCACGCCGTCGAACATGCCCCGTGGCCGCTCCTTCTCCGCTACCCGCGCTTCGTCCTCCACCCTGCGCTGCGCCATGAGCCTCTCCTCTGCCGTAAGAGCACTGTGCCTCTCGCTCTCGTCAGGATTTGCTCGCCGACTGTCTGCCGTAGATGATAGGGTCGGCTTCATAGTGCCCGGATTCGCCAGCATGTCCATCACGGAGCTCTGAGCCCGGGACCGCAGCTCCGGCGGTATCAGCGCCTTCGCGTTTGGATCCCAGTACTTCGACCCGGCGCCCACTGTGTCGGAGACCCGTTGCCCGCCGCTCGCGCCGCCCTTGAACTGGCTCATCAGCTTCTTGTTGCGCGAATCCCGCCATCCGGTGCTGTCGCCCAGCCGGTTCTCGGCGCGCTGGTGGCCGCTCGATGACGAGTTCCAGGGATCGAAGGTCTGGCCGTACTTGGGCTCTGCGGCTTTGGGTATCGGTGGTTTGGGCGGTGATGACATTGTGAGAGTCCAGTTATGGGAAAAGGGACGTGTTGAATGTCAGGTGGCCGAGGAAAATAGATGGACCACGGCGTGCCCTCGCCTCATGACTGAATGAGATCTGGTCACAAGACGGAAGTCGCGCTTGTAGGGCAACGACCAAGACAACCCGCGCCTGGACTAATGACCTACTAATTGGCTCTGCGAAAACACGTGACCTCGCGTTTAATTTATTGTGATAGATTCCCCCTTTCAAATCCTCCATCCCATATCCCTCCACCATACTTTCTATTTCTCCTTCGATTCATTGAAAGGGGTGCCGGGCCTTGGTATTCGCCCAGTCCGCACACGACATTGCGGGCAGCAGTCTCGCGAGCATTGTATCCTGACCATGTCCCGCCTTTACGAAAATCACATCACCACACACCTGATAAAGCTTCCCCGAGCTATCCAATCGGGTGTGCGCGTGCGCAAGCGAGAAGCCGGGGAGACGGGGTCAAGGGGGCCAACTTCCAGGGGGCTTTCCTAGGACGGGGGCTCTATTTGTTTTGGCGCACAGCGCGGGTTGGTTGCAATCGCAACGCTTGACTCGATGGATGGGTTTCAAGGGCAGACGGGGCTGCTGGCTGGAAAGAGGTGTGTGAGCACTGAGCAGGAAACCAACCACAAAGACAGGATTCGCATCGCATCCCTTTCCTTGTCGATGAGGTGCCAGATGCCCTGGTTCGCAGCTTGCGCGCCCCCCGCAGACTCATGCAAGCAGCCCACATCCTCCCGTCGCCGTTTCTCATGCAACTCCTCCATTCCATTCTCCAGCAACTGGGCTGAAGGCAGGTAGGTGCGTGCTTGACAAGTCGAGGGGCCCTGCCCTGTCCTGCCGGCCTGCTTGCACCCAGAAGGAGAAGAAGGGTGACGTGCATTGGTGAGCCAGAGGGGCGAATGCGATGCAACTGACCAAGCGGTCCTCATCGATCAACAGGCTACATACAGCCGTCCTGCACGGCCTTGATAGCTCACCCGTCACTGATGATACCTACTATACAGGCGCAGCGTAGAGGGTGACATACTATCGACGCCGGCTCTCGTCTCGTCTGCCCATCTGCCTCAGCCGGCAGCCAGCCAACAGCGGAAACTTTCCTCTCGCATGCGTGCCTCTGCTACAGCACGACGAACCACGGGTCTAGAAAACACCTTGACTGCACCCTACTTTGGGCCCTGCTTTGAGGCTGTGACCGTAAGCCTCTATAGACCACGGTACGGTACGACCTCTATTCATGCAGGCACAGCGCACGCGGGGGAGCGACCCAGGCCAGGCGTTCATGCAGCCCAGTCAGAGGATGTTTCTTCTGTCCGTGCTGCTGGTGCGCTCGAGAGAGGCGGCCAAGACTGCGACTTGACGGGCCTTGTCACTTTGGGGGCTGTCGACGCACTGCCATCGAGTCGGGTTGCGTTCCCGAGGACTCTGTGCTCCTGCTCCTGCTGCTGCGCGCAGCGTGCTTTGATTTTTGCCGGCATGGTCGGTTGCCACCGCGAGGCCACCACTCGACGTGACCTCGTTTCGCCTTCTGCCTTCCCCCGGCGAGGTTGCAGTGGCCTTGCCGTTGGGTCGCGGCCAACAGCACCCACCACCACCTGGCTTGCTTGCCTTGACGGGGACCATTTGTTAAAGGAATTTGGAAGGGTGCGTGGCGACTGGTGAGCAGTTTGCCCGATATGCGGCGGTGCTCTCAAGGATCCAAGAGGATGATGGCTTGCTTGCCTGACGAGCGAACACGAGCCCAACAGGTATTACCGGTATATTGCGAGCCGTAGTTGAACCCCCATGATGCCATCAGCTCATGAGCAGAGCCTTGAAGCACTCGTACAGTAATCACCGATCCCTCGCGTCGACCATCCCCACCGGAACAGTTTGCTCGTTGGACCGTCAAAACTACTTAGCAATGTTGATCCATAGGCCATAGGGGATGGGTGTTTCGTTCTTGGGTCCCCGGACGGAATATCAGTCACATTATTTGTCACGAAAATTTCCCGGTTATGTGACCGGACAAGACATGCAGGAGGAGATCTATTTCTCTTCTTGGCCCTGAGATGGCATGACAGACGCGCAAACGACATGGGTGACCATCGAGTCCAGGCCCAGCCCTTTCTCAATCTCTACAAGCCAGCAAGCAGGCACACACACACTCACACCCCACCCACGGGGTGTCCCCCCTGTTGCGCCTGAGGTTCTACAGACAGGCATCAGGGGAAATTGCCACCCGCTAGGAGCTTGTACATATGCGAATCATACTTGCTTCTGCTTCCTGCTGCGGCGCCGACGGATGCCCATCACCGTGTCCGCTTGCTTCCTTGCGCAGGCGACTGACTGCTTCTCTTTCCTGGGGTGGCAGGGTGACAGGGCAGGGTGGCAGGTGGCTGGGAGTCCGCATTGCATTACATATGGGTGTGGTTCGCTGGCGCTGGGCTGGCTGATTCCGACCAGGGAGGGCCACCACCCAAGAAGCAGCAAGCACTGTGATCCTTCCCTTCACTGCCGCGGAAGAAAGCCGTGAGAAGGACAGTCGAGCGAGGGGGACGGACACAGGGCAAAGCCAGAGAAGTCTCTCCCGCATACGACGGATTCTTTCCATGCAGCAACGCGAACGCGGGTGCAGCGCATCTGCTGTCTGTGGGCCGTAGTGCGGCTTTTTGCTTGATCGAGTTTCGACTGTGGCCCACATCATCACATGTATGTAGGTATGTATCTACATGGTGATTACCTACATTATCTATCTGATCTGCCTGGCGAAGCATTGGAGGCAGATGTGCCGTCTCGGGTCAGCAAGAACCACACAAGAGGCGGCGCCAGCAGCGTCAATCATTCAATCCCCCAATCTCTGCTGCCCTGGTCTCCTCCTTCCGCCGCTAGTTATGTCGAGTGCGGTTATGTGCTGTAGCGGTAATCCTGCTCCCCGCTGTACACGCACATCCCTACATTAGCACAGCAGCGACTTGCTGGGGGGTTCAGGGGGTGTGGAGGGTTGGGCCCGGGGTCGACGCACATAAACGCAGGCAGCACAGATAACCAGCCGGGCAGAGGGCTCCACGGTGTATGCACGATGTGAGATTGATATCCAGATCAGTTATGTTGATCCTTCAAGCCCGCCGAAACCATCAATGGGAACGACTCCCTACGTGGTAGTTGGCGGCCCCGATCTGGAACGCCCCGTCCGTCTGCGAAGCATCTGAGATAGTCGCAACTGTCTCATCGGGCAGATGTCATGGCTAATAGCCAGACCAGCCAGAGGCCGAGAGACTCACCGTCAGCTGTGGTGCGCTTGCGGGTTCGCTCCCCGTTGAATCCTTGTTTGCGATCACGTCTCGTTCTCTCGCCCGATGATACCCACCCGATGTACACGCAGGATAAACTTAGATGCTCTGATGACGATCGTTCGACGATGGCTGGTAATAATAATAATAACAATAATAATCATGGGCAGTGGTTGGTAGGTAACAGCGGACAAGACAGCAATGCGATGCCCGACTGCGTTACACGTAACACCCACCGATGTACAGTGCCAGCCAGACCAGCCCCCCCGGTTCCTTGGCTTTCACCGTCAAGTCAAGTACGGTAACCATATCGCTGCTGCGCACTGAAAAGGCAGGGGAGAGAGAGTAGTACCGATCGGGGCGTATGAGAGGTAACAGGTACAAATCGATTGGTCTTCTTGTCGTGGTAACCACTATGCAGTAACCGTCAGTTCAGTCAGCCAGCGAGGCTCTCTGGTCGGTGCACCAGAACGGGCAGGAGGAATTCTAATTTGATAGACCGAACGAACTAGCTAACCAACGGCCGAGGAAAACCTTGTGAGAAACCCCACGCAATTCACACCGGTCTCCCCTGATGAGGCTAATAACAAAACAAAAAAAGACTCGAGACTCCATGTGAACGGGCTGGCGAATGGCCCAGCCACCGCCACGTGAGGAACAATGCCTTTGTTTTTCTCACACGAACCCCCATTCGAGACACAAAACGGCGATGGCTGAGAAAAGCCCCGGTCCGGTCCGGTTCGTGACCACTGACTTCCATGTTACATGTGACGGGAGTCCAATGTATCGCGGGGGCCGCTGTGGACCTCCCAGCGGTATCTGTCGAAAGAACGAAAGATAGCGAAACCAATAGCTGGCGATCATGGGCCAAGCGTGATCCATGGCCAGAAGGTTGGTATGGGGGGCCCACCGCTCGGCAAAGATTTACGGCTAGACCGGGGAGAGGGGTCTCGTTAAAGGCCTCCCGACCACGTACCGACCACCTAATCCATGTCGAGAGCGGACGATGAGAGACGCGAGAGCAAGTAGCGGTGAGAACGCGACTAATGAGAAGAGCTTGGGCCTGTCGCCCCGCGGGGTGTTTGGATTTTGGGATACAGTACCCTCCTCCTTTCGTACGGTGCACGCAGTGAGTGGCTGTTAGAGGTGACCTGCTACCTCTCTTCTGGTAACACTTCTGATGGAGAGTACGGTAGATCGTGGATGGAGTGGGACTACTAGTATACAGTTCTGCGACAGAGAGGAGCGCGACAAAGAAGTGGCTGGTATATAGAATAGTATACTAAGCTATGAGAGTTGTTAGGTGGGACTATACCAGTGAGTGAAAGTCAATTCTTCTCAGCTCAAGATGCTAACCATGTTACCTGCTACCGTATAATCGTGACCTCCAACTGGGCTAGCTTAGCAGCTCACCTTCTCATAGTAACTAGTTACGAGTTCGACGACAGAAAACTCTCTCAAGGGGCATGTTGTGCATCCTGTCCACGTTCTCAGTTTTGATTGGACCAGCGAGTACTTGATATGAAGTCCACGCCGTAGCCGATGGAATCCAATTCGTACACTTAACTGATAACTCTGCTACATAGTGTATAAGAATAGTCCGTCGGTGAGATCAGTCCAACACTCTGCGGCGCCACACATTCGATCTACGCCTAGCTGTGCCGCTTTCACACCACCACATCGCACTCACTGGTTACCCAATTTGGACAAGGCTTCTTCCAGCCTCCTGTCGAGGATACCCTAAGGTGTGGCACGGACAACGGTCCGCGCTTGCAGCTCCCTCCCTGCCTGTAGGGCCAAAGATGATATGCATGGTTCGCAACTTCGTGGATTCGAAACGATCGACTCACATGTCCGCCTCTGTATGTGTGTTGACACGGGAAACGAGATGTTGGGGAAAACGCCTTCCACAAGTTGCAAGAGAGGATCAATACGAATGTATACTGTGTACTTTGGTGCACTCCACTGATGCTAGCTCATCGTCCTAAGGAAGAATATTCCTAGTGCCCCAGCCCTAGAGCCCGTCCACACGAGAGGGTTGGTCGTCGTCGACGTGGGCTGCGCTGATTGGACGTGGAACATCCTGGTTGGCACCGGCACCAGGGTACGGAGAGGTTGGCGCAATACGCAGCTGATAAGAGGTACCTTTGTACCAAGAGACGTGTAACGTATGGAGAGCCCTTCATACCGCTCAGTGAGTATGAGGTAGTCTAGGATATCGTCGAGTCAAGTGCCGATGCCGCCGTCAAAATCCTATCCCTCTATGCTTTCCTATTGGGAAAGGTTCGGGCATGGGATGTTATTACTCGGCCTTCGCCGTGCCCTGACGCTGATCTCACTGCCTTTTGAGCCCAACCAACGCGGCATAGGATCAATTACCCTGACCTGGGTCAACTCCTCCTCCAAAGGGCAACATTCACCCTGTTTGTTTGCCAGTTGGTCGCGTTAGGTTCGTGACGAGGTCGGGGCGCTGGGACGAGCTAGCAAAACCCAATTCCCACGTCTTCGGGACGATCATCGTATGTCGGTCTAGGGCTCTTGCTGATGACCTGAGATTCCTGACCGACGGCTCGTGCCAGTTGAGGAGAGTGTTCTCATCAGAAGTCATAGGGACAACGGCAGCCTGAAACGAACGCCATTACACACACACCCAGCAGGGCCAGACACGGCGAGGCTAGCTGTTGATAATAAATAATCCCCTTCGATTTCTGAAGATGACATGTGGGTGAGACAGCCTGATTGGACAGGTGTGAGAGATGCATAGCCGCTGCCCGCTGTGCGTTAGTCTGATGCATGTGCTCAAGCCACCATCACTGCCGCCCCTGTCGACATGCTCTGTGCGTGCAGACAACAGCGCTGACGGAAGAAGCTTGTTTCCGTCAGCCGTTGGGCGACAGATGGATCTGAGATCATCATGGTCTCCCTAGCTGACACGAGATTGACGACGTGGCGCAGGGAGAGGGATTTCGCGGTTTGCAGTAATAACTCATCGACACGTGCACCGAAGCGAGTGAAGGGATGAAGGGCTCATCCGGTGTAAGCGAGCCTTGAGTTTACTAGCCAGTTACTTTACGGCGGTATGTTGTACTGTCAAGTATCCCGACTCATCTGGCATCCAACAACCTCCGAGCCCCCGTCATCTGGAAGCGGTGAACGTCAGACCTGGACCGGCCGGTTCTTACTGAGCACCCTGATGACCAATTCCTTACGCCCAGATGGGCTGATGGGATGACACGCTGTGAGGCGCTCAAGTGGCAAGCTCCGGGCGGTCGTCGCTACATCCGCGCCGAGTTGATGTCTTGGAGGGTTGACATTGCTGTCGATCAAGGGGCCAACACGAACGGCTGAGCCTTTTGGCCGTGTTTCGAGTGATATCGACAGTGGTATGAACGGCTGCGAACCTGGAAGGCGGTCTCCTGCAAATCGACGGGGAATGAGGCGTCTATATGTACATTACCTGGTTGATAGGATTGCATCTGGCCCTGGGGAGGCTCGTGGTGATGCGGTGCGGATGGATAGATGTCATGCATGAAATGAGGCATATCATGCAGTGGGCATTGATGAGGCTCTCTTGCACAGCATGTGAGTCACTTTGTCTGGTACCCACCCTCGCCCGGCGTGAGGGTATTCCATTCGACCAGTCAGTTCTTCTGCAAGCAACGATGGCACGAGATCCCATGCGCCGGCCTGGCATGGCAGTCAGTTGTGCAGAGTGCAAGAGAGCTGCATGGAAGCATGCGCCTCTCCGGAGCCGCGCAGATGGTGAATCACAGGAACCCCCAAACCCCCAAACCCAACCTCCCACGATGCATGGAAAGAAGCTCTACTGTATTACGGCTCCCGACGACGTGGAATTTGATTTTGCTGTGCGTCGATCCACTGGCGCACGGAAGCAGTGCCTGCAGTTCGACTGACGCCGGTACAGAGTAGCGCTCATCTGCCATCTCGACCAGGCTCTGGCTCGTGCTTCTCTTGGGGTGTGCTGGCTCCGCAAACTGCCCAATCTGGGCACCCTTCCGCCCCCTGTGATCGTCCGACTGAGACAGAACCCTGAGCATATCAGACAACCAAAGGAAGACACGGCAGCTAGGGCCAGACGGTGGTCGCTGACCATGTGGCTGGCCATGGATAACGCTCGTTGATCCTTTGATTAGCCATCTGATAGACATGTGCTGAATGAGACCATCCTCGACCGCCAGTTGTCGTGGGTGAGCCAGTAGGCTGCGTCCACGAAAGAGGCACGGAACTAGAGGTCTCAGCCACGCTGTCAAGCCCGCTTCCTCACGACCATGAGGACATTCGGTGATTGGCGGGCCGATCATACAGCCTTGTCGATTATTGCTTGGATTCTGACTATGACGCTTGTCCGAAGCCGAACTGTTTCTGTTTGCTTGCAGGAAAGATCCTGTCTCGAAGCTGGGGTCGCCGAAGTTATCGCAGCCAGAGTCACATCCTGGCCCTTGAAAGTACGCATCTGGACGGTGAGGGTTCGAGATGTTACCCTGATTTGAGGTTGCAACAGGCTCGCTGGAGCATCTGGAAGCCCGAGGGACTGGGAGTGCCCGTATATAGCGCAAACACGGCAATGCCCCGATCCGATAGGGATGGTCGTTCATGGTCGCGAAATAGAATCAACCCAGTTTTCGCCAGTCTATGGTAGACTGCGCCGCTCCCGAGTGGAGTGGTACAAATCTTATTGGAGGAGCACGTTCTCCCCTCATGATCAGGTCGTTCTATACCTACGTAGCTGAATCCATGGACCATGAGTGCGTGGACGGATGGACGTATCGAGGTATTGAGGAGGAGTGACAGCAACGCACCATCCCTGCCACCCACTGTGCCCCTGCCAGGCGGATCAAGGATATGCATGCAAGAGACGGGCTTGGCAGCTGCAGTCTGAATTCCCCCTCGCAGACAGATGGTGGGCCCTCACGGAATCTTGCATAGGGATACGTAAGTGCTGCAGAGAGAACAGTGCGGCATCTTCTAGCAAGCTTCAAGCCCCACCTCAAGAGGCCATCTCCCGCCTTTGCTTTTCTAGTGTCGTCGTAGGTCGACGGTCGATCAAGTTCAACTCGCCAAGGGGCTGGCCGATGAGATCGGTCCAGGGGAAAGAGGAAGGACGACGACGGGCTGGACACAGTCAGTGAGCTAGTATACGAAGAACTTTCCTCACTCGTAGCGGCCCGGGTGAATGGCAGCCTACTCTGTAGTAAGTACACAGCACGTTGGTTGGATACACGCTATCCGCTTCGACCGAGAACTTCCACGCAGGTAATTGCGTGAGGTCTTGCTTTGGAACTCTAAGATGTATGTTGCGTTGTTGTGCGTTCTATGAGAGTTGGAAAGCAACTCAATTGCGAAACATTCAAGCCCGTGGACTCGATAGTAGTGCCGTTTCTCTTCCGGTCTTGGTTTCAAGTAATGGGAGACTCGCCACAAGGTGTGTAGAATGTCGTCTCCAGACGTCTACTTCGTGGGTCGCTTGAAACCCAATATCAAACGTACCCTACATGCTACCACATGAAGCAGGAGTAACAAACATACCTCTGCCATGTATCACAAAGGCCTTTGCCGTCCACTGAGGCGTAGCAGGGTAAATGGTAGGATACAGAGTGTACCTACATCTCGTGTCTGCATCCCACAAGGGCCGCCGGGGACCGGGGCGTACATGAGCATCCCATCATCGTGCATCATGCAGGAAAGGATCCGTCAGATGAAAGTTCGATGCGGAAGCACGAGCCATAGTGAGCTTCAAGGCGTGTCTGGTGATGATATGACCGTATTGTTTGAGGAAGGAGACAAGGCATATTGTCACCACAACGGGCTAGACCAGTGGCCGCCTTGCGAATGGCTTGCTCATTCGAGCCGTACAATTGGCAGGAGAGAAAAGGTCATCAAGGTCCCTTTATTTTCTCGATCAAGATTGGGGGACCTGGGGACCGGAGCCTAGAGTGCCATGGCAGCATGGGGGGGCGCGTCGGATGGATGCAAATGAAGGATCGCCTTGCATCTTTCGACAGACGGCCAAACAGACGCACTTTAAACTCGCAGGACGCCCACTCTGCCATACATGCATACTGCGTGCATGCACAGACCAGACGGGGCCCTGACTGATCGTATGCATTGGCTGCCGTCTTGACTGAACGTCTCCCATCTGCTAACCTAGTCGCATGTCAGACGAACGGCTGGGTAACGCACGCTCGATCGTACGTACACAGTAGGAATACCTGTCCTTGACATGTCGGTGCTGCGGGTGGTTGGCAAGTCTGGACGGAGCGCCTGGAACCCGACAACCCGACGGCTGTCGTTGACTTTGATGTGTAAAAAGGCCCCGGTACATGTACTTCCGTATCAGGTGAACAAAACTTCAACCCATGTCTCTAATCCGGATCTGACTTCGGTCCGCGAGAATCAGGATGGCGATGGCCCGTGAACTGACTGATTAGTGGCTGGCATGGGTTGTTGGCAGACCTGGACCTGAAGGCGTTGTAACCCTGACAGATCCACTGCTCGGCCAGGGTACTGATCACATGTACCAACAGCAGCAAAAATTGAAGGTTGGAGATGGAGAGAAAAAGGGGAAGATGAGAGCCAAGACAGATCTTTTAGAGCTGTTGAGCAAGCACCGGTAGGGTGACCAGAGCAGAGGCTTGAATATGTCTACAGACACGCCCCGGTCCAGGAGGGAAAGGAGGGAAATGTCGATTTTCTTCCATATTACAACACTCTATCAGGCGCTTGAGGCAATCCCAGCCGCTTGTTATTGTGTAATCACCATCATCATGCAAATTCCCTGGCGAGAATATATTCCCAACTCTGGGCATCGTCTGCCTTGTCTGACTGTACCGTGAGGTCCATTAATTAATATGGCTGAGAGGGCATCCGATAAGAGGCGCCGATATCGACGCGGAGATAAGAGGGCAGAAGAATAATAAATAAGCGCCTCAGGATTCAGGACGCCCGCCGGTTGGAGGAAGCCAGGGACTTCGGAAGAGCCACGCCAAGTCGGGGCAGCGCCATTGGCGTGGCAGAGAATAACGCAGTAGAAGAGACATTTTGATACGACCGGTCTCCCTTCGAGGGCTGAAGGCTGAAGTGTGAAAAGTCAACCGTTTCCCGGCATTGTCGAGCCCGAGAGACACACATGTGCTCTCGGACGTGGAAAATGTGAAACTTGAGGTTCGAAGAAGCTCTCTCTGCAAGGCTATGTCTGTAGATATGCAAGTATACTAAGGACTTCGTACATTACCTTACTACCTAGTAAATGCGCATGCCATCTGATGAACCACTATTTGGGACACACCATCACGACGGGATGTATTCGCGCGAGAACCTCGAACCGATGCTAGGAGAAGCCACCCAAGCCACCAGCGTCTCAGAAGCCCAATCCGCGATATATTAAACCTGGTACTTTGTGCCCCGATGCCACGCCTGGATAGTGTGACGGACCGCGGGAGAGGGAGGGGAGAGGAGAGAGGTCGAGAGGCCCGCGCCGGCGAGGCCTGCTACGGCTACGGCTGTTACGCTGTCCAGTTCCAATTCGTCGGCGGTCATCGCTTGTCTGCGCTGTTCCAGCAGCGACCCCTGCCGCTCCCCTCCCAGCAATTCCACACCACAGACACATGCAGGTAACTGTGTCTACACAGTGAATGACCACCGCACTACTTACCAAGGTATCGAATTCGGATAGTTGAGATTCAAGTTCAGGCCGGGTCGAGTCAAGTCGTTGAGCCCCAATGTGCTTGGTGGGATTGACTTTCAGAGAAATAAGGTACATGAGAAACGGCATAGCCGGGGTGCATCGTGAGTCTATAAGGTTATATATGAACACCTTCAATGCACAGGTCACATGCTATTCTATCTACCTCTGCCTCTGGGGATCTGTATATAACCTGCTTCGGTGCAAGTCGGGAAGCATTGGAACCTTGACCTGAATTTCTTCGACAAACGTGACATGATCTCTCTCTAGCTGTGGCCATTCCGTCCATCGTTCGCTGTCAGACTTGCGTTGAACTGCCTGCAGGGACTTGGATGATGGAAGAGGCTTCAATCTGGAGTCTGGACATCAACAATATCTCGCGGCGTACAGAGACCGGGTGCGCACTGTGCCCGGTCACAGGACCCACTCAGCTTTCGTGACCACCCAGTCGATCCTCGACACCAGACCGAACATTCGAACAGACCCCGCTCCTCGGCCTAAGCACCCAAGGTTACTAAAACTGGCAAAGAGGATAGCAGATGGATAGCGAACACGAGAACATTCCTGGGGGTCTAGTAGGACACCCGGACGGACGGGTTTGACGTGACGTGACGAGCACGAGTCTACCAGAACCACCTAGACAGAGACTTCGACTTACTATATCATAAGCTCGGTAACAAGGACTATAGCAAGAGGGGCGGCTTGACTCGGACTTCGGGCTTACACACTACACCAGTCCATACCCATATCCACCTCATGTCCACGTCGAGCTGTTCCTTGCACGGTACTGCATCTATACCCATGCAAAGTACATTCCCCTCCTCGTACACAGCACAGAAGTCAGATTTACACATACTGTAGGACTATATTCCGCAGCTATGCGCGGTACAAGGTCTGACTTTGAAGGTCATTGAGCAACACCAACATTGGAATGGTCGACTACTATTGGAAAAGTAGTCCCAACAACTTGTGCTTTCTGGTCAGGTCAGGTCTGATCAGTCAGCCCAGCCTGTTCGTTCTTACACAGTATGTGCCTTCAATGTTGTTGTTGGCCAGCTGCTCTCGCCCACGCGCTCCCTCATTCGCCGGCCCCGTCGAATCGAAACCCCTCCCCTCGTCCACGGTACCTAAAGGAGATATGGTACGTTTGATTGTATAGACTTACACCACGCTCCCCCTTGCAAGCGACCCTGTTCACACGCCACCAACATTGAAAAGAAGCCACACTGGAACCTGCTAGCTGTACCACCTTGGGCCTGCCGCCTGCTAAAGACGAGAACAGTTGAACTCCCCATGCTGCGTCGTTCCTCTGTGCAAGATAGAGGCCCAAAGTGCTGTAAGCCGTCTGATACTGCTGGTATGTTGATACATGCAGGCTATAGCGCGTATACTGCGTAACCTAGCTACCTCCAGACGATGTTTATAGAGATAGCTCGGTATCTGTCCCGCAGAGCATGGAACCCGCCAGCCTCTTTTGCATGTAATCCCATCCATCCACCTGCCCTGCCCTACCCTACCCTACCCTACCCTACCTGCAAGGTATTCCTCCTCCTTGTCACCTCTCCGCCGCTCTCCCCAGCGCGACAACACACCCAACCCCAGCCAGCAAGCACGGCGCAGGCCAGCAGGCGCACCACACTCCGGTGCTGCCTGGTCAGTGCTGCGTCCCATGTTAGATAACCTCATGTAGATACCTAAGGTGCTGTGATCTCCAAGACCTGAGCTCAAGAGCGCAAGGTACCTGGCTGGCCTGTGCCCCTAGCCCGTCCAAAAGACCGACCCCTCCACTGTCCAGGCCCCCCAGGCCCCAGGCCCCTGACCCGGCAGCACCTGTACCGTATGGGCTAGCCTACCGTTCCGTCCGCATCGCTCAGGTCTAACTTTGAAGGTCTAAAAGGTCGGGTCTAACCAAGCTGGACTCCTGGAGGTCTCAACCCACTACCTAGTATCCACTATCCACTATCCACTACCTACCCACTATCCACACTGAAGACTGCAGCAGTACCTCTGCCTGCTACCTCGACCTCCTCCACCACCTCACCTCTCGACTATCTTTCTGATTCTCACCACCACCTCCGCCGTGGACAACTTCGTCTGTTTCTCTCTCCTCTACCCTCCCCTCCTCTTCTCGCGATCCCTTCCAGTCCGACCTCCTCGTTTTCTGGACGACAGGGTCACCGAGGTCTGGAAAGAAGGTATGTTCTTGTCGTGTCCCCCATCCCAAGTTCCATAGGTATTTGCGCAAACTCTGCCCACCTCCACCTCCACTTCCACTGCCTTCCCCCCAAGTGTATACCTGCATTGCATCTTGTCCGCGCAATTTAGGAGCTGATGTTCCTGCGTTAGAGTTGAGTGCCGTTCTACCCACAGACAAGAGCCACCTGAGAGCCCCGGGCGTGCCCATGTGTGTGTCTGCTTGAGTTGCGTGTGTGGATCTTTCTGCGTTGGTGCGAGAGTATTGGCTTTTCAAACGACCTACCGACCTACCGACCTTCCACGATAACGTCTCCGACTTACCCGGCTCGGTCCCTACTCCAACATTGTTTCGGTTCCGTCTACGACGCCGGTGCGAGCACACATTTGCCGGAGCTCCTCGATTCCTCGTGCAGATACTCAGCAATCCACTCCAAGTCGCACCCTCGAACTTGCCCGCACCCAACGCACCCCCCAACAGCCTCTTCATACTTCCAGGCATTTGCGACGCAATTGACCGGAGGACGAAGGGCCATTGACGACCTCAACGATCTGCAGGACATCTCTTTCGGGAAAGGAAGGACTTGTGTGTTTGGTCATCCGTTTCGGGAGCGAGCCACCAACATCCGACTGGTTATCACCAAATTTCCTCGACTCTTTCACTCACCTACCAGATCGCCCACGTGGTTTTAATTTGGCAGTCAATTGCCAATTGAGCAGATCACTCGCCTTGCCCAAGTCGTGCTGCCCGTCCACATTCGCATCTGTGACCCAATTCTTCATTGGGTCCTCCTACTCAGAATACAGGTCGGTGTTCGTCAGCTTCGTCTGAGCTTCAGTCAACCACGCCTCTTTCGGCTGTTCTGCCGAAGTCGTAAAGCTGGATCTACCGCCCATCTCCCATTCGAAAACCCGGGGACCGTCCGACGTGCCACCATACTACGGTGCTCCTGCTGCGCAGCGCCTGCCGTATGTAAGTGAGAGGTTGCCTTCATTGCCCATACCGCAACCGCCTTTGGCGTACTCTTCCAGTACCTCGTCACCCCGGGTTAGCTCGATCGCATCTTCGGCGAGTTCGAACGGCGATTCACAGTCGTCTTTCACCTCGGCTCCGTCTTCGACCGGTCCCAAGACCCCTTCGCCCAATCTCCCAGTCACATCGGCCTTGTCTGCTCCGCATTCCCAGACCATTGGTGGATACGATCAGTATTCAGCAATGAATTCGGCACCCCCAGACATGTACTACCAAGCTCAGCACATGTCTGCAGGTCCAACACCGCAACCTCAGACGGTGACCTCGAATGCACTGCCGCAATATGGACATCAGCAGCCTACATTATTACAGCCCGCCACGCAGTATTCTCCTGCTCCCTATCCGTATGGCTACGGCAATGGAATGACCTCGCCGCAGTCAGCACCGCCAGTGTCGAACTCGATGGGTGCTCCGAATGTACTTCCTCTTCCCGGTGTTCCTAACCAGCCAGGCATGCAAAATCAATACCAGGGGTTCGATACCACTGGCCAGATTGCCCCACCGGGGATGAAACCTCGAGTGACGGCTACGCTCTGGGAAGATGAAGGCAGCTTGTGTTTCCAGGTGGAGGCTCGAGGCATCTGTGTTGCTCGTCGTGAAGGTACGGTCATCTGTAACGGTTTGTCAAAAGCCAGCAAGCTCACCGATTTTTAGACAACCACATGATCAATGGCACGAAACTGCTCAATGTTGCTGGTATGACACGCGGCAGGCGAGACGGTATCTTGAAGAGCGAGAAAGTGCGACATGTGGTGAAGATTGGGCCGATGCATCTCAAGGGCGTCTGGTAAGTGGGACTGTGGGTTCTGGGCGTGTAACGGCTGCTGATAACTGTGATTAGGATACCTTTCGAGAGAGCTCTGGACTTTGCTAACAAGGAGAAAATCACCGAGCTCCTATATCCCCTCTTTGTGCACAACATAGGAGCGCTCTTATATCATCCGACGAATCAGAACCGAACGAACCAGGTTATGGCCGCCGCAGAGCGCCGGAAGCAGGAGCAGCAAAGCCAGATGAGGAACGGTCCCGGTCCCGGTCCTGCGCCGCCTGGTGGCGTACTGCCATCCATACAGCAGCACCACCACCACATGGGCCTGCCTGGTCCGCAACCCTCCCTACCGTCGCATAACAGCACAGGGCGGCCCTCCCTAGACAGAGCACACACTTTCCCGACACCGCCAACGAGTGCATCGAGCGTGATGGGAAGCATGGGGGCTTCAGAGAACTATCAGTGGGGCCAACAGGGAATGAATGGTGCGCAAGGTGCTAACCCCATGTCCATCGACACGGGGCTTAGCAACGCTGCTCGGTCAATGCCGGCGACTCCGGCGACTACCCCTCCTGGAAACTCATTGCAAAGCATGCAGCCATATCCCCAGGGTACCCAGCCCTACGACAGCTCGCGAGGCATCTATGCCCCGGCGCAGCAGTCGCCGTATCCTCCTTCGAACAACAGCCCGCAGGATAGAAACCTCTACGGCCAATCCGGCCCGTACATGAAGAACGAGATGGGACCCCCGTCTGGGCGGCCTACTGGCCCTGGAAACGAGCATTCTGAAGTGAAGCCTTCCAATGGTATGATGCAGCATGGCGATGGAGTTCCCCATTCGACGGGCGAAGATGAAGCGGAACACGAGGCCGAATACACCCACGATAGTGGAGCGTATGATGCCGGCCGAGCCGCATACAACTACAATGCCACTCCGGTTGCTCCCATGGCGGGTGACCACCAGCACTTGTCTTCTGATATGACTGGGTCTCCTAACCATCAAGCTGGTTCCGGCCGGGCTACCCCTCGAACTGCTGGTCCCCAGCAACCGTACTACCCTCAGCAGACAGGATACAGTACACCGCCGCGCGTGCCACCCCCATCATCGAGTCTGTATAATGTAATGAGCAACGATCGAGGTCCGTCCAATGGTGCACCGGCACCCGATGTTTATAGTTCGCAGAACGAGATGGGCGGCCAGATGCAGAATGGCTACGGTACGCAAACGGTATTGAACGGAGCACCGGGTCCGTTAAAACGAGGGCGTGATGATGAAGATGATCTCCCGAGACCCTCCAGCGGCGGAATGGACCTGAAGCGCCGGAAAACTATGATCGACGGCCCGATGCCTACGCCCGGTTACGACGCCATGAGTCGACCTGCCTCGGCTGTGTCACGACGAAGATAGTACGCCGTATCACGACTCAAGCGGCGGATAATCAACTCCAGCTCTTTACGCATTGATCCAGGTGTTGCGGCATCCGAGTGCGAGGCATGACCTCTTCAGGATGGATTCCTGCGATAGAGTGGCATTTTTTGCCCCCCAAAAGACACTCCTTCCATTCCTTTACAGCCTTTGTATTCACTGCGACGACTCATCATCGGTGCGTTTTCACCGACCACGGATACGATGACGAACATTACGACTTGATTCTTGACTGTTATTAAATGCCGCCAAGGCCGTGTAAATGCTTCACGATTTGACGCGTCGCATGGTGGATCATAATTCTTCGAGATGAGATTCTCTCCAACTTCTTTTACGCTGAGAACAATGAGACACTCGACCGACGGAAAGACTCCCGCCTATCACGACTTCTAGGCGGGTAATGTTCATGACCGAGGCAGCTTTGTTTTACTCTATTGATCACATCCACCAGTCCCAGCCTTGCTCGCGAAGCAGGCGGGCTGGTGGCACACTCTACATTTTCTAGCTTACGATATGATGAAATGACCCATTTCCTTCTCTCCACCAAAAGGTGCGGTGTCACTGGGCGTGTGTTGGAAATGCCTACTCTGGTATCATGGTCACGAACTCGACGACGGATTAAAAGCTATCTGCTTGCTTGATACACAATGAATTAGATACTTAGGGTTACAATGGTATCACATGTTCAGCCGTAAAAAGGCTCGCCCTCTGCTCCTCGAAGCCTTATGGAATCGTGCACATGGATAGCACCACACCTCAGGAGGTAGTATCCCATGACATAGCTCGTCATCCTCGATCGTTGTGATCCCGTACCCGCGGTCATTCATCCTGTAAACGTCAAGGGTTGCCCAAGCGAGCACTCTCCTCTCATCTCGTCCATGGTAGCTCCCTCTAGCCCACTGGAGTAGGCCCAAACAACTCGAGGCCATCTGTCCCGGTAGCACATCTAGCCCGTGCGACCTGGTGGCTTCCAAGCTGTTGCCAGACAAACCTAACGTACACTTACACTCTGATGGCCTTTCCTCCAGCGGACAGACAGCACTCGTTCCCCTGACGTCGTACGAAGGAGATAAGTCACCCCCAATCTGTGCAACGAGCGCTTTCATTTTGTTCCATATGCCCATTTTCGATTGTAGCTAGCAACCCGTTTCTGGCCCTATGTAGCCTAGTTGTGGATCCTTCTGAGCTCGGCTTTTGCAGGTCTTCCTAATAGGTAGTCTTAGAGAACCAGAGAGTGACACAGCAGGTGAGGGGTGTGGGTTCTTCCCATAATGCCGTGCTGGCGTTCGTTTTCTCGGCTGGCGGGACACTATGTTCGGGTCGGAGAAGATGGATAGGGGATGGGGCAGATCTATCTATATATTCTTATGTCTATCTATAATATCTATATGTCCACCGCCGGGAGTCTTTCTCCATCGGATGGCCAGTACGGTACGGTACGGTACGCGTCGAGGTGGGATGGGATAAGATACATACATCGGGCAGATGAAGGGATGAATGATGGAGGCGTGTATGCAGGCAGGCAGGCGGAAGGAAGGAAGGGCAACGGGCGATGAGGCGATGGGGAGGGCACGCCAGGCTGTGGGGCGGCTGGCTACCTAAGTTACTGCACGTCCACTATGTACCTACCGCTCCTGACACTGAAGTACACTGGAGTCGCACCGGTCGACGCGGCGGCCCGGCCTTGTGCGAGTGGTACGACGGGGTTTGTGCTTCGGGCTCTGCGCCTCTATGCCGCTATGCCTCTTGATCTTTCTTTGTCTGCCTTTGTCGACCGGGGGTGAGGTGACGGGGGGGGGGGGGGGGGGGGGGGGGAGGCTTGGTTCGAGGGCTTTGGGTCGGCAGAGCAGGGCAGAGCGGATGGGATGGGATGGGATGGGATCTCGGGACTTGTCTGCCTGTCCGCTGGGTGAGGAAGCGGAAACTAACCAACTAGCTGGGGCTGCCCTGAACATTGATTACTCGCCTTTCGGGTTCGTCATGAGTTCCATGATTTACCCTGTGGCTCCTCTGCCACTGCGTGCTGAAGCAAGCGGGTGGCCCGGCGGTAGGTGAGTGCTCGACCTGCTGCTGGGGAGATATCCGGAATACCTATCTCGGCAGTCTAGACGCCATCGCTGATGGGATGACTCTGACAGCAGCGCGTGCGCTGTCGTTTTTCACACGCTAGGTGTCTGGACTCGGTGCTTGCCTAGTAGGTAGGTAGGTAGGTAGGTACATGCCAACATACCTGACTACTGACCTACATACCTACTGCTACACACCCAAGGGAGTAACTACTTACTCCAGTGAACACATGCAGACGCGAGCTGTGTGTGTGTGTATATATGTGTAAGGTATTGCCCGCTCCCAATGTGGGGAGTTCGAGTCACCGCGAGCGCCAGCCCGGCCGGCTTGCCCTTCTCGGATGGGCCAGTCAGTCAGTCAGTGGGTGCTGGTTTCACGAACTGGTGGGTTTGTGGCACTTGTTCGACTGAGCTGTTGCGCGCTGTTTGGTAGGTATTTTTTCATGGATTACCCCGTCGTCGGTGCTTGTGTTACTTACTGGCTGAATGAATGGCTTGCTTGCGGCCTGTGTTGTGCTGTGTTGTGTTGATCTTCTTTGTCCGGTGGTACTCGGCTCGAGAGGCTGGGCGGACGATGGTTTGCGGGCTGTTGAGCTGGACTCGGGGTTGGAGTTGACTGGTTTGTCTCCTTGTCTGTCTCGAGTCTGAAGGGTAGGGGAAGGGAAGAGTAAGCTAGTAGGTAGTTTTCTAAGGCATCTCACGCACAGGACCTCAGTGGGAATGTCCGCTTGTCCCCCGTCATGCCGCACATGCCGTGGAGTGGTCCGTCTCGGGAGTAGATAACGTTTTCTTGGATATGATGGGCTACCGCTAATGATCTGTACGAGTGTATACCGTGCTGGAAACAGTATAGTCAACACTCCGCATGACCTGGTGATCATCGACAGGCGCGGCGGCTGGTTGGGGCGGCTGGTTGGGGCGGAAGGAATACTCGCAGTAGCACGAAGCGCTGCTGCCCGCCGGATCATGGTGGTCCACCCCAGACTCGATCGCAAGCGCCGTCGAGACGACCAGCAACGCGTTCTGCTGCGAAATATGCGACAATTTCCCCCAAAGGCGCAGATCTGAGCAGCGGCGGCGCGTCTACACCGCAAAAGACGTTTCACGAGCCGGCCATGGTCTTCCCGTCAGCGTTGCCGGAGGACGAGCTGAGGATGCTGAAGGACTCGGCCTGTGATACGATATTTCGCCTTGGGGCTCGCCAACGGCGTTCTGCCTGTGGAGGCAAGGCCTGATGGATCGTCAGTCGACTATCGTTCCGTCGACGGCATCGTGGACCTGGGACCGAGCCACAGGAGAATGGCCGGCCCTCCTCCAATCATGGGCATTGGAGGTCAACCCGCGTCCCCCTGACAAACCCGCAGCCAGATCCATGAGGCCGTGTACGGGATTGACTACTTCGATATTGCACCACTTCTAGCAGTCAACAAAAAGGAACGAGCCGTAGCGCTCTCGCGCCCCGTTCCGAACGGCGCCCAGCATGCAGGGGTCTGAATTTTCGTAAGCGCCGACTTCTAGGTCAGGGCTTTCCACAGTTTATATTTGATCAACCCTACCCGGTGATGGTTCCGCCAGATTCTTCTTGGATCTAGGTATCAGTATATTAGATGTGTTCATCACGTGTGCCGACCGAGGACCTGATGAATGAATTCAACGTGGCGGCGTGGCCAATAAGGCAATGTCAGTTATTCCGAGAAGCTGTACTCAGCGTATTATCGAACTTCTATCGAGGCATCCTTCGAGAGACGGCCAAGTACCGCCTTTTTTAAGTAATACTTGCATAGTACTCACGGACTACCTGTTCGCGAAGTCAGACAATTTACACATTAAATCCTTACCGTGTTGACGATAGATCGACGTACGACGAGGTTCCCCGGATCCTTAGAGCTAATGATGCTTAAGGATATGAGCATTGCTATCTTGTGGTCCGTGAGGAGTGTGTAAGTGTTGCTTAGAAAAGGCGGTAATCGAAGACCGCAATCTGATAAACCCCTGGCTATATTTTCGTAATTTCCTTGACTCCACAACTGAAATAAACCAAATGAATTAAGATAATGTCCAGCAGAGCTCAGACGTCGCCCGTTGACGTTCGCACGGCAACGTTACAGGGGTTTCAATTGCAACATATATATGCTGGACAAGGACGTATATTTTCCTGATTTATATTTCTTCCACTGCTAAAGCATCATAGAAGTGTTCACTTCAGTCTCTTCTTACCCTTCAGAGTCAGTTCCAACGAGACCTCGGGCAGCATTAACCGAACACACGCAAGTCAGCTGTGACTATGTCGGCATGTCGAGGAACCAAAAGACCCGCAGCCGATGATGGAGCGGCCTCTTCATCCAAGCGACCTTACGTCCCAGCCAACCCGAGTCTACCACCGTACGATGGCGGCAACCCTCTCACGAACAGTCAAAGACCACCCTTCCTCGGCAGACTTGCATCACCACACTCGCAGCTGATCAAGGAGCTCTCAATCCAGATCGCCGAGAAAATCAAACTCAGCGCCGTGATGGCGCTACGTAAAGAACAAGAAGAAAGGCCGGCCGTATGGCGCAATGGTCAAATGCGCCTGGCTGTGTTCTCGTTTGTGCGGTGGGCGACGAGAACAAGTGGGTTCGAATCCTGCTACGGCCCCCTTCTGACCCGGCTTGTGCGAGTCGACAACCAGCACACGACAGTGGAGAGGGCTTCTTATTGCAGAGCCCGATAGCCAAAGGCTTGTCTCCATAACACCCACTCCTGCGAGGTTTTTCCCCTTGTGGTTTCCCTCGCCAGCAGATAACAAACACCTGCTTCATCCACCAATGCGACATATATCGAACGGCTATTGGGACGATATGTACACCAGAGGACTGAGGTCCACTGGGTCGCTTTGTCACTAGACAGGAGGTTTTTCTGACGGAATCGTGTTTGGTATTGACTAAAACCATCTGGAACACTCCAGGTTGGTACCGCTACAGCGAGGATGGGCTCGTGCGCGGATTTGAATGTATCTAGACTGACACCTCTACAACCTTGCGATGCAATGGCACTGGGAGGCGTGGTTTGCCCTGCTGAGGGACTGCACCCACGATAAATATAATCAAAATCAAATCAAAGAAGAAAGGCCACAGCTGGAGGATCCCAGAGACGAGGTGGAACTTACAGTGGAACTCCTTAGCATGCATGATACCATCGTGAGGCTGGCTGGCGAGCTGGGCCAGGAGTTTTTCGAGGAGCACCAGCACAGACCGGCGCTTGGGGGTTTTTACGACACCTGGTTGAAGTTAACTCCGCCGCGCCTGCTTCTTGAGCCGCGAGACGAAGATGAGGAGGACGAAAGTACGGGAGAAGGTCAGGATGGAGATGGTGATGATCCATTCAGCTTCCCGAATAACGACAATCCGTTAGACTCCCTTGCCAGTGGCCTTCCCCTAAACAACAAGAACGCACCCGTGACGGAGGTTTGTGCCGCCATACCTTGAATGTCGATTCTCAAGACCAGCTTGTCTAACAGACGCTTTTAGAAACCACCAGAGGGCCCAGACCAGGTAAAGACTCGCTGTCGCTGCCAGGGCGTCTCAAATAAGGCATCGTGCAAGAACAGTGCCTGCAGCAAATGGGGCTACGGCTGCACCGACTGCTCCTGCGGCGCGTCGTGTGAGAACCCCTTCACCGTGGTGAACATGGAGCGCATCTTCGGAGCTGCCAGCCCGCATATCAAACCTCATCCGTGCTTCGCGTCCTGGATGCGCAAGCGGCCTTGGGCATTCAAGGGGGTGGACCCCGAGTATCTGTTCAAGGAGATATACTCCGAGATGGCTGCAGAGGGCATTGCAGACTTCGACGAGGATATCGCGAAGTGGAAGAAGTCCTGGGACAGGATCAGCAACAACACTGCACCTCAGCACGCCGCCGCCATGCTCAAGCTCAAACGGGAACTCCTGCGCCGGGTACTTGGCACGACCTCCAAGAGCGGCCGCCCTGACGATGAGTGGTGGTTCTCGTTCTGCCGGCGTGGAAACGGCCCGCTTGGATCGTGGCAGCAGGACAGCTGCACCTCGCACTGCCCGGCCTGCAATGAGTGCAATAACTGGCGGGAGTGACACTGCGGGAAGTGCAACAAGTGCACATATGGAATCAGCATCCCGTGTCAAGGCTGCGGCGGCGTTTCCAACATGTATCATGATGATGTGATGCGGAGGTAATGCGTTCCCTTCGAGGCGATGCACCTAGGCGAACTTTTGGCACATGTGTTGTCCCTACAAGGGCCCATGGGCGTCGGCCTCGCATAGGAAGCTTCTGTGTATGGTACTGTATGTCAAAGAGCACATCGAATCGGTAGACCAAGCTGAATGTGCCTGATAAAGCGCGGAGGGCCTCTAAGTCAATACCTGCTATATTCAACTTACTGTTCCCGTATTAGCATTTGACGTAGGTGATTCCCGTCGTCGACAATTTCCTCACTAATACGCTAGGTACACATCATGGCTCGAAGCATGTAGCCAAAGGGCTAGTTCAGGAACCATACTATGAAATTTAAGAGTGGTCTGTATTGGAAGAGGAATAAGGATAGCTGATAGAGGTACTATCCTATTTAGATAGATGGGAAAGGGACCTCTGACAGCTATTACATGTGATCCCACAGGATGACTCACAGCAACACGACAAGGCTAAATACGCCACTGTTATGATTTGACACATACAGCTTCTACTTAACGCCCAATGAATCAACCTGACGTGAAGCATAACAGTGCGCATCATATCACCCCTCTACGCCTATTTCCTCTCTGTGCTCTGTCTATCTTCACCTGTATCTTCAGCCAATCAACTGTGCGCGTGATGTTGCATTGCATGTCAGCGCGCGGAGAACCGATGATCTACATCATCGCTATCGCCGTCGAATGAGTTGGTCAAAAAGCTGTACAGCCAGTCTATCTGTAGGAAACAAATGCTCATCGCATTCCGAACATTTCGCCTCATCTGAAACCATGTCCGAAGTCAAGCCTACAAGTCCCTCGCCCCCGTCCCCGTCGGCGGACGTCGAGAAGGGCATAGAACCGAGCAGCCCCTCCAAGCTTCCCGACGTCGATGACATGCGCAAACATGTAATCAACAACGACCCCGACGAGGCCTTAAAGCTCGTCGCCGCCCACGGCGGAGAGGCCATCGTGCTAACGCCCGAGGTGGAACGCAAGCTGCTGCGGAAGATCGACCTTCACATAATGCCCCTCCTGTGCATCGTCTACGGACTCAACTACCTCGATAAGACGACGCTGTCGTACGCGTCCGTGATGGGGATCAAGGTGAGCTGCGCCATAGCCTTGAGAATGAATAACTTGCTCAATGTGCCATATGTAGAACGATATTCATATCGGAGGTGAGTCCTGAGACCGAAGACACGCACGCAACCGAGCCCCCTTCTGACAGGTCCGGGCTGTCAGTAACGCAGTACAACTGGATAGCATCGATATTCTACTTTGGGTACTTATTCTTCGAATGGCCGACAAACCGCCTCCTCCAGCGCCTTCCCCTGGCCAAGTACTCTGCCTTCAACGTCGTGATGTGGGGGTTGACACTTTGCTGCATGGCCGCGGTGAAGGTAAGTCAAACCCGTATACCAGAACTCACACAACACACCACACCACACAACACAACACCACTAACCCGCGCACGGAAACAAGAACTTCGCCGGCGCAATTACGGTGCGCTTCTTCCTCGGCGCCTTCGAAGCCGCCGTGAGCCCGGGCTTCGCCCTGTTCACCTCGCAGTGGTACACGGTGCGCGAGCAGGGTGCGCGCGTCGGCTGGTGGTTCAGCTTCAACGGCTGGGGCCAGATCGTCGGCGGCTGCGTCGCCTACGGCATCGCCGTCGGCACCGCTCGCAACCCCTTGCTCATCAAGGGCTGGCAGCTCGTCTTCCTCGTCACCGGGTTCGCGACCGCGCTCGTGGGCGCGCTGTTTTTTTGGTTTATGCCCGACAGCCAGCTCAACGCGCGCTTCCTGACGCCGCGGGAGCGCGTCCTCGCTGTTGAGCGCATCCGCGTCAACCAGCAGGGCGTGGGCAATAAGCACTTTAAGTGGTACCAGGCGCGCGAGGCGCTGACGGATCCTATGATCTGGGCTTTTGTGCTTTATAGTGCCTTTTGTTCGATTCCTAATGGTATGGTGATGGACGAACGATCTGTGGGTTTTCGTGGTGCTGATTGTTGGATAGGGGGCATGTCCAATTATTTCTCGCAGTTGATTGTTTCGTTCGGTTTCACGAACAACCAATCGTTGCTTTTGGGAGCGCCAGGTCAGTGCCAATCATACTTGTTTACCCCTTGATACTACGTGTGTTTCTTGAAGCCTCTAGTTTGACATTGGCTGACTCGCCAATGGTGAAGGCGGAGCTGTTCAGATCATCACGCTGCTCGTGTGCGGACACTTGGGCGACCGATTCCGAAACCGCATTGTAAGTGCAACTCACATGAGTTATCATGCAAACATGCTGATAGATATGAAGTTGTTCTCTGCTAGCGGTGTTCTCCTGGCCATCCTCGGCTTATTCCTCATCCGCCTCCTGCCCCTCGAGAATAGGGGCGGGCGACTGGCTGGGTACTACCTGTACCAATCATCATCGACTGGCTTCGTGGCACTGCTGGGGCTCATCTCTACTAACGTGGCCGGCTGGACGAAGAAGACTACTTCAGCTGCGATGTACTTGATCGCGTACTGTGTTGGCAATGTGAGTAACTTCAACCCTATTTCCTGGCCCCTGAATCCTTCAGGCAGAAGGCAGTGTGCCACTACTTGGAACAACTGGTCACTGAGACGTGCAAGATTATCGGACCGCAAGTGTTCAAGTTGGGAGACGCGCCGTCCTACCACAGCGCGATCACCACCGTGCTTGTGTGCATGTGCATCGCGTTCGCCCACCTTATCTTCATCTACTTCTGGTGTAGGCGGCAAAACAGCATCAAAGCGACTATTCGCGGGGGTCTCGGACATGGGAAGGTTGAGGGTCAGGAGTTCATGGACCTGACTGATCGTGAGAACCCCGAGTTCATCTACAGTCTATGAGCGACCGGGAGCTATGTCGATTTGTACGGGGTCCTGTGGTGATGAGTGTACCTTGACAAAAGATGGGTTTACGAAGCATTGAGAGGTTGCAATGCTGCTCATTACTGGGGCATCTCGAGTTTGGTCGGCAATTGGAAAATCCCTTTCCATTCACCCACAGACAAGTAATGCCTACATCCTCGTCCAGGGGTTGGTTTGTTGATGGTACTGTGGACCTTGTTAGAACCACATAGCGAGCCAGTTAGGATAAAGGCAACTCCAGAAAATGCTCAAAGTCGTATACAGATGGATGGCCTGGCGCTGTTCTCAAGCGATGCTTAGGACGCCTCTCATATCGAAACTCCCGTTTCCCACAGCAGTATGTTCCTGTGCGTTCCAAGTTCTACTTCTGCTTGCGCCCAGTTCGCCTCACGGCAGCAACCGCCGAAAGGGATGCGCTTCAGTGTTGAACACCCACTCATCCAGTGATATGAGATCCGGCTCACTGAAGACGAGATAGAAGTATTTCAGCGTCTCGCCCATCCAAAAACTCTCCATGGAGTCTGTTTGGCGGACCTCGGCAGGACTCGCAACAGTCACGTCTGCGACGGCGGAGTTTGCGATGTCCGTCTTCGTGACGGCTTGAATGGCTTCGAACACGGCCCACGCAGCTTCCAGTAATCGCGGGTCACCAGTCGTGCGGTACATGATGAATACGCTTTCGATGGCTTCTGGTCGGAGGACGTAGCGCTTGTCAGGTATGTCGGTGAAGCCTGGGGGAAGTCGTCGCTCCTTGATAAGGTCGGCAGCGCTGTCTATATCATATTTGTCTGCTCCGGCCCGTTCCAGCACGGCCTGCATCCATTTCTTCTCATCCCACGGACAATCGCTATCCGAGTCGCACGGGGCCATCCAAAAGACTTCGGGCATGATACCGAGAGGCATATTCTCATAGGCCCATATACAGCCATCAACCAGCTTTCGTGCTGTTGTGAGGTGTCCGCTTTCATTGAGCAGCTTTCCACCTATAGCGAGCATCCCGCCAGCAAAGCACACAAGGTGTTGACCCTGAGTCTCAACCGTAACCGACGGCTTGCCGTTCTCGGTGGAAGTCCGTGCGATGCCCGAGACCAGAATGTCTGCTGAGTCTGGCACCATTGGTCTGAAGAAGTTGTATTTGATAGCCGTTTTCATGGCCTCCGTGTACATATCGCCATAATGGGGCAGTAGTCCTCCGCTCAAAGCCACCATCTTCGGCAAGTATTCGAAACCGAATCAGCCATTGCGCCCAGGCTGAAGGTGTCGTCCTCTGTGAACCGCATATCGCGAGGGCTCACACTGATAGGCCAGAGTCCTGGGAGCTTCGTTTCCATCTGTTGTTTCTGCAGCGCTAGCATGATATTCTCGGCGGCGCTGAACCACTTCTGGTCGTTTGTGATCAACGAGAGTCTCGTGAATTCCATACAGAGAGACCCGATCTCGGCTACCAGGGCCCATTCAGCAGCCTGCTGTTTTCCCCCAGACGTGGCACGGCCGAGCTCCCAGCGGGTGATTGGCATGTGGTTGGGGGTATCGAATGCGACATACAGCATGTCACCGACTTCCCTCGCCTTCTGGAGAAGCCTCGGATCCCCACTGAGGTCGTACGCGGCCAGGAACCCACCTAGGTAGCGAATCGTCGTCTCGAAAACGTTGATCTCAGTCAGGGAGCTCGTCTCGAAGCTGATGTTGGCTGCAACGGCCGTCACGGCTTCATCAAACTCCTGCCGGAGGCCCATGATACAGAGTGTGTCGAGCGAGTCGACCAGAGTTGCGCCCCATCCCCCAAAGGTGTTCTTGGAAGATGCGCTCAGTGGTGTCACCTCATCTTGAAGCCACGCGTGCTTTACATACGCGTCCCAGCAACGCTGAAAGGCAGAGCGCACGGCAGCCTGTCTTTGCAAGCGAAGCTTACGGTCGCTCGTCGTCTCTTGGGGAAACTCGGCCTGAATCTTGGGAAGAGCGACGGGCGGGCCTTGCGGAAATGCCCTCATGGATTGGGGCGGCACGGGATACTGGGTAGGTATCTGGCGCCAGAAGTAGTCCTCATCATTGAGGACCTTCGGGTTGACATGTAGGGGGTGTTGCGCTTCGGGCCAGAGACCTGCTTCAGGGCGGCGGACCGACAGTTTGTAGCCCAGGTAGAGAATGAGAAGCACCGCACCAATTGGAAAGACCAACCTGCGCCGTCCTGCAAACATCTTGCTTTGGTGAAATGCGGCGCGGCTGACTGAAGATGAAGGCCAAAATAAGAATTGATGAATTGGCCGAAGGTGAAAGGGACCGCGTAGCACTGCGTAGAGCGATTGCAGCAGTACACAAACTTAAAGTTTCGGTTGGAGGTAGGAGAGTCGCGCCCTGTAATCAATCAGAGGCCCTTGTCAGGCGGGCGCACAATTCCTTACAATGGTCAGGTTGAAGACGGGCAGGTGTATTCAGAGCCCTCCATTGTCATGGCCACTCTCATAGCTTCAATTGACCTACTGCGAGACCAGCGGTCTGAACACGACTCCTTCAATCCAGTCAATGGAATCAATGGGAGACTGGACGACTGGACGGGCGCGAGGGCCTGGCGGCATCTTTCCAGCACCGGCTTCCATGAGCATGCTGTCGGATCCAAGGTCATTGTAACCTCGGGGGGATGACTTTGAAGACACCCCCGATGGACTGGATAGTTTTGGGCCAGGGTGGTAAATAATATTAGACGTTTCTGATGAAAGCTCAAGTGATGATAGAGTCTCTTTCGCATACAGAGGCCTACTTATCTACTGGACAATTGATCTCGCAGGAGAAAACTGCGCGGAATCATACGGCGTCCCGATCCATCGAATGGCGAGAGACGGGAGTGTCGGTTCCATCTCAACTGGCCTTGTACGTACATTGTGTACCTGCAGTAGAGTTAGAAACCCAAACCTCGCCGTGACACATTCCTCCTCGTTCACACCTGTTGTGTCGCTAATAGACGATTCGAGTACCCATATGGAAAGGCCTAGGGAAACGCCTGAGCAACGCCATCAGCCATCATATAAGTCAAGTTCCATGTAGTCATCACCGACCTCTCCCGCTCTAGTAAGCAAGACGCGGCGCGTTGTCTCGTCTCGGGCAATTAACCAGACCGACCGAACGCATGGCAAGACATGTGGCCGTTTCCACATGCGTTCCCGTTCCGCTCTGATCTGCCTAGCCATCCGGCAGTCCCAAGTCTCATCCTCCCTGCCGGGTTGACTGATATGCGATGATCCCCTAATATCACCAATGCCATTACGAGTACCCCTAGTCTCTAGAGAGTCCCAGAAAAATGAAAGAGCAAAGAGCCCAATGAATGATTCTGATCCTCACCAGTGATTAGCAAAGTCGCAAGGCAGCGAGAGTTCCATGGGAGCCCCTCAGTATGTAGCAGTCACATTATACATACATAGGAGCTGTCTGAGCGGGAGGGTTCGCGCGCGACAACAGACCGGGAATGTGAGGGGGCGGGCTAGGTAGATACAGCTACGTAGACGGGCGGGTGACTGATCGAGCCTTATTCACGCAGCACCAAGTTCGACGGCTTGTACTTGGGGTGGCTCCTTGGTGGCAGAAAGGTGATCTGAAGAAACCTGGCCTCGTACTTGTCGCAACGTGTTTAAGCATAGTTCTGTAGCACCTGCGCGGATACCTACCGTGTATTCCCATGATTCCGCATGGCGCAACAAGTACGTATGCAAGTCCATAAAAAATCGAGGTCAGAGTAGCGAGTTCTAGAAAACACACGAGTCGATCACATGGAGATGAGGACCGCGGCGAGTATGTGCTGGACCAAAACCTGGCCTCCCAGCAATGTTTGTTTTGCCCTTGAAGTATGGTACAATGACTGCGCAAACACTGAAGGTGTTGCCCAGAGGCCAATAAAACATCCAGCTATGGGAATAATCCGTAGCCTGTCATATGTAGTAGGTATTATCAACTCTCAGAAGATTGTACAAGAATATGAGGTCATGGGACATTGGCGAGAGCACAAGAAACGAAGGCTCCTTGGGTGACGAAACAAGTGCGTGGAAAGTGGTTTTGACTTTGTCAGAGGCTTTCCAGAATCTGAGACAGGCCTCCTTCAGACAGCCAGAAGTCTGTTCAAATCCATGGATTCTCCACGCCCTTCCCAACAGCTCAAGACCGCACACATCGTGAATCCTCTGTGGCGAAGTAGGTTGTCTGTCCGTAACACCGGGACAAGAAGTTACAAGAATCAAGATGGAATCCTGTATGACCAAGGACTCCAAGGTGTAATGCAGAATACCGTGCCGTCCACGTTCCAAATCTATCACACCATTCTGCCTCCCAAACTCCAGCCGGCTTCCGTCATGAGCTCCTCAAAAGGGTATCCCTCGATCTCCGTGCATTAGGTATTATCGGTCGTCAAGAGAATCGTAGATTGGACGTTATGCAAGACTGCGAGCCCCTTATAGAGCGAAAGCGACCATACCGAGGACACCAGCGAGGCCAGCACCCGAGAGGGCGGCGACCTTGCCGGCACCAGCGGTGGGGATGGGCGAGGTGGAGGGGGTGGAGGAGCCGGAGGGGTAGCCAGCGGCACTGGTGGTAGGGATCAGACCGCCAGTAGAGGTAGAAACGCTGACAGGGACCGGGAGAGTGCCGTTGGCGGAGATCGTAGGGTAGGGGACCGCGGTGGTGGCCTCGGAGGTGGTGGGGTAGGCGACCTCAGAAGTGGTGGGGTAGGCCGAGGTCTCAGCGGAGGTCTCAGCGGTGGTGGTCTCGGCAGCCGAGCTGTTGGCGGGTTAGCAACTTGTGGTCTCGTCAACATCTCCTGGCATCTTACCAGGTGGAGCAGATAACGGACGAGGTGGTGTAGACGGGCACGCTGACGGTGCAGCCACCCGGGCAGTTGGTGATGGTTAGGGTTGTGGCCTCGGTGGCGGTGTAGGTCTGGGTGCCGTAGGTGATGGTGGTCTGGCCCGGGCAGTAGGTCTCGAACGCGGTGGTAACGACGGTCGTCCACGAGACGGCCTCAGTGGCGTTACCGGCGGCAGCAGGGTAGGTGGCCGAGACGCCAGCGGCGAGGGCAACAGCGGCGACGGCGAATTGCATTTTGACTGATTTGGTCTGGTATAAGGTACTCGGGGAGAGTTGTAAGGTGTCGAGAGGATTATTATTTGCTGATAGTGATTAGGTATGCTGGTTAAAGAATGAAATTGACTGAAAAGTCAGGGTATAGGTAGCAAGTGAATGTGTGTGGGTGAAGAGGGAAAAGAGAAAAGGATGGACGACTCTTGGACGAATCGTCTTATATACAGGACGAACGACCGCTGGGTGCTGGGGTGACCGCTGACGGCTGCCGATGCGACTTGACCGACGGACCTGGACCTGCCTGCCATCCACGATCCATGGAATCCGGATGCCTGCCTGCTCTCGCCTTGTCGATGGATAACGGCCTCTGGGTAGGCGACATAATGGATAGCGCCGTGAATAGAGGCATGGCGCTAGGTGCAAGTGGCCATCCAAAGTGGCGGCGGTCCATAATTGGTTTTCCTATCTTATTTCGCTTTCTGGCCAAATCAGAGGCGAAGGAGCCAACCAGGATACGTTTGTGGCATAGCAGGGCCGAAAAGGGTCCAGTGTGAAAGGGGGAGGGTGTGTGGCCAGTGGCCCAGCGCGAGCCTTCCTCGCCTCCCATGCAGCAGCTGTGATGCTGTCAGGCTGTGAAAGAGGAAGTGGATGGGGGGACCGGATCTTGGGTTCAATGTGGGCAGGTGGCGGACGGGTACCTGTTGCAAAAGGGGTGAAGATGGACGCCCGCCCCATCTTTCGGGTGTTCCAAGTCACTCGTAGATAGTGCTGTTAAGGAGCTGATGTACCTCGCCGGGCCAGTTGCCGTGCTTCGGTACATTCAAGTGATACATACGGTCGCGGCGGCATAACAGACCATGAGATCGGCTTAGTTACTATTTCAAGCCTGCTAGTCGGGGCTACTGCAGGTACAGCACGGTTCTTGACCGGGATATCGATGCGAGTGGAAATTGGGCCCCATATGATGTTCCCTTGGCCGAAAGCACCAACCGTTCGAACGGGGAAAATGCGATTGCTGGTGATTGCGCTGGCGCTTGGGCGTGTTGATGTAAACATGGCTGACTGACAACTGTCCGTCAATACCTCTTCATAGCGGTCAACCAAATGTGTGCAAGTACCTACCTAATGTTTGTGCTGACATCTACATACCGCGGTTGCGCTATAAAAAGTGCTGGCAAACAAGGAGTGGCGACTTCGCCATCCAACACATCATGACCGCCGAATCGCTTGAACACACGGCCAAAAACAGAATACCCATTCCTGCGAATCCCATGGCAACGTGTCTACTTATTAGTAATCCCGTTGCCGTTCGCCACGGTATTCTGGTGAAGGGCTTTCGCAAGCGTGTGACCGACAACACAGCAGGTGGACTGGTATTTCTGACTCCAGCGTTCCCGGGGGTGAGCGATGACTGCGATGCACCGCAAGCTGCAGACGGAGATGCAGGAACAGCTCGCGCTTCTGCAGGAACAGAAAGCCAATATCACCCGTGAGCTGTTGCTAGTGGCCCGCTGTCATCTCTGCCTGCTCAGTGCTGACGGGGTTTTGATAGAGGACGGCGATTGGAAGTCACGGCTACCCAATCAAGCAGCCAAGACAACGTGCTAGGGCAGCAACGGGCTTACCCCTGATTGCCAGTGGCTGATTCAGGGGCCGGACGCTGATGGCCAGTCTTGATTGGCCACAGCCTACACGAATGGGGAGATGGCAGATGCCAAAACCAGACAAGTTGCTGTCGCCGCTTTGAGCCATCTAATTTCATGATGGCCCCGGAACATGCAGTAGATTCATCAATTATCCGTCAGCCTGCGCCAGATGGAACTCCACCGCATTCCGTCACGTTCCCTTCTCGAATTTCCTTGTGAAGACGACATGGCAGCATGGCCGACGAGCGGGTAGTAACCCGAGTCACGGACAGGGATGCCTGCTCGATGCCAGGGACACTTCTCCAAGTTCGGTCAACGTCTCCAGGCGAGTCGATCATTGTTCCTGGCATTTCCGGGGATTCCCCTCAGGAAAGTGCTGAAAATGGCGGGGCCAAAATATGTTACGCTGTCGGCTGCCGTCTGCATTTGGTATGGCATGGCACGAGAATGTCAATATTCCTAAATGACTCCTCGTATCGACAGATTCATCAAGACCCGAACAATCTCGACTATTCGATTTTGAAATGGGTCGGGGCCCAGCAGAGATTAGGCTATCGCCATTAATCTTGATAAGAGCATATGGTTATCTTCAGCATCTAACATCGGATCAGCAACGTCGACGATAAAGATCTCCAACCCCAGAGGTTCAACACGGAACACCCCTGATCCAAGTCTCTGCTAATAATGGTCGACTCCCGGAACTATTGTGATCAAAATGCCCATGACCTGGACATGATTTTTTTTTATAGGTTTCTGGTCAGTTCGAAGAGTGGCGTGGCTCCCACCGCTTCCCCGTGATGATCGATCTCGTGGAGCCCCGGGGCCCCGGAGCTGAGATGAATCGAATGCTTTGCATGATATTGCTATTCACGGTTCAACAGTGGCTCCGGAAATCGATACTATGCTGGATTCCTCCTGGAAGCTCAGAGACACCTCGTTCAGCTCATTGAATCCAACGCCAGAGTACTCATCTGAAGTTCTGAACTTCCCCGGTATCCCATCCCAGGAGCCAAGCATCCCAAGGCCCCGATGGCCAGATTCGGCAGGTTACATGGCGTCGGTGGCCACTCAGTGTAACTTCCACCATGCTCACGTCACGTAAGGATTCAGGAACGATGCAGATCGTCAATGCAACCACCGCGCGAGTAATCAAAGAAATACGAGCCCGGTAATCTACGCGGTTGTGGCCATTCGGCGCGAGTTTCGCGTCCCAGTTCCGTTTCTTTCGTCGCGGCTCGACGGAATACATTACGGTTTCTCATCTTGAGATAGATCGTTCTCGAGCCATTGTACACTTCACTTCCCTCGGCCCTACTTCCCCTCGAGCGGTTTTCTCACCACTGCTTCGCTGAACCGACTGAGGTGCTGTCGTTTTTAGATTCAGCCTAGCACCTAAAGAGCTAGAGCCAACTGTTGGCCGCGTGCGTGCGCATTCCTGGCCGATGTGAGCACTTGGTTCCACCCTGCGACGAAGGGATCGATTCGGCGTTAGGTCTCGGCTTTGAACCTGGACCAACGTCGGAGCCTCTTATGGCACTTTTCTCCCTTCTCTGTCCAGATGTCGCACTATCCGCCACCAACCTGGAGGTTTTACAGCTTGCGGCTCGAGGAAGACTCGGAGAAGAGCCAGCTAGGCATCGGCCACCAAGTCATCCGTATGGTGGTCTTCTGGGTAAGTTAGCTCATGGGAGCTACTGATCAAGTGATCAGTGAGAAGTGAAAATCGGGTTTTCTGTCGATTCTCGCCGATTTATGCCGCATTTCTCTTGATGTGAGCTGGGCGACGTTGAGTCCTTTGGCTTGTTTCGTGATGAAAGCTGAGAAGCAGTGAACATGCTGGGGTGAAGTTCTGCCGCGCTTGCTCGGAATCAGTTCGCAGTCTCGGATTCGCTTGATGAATCCTCTCTCGCAATCAGCGTGCCCGAGCCAATGAAGTCGACCAGAGAGGGTGCTTCGAGGTCCAATCGGGCAGCCGACGTTTGATCTGAAGCTTGGAAGGGTCAGAGATGGTATTGAACAAGATGCACCGGCGATACAATCGAGGCTCAAGTCGTCAGGCCGGAGTCATTACGTGTCTGGACGGGCAAACCCGTTGCGCCCGTCACAAGGCCACATCGGAATGGTATTGGAGAAGCTCGCTGGATGAGGTTGAGAACGCACGCATGGCGATGGCCCACCAGAGATGCGGGATGGAAACACCGGATCACCGCATTCTGACGAGTCACGACGGCATGATCGGATCAGAGTGGGACAGATCTAGGCCGAGGTGTACTGCCGATGAGCTTATAAAGCTTCAAAAGACTGATGTCATCACCATCTGCCACTTTTCACGTACTGATGAGTCTGTCAATCCCGTCGCAACAACCAAACATCATACTGCGAGCAAGCAGTCTTTTCAATTGACCCTCCAAAAGCTCGTGAAAGAAGTTCAGAGTCAAGTCAGCTCAAGATGGGCGGCAACACAATGAAAGCAGTCGGTATGCGCACCCCGCCCAGCTTCAACACCAAACAACATCCCCCGCCTAAGCCCTCGATATCTCGAGTTCCAATGCTTTCCCCGTAGACTCCAGTCAGCCAGCTAATCCAGCAACCCCTCTCCCAGAAATCAAAGGCGGCAAAGGCCCAGCCAGCGCGCTCTTCATCAACGACAAGACCCCGATCCCGACCCCCAAGGCCGGCGAGGCCCTGATCCGCATCAAGGCCTTCGGGCTGAACCGCATGGACCTAATCCAGCGCGAGGGCAACTACCCACTCCCCCCACAGGCGCCGTCGACGCTGGGCGTCGAGTTCAGCGGCACGATCGAGAGCTTCGGCGGCGACTCCTCCTCGCATGGCGACTTCAAGACCGGCGGCGCCGTCTTCGGGCTCGCCTACGGCGGCGCGTACGCGCAGTACATAGCCGTAGACGTGCGCATGCTGATCCACAAGCCCGACTCCAAGGTCTTCAGCTGGGAGACGGCGGCGGGCATCCCGGAGACGTGGATCACGGCGACGCAGGCGCTGCACCTGGTGGGCGAGTTCGCACCCGGCAAGGCCGTGCTGTGGCACGCAGGCGCGAGCGGCGTCAGCATCGCGGGGATCCAGCTGTCGCGCGACAGCGGCGCGGGCGCCGTCTACGCCACCGCCGGCACGGACGAGAAATGCCGCTTCATCGAGAAAGAGCTCGGCGCCACCAAGGCGTTCAACTACAAGACGCAGGACTGGGCGCAGGAGATTCTGCGCGAGACCGATGGCAAGGGAGTCGATCTCATCGTCGACTTCATCGGCGCGAGCTACTTCAAACAGAACCTGGCCGCGGCGGCGCGGGATTGCCACTGGGTGTCGCTGGGCCTGATGGGTGGGTCGAAATTGCAAGATGTGGACATTGGCCCGTTGCTGTTCAAGCGCATCAGGCTCGAGGGCAGCACGCTCCGCAGCAGAGACCCCGAGTACCAGGGCAAGCTGAGGGACAAGCTGGCTGAGTACATCCCGGACTTCGAGAGCGGGAAGCTGAAGGTCAAGATCGACACTGTGTTGTCGATGGAGAATATCGTCAAGGCGCATGAATTGATGGAAGCGAACAAGACTACGGGCAAGATCATCTGCACGGTTCCGTAGGGCGAACGTATAAACCAATATAGAACTGAGTGTTTATTTTCCACTGTTACCTCCTGGGTCCCTACGTCTACACCCTGTAAACCAACCCAGTTGATGAAAGTGCCGTACATAACGCCATACCAGAACCCTCAGACCTGCGCTCGCTAATGCTCCTTTATCCACTTCAACATCTGCTCGTGTGCTGTTGCCTGCGCATCTTTGATATTCGCGTCCTCGTAGTCTCCATACACAGCGAAGCCTGATATCTGTCAGCATGGTTTGTCGGGCGTTCTAAGAGTCCTTGACTTACCGTGGGGAACACCAGGATAGACCTGAACTTCGTGCTCAACATTAGTCTTCGACATCGTGTCCTCTCCGGCTTCCCGGACGTCGTCCGGAAACATGGGATCGTGCTCGACGCAGGCCAAGCTGACCGGGACCTGAAGATGTTCGAAGTCATCCGGAGACACGAGCGTCGCATGCGCCAGCGCGCCGGCTTTGATGTATGGGCCCTTCTTCGTCGGGCCTTGGCCCTCGCCGGCCTCCTCATCGGCCGGCTTCTGCGCACCACTCCAGCCTGTCGATGCCGGCGTGCGCTCGCTTGCCAACAGGAGGATGTACCGTCCGCCAAAGCAGTAGCCGACAGCATATATACCACCACCGTTACCAACAGCATCTGCGAACTCGCCCTCGCACGCATGGAAGACTTTTTCCAGCAGAGGCATGACCTTCTCCTCGGTGTGTCGCGCCAGCCACATGTCGATCATGAAGGACTTGGCCGTCTCGGCAGCCTTGAGCTTGACTGTCTCGAGGAACGACGTTCCCTCCGTCTCGGCATCGGGAACGGTCGTCGAGTTGGGAGCAGGGTCGCCTTCGAACATATCGGGCATCACCACCACGTAGCCTTCGTCGGCAAACTTGTCGGCTTGGATCTGGTTGTTCGTCGACTTGAGGCCGGTGCCGCCTGTGAGTAGCAAAAGCAGCTTCGAGGGGTTCGTCGGGTACGATTCCGGCTTCGCGATGTAGACGTCGACTCCGCCAAGCTTCCTCACTTCTCCCTTGGGAGCTTCGCCAGCGGCTGTTCGAACGGGGTCAGTTGAACGTCAGATGCTAGCTGAGTCGTTTCTGGCTACGTACGAGTAGGTCTGTCCGTCGTGCAGTGCTCGCCCATGGTAGGCCCAGTCTGCGCCGGCGTGTCGCCCGGGATGGGGGACTCCTGAGCATCGCTCTCAGGAGCTTTCGTTGCGACGTCGGCTTCAGTCATGGCTGGAAGTTGTCTGAGTGAGAAACAAAAGAGCACACCTAGTAAATCGAGCTCAGGTATATGAATGCAGGAAGATTCGCAAGGAAGATGAGCCTGTGACAGTGTCGTGGTGAGTGCTGAAGCAGCTGGAGGTGGGCTGCTGGCCCCTGGGGGAATGACGTACCGCCACCCTGCCAGCTGCCAGATGTGAAGTCGTGTCCTCGGCCTGACATGGAATGCCCCCGATCTGTACTGTGCATGTTGACAGTGTGGATGCTGGCCTACACGGCTGCGGTCTCCTAGCGCCTGTCGCGCCTGGGCAGCTGGGTTGGACCCCGCGCCGTCCCAACTCTACTGCCGTCCGACACGCCACCAAAACCACTTTAACGGGCGACGCGACTTTTCAGAGCCTTGACGCGTTGCTCCCCACTGCCCCCCACTGCCCGTCAACATTGACTCTTGTCTCTCTCAATACACAAATCATCTTGCAGCCTTTCAACGAGATTCGTTTTTGTATTGAGGCACGAGAAACAAACAGTCAAGATGTCGGTTGCAGCAGCACAGCAAGCCGTCACCCAAGGCGCTCTGGAGTGCGTACCGCCTTCCTCCTCCGTCCTCCCGATGATATCGAGTGATTGCATACTAATGACCTTTCAGTGCTATCTTCCACGATTCCGATAATGTCGAACACAACTTCCCCGTACCCGTCCTACAATGTCTTCAGATCAAGCCCCTCGCTGCGCAACAGGGGCCAGGCGGCGCTCAACCTGAGCGCTACCGAGTCGTATTGAGCGATATCCGCAATTATGTCCAGTGCATGTTGGCCACTCGTGCGTATACCCTCGAGTGGACGAGTGGCGTGGATGGACGCTGACCATGCTATAGAGGCAAACCATGTCATTCATGAGGACAAGCTCGTCCGAGGATGCATTGTTCGGATCAAGTCGTATCAAGCAAACGCCGTAAAGGGGAAGAAGTAAGTTGGCTGACTCTGTATGAAGATCTTCGCATTGACAATCCCTAGTATCTTGATCATTTTGGACCTCGAAGTTGCTACCGAGATGGGTATCCACGACCGAATCGGCGAACCAGCCCCGTTCGAAGCCAAGCCGGCTGCTCCTGCTGCGAATACTACTATTGGTGGCACGGGCTTCTACGGCGCGAAGACCGAGTCTTCAGCACCTGTGAAGTCGGAACCGATGCCGTCGCGTCCTGGGGGAGGTAGCGGCGGCGGCGGCGGTGGTGGTTCTACCAGCCACGGCAACAACGTCATCTACCCGATCGAGGCGCTCTCGCCTTATGCACACAAGTGGACTATCAAAGCCCGTATATCACAAAAGTCGGACATCAAGACCTGGCATAAGGCCTCTGGTGAGGGTAAACTATTCTCAGTCAATCTTCTCGACGAGAGTGGTGAGATCAAGGCCACAGGTTTCAACGAGCAGTGCGATCAGTTCTACGACCTCTTGCAAGAGGGCCAGGTCTACTATATCAGCAACCCCTGCCGAGTTCAGCTGGCCAAGAAGCAGTTCAGTAATCTCCCTAACGATTATGAGCTGACTTTCGAGCGTGATACGGTCATCGAGAAGGCAGAGGATCAATCCAGTGTACCTCAAGTTCGCTTCAATTTCATCACCATTGAAGGACTCCAGACGGTAGAGAAGGAATCGACAGTGGATATTGTGGGTGTTCTCAAGGATGTCGGCGAAGTCTCCCAGATCACATCCAAGAGCACAGGACGTCCGTATGATAAGCGTGAGTTGACTCTTGTCGACGACTCGGGGTTCTCTGTGCGTCTCACGATATGGGGCAAGTCGGCCACCGCCTTTGCAGCACAGCCGGAGTCGGTTGTTGCCTTCAAGGGCGCCAAGGTGTCCGACTTTGGTGGTCGCTCGCTTTCTCTACTGTCATCAGGGACTATGGCTTTAGATCCCGATATCGAAGAAGCCCACCGATTGAAAGGCTGGTACGACTCGCAAGGCCGCACAGACAACTTCAACACGCACAACAGCATGGCATCGATGGGGTCTGCTACTGGCCGTCAGGACCAGACCAAGTGCATCTCCCAAGTCAAGGACGAGAACCTGGGCATGGACGAAAATAAACCAGATTACTTCACCCTGAAGTCGACCATCGTCTACATCAAGCAAGAGAACTTCGCCTACCCGGCGTGTCTCAACGAAGGCTGCAGCAAGAAAGTCGTTGATCAGGGTGACGGTACATGGCGTTGCGAGAAGTGTAACATTTCGCACCCAAAGCCGCAGTACCGCTACATCATGAACTTGAACGTCAACGATCACACGGGGCAGATGTGGCTATCGTGCTTCGACGATGTCGGCCAAATCGTCATGGGCATGAAGGCCGACGAGGTCATGGAGATCAAGGAGAACGACGAGGACCGCGTCCCGGCCATCTTTGAGGCCGCCAACTGCTCCAAGCTGAGCTTCAGATGCCGCGCCAAAATGGATACGTATGGTGAGAACCAGCGGTAGGTCTCTTCTACTCACCCCAAAAATGTTGGACTAGAAGCACAATTACTGACAATCCATTCTCTAGGGTACGCTACCAGGTCATGGGCGCCACTCCGTTGGACTACAAGGCCGAAGCCGCAAAGCTGTCGGAAATGATCAAGCAGTTCGATATCAACTCCTGAAAAACGGAGGTCCTGAACTCAACCCCAGACGACTGCTGGAATGATGGGATAAGGCTGTAGGTATTGCGAGAGAAATCGCGTTGTTGCTAGAGAGCAAGATCGTCTAGACTTTGTAGCTGCGGTAGGAAGACAGTGCCTAGCGGTATACGGTGCGATTGTACCAGCTGATGAGAGGGAGGGATAGACATACTGTACATGTCACGACGCGAAAGAAAGCGCATGTCAATGAGAGATCACGGTAATGAGGATCAATAATGGAAAAAATGGCATATCGTCATTGCAGTTCATTATGTATTCTGGTCTATCTCGTATTCAGAGACTGCCACTCCGTGATCATCATCCATCTACCTCTGGTCAATGGACGACTGGTGTCACTCCAAGCCACCGTTGTGCAATATAAAGGTGCGTTGCAGGCTTAGCAATGCAAACTCCTGGGTTCCCCTGAACGCCGTTGCCATTGTCTTCATCTCTGCAAGTAGTCAACCCCATCTTGTTCAGGTGAGCCTTGCGAGTCTATCCCAACAGAAGTGCCTGATGGCGATTTGCCAAGTCGCCGAGCCCATCTTCCACCGGGGAGGTCTAGTTCTAGGATGCTCGAGTGAGAATGAGGTATGGTTAATGCAACCAATCCTTATATTCCCTAACTGGTTGTTATTATGCCTCCCATCAGGTCCTCGTCGTCAACTTGGGAGTCGAAACCCAGGGTAGGATCCTGACCATCACCTTTATCGGTGCGCTTCGACTCCTTGATAAGATGCTTGACATAGTCCTTGTTGGTGCCCAGGCGTTCGTTCGTCGCCTTGAAAATGGGCTGCAGCTGTTTCAGGCGCATTGCCGTGCGGGCAAGTTCCTTCGCGAAGTCTTGCTCCGATAACTGCGTTGTGGGCGATAGGAATGTGAGGAAGTCTGTGCCGTCGTCGTTCTTCTCGATCACCCCGTTCAGCATGCCTCCTATAATCATGTTCTGGATGAGCATCCGAACATCTTCGTCCTTCCCGAGCTTCTCACCCGTCTCGGCGCTCGTGGTCTGCTTTCGGATCTCGGAAATGGTGATCTTCGTGTAGACATCCTGTAATCCGAGGACCCGCCACTTCTGGTAGGCGGCCAGGACCTCTTGCACCAATCCCATATTGCAGTCCTCTAGCCAGATCTCGCCGTTCTTCTCCGCCTCCGACCTCAGTGCCTGCACGTCCTCGGTCACGAAGAGCGAAGCCAGGTTTGTGTAGGCCTTGCCGACAACTCCGTAGAGCTTGTTTGCAACGCCCCCTGTGTACGAAGGCAGTTCGCTCTGCTTTCCCTTCAATAACAAGCTGACCAGCACCCACTTCTTGTAAGCCTCAGCCATCAATTTGCTTGCGCCGCCTTCTCGTGTGGGGAATGTGACTACTCTTTCGAAAGCCGCGAACGCCTTCGCCCAGTCTCTTCTCGAGCAGAACATCAGGCCGCACAGCAAATCGTATTCCATAACACCTGCCGGCTTCATCGTGGCTGTGAGCCCGTTGTCGCGCGTGATGTAAGACGGAGGGGATAGGCTGAGATCGCACAGGCAGTCCGGGTCTCCATGGTTGTTCATGTTTGGGTAGAAGACAATGTTCTTGTCGATAACCTGCAGGGCGGGGTCGATGTTGTCGGTATGGTATGCGAGTTTCGCAAGCATGAGGTAAGACGAGGTAAGCATGGTACCAGTAGGATCAATGTTGAGAACGGCGCTCGCCAGTGCCCCGACAGCAACAGAAGGCTGCGGCAGAAGGTCATCAGCTATGCGAATGTGACGGTGGAGCGAGGTTGCTTACAGGTAGTAACTGGCCACTTCCAACGGCGCCCATGATCTCTAGAAGGTTGCTCCCAGCATATCGGCATTGTCGCCCGTCGAAGGTCATCAGGAACACAGTCACCTTCTCCAGAAGGAACTCTCGGGAGGCAGAACTGGCCAGTCCAGGGATCACGAGGGTGTAGAGGACGGCGAGGTAGGACAGGGAATTCACGGACGGGTCGAGCAGCTACGGGTAGTATTAGCAACGCCTATCTGGTAGGACGGAAGCGGTGGCAGCTCATACCTCGAGTAGCTGCGGACCGTAGGTCACCAGCTCATTGCTGCGTTCCTTGAGTAGCTTGGAGAGTTTGTTCAGGTGTGATCTGGCAGCCTGGTCGTAGAGGGCGTTGTCGTTGAGATCGGTCTCTGGCGGGAAGGCCAGAAGCGCCGAAGCGTACTGGTCCATGGCGTCGGCGCAAACACAATACGTTGCTGTGTAGAGCGTTTGATTGATCTGCCACCGGTACGAGAAAATGGATGAAGCATAGGACCCTTGGTTGGGTGGTCTCGTCCAATGTCAGATGTATTCGGTGGTGCAAATAAAGTCGAAGGCAGTTTGGAGCATACGTGCCTGGCGCGCCCATTCCGTTAGCTCAGAGTTGCTCAGCTGCAGCTGTAATGTGGCGGGGCATCTCATGGAGCTCGGGCCTCATTACGAGGGGTCGTATGTGGATGTGAATCTGTGTCGCGGGGAATAAACTCAGCATCCCGTCCTTCTTTCAAGTTGTTCTGCCCCGATCCTCTCATTGCGTGCAATGCCAGTGGCACAAAAGATCACTTACACACGTTCTCTGATGACCGTGATGGATAAGGTAGCATACACTTTCATTACTCACTGCGCACCATGATTCCCTCCCTCCTTATCTTCCATGAGGTCTACCAGATCAGATCACCACCAGTACTTTGTTTGTTCCCCGTTCTAGTCCCCTCAGCTGCTGCGAAACAAGCACATGTCACGTCAAAACATTCAACGGTCGTTCTTGTCCTTCCTGTTGTCTCTGATCACAATTTTGACGTCCGTCGGCGCTGGGTGAGGTAGCGGCTTCCCATCCGTGTTTCCATCACATAGCCCTGCTCAGCCGTGTTGGTTTGCCGTCTCGTATCGATTACAACCACTCCTTGAGCACCTTGATGTAGTACATGCTGTGCTTTCGGGCATTTTTGCGAGTCCTCCAATGTGGGCAGAGCAGATATCTTAACATTCTTCTGAACATAGTCAGACTTGACGAAGTTTGGATTGATATCTGCACTCAGCGCTCATAAGTCTCCGTACGCGCCATGGTATTAAGATTCCACACCACCTGTGGAAATTTCGAAATACAGGAATAAGCAGTTCAAGTTTGATATGCTACTTTCAATTCTTATTCCAGTGTGCTTATTCCAGTTCGATGGATACACAGTTGATTTCTGTACGGATGGTGTACGGAGACTAAGGAGGATTCAGTGTACCGTGGCAGCGGTCGTGATCTATATCACAACGATAGGAAGCCTTCGCACCGGGAGGCTGAAGAAGACGCCCATCTGAAACAATGTCACCATGGCATTGGTTCGATGACTGGAAGGGCTCCTGGTACAGCTCCCGCTGCCTATTGTGCTTACACATTACTTCGCAACAAGCATCCTGGATGCCTGGGTCGGATCATACAGCATACCCCGGAGCTTCGTCAGGTCGAGTATCCCGGTTCTATGTCAGCACCATGTTGAACATTTTACTTTGGCACAACCGCCAATAACCGGCATGGGGGCAAGGGGGTGACTCTAGAGCAAATGCAGCCGTTGGCCGTGTCAGAAGACCGGCTCGATGCAGGTGGTATGGCAGTGGGCAGGTTGAGGAACGCGTTTGCGAGGTGGGTGCCTGGAGGGCAGCATCCTGAAAGCCTGATTCTGCTGCAGTCATACCACCCGATGACCGAACCTTACCAGCGATCCAGAAGCATTCGTTGCGTAATGGAATGCCTCCCCGTAGCGGGAATGGCTTTCAACGGCGAGTTTCATGCACAAAGTGAGAAAGTCAGACGATTTGCGGAGGCAGCTAACCTTGGGGGCTAAGCTGGTGCAGCTGTGATGCCAGATCGAGCGCCGCATGGATTCCTGACGAGACCTGATTGGCCGCCCGTCTAGCACCATGTGTTGAAGGTGACGACACCACTCCGTGAGCTCGATGGCTTGCATTCCAGGTTCCAAGCTCAATCAAGCTTGGCAAGCTTGGTTTACATCTCTCCTCTTCCTCCTCTTCCTCCTCTTATAATCAGCTTGATCTTCTGTAACCCAAGTCCTGCCTATTTGTGAGTTGCCACTTGTGAATTTGGGAAGAATTACCATCTTCGAACACCAGCAAGACAACAACCAGACTATCCTACACACACCGAACGTACAAACGGCCCAACATGATTCTACCCGATGTCATCGAAGCGGCCACCCAGGTCATCAATGCCCGGCCCCCTAGCCATACGCACCACCCGCTACCGACCGTGACACCCGATATCCCACGGGTCTACCATGAACATGCCTCAGATGTGGGACACAAGACCCTATGGTAGGTCCACGATACACTTCCCGTACGGCAATGTCTGACCTGTATATACAGGGTTGTCTGTGTGCTCATGGGACTATCCTCACTTGCGTTCTACGCCATGGCCTGGAGAGTCCCAGTGGTAAGAGATCACCCGCCCAGCATCACATAGCCGAGTGATGCGTATCTAATACCATACCAGCAAAAACGCCTCTTCCACGTCCTCACAGCCTTGATCACCACCTTCGCGTTCCTGTCTTACTATGCGATGGCAACCGGAGACGGTGTGGGCGTCCACACCACCGTGGTCAAGGAGACCAAACTCCACGTCGTGACCGAGATTGTCAACCGGGACGTTTACTGGGCTCGCTACGTCGACGTAAGTTCCCATGCTCCAACTATACCAACCAGGTCACTTATCTCAAGTCCACAGTGGTCACTGACCACCCCTCTCCTACTCCTCGACCTCTGCCTTTTCGCCGGTCTCGACGGTGCCAGCATCCTTGTGGCCATCGTCTCCGACGTGATCATGATATTGACCGGTCTCTTCGCCGCCTTCAGCAGAGACAGCGCCCAGGGCTGGGGCTGGTACACGTTCGGCTGCATCGCCTACCTCAACATCGTCTACCAGCTTGGATACAAGGGAAGACATGCTGTATCGGGCAAGGACGCAAAGACTAAGAGGTTCTTTGGCGCCATCTCGCTCTTTACGCTTATCCTCTGGACCCTATACCCAATGTGAGTACATCAAAACCTATGACGAGCGCCTTGAATTCTTCCTGACCGATGTAGCATCTGGGGTGTTGCTGATGGCGCACGAGTCGTCGGAGTTGATGGCGAGATCATCGGCTATGCTATTTTGGACGTCCTCGCCAAGCCCGTCTTCGGTTTCTGGCTGCTTCTCACCCACGACAAGATGAGCCGCAGCTCGCCATCCATCGAAGGGTTTTGGTCCAATGGACTGTCAAGTGAAGGTGGACTTCGCGTAAGTCCTAGTCTGTGAACCTACTCGATAGCCATTTCTGACATAATTCTAGGTCGGTGATGTCCTGGGACGCGGTGACGATGACTAAACGACAAGAATCAAGACGCGAGCCGTTATCATCGCCACTCGAAGTCGATGAATACGGTTCTTCGATATTCTGGGTTGGGATAGTTAGGCTCCCTTGCAGACGTTTGATCGCAGAAGATAGTGGATTGACTGCTGTGCGAAAGGTATCCGGAAAAATCAGAAACCCTAACGATGTATTTGTACAATAATATGCTCTTCAGGGGCGTTGCATGTATTGAGAAAATGTAACAATATGTATAAAAATCTGTTCGGAGAGCAGTCTCATACTACGGGTGATGGCGGATTCCTTCACGTCAGGTGGTAACAGGAATCTTCTCCAGGTCTCAAATTATCCTTGGAGGAGCGAGTGTTCTGGCTGCTGCGAAGCTCTCCAAAGTTGTTCTACACCGATACGCATGAGACCTACGTCTGTATCGGTTGAGCTCAGCACTGGCATCATCCGTTCCGTGTGAGCTGATCAAGATATGAAGCCTGAAGAATGGAGTGATCAGAGTTCGTGATGAGGTAGCAGCGCCCCAGATCGGTTTGCCGGGCCTGCCTGCTCCACCGGTCGATGCTCCGAGACCAGCAGGCCTGCACGTTATCGATAAGCTACTCCAGGTGAAACGGACCACTCACACGCAAGACATGTCTCACGCGTCTCATCGTGCCCACTGCCCGCAGCCCGGTCCTACCTCACCTCTGCCTCCCACACCACTTCCCGCCTCCCGCGCTTCCACCAGACACTCCGTCAAATTGGCTCGAGCGGCTTGCCGAATATCACGCTATTCGGCTTAGTTAGCAAGCAGGACAACCCAAGTATGTCCTGTGCCACCGCGCAATCCTCCGCTAGGGTGCTGACGTGCTCAGGTGCTGTACACACACAAAACCAGAACCCTGTCTGCCGTGACGGAAACGAGGTGTCGAACATGGCTTGCCCTGATTGGCCAGAGCCCGTGACAACCTCCTGTTTAACTCTGACCTCGTCGACCTCAACCCTCGACGTCCCCCTCCGAGCCTTCATCGCCTGTCCATCGTAACACATCCCAATCTTCTCCCTATCCATCTCTAGACGGTCGCTTTCAACCGGCGATCCTCGCTGAAGTCCTAAATTTTTGAATCTTGTGTTTTTGGTGTCAAGAACCTTGCTACTATCCCGCAATGCCAGTCGAGCTTCGCAAGCGCAAGGCGCCCGCGCCCGCGCCAGCACCACCCGCCAAGAAGCAAACTAAGGTTTCTAAGGTTGCTAACAAGGTCAAGGAAGCTGTCAAGGGCAAGCCAGAGAAATCCACCGATGCCAATGGCTCATCCAAGGCCGCAAAGCCTGCCGTCGGTGACACCATCACCCTCGACGGCTTCGGTGGCGAGATCGAGACCAACGATGGCACCAAGACTACACTCAAGGCGCTTCTCGATGAGAGCGAGTCCGGAGTGGTGCTCTTCACTTACCCCAAGGCGTCTACCCCTGGCTGTAAGCTTGATCCGATGTAGCTGTACCCTATCCCATCGCGCCATGTCTGACAAATCATACAGGCACCACCCAAGCTTGTCTGTTCCGCGACTCGTACGCGGAGCTGACCAACGACGGGCTCGCCATCTACGGGCTCTCGACTGACTCACCCAAGGCGAACACCTCCTTTCAGACAAAGCAGAAGCTACCGTACCCCCTCCTCTGCGACCCGGGCGCCACCCTGATTGACGCCATTGGGCTCAAGAAGAGCCCCAAGGGTACCACCCGTGGCGTATTCGCCGTCGACAAAGCTGGCAAGGTTCTCGTCGCAGAGCCTGGTGGTCCTGCTGCTACTCTCCAGGCAACCAAGAAGCTCGTCGCTGCTGGTGATGGTTCGGCTGCGAAGGAGGAGCCCCTCGTTGCTGCTGAGCCTGTGGAGGAGGCAAAGCCCGCCAATGGAGGAGCTGCTGAAGAGCAGAAGATTGAAGAAGCGCTTGAGAAGCCAGCTGAGTGATTCGTGTGCTGTTGAGCAGATGGTTCCAAATTGGACCGTTGTTGCTCCTGAGGCTGTACCTGTTTGTTTATAGTCGTACTTCACGGGCGTCAATGCGAAATAAGCGGCATCAGTAGGAGGCCATTGGCGATGGACCTCCTCAACCACATGCATATATCCAGTGCAGCTAGCACGTAGACCGCACTTTGTTTCATGTAGCACTTGCCATCCTTCTCGTGATAATAAAACGAAGGAGGAAAGCTTGAGGCACTTTAAAGAATGACCCAGAGATAAGCCCGAATATCAACCGAGTGGACCCACGAGCCTCCCTGACCAATCACCGTCAACCCGAATCAGCTTTCATCATCAATCGAAACCTCGCAATGACAATTGCATTGAAGCTTCTCAGAACCTCGCCCTTCCAAGCCAATTGAGCCGCAACCCTCACCATGGCATCCAAGCTCAGTCCCCTGCTGTTCAGATCAGCTGCCCGCTCAGCATGCCGAGCTCCCCGACCGCACATTCGCGCCTTCACGGCCGCCAGCTCGAGACGGAGTGAATCGCTTGCAGTGGTAAGTCTGGCCTCCTCCCCTCCAACAAGCTTGACGTTGGTTTCCTTGGTAGTCAAGGACAGACATAGCTTGGACTTGTAGACTGGAGCACTCCATACGATCTACTTCACTCTGGGAAACCCACCATACTACCCCTCCACCCCCTATGAGGCTCGCTCACCCCGGCTGACCCCCGTGCTTTCGCGCGGCAACAACAGCACCGAAACACGCCCGACAACAACCCCGACATACCGTTCAAGTTCACGGCGCAGAACGAGACCATCATCGCCGAGATCCTGAAGCGGTACCCGCCGCAGTACAAGAAGGCGGCCGTGATGCCGGTGCTGGACCTGGGCCAGCGCCAGCACGGCTTCGCCTCCATCTCGGTCATGAACGAGGTCGCCCGCATCCTCGAGATGCCGCCCATGCGCGTCTACGAGGTCGCCTCCTTCTACACCATGTACAACCGCACCCCCGTCGGCAAGTTCCACGTCCAGGCCTGCACTACCGTGAGTCTTGTCTTGTCTGTCCGCTTGTTTGTTCTATAATTTGCTGTTGCTACGGACGGGTTGGGTTGTCTTGGGAATCTGGAGAGCGTGGAAAGACCGGGAGAGAACTGCGCTGGCACTTCATGTACGCCAGGTTCCGAGCAACCGAGTCGTTACAGCAGGACTCGACGGCTTGCAATATCGATGGGGAGAACAAGACAGACACCCGCACCCCTCCCAAAGGCCTGCTCAACCCCTCACGCACCCTACCACTACAACACGCACTCCTAGGAACCCCCCATACTGACTCCAATGCAACCAGACACCCTGCCAACTCGGCGGCTGCGGCAGCGACGTCATCGTCAAGGCGATCAAGGAGGAGCTCGGCATCAAGCAAGGCGAGACCACCTCCGACGGCCTCTTCACCTTCGTCGAGGTCGAGTGCCTGGGCGCGTGCGTCAACGCGCCCATGATCCAGATCAACGACGACTACTACGAGGACCTGACGCCCGAGTCGACCAAGCAGCTGCTGTCGGCGCTGAGGCAGAGCGCCACCTCGTCCTCATCGGACGTCAAAGTCCCGACCCCCGGCCCCATGAGCGGCCGCCAGACCTGCGAGAATAGCGCGGGCCAGACGAACCTGACGAGCGAGCCGTGGGGCGCCGAGACTACGAGACAGGATCTGTAGACGTGGCGTGGCGAACGAATCAGGTTAGGCTGGGCGAGAGCATGGAAGGGCAGAGCAGGGCGTGTGCGGACGGGAGGCGGCACGGCATACTTAGAAAGGGCGAGGATAGAGCCAGAGAGGCACGGACGGGAGACCTTGTACATAACCTGCAATTGTATCGATTTGACTGAACCAAGCAAAATAACGCGCCTGATATATCTTCGCCTGCTTGCTTGCTTGCTTCACTTTTTCATTCGCTGTAATGAAATACCCAGACGTCTCATTCCAAGCCATCACTGTCAAAGCTTATTTCAAACCTTAAAATTCCAAAACCCCATCCATAAGCTATCCTAGCTAAACCTACCCAAGTCTGAAAATCCACCCATCGCCCAACCGCTGATTCCCCTCGCTCAGGCCCCCAAACACCATAACCGCATTCTCCCCAAGGTCGCCCAGCGTCGCGCTCGCGATCCAGCCCCGGGGGGTAGGGCCCTTGACGTCGAGGGCCTCGTCCTCGTCCTCGGGGCCGGTCGCGACGCGCGTCCAGACCCCCTCGCCCGTCTTGCGGCCGACGGCCTGCAGCACGGCGTCGGTGACGCTCGCGGCCGTCATGCCGAGCGGCGGGACCTGGAACGTCCATACGTCGCCGTGGAAGCTTCCCGCAGCCTCGTGGCCCGAGGCGCTGGCCGAGCGCTCGCCGAGCATCAGGACTAGGTACTCGCGCCCGCCGCCACCGAGGACGAGGTTCAGGCTGCTGACGCTGCGCGCGGCGGGCCAGGCCTCCGTCTCGATAAGCCTGGCGGTGTCTTGGATGGTGGGCTCGGCGGCGGGGTCGTCACCGCCGGCTTCCTGATCCTGCTGGGACGGGGGCGGGGAGGCGGTCACGGGCGGGTAGTGGCTTGACCACTCGCCGCGCGCGAAGACGCCGATCTCACCGCGGCTGACGCGATCGTCGAACTCGTCGAGGGAAAGTTCAAGCACGTCCAGCTGCCCGCCGAGCTCCTTCTCGCCGTCGAAGCCGCCGAAGCGGTACAGACGGCTCTTGGCGATGGCGAGGGCGGCGCCTCCGCGGGCAGGACCCGGCGCCGAGGGGAGCTCTTTCCAGGTGCAGCTGCGCACGTCGAAGGCCCAGACGTCGGACGTGCGCGAACCGTCCGCGAGGCAACCCCCGTGGATGATGAAGGTACCAAAGCCAGCATCCTCGTCGTCGGTAGCGCCGGCTGCGATATGGCCGGTGATTGGTCGTTGGGGGATCCCCACCTCGGCCGAGTCGCCCTCCGCCCACTCTTTCCAGCTCGAGGTGCGGCGCAGCGGCTTGATGGCGAAGTCGCTCGGCTTGTCGGTCGCTACGGCGGCGAAGTAGCTGCGCGGTGGTGGGCTGGGGCTTGTGCGGTATGGGTCGAGGTATGACCAGGTATGCGTCTTGGTCTCGAAGACCCAGACGCGTCCGCCCTCGTCGAGCGTGTCGGAGCCGGCGGGCGAGGTGCGCCCGCCAAAGATGAAGATTCGCGGGCCGATTACGGCCGAGGCGTGGCCTATGCGCGGGCTAGGAACGTCGGAGGGCAGGGGCTTGCCCTTGCCCTTCTCGGTCGTTGAGGACGAGGGCTGCTCCTCGAAAGAAGTGCCTGGAGGTGGCGGGGAGCTGAGCGGGACTTCAGTTAGAGGGTCCTTCAGCTGGGCGGCGGTCTCGTCCTCTTCGGTGATGGTGGCAGGCGCTTGGGTCTTGGGTGATGGTTTCGCCTTGACGGCGTAGTAGTCGGCGTTCGCGCCGCTGGAGGGCAGGACGATAATGTGCATGTCGTTGTCGACGGGCTTGCGAGCTTCGACCTCTCCGCCGAAGATGTACGCGTTGCCGGCGATGATGTCGAGGGTATGCGACGAGCGCGGGAGGGGAGGGAGCGCTATGTGTTGCCAGGTGCCCTTCATAGTCGGGCCGCCTCCCATGCGAGGCATGTGTGGCATCTGGGGCATGTGAGGCATGTGTGGCATTGAAGGCATTGAAGGCATGTTCTGCGAGACCGAGTTTAGCAGGTCGGTTCCGCGACGCTTCAGTTTGGCGAAGGACTCCATGCTGGGCGTTGTGGTAGTTCAATTGAAACGTTCTCTTTTAGCTGCTGCGATAGTACAAAGAAAGATCTGTGTCGAAAGAAGCTGGGGAGTTGTAGCCCAGAGTCGATCTCGATCTCAGATGTGGTATTGTTCCTGAGCTCGATGCCTGAGCTGGAGTGACGCAAGGTTGGTCTCGTGGAGGGGTGTAGACCTTTGGGAAGACTCAAGAAGAGCACCAGTAGGCAGAATTGTTGTAATGGGTGTTAGTGACGAGAATACTTGTCTAGATCTGAAGCAAGGGATCAGCAGAGAACACAAGAAATCAGGTAATGATGGCAGGAGGACGAGGTGACCACTCACTCATCATCACCTGCAGCGTCGGAAGGAGGATACGACGGGAAGAGGTACCACTTCCAGTTTCATCATAGTCCAGAGTGAGCAGTGAGCAGCAATTGGACCGTTGGCCCGGTTGCGGGGCAGCGGGGTCCTTGGAGCTAAGGTTCTTTGGGAAACGTGGCAGGCCGCAGCACCCCGCCCCAACCCTTAGTGGGGCTCGGCGTCAGACTCGTGATATTTTAGGGGTCCGTTCTTCCAACTCCTCCAAGATCCACGATGAATCTTTTGTGATCACTCCATACCTAGTCATCATATTTCTTCATCACAGCCGTATGATCCACCAATATAATTCATGATCGAAACTCAGGTTACTCGCTTTCCGATCCTGAAGCATACCGTTGAAGCATACCGTGTAGTTGCCAGAAGCTCAAAGCTCCATGCAGTTTCTTGACAAGCATCTACCTAGGTATTACTTATGTGACACTGCGGCTTCGTATATGAATTGCTTGAGCAGAAGCGATGACCCGTACACTACGATTTTATTGAGGACTCAAGCTGCCATGTTCCAGTACTCCTGGTTGTACCGAGAGTCACAGTCGGCCGGGAGCCCATACTGGCAGTCTTGATCATTCGTCCATCCACTTTGCGTTTTATGTCACGATTCTCACCAGGCTCCAGTCATGGTGCACATGGCGCATTACACTGATACATACGGACGGTTTGAACTCGGTGCGTGCGGGAGCAATGGGCAATCACGCCCCCGTCCGGTTGCCCCTGACCGGCGGAACCATGAGATTGAGTATGGGTCTGTGCCCGCTCAAAACACGTTGGCCCTCATGGGGTTGAGTATGCAACTCTCGGCGAAGAAGTTTGATTATGAGAATACTGTCTTTCACAAAGCAATATGACGTCGAGAGTCGTGCAGCAATCAAGGTATCTGCCGCTTTGCATATCGTAACTTCGTGGGCTTGCTAGCCGATGAAGCGAAGGCGACTATATTTATCCCTTTCACTCCATTCTCGAACATACTTCCCCAAATGGGTTCCAGCATCTCGATTGCTCCCCTGCCTCCCACCTTCTTCTCCTCTGATCCAAACAGTCCAAGCATCAACGCCTGCCCGCATAACGCTTAGCACCCTTCCGCCTCCTCGGCCGTTTGAACCGGGCCTCACGCTCCGCGAGCCGGACTTCATTTATCTCCTCCTCCCAGTGTGACCGCGCTAGCCAGAGATAGAAGACAAACGCCGCGATGCAAATGCCAGCGGCTACGCCGAGGACGATGCCGACTATGGCACCGTAACCGAGTGACTTGGGTGTGGTTGTTGCGATGGGAGTGGGTGGGCGAGTTTCGTTTGCTGCTGTTATAGATGATGGCGCCCATGTTGACGTTGGAGTGAGGCAGATGGGGCTTGTAGGGACGCCTCGAATGGTCAGACTTCTGCTGGTGGTGTCGTAGAGGTCTGCCGAAGCTGCTATGTCTGCCGAAGCTGATGCTGGTGTCAGCTGGCTCTGGTAAGGGTACCTTGGGGAGCGTAGATACGAAGGCGAGAAGGAGTGGTCTCTTACCGCTGATTCCTGTGACACTTGAGCTGTTCGGCCTCAAGGTTACCAGCACCGGGGCCATGGTAGGGATGTATTATAAACCGTGTGGATGCGGTGTTGCTGGCGTCAACAATCACACTGGAGCCGTGAAAGTCAACCAAACGCCGTTTGTCACTGAAGGGAGAGCTTCGTCATGCTGGGATGCCACCGCGTATGCATAAGTAGGAGGGGGATCCAATTGATCTCTATTATGTCTTCATGAGATCTATTAAGCGTGACCTCACGAGTTCCTCAGAAATCATCACAAAGTCTGAGAGGGGGATGCCTTTCATACCACGCCCGACTACTCTTTGTCCACACGCTTGAAGTTGTAGCAGATAGATATTTCGCTGTCATCTGCACCCACTTCCCAGCCACCAGCACCGGTAGACGCCATGATCAGTATGATACTGACGAGTCACTTGCACGGACCTTTCATCATAACGTTCGACAAGTGAGACACACTGACTACCTAGATATGTAGATAGTGATGTGCCCGGGAGTTTCGCTCGGTTTTGCCCGTCGCAAACAGCTGAAGCGGGCATAACTTAAACGTTTGAATTCATAAAAGTTTGGCATGCATAAATGTTTGAGTTGAACATAAACGTTGAAGCTTTCCAACGTTGACGAAGATTTCAAAACAACTGATAACTGACAGCATTTAGCAAAATGAAACCTTTAATCCAGAACAACAGTTGATCACGGTGAACGAGTGCTCAAGAGTTCACCAATTGCTGAACGTTTGAAGATTGTCAATAGTGCATACACTGTCAATTTATTGTTTATCGATACAGAGAGCTCATGTTCAGACGTAGCAGTAAGTCATATAAATCTCAAGAGGACCGAGTCCTGAGGTAGAAGCCCGCGAGGGAGGTGCCGGCTACGAATCGACGGAGGAACAGGGAGATGCTCGTGCAAAGACAACCATGTCCCATAGGTATCTAAGGGACGGGAAGCTTCACACGATACGTGTCAGCGGTTCGAATAACGGCGTCGGTTCGTTTTCAAGCACCGGCATTTGGCGGCGGAGCGGTGTCTACTAAGCACTATAACAACAGCCACGCTTGACGCTGGTCGTCGCTCGAGGCGAAAAAAAGGGGGACAGTCCGCAATAGAGCACGCCGTTGATGAGCATGAGATGGCATACATAACCCGCATGCCGCCTGAAACGTAATGATCTGCATTTGCCGTCAAAAATTCGAAAGTAATACCGGTAACAGTGAGCACATAGATAAATAATGATAAGCAAGAGCACGCGGTTACGGAAGACGCACCAACTTGAAGAAAAGGGGGCCAATGTATCAATGTCCAAGGGAGATTGTGAACAACAGACCAACCACTACCAGCGCAGACCATGAGTATCATCGCATACTTCGAACTCGAATTTCATCCAAGCAGTAAAAATCATAAGCTTGCGAATGCATGCCCACGCAGACAACTCCCTCAGAAAACATAAATCCAATAAGACGCAGCAGCCCCACAGTAAAATCATCGCGGTAGAACAGCAAGCTCCCGCTCCAGAATACACATCCTTCGTAAAGTCGTCAGCCCAACCCCTATTGTATAGTCCACCCTTGCCACCCTTCCACCTCTTTCCACCTTACCACCCATTTCTCTCCTTTCCACCCCATTCTCCTTTCCTTCGTCTCCACCCCATACCCTCACAGCCCATCCTGCCGCTTCCGCGTCTTCCCTCGGGGTCTGCGGACGACAGCAGGTATAATAATCACGGGCTCCATAGCCCCGCCACCCACGAAGTTTCCTCTGCCGCGGCCCCGGCCACCCCCACCGCCGCGTCCGCCTCCCCTGGCCCACACTCCGCCGCCGCCGCCTGGCATCGGGGGTGGTGGGGGCGGTGGTACGCCTGCGGTCCCGGGCGATGGATGGATGCCCTGGGATGCCTCCTGCTGCAGCTGTGGGAACGGCCACAAGTGCTGCTCTACGAACACTGCGGTGTCTGGAGTCAGTACAATAGATTTCCCAAGGGGGTGTCCTCAGAGTCGTGTAATCAACTTCGCAAGATGGGAGGTTGGGCAGGCGTAGGTGGCAGCCTAGCGTAAGACGTACGCTCAAGAGACACAGAGGCAAGGGGGCAGGTTGGGGTGCTACTCACTGCCGGGCTCGATCATGTCTTCCCAGAGTTCGGGAAGGATGACGATACGCGGGGTCTCCTGTACCGGCGGCCCAGGTGCAGGTGCGAATACCGACGGAAAAACAACCTCAGGAGGCGTCGGAGCCGGTGGGATGGTAGAGCCGGTCGATGAGGAGCCGGCCACAGGGACAGCCTCCGATCCAGGGCTCAGTGGTGTCACCAAAGGTGTAGGTGTGTTCAAGACAGTAGTCGTCTGTGCTGCAAACGGCATATAGGGATCCATCGACGGTGGCAGCGCGACGATGAGGTCGTAGCAGCCCTCGAAGACATACGGGCCGATGATGTCGACGTGAGTAAAGCAGCTTCGGATAAGACGTTCCATGCCCTGCAAGGACGAATTAGCTATATAAGCGACTCGATATGCAGTCATATTGCCAAAATACAGGCTCTACCGTCATATGAGAGAGAGTTGCCCCCTCATGCCAACAAACGACTCAACAACACCTTTCAACTGATACGGTAAGCTAAAACGGTGACTTACCCCCCAAGTGTTCGCCTTCTCCCAGGAAAAGGCATAGCTCCGACCGATGGCGTCCTTGAAGCGGATAGGAAACTTCTTGGGTGGTCTATCCGCTGACCTATGCCACCCAGGTTCTCCGTATCTGAGAGGCTGGAAAGGGGGTGGTCCTCCAGCCAAGGGCTCGTCTTCCGGTGGTCTCGGACGGGATTGAGATGAGCCGGGCTCGGACTGCTGCTCAGGCTCTGCTCTTTGTTTCTGTTTCTGCCTGCTGGTGTACGGTGGTGAGGTTGTGTCAGAGACCACATTCTGGGCTTGGTCGCGAGTTACGGCGACGTGCTCTTGCTCCTGGCAGGATGAACGTATACAAGAGCCGGTTTCCTCTGGATCGCTGCATTCAGCATCTCCTGACAGCTTTCTCATTTCTTGTTGATCGGCTGAATGTCCAAGGGGATCCGCAACGCGAGCGAGAGTAGCCTCAGTATGCTGCTGCGACTCCAACACTCCTCCGACAGACTCTGGGTCAGGATGTCCGGTGGCCAACGGACTTTCAGCCGCAGTCATCGGGGCCTCGCCATTATGGCTGCTCACCGGCCCGAGTGCCTCTGCCACACCCAAGTCACCAGGTTCAATGCCGTCCTCCAGTGTCTCCCCTGACGAGCACGCAGGAGTCGCAGGTTCGCTGGGCACACTCGAACGCAGACTCGCCAGACCTAGACACACCTCCGAATGCCGATGATCGATATTCGGAACACGAGCTCCACCACATGGCCCTGCACGTGACGATGTTTCCGGGGCCTCATCGAGCGGAGCGGTCCCTGTCCAGCCTGTCGAGGCAGCCATCCGTTTGCGGGCGCCCCTATAATAGCCGAGGGGCTGGCTACCTGTCTCAAGGTAAAGCAGAACCCAGAGCTGGTCCAGGTATTCGGACCCCAATAGGTTCCGCGGACGTTCCTGGTCGCCGGATTCCACTAAGTCAGTCCGCTGTCATGAAGTGGAATTAATAGAACGGGAGAAGACGGGATGATCAGGGCACGCAGCTGAGAGGTTGTCACGTTGCTAGTTGCTACTAGAGGCTCAACTACGGCTCACTGGAAGACGGGGAAGCTTCCTAGTTGCTCTTAGCGCTCCAACTAACGTGCTCCTCTCCGGCTTGGGGTACGGTAGCCAGCAGAAAGCCCGCTAAGCCCTGTCCGCCCCAGATAGCGTCCAAGCCCCACTGTGCCTTTAGGCCACCATGGTGTGAAAAAGTACTATAGTATTCGTACGATGCTAGTGTGGTACGATACTAAGGTGAGTATTGTTGAATGGGAGCCGGAGATAGACACCGGAAGATCTCCAGTGGGGCAGAGACGCACAGGGCATCTGACCCACCAAGAAGACAGATAATCAATCTCTGCACACAGAGCAGAACAATCAATAGCATCAATCAACATCCGTGTATTCAATAATTAAGAGTCTCATTGAATCTACGCAACCAGCATCCATATTTTGAATACACATATCATACAACCATTTCAAGATGAATATCACAGTTCCCACCCAGAACACAACTGCGTACTATCAGTCTCGAAATGACTTTGTCAGCTGGGGACTCTAATTCCAGAAAAGGGCTGAAGCACTTGGCATCTGGCAACATATCGAGCCAGGGGTAACTACTCTATGGCCAACAGCACCAACGCCTCCGGATATCCTATCAGAAGAGTATTCAAAGAAGTCTATCAGAACTGCTCAAACAGCAGTGGAGGAGGGACGAGTCCTCGCTTCACACCTTACAACAGAGAGAGCAGCTGACTTCAAGATGAACGTCGCCCTATTTGAGCACAAAGACAAGATCTATCAGCGAACCAAGACCTCCATATCCAAACTTACCAAGTGGACTCTCAAAACTGTCGATCTTACCATACAAGGGACCAAACTACTCTCTGAACGAAACCTCCGCCAATGGTACCAAAAGCTTGCAACTGAAGGAGCCATCTATAATGAGAACATCATGTACCAGGCCCAAGTCGATTACCGTGCCATTATATCAATAGTCAATAAAGGGATACAGAAAAAAAAAAAAGGATTTTATTAACTGGATTAAAGAGTAGGAATTGATTATGGCCAGGGCTATAAAAGCCAGGGTCCCTGAGGCTCTATCTCCAGCAACCTGGTTCAATGACTTCATAGTTGCTGTCGCCTTGATGAACCCCAATTGGTCTTCTTAAGCCAGAGCAAACAAGAAGGAAGGAGTGCTTGAAGGCAGTATTTCATACTCCTAGATAGCCTCTGACCTCCACGACAACTGGATAACAACGCGCGCCATTACCAATCCTCTGAAGGGATGAAAAGCGGGTTTCTTAGCCCTTCATGAAGAACAGCCTGACGATACAAGAGACTCAATAGGAGACTCAATTGGAGACAAGAGAGAAAATGAGCATCCTCAAAAACAATCAGACGTAAGAGGCAGAGGCCGCAATGGAGGAAACAACAAGGGGGCTCAAGAGGTGGATCAAGAGAAGGTTCAAGAAGAGGAAATCAGGGAGCTTCTGGCAAAAGGGGCCGAGACAATAAAGAAGCTCCCTCAACCACTCAAGCATACAAGGGATGCTACTGTAAAGGGCACCACTTCACAGAGTGCTTTTACCTCTTCTCAAACAAGCGACCAAATGGATGGAAAGTCCACCATGGAGTGGAGCAAATGATCAAGATACTGCTTGAAAAGGACAACAATCTATCTGAGGAAGTGGCCCAAATTTCCAAGAGACAGACACCACGTGATTGACTCGCAGAAAGGGGTGAGAGAGTACAATATGTGCTAACACACGCAAATAAGGCAGCAGCATCTTATTTAACATATAACACAAAGTCCTCTTACGCAACCGCTCCTTACCCCTTACTCAACTCGTCAATTCTTGACTCTGGCACAACCTTACGTATCTTCAACGTTATCACTCGCTTTAACAACTTTTATAGAGCCCCAACATGTGATAGAGTATATGCAAGAGACACCTTCATACCAATCCTAGGATACGAAGAAGTAGACATCACTGCTCATGACTCATTGGGACCATTCATCTTGACACTACGGAATGTCGCCTTCTGTGAAGGATTTGCGACAAACCTTGTATCTTTACAACAACTCAAAAAGCTTAGATATTACTGGGATAACAAACCTCCTAATAACTGTGTCAGACAAAAGGATGATTCAGTGGTGTTCAAACTCACAGATAAGTTTGGATAATGGGTTATAGAGGACATACCCCTTGGCAAAACCAAAGCGTCCTTTGCCCTGCGGAGGAGGATGATCAACTCCAGAACAGAAAGAGCTCCAAACAAGGGTGATAAGAACCTCTGGCACTGGCCTCTAGGGCATCCTAGCCCTGAAGTAATTGCTCAGATTACAAAGCATGCTAGAGGAGTGAGAATCAAGGGTCCCTCTACTGCTCAGTGTGACGGGTGTGGCAAGGCCAAAATCAAGAAACAGACACGCAGAACACCTAGGCAACCGTCAACCAAGCCAGATAGCATCCTGTCTATTGATTTCCTTGACCTTGAGAAGGATTCAGATGGCTACTAGAGTATTATATTTGTCACTTACAGATACTCTGGATACGTGTAGACATACTTCCTAAAAAGGAGAACTATAGAACACATAATTGGCGCCCTTTAAAGCATTATCGGTATACTAAAAATACAGTTCCAGATCAATATTGAGGCCATAGAAACAGACAATGAGTTCACCAAGTCAAAGGACATTAAGGACTTCATCAAAGACAATCACATCCGAATCGAGCCCTCTACACCTCATACCCAAGACCAAAATAGAGGCGCTGAACGCTCGGGAGGTATAATCAAAGCAAAAGTTCTTGCCATGCGCAGCGGAGCCAAGCTTCTAATATATCTCTGGCGTCACATCTATACTGCAGCAGTGTATCTTCACAACGGAACACTATCCTGGCACCACAACTGGAAGACCCTATATGAGATGTTCTTCCAATATCTGTCATTCCGAGACGGCCTAGTTATCCCTGACTGCAGACCAATGCATACACACCTATGAGCATATTGCTGCAAAATATTTGCAATGACTGCCACTACACAGGAGAAGAAGGACCGCCCCAAGAAGCTGAACCCAAAAGCCTGGGTTGGCTATCTTGTGGGATATAACTTAACTAACATCTATCTGGTCTGGAACCCATTAACCAGCAAGGTCCACGCTATGCGTGATATAATAGCAGATAAAGACCAGATGTTTTTAGGAGACTTGAGCGACCTCAAGGACGACCTTCTGCATGTCAGCAAAGAACAACTAATACGATTTCTAAGTAGACACAAGGTGCCATCCAAAATCCTAGAGGACATTCCAGTGTACTAGGAAGATAAAGATCTTAGCAGATTAATACAGGAGCACCCAAATAGAGATGAGATGGACCTGAGTGGTAATAATACAGAAAATACTCAGAACAAAGCCAATACAAATAGTAGCAAAGGGACTGATCACCCCTATATATCTGCCGTGTTTGAGCCATATCTGACCCCAGAACCCACTCCTCCGCCTGCGGTAGCACTACTGGCTGTTACTATCAGAGAGCCTGTGGAGGGCCAGGTCAGAGCATCATGCTCCCGGCGAGCAGAAGAAGGGTTAGATGCCCGCTCGTTACCTTCAACTGGGGACGCCCAGGCCATACAAAATCGCTACAGGAATTGGGGAGCAGCGTTCAATGCTGGACGTGTTGCCAATCCTGTTGGTTTGATAGATGGCAGGCCGGTGAGCAAAGCCAAGTACAACAAGTACAGAACCTATGGCTCTCGCCCTGGGGGAGACCATCACACTAAGGAGATCATCACGGCCCAGCCTCAATACCTACAAAAATAGGGAAGATACATCAATGATCATTGCCACCAGAGCCAAAGAACTGGCAAGGTGTCAAGAATCATCTCTACAAGGCTGAGTGGCATCAAGCCGAGGTTGACCATATCAGCAGCCATAATGAAATAGGATCATAGATAATCACTAACAAGTTAGCAATAAATAGACACCAAATTCTGGACTGTATATAGGTATACAAGTACAAGTTTGATAAGCACGGCTTCCTAAGCAAGTGCAAAGCACGCCTTGTGGTTCGCAATGACCAGCAGAATAAGAACATCTATAAGGATACCTATGCATCAACTCTCGCAGGCAGATCTTTCAGAGCCTTTATAGCAATCGCAGCTCGGTTCAATCTTGAGCTCATCCAATATGATGCCGTCAATACCTTTGTCAATGCGGACCTAGAAAAGGAAGTCTTCATAAAAATGTCATAAGGACATCATGAATAAGGAAAGGTCCTCTTGCTAAAGAAGGCTCTATACAGATTACAGCAATCTCTTTTGTTATAGCAGAAACATTTCACCAAAACTCTCACAGACCTTAACTTCAAACCAGTCGCTCACGAACCCTGTTGCTTCACAAAGGATGGCATGATTATCTTCTTTCATGTGAATGATATCGTGATAGCTTTCAAAGGACACCATTAGAACGCTATTAAGGCGGTCACAAAGAAGCTCAAAATTACCTATAATTTGATAAGAGGAGAGCCACTACAGTGGTTCTTAGGGATAGAGATCATCAGAGACCAAAAACAGCGGCTCATCTGGCTGTCTCAAGCCTCATATATCAACAAAATTACAAGCTATATCAACCATAACAAGAAGTGCCTAGAGATCTCTATGAAGCCTTAAGAACTTCTCCCAAGTGACGAGCTTGCCTCGCCAGCCTCAATCAACAGATATCAAAAAAAGATTGGATCAATCCTGTACGCAGCAGTGATCACACGACTCGATATCTCCTTTGCTGCCTCTTGGCTTTCACGCTT